AGAAAAACAACAAAATAAAGGCGTTCCCCCTTCACTTGCCCTGTGGGTATAGACTGTAGAAGGATCTTTCTGTGTTTGTGGGAGACATTAGAGGTCATAATCAAGTTGTGCCGAATGGGGCCAATGACCAGGGCCCAATGACCAGAGCAAAAAAGGTCAGCGGCTGGAGTTTATTGGGTTGCCGAGTTAGAAATGCTGCTGAACCCTGCAGGCCTCGACCATTTGCAACAAATCACTTCCGACAGATAAACCAATCAGACGATATATGCGGAAGCATAACATTTACTTAAGAGCCATGAGGTTGCAGGTTCAAGGATGAGGCAGTTCTTCAACACTTAGACGACCAGACTCATCGTTTGTCATGTTGTACATTTACAGCCGAAAAAGCAAGTTTATGACTACGCTGATGAGCTGATGTTGCCGTTATGAAAAAAGTATCAAATTAGCATGAGCAGTCTGGTCTCATTCATTAAATCAGGATACTATGTTCTCTTAAACAAGCATAGACAATGACCCTATGAATGTCTCATTTCAGTGTCCTCTATGTTGTCTGCTTCTCTGCCAGCCTCCTGAAGAACATGTGCTGCTCTAATCTAATTTATCACAGAGTGCTACACAGAATGAGAATTGATTCAAACTAGAGGTAAAGAGTGACATGAATAACAATTTCATGCTGTGAGAGAAGATAAATAAGCAGATCGATGTCAGTGGGAAACAAAGTTGGCCCGGATTGTTAAATTAATAGTTATGTGACGGCATGTTAGATATCTTAAATTAACCTTGGAGAGTTGTGCTGTCGCCTCACGTATTGACATCTGGGATTGGCTCGTATTATATTAACGGTTAATGGAATAAATGTTACAAATGATGGATCGATGGAAGTTGTGCTGCTTAAAAATGTCAGGCATGACATCTTGTTAGTTAAGTGAATTGTGTTCAAGTCAGCCAGACGTTGACATGTTGTGTGCAGAGGCATACTCAGGGGCATGGTCTGTCTCTAGGTCTCACGGTCTCTAGGCTCCAGTTGAAAATACCCTATCATTAGTCATTTGCCAAGTTTAAAGTGCAAAAATACTTCCTCATATGTTGTTTATTCTGTCTATCCAAACAGGCATTGATTGAAATGACCTGTATGCAGGAAAAAAACAAAAAAACAGTACCGAACATTAACTCCAGGGGCCTGTTCTACGAAGCAAGTTCAACCTTGCCAGGTAGCCTTGGAGCTACCTCGCTCAACTTAGCGCAGTTGCCAGCATTCTCTCTAAACGGTCTTATGACGCTGGTTATCAACCTCGCAAGTGGATTCAGCTTTGCTATCAGCGCGTGCACGCATGTAAGGCGGAGCCCGCCGCATCTGACCAATCGCGAACATGGACCAGTCTGGAGCGTCAGAGCAGGCCGGAGAGCAAAGGGCCGCGTACTTTACAATCGCGTAGCAGGAGACGATCATGAGGAAGTATGAAGAATTCATTTCCAAGATGAATTCATTCGTTTGTTCATTCCTATCGTGTTTACATTTTTTGTGTGATATGAAGGCCATATGAGCCCTTCATAAAGGTGGTCATCCGGAAAAGTAAGTGGGTCAGTGTGGTCCCTGAAAACTCTCCCGTGCTCCTGACCCCGAATTTACCCTCGAAGTTTTCTCGCTAAGCAGTAATCCTGCTTCGTAGAACAGGCCCCTGGTGGACAAAGATATGTTTACTGGGGACATAAATAATTCAAAAACACATGTAACGCCTGTCTAGACAATATCTTATTAATTGGATATATAGGGACTGGGAGTGCCTGCTAACTTTGCTGCAGTTTGGGGCTAATTAAGATAAAAGGTCATCTGTCTGGTTTGCTCTCCAGCAAACCCTTAAAGCCTCGTTCGTGAGCACCAGCCCCGGTTTGGTCTTTGAATGTATTATAACTACGCAGGTAGATTACCTCGGTCTTGCCGTGTTAGTTTGTTGTTGCTTTTTCTTCTCCTCCTCCACCGTGTCTATAAGAACTGCCTGAGGCTCAGAAGGGTGATCTCAAATGCTTTCCTCCCTCACCTATATTTTATGTATGGTCTTTTATTTTGTTAAATGACATGTAACAAAAGAACAGGATTACTTGCATTGTGAAGTAAAATGTCATTTTATGGTCAGTGGACATCAGAAGCTGCGCAGTTGACAGACTGAGACGTGTGAATTATTTTCATCTGAACAAACAATAACGTATTTCATGTCCTTGAAGAATTATTAATGCACTTTGTGGCAGGAGTCTTTTTCCTCCGGCGTCAGAGTGCTGTTACTTCAGAAGCGAAATCTCTCTCACGGTTCCTGCATTATTTATTGATAATATTTAGTCTTTATTTACTTCCGAGTCCTATGAAAAGAGCAGAAAGATCAGTAATGAAGTCTAAAAAAAGGAGCAAAAAATGACTGTGTAAATAATTTAATAGATGGAATTGTTTAATTTGTTTTCTAACAAGTAAGAATAAGATTGACAAAGCCTGGCTGACAGCTTGATTTGTATGTGCCAATTACTTATTCAGTAGATGTAATTTTCAACGAGGCAAAGAGGGTATTTCAGATAATTAGACCGATACAAAGACTGGGAATGAGTGGGACTGTAGTTTTATACACTGCCTGTGTTCTTAACACCAAATGAACTCATGCATTTAAATTCAGCAGCTTATTAGGCGCTGTATCTGTATGGAGGCAGCGCTGTGTATTGTGTGGAGCTCAATCCGGGGGAAATAGAGGTTTTTTAAAGTCAAAGAAGAATAGGTACAAGTCTGAATACCTGGTCTCTCCCTCGTTTTATCCTACATGGCAATTCCCTTTCTTCCATAAAAGCAGAGTTCATGCTCTGTCCCTCCCTTTAAAGAGCTCTAACTTTCACTCTATAATCAATTCAGTATGGAACAAAGTTTCAAAGAGAGTGAGCGGAAGGTGCGGGTTTAATTAAGGACTACTGTATCAACACATTGAGCTACAGCAGTGCGATTATGCAACCCTGGGTAGAGAGAGGAGAGTCAGGCGTGACAATCAATCAATCGTTGTTATCCCAAGACGCTTTCCAAAAGAGCAGGTCGAGACCAAACTCATTGACGTATTATTTGACCCATCTCATCCAACATGAGTGAAGAACTGAAGCAGTATTTAGCAAATACAGACAGAAACCTTGAGCAGGACCAAACTCATGTTGGACACCACTGGGTTGAGGAAGACGGGGGATAGATGGAGATATAGATGGAGGTACAGAAAGTGTTTGCTTGTGTGTGTGCGTCTGAAAAGCCAAGGGATAGCATCGTACAATCACGGGCGTCACACATCTCAAAGCATGAAAACTCATCTGCAGTGTAGGATAAGGTCAATTCCCAAAGAGAGTATAAAGAATGGCATAAATCGAACCCGGCCGCCTCTCATACACAGTCAATTTAATCATGTGACTTTTAGATCAATTCAAACTTTGAGACGTCTCAAAGCAAATCTATCGCCACTGGTTTCCCATCAGATTCCCGTCTAGTCAAGGTTGAGCACAGTTTAAGATTAGAACCCAGCAAACAAAAGCTTAGCTGCCCTCTCTTTGTCACTAAATACAGGCACTATAATCACACACAACCTCTCTGTGGATCTGCGTAGCTCATTTACCCACTCCCACCACCTCCTCAAGAGGATTAGCTTTAATTTATTTGTATCAATATTTGACCAGAGACGTCCCAATTATGCTTTATTTCTCTGCTCTTTCTGGCTGGATTTAATGAGTGATTTAGTTCCAAAGTAACACTCGGCTGCATGGTTTTGTTCCAGGTCAGTGAGGTTAATATCCGCAGTGTGAGCGACATTGACAAGCCAATGTGAGCCGTATTACTCTGAGAGCTGGCAGAGTATACGTAACCATCTTAAAACAGTGGACCGGGAATAATCCCAATAATAGTCCCACTGCGGGAAAGCTTTTAAAGTTGGACCTTTCACAGCGTGATCAGAGTGAAAATACTGTGAAAAGCCCTCTTTGTGTTTTTTCTTCCAAAGCTCTTACACTGCCAAGCAGGGCCGCCAGATTCATTTCAGCAAAGATGTCAACACTGCTCCAGTGGCACGTCTAGTCCAGCTCTTTGAGAATAAAAACCTACAAGAAAATCAGCGATATGAGAATGTTTTTTCTTTTTTTTCAAGAATGACTCTCTTTGATGGTGTTTAAAGCATTTATTATGCCTGAGCGCTGTAGGTGCTGGGTCCTAGTGGCCACCTGAGAACCCTCAAAGGGTTAATAGTTGTCTGCTAAAGGAGAGAGGCATTTTAGACTACACCAGGCTGGGGGTTTCCCGAAACCACATGTAACTCGAAGCCAAGACAGCCCCAGCTTTGGTGGTTCTGGCAGCGAAAACTAGTGTTTTGAAGACGTTTAAGGAATTGAGGGAGGTCGACTTTTGGTTGGCCCAAAAGAAGGTCTGGCAAACCATGAAATTTCTCTGGAGAAGAAAACAGGACTTGGCTGAGTCTGTCCTTGGAACGGACCAGTGCTTCTGTCAAGGACTGGCAATGTTCTCCAGCCATGGATCAGCATGTCTTCTGTGGAGGGGTCAAAAGAAACCTCATTGTGTCTTTCCAGTGAAGACTGCCAAAGCATTCTTTGAAGAAAGTAGGACCATGCATGAACAACATTCACCCTAAGATGGTGGTAATTGAGCACTCTTGGCTTGGGAAATTGGTGGTTCAGGACTTTAGGGATGGGAATTCAGATTTGCATTATTGCAGATGATGAGTTCTTTCTGTGGTTTGCAGCCCTCTCTATGTACGTTGGGATGATATTTGGTATCTTCAAGTCTATGGCCATGGTAGTCCGCTGAAAGTAGGGGATAGCTTGTTGTGGTTTGAGAAGAAATAGCTGTGATGGCGTTCAGGTATCAAGGGATCATGAGTGCGGATTGATGTGGGAAAGGTGTTTCAACAGCAGCAAGTGTTGCACCAAACCCTTGTATCACAGTGGGAGGCAGACCCAGAAGGTACTGCTTTAGATTTATCACTGAGTTGATGCTTGCTCTGACCTTTGCTCATGGTTGTTAGCTTTGGTTAGTGACCGAAAGAATGGAATTCACGTTGGAGATTTGGTGGGACACCTAGAGAGTTCAAAGTCGATGAAGAAACTGTGGTTCTGGTATCTAATCATCTTCCAATTGTTGGATCTCCAGCTGGTGAGAAATCTCAGGAGAGACCCAGAATGTGTTAAAGGAATAACATCTCCGTTCTGACCTGGAGAGCCTTAGGATCCTGAGAAGAAGCTGGAAAATGCTGCTGAATAGGGACACCAAGTCTGCTACCACCAGCAAGTCCAAGATAATCAGAAGAAAAGTGATCTCAAGGTCATTTAAAAGCAAAGCAAAACTTAAGTATTGAAATGAAAACAAACACTGTTATTGTTAAAGAGGCTTTATGTATTTTAATATACTGGTTTACAAATGTACATGAGGGATGAATCCCAGATATAATCTAATGTAGCTGGAGAAATACTACACTGGCATCAAAGCAGAAGTTATAAATAATTTATGGTTTACAAGAAAACAAGGCCCATAGGAAGAGCTACTGTCCTTAAACTCTTTCCATAAATGTTTACTGTACATTCATTATTTCTCACGTGTAATTCATAACAATCCACATCATCTATAAAGACAGAAAATTGTATTTACAGATATCAAAATAAAAGTATCTTAAGTAGAGTATGAGAAACAACATTTACGGCAAAGGACTACTCAATTGTTTCTATAAAATAAAAACTAAGTTAGGAATAATTTTAACACTTTAATTAGTTCAGAAAAAAAGTCAAACTTTTAGCTTTTACAAATATATAATTTTAAAGAATGACGGCCATGAGCGCCACACAGTCTGGCACATCTGCTGCGGTCGGGTGACTCAGAAAAACTGTGTTTTTTTCTACGCTCTGCATTATTAATGACGACTTTTTCAGTGTAATTCAATTCTGTATTAACACAGAGCAGAAAAAACAGCACAAAGCACTGATGAGACATTGTTCCTGTTATAAACACTGATCCATGAGTTATGCTCCACATGATTATAAAGAATTATGCCGAGCCATCAGTTATCCTGCTCTTGTTAGACAAACAATGATCGTGTCTTTTAATTATTCAAATAGAAATCCAACAAACTGGATGGAGAGTGTCACCAAATATGTAAAAAACTATTGAATGAATGATCCAACTAAATAAATATGAACTCTTTATGAGACTAAACAACATCTCTTCCTTCTCCCCTTATGGGAGATGGCCCCGGTTGGTTGTGAAAAGCTTCTGCTCTTAGGGGTTTATCAGTGCCAGTGACTCAGCTCAGCACTGGTACATCTTCCTCCGTGTCTGCCTGAGGCTGCCGCTCTGACATGATGCCATTTAATGAGATGATTGAAATGCTGCTCTCCATCCTGTGCCCAACCTTTTGGAGTAGACTCCATCTTTGAGCTGTTCTGTAATTACAGAGGCCATGTGTTAATCTGGACATCAGGAGGCACTCGTCTTCGTCTTTGAGTATCTGAAACTATCCGCGTTGAGCAGACACCGCAGAGATAGAGAAAAATCCCAAAGTGAATCTCTGAGGAACAGTGTGGACTCAAAAAACAAAACAAAACACCTCAGTCATGTGTCTTGGGAGTTTTACAAAAGTTTGTATTCCTCTGATTTCCAACTGAGATCAACAGTTTTAGTGATAAAAGAGTCAATGTGGCGTCCCTTTCCTTCTGAGCTCCAGAGTGTGCAGGCCCTCCTGCCGACCCAGGGCATGCTGCGTGCCCACTTTGTGCGCCGTCTCTGTAGCTGTGATGTCGATTTGGGCGTACTTTGTGGAGCTTTTTCCTGTCAAGACACAAAGGAGATTTTTGTTCTAGACTTTCAAGTCAGAAGACAACCAGTGCAGAAAAATACGTCAGTAACATGCTGAAATTCTTGTTTGCTCCAACAAAACTGGCAGCAGATACAGCTGTATCCAAAGATTGAAGTTTTAAACTTTAGAAATAAAACAGGCTGTAAATGTCATGATATAACAGTTTGGCCAGAAAATCTGCTTGTGCTGTGGCTGACTAATGCAAACACTGTGGTACAAAGTTCATTTTGAGGTCTTAAGGGGTGATATTAAGTCGGAAACATACAGGATCCGTATTGAGCACGTTTCGTATTTGCTCCATAGAGCAGCATTTGGTATTGCATACAGGATGTGTATTTGGAGTGTAGCAGGAGCATAGTGCTGCCCTGGTCAGCTGGGCTCAGTATAGAGGAAACAATATGCTCATAACAGGTTGTTTTTTTCCTTTCTGTGGTCTTTTTCCGGCTAATCTGGATACAATTCAGTGACTGTTGAGCCTCTACTGTATGTGAAAAAGCAACGTGGTTTTAAAGTTTCAGTTTTTGCAGGTTTACTCTTGTTTGATACAGTAATCTACATTCCTTTATACTGTGCTGTTACCTTCAGTCAGAGTTAGTAGTTAAAAGTCCTGTTGGGGTCCACATGGATCAGGGATTGACCATAAGATTGTTCTGCATTGTGTGTTTAATTTTGAAAATACCAGATGACATGCGTGGTTTTTCGTGCTTGGCTTCCTGTCTAGGACGCTTTTCTCTGTGTGGATTGATGCGCATTGCAAGCGTAGAGCAGCAAAAATAGACTTGCCGCATATCTTGAGCAGTGCTGCTCTTGATACAATGCTGCGACGGAGCCGATATGCATCCTGTATGCTTTGCTGTATTGATTAGCTAACCTGTTCAGATACAACATGCCATATGTATTTTCACTGTCTCAAACTCAATCACGTTGCTGTCACAGCACCATTAGGTCTCGGTTGTTACCTTACGTTTATGGATTATAGTTTAATGTGCTTATCTGGTACTGGCCCCGACTCAGTACATGCTATCATGACAGACAGACATCTCAACACTAGAGTCTAATCAGAACTGAAAAACAGTCAGTCTGCTGTTGTGTCAGTCTTCTCGCTTCCACCCGGGACGCGTCTTTTTTTCCCCCGGAAAGTCGCAAAATCGCATCGGGCTCGATGTGTATAGTCAGGCGCATCAAAAAATTTGCCTCCGAATATTTCCTAATTTCGTGTCGGATATTTGCGTCGGTCCCGGTGTGCAAAGACCTTTAGTCCTGCAGTGGATGCACTTCACTGCTTCTCTGCAGATCATGCAGATAGGGAGACTTGGTCTATGAGGTGGAGACTGAAAATCACTTCGCTAATCAATGATGTTAATTCCTCCCCGTGCTAATTTAAACTATCTGACCTTCCACCTCAGCTAGCAATACTCTCCTGAGAGGTTAAAGGTCAAGATTTCAGGCACAGTTGCAGAAAATTGGGTAAATTTCTCACATATTTACATTATTTGTTGAAGAAAATTAGTCAGCAAAAGCATTAGCACAGTTCAGAGGGAAGAGGATCTTTGTCCTCTTTTAAAAAACGTCTAAAAGTTTTGCTTTGCATCATGACATGAAGCAGGAGAATATGCAAATGGTTTAGTTGAAGCCATTAAAATTCCCCTCATGTACTGTTTTCCATACGCACATCACAAGCATTGCCATAATCCAGCACCCTTCCTTATAGAGGGAAATTTTAAAAAAAGCAGCGAGTCAAGGTTTAATTGCCGAATCAGAATATTCATGAAGATCACAAAAATGAGCATCACTGCTCCGCTTTTCTCCTCCTCCACTGTGCGGTAGAGTCCAGGAAATCAAAACCCAGCTCCTAACAATACCATCAATAGCCCCAGAGGAGGATCCATCCAGTGAATTCCCAGCTGCGATCTGAATGCCCTGTGACCCCCTTCAGTGGCGAGATGGGACCCCCCTCCTCCCAGGTGACAGATTAATGGAGCCGCATGCCGGGATTTAAAGTGTGCGGCTGCCGTCAGATATTAACCTCTATCATGTTTGAGCCGGAGCGGTCCTCGTATTCCTGAGGGGCAATGACGCTAATAGCCGACTTGTCTGTCAATTACAGATCGTTTCTGCGTCTCCGATGACAAGGACAGCTGTCGTTTAGCGAGACGAGGAAATAAGAGAGCAGGTCCTTCAAATCGGAAGAATAAAATAAAATTACAGTGCAATCGAAGCTTTAAAGCTCTCCTACAATGCTGCAAAGACCAGAACAGGAGCAATAATGAGAAGTCTTTATCAGACAAATTGAGGCGGGAACATAAGGGCAGGACTGAGGTCTCTTTTGATCAGCACATGACCTGGATTCTCATGTCTAAACGGTACATTAAAAACATGCCTACATCTAATTAATTTAAGACTCTGTAACTGAAATCCTCATTAATTTTTAAAGACCAAGGATCTGAATAAGAATGCATTCAAATGACTCATCCAGTCCTGATACATGTGCAATAATTTAAGTCAACTCCACTTTATAATTGTGTCTCATGATAAAAAAGGATTTTGTATCTGCTTGATTGTTAAATTCTGCCACGAGTATAAAATATAAATATATAAGAATTATGGCGTTACAAGATAAAGCAGCAACATCAGCTGTGGAGTTCCACAAGGTTCAGTGCTCGGACTCTTGATTATTTTCACCTCATACGCTTCCTCTTAGTAATAAGGGGAAACAATTTAGAAATATTTCTTGTTATGCAGATGATACTCAATTATACCTTTCAATGGAGCCAGAGGAAACTAACCTGATAACTAAACTAGAAGCACACCTTAAAGACACAGAGACCTGGATGATCAGAGTATGACAGCAGGTCTAGACCTTGAAGAGTATGGTAGGAATGGGGGCTCAAATCAGATTCATTTTTATGACTTTGAAGCCCCGAGACTAAGCTAAGGCTCGAGGTTAGTGACTCAGCTACGGCTCTATGTTACATGTAGACTTGTAGACTACGTACTGTAAAGATTGGAGCAGTCAAAGTCATTTTCAATTTAATGGAAAAAGCTTTAAATCCCATTTACGGGTCCGTTCTGTCATGTCCACCATGTCTTTTTTTTTTTTTTTTTTTTTCTCGAGTCCTTTGATTGGTTTAAAAAAAGTCACTTTTTTCTGATCAATTTTGAAAATGTTGGGATGTCCTGATGCTCCATGGATAAGTAATATTCGCGTACTACTGTACAGTAACAACCCTACGTACTTGTAGTCGTGACAGGTACGTTAGCAGCTTTTGCTGTGACTATAAGTGAAATGAAACGGGAACAAACTAAAAGGGAGTTTAAACGTAGAGGGTGTCGGTCTAAAACCTGAACAAACTCCTCAAGGAGCTTCAGCTGCTGACTTTCTTATTTTATATTTATCCTTACTCTGGGGTGGGAAATGAGGAACGGTCCCCCAGGTCCCGGGACCCGGCTCCTGCAGCTCCAGCTCCATGTAGTTAAGCTGCTTCTTGGACGTGGGGCTAATAGGAATATTCACGTACGTCACACCTTCACTGCGAGGCCTTTCAGGAAGCGGGGCCTCTGGGGGGAAAACGAACACTGCTCCTGTCAGTGTAAGAGGAAGAACATGTTAATGAAGCTCAAGAGGAGAGAGCTGGCCATGTGTCTGTGTAGCGCTCCTTTTTTATCTGAAGTGTAAACAGTCCTTATTATCATGAAATCCCACCGGAGAGTAAAACTAACAAATGATGTACACTCTGTCCTTGGAATAGCAGTCTTATTATGGATCCAGATGCCAAAACCCTTGACTCCGTGAAAATCATGACAAACATTTCAAAGAGCCTCTTAGTTGAATATAAAAGACTTACTCTTCATTATAGTGAAAATAGGAAGTTTCCCTCAGGAATTTACGCTCATTTCTACTACTGCTATGTTAATCCTAACAACATTTGTCTCTTTGATGCAATAGTTTGACTCTCATGTACTAAGAAATCACTGCATGGTTTTCCTTTTTTAACTATTAACGTTATTTAAAGTTGAACTTTTTGTTTTGTCATTGTGAGTTTCATCAAAACTTTCATTTAAATACTGTGCCGAAGTAACCTTAATTATAAGCTGATAGATTTCCCATAAAGATATTGGAGCCTAATCCTGATGCTAATTACACTTCTTTAAATCTAAGCATGTGAGATTAGGTGATATTAAAGCACAGCAGCAGATACAGGATAAGCGGCTCCACTTTAGCAGCGTGTCTAAATGCCTTTTCTCCCCAGTGGCTAATCGTGCATATCAGGCTATTAGGCCTTTGAAATGAATTATAAGACACACTTCGTCTTAATGTGTTATGAGGTACACCTCTAACCTGCTGCCCTTTTAAATTGCAGCAGCAAGAAGTTGGATATTTGATAAAGAGGGTACATTTAGGTGTGTTTACTGACCTGAATTCAATTTTTCCCCAGGCTAAAATTTTACTTTAACGTTGTTTGATACTTATTTTTCCGTAAATGGGAAACCCACAGAATTCTTCACCTTGATGGCCGCCCGCCTACAGCTCAGCTTAAATCGCTAATAAGCACAAGCAGGATGATAGTCTCGATAAAACAGCTCATAGCTCAGGTGCCCATGAAAGTGATCAACAGCGGAAAAAGGTGTGAAACAAAGCTAACAGGATATGTCGCCTCAACCCTTTTCAAATGAATGGCTTTTCCTGTCAAACACACAAATTACAGCCCCGTGGTGCCCAAAGTGCGCCGTATGTGCGTGATTTATTGTTCCTGACACATGGTTTACCTGTCATAAACCTGAGAGCACGCTCAGGTTCAGCGCCGGCTGGTAGTGAAGCGCTGAAAGGCTCGATGTTTAGATAAGAGAGTTTCTCAACAGCTGCATAAAAATGTGCCTAATGGAGCTCCTTGACACACATATGCTCGGAGCATTTTTAAAAGCATATATGTACCATGACAGCGAAGAAAGCCACAACCTTTGAAGAAGAGGACAAAAGCACCAAGGAGAGCTGAGACATCTGCATAATTTAGATGCTTCTTATCTCCCGTGGGGATAGAAGTTTCTAAAATGCAAAAACATAACCCTTTTCCCCCAAACAGTGAGGCAAACAGCTGTTATTGATGTTATCTGGGGCGAACAAACCTTTTTCTGAATAACACAAATAAATGGAAAAACTGAGATAACAGTTTTTCTTGTTATCTTCTGCAGCAATGTTCACATGTAGCATGTAGATTGTGTATTACATCAATCAAATATGGCCATGGTGTTTTGGGGGGATTTTCTTTTACATCAATGAGCTCTTTTAGTATTCAAAATGAGTTAGTCAGAAGTTGGATGAGAACATCTTGGGGCCAGTTGCATAAACTCTGAATGAATTTCTGATGGAAATACATCATTTGATGACCAGCTGTTGGGTTCTTATTGGCTGTTGCTCACTTGAAATGAATGAAAGCAAGAACTGGCAACTGCTGGATAACTAAAACTACCACTGCAATAGAGGCTTAGAGTAATCTAAAGGGGGGCATACAGCTAACTAAGCCTTATCTGAGTGCATCAACATGGTGAGAAACAGACAGCCAGCAGTGTGAAAACATGCCTGTTAAAAACAGGACTCCATCCAACCAGTAACATGTATCTGCAGTGAGTTAATGTTAGGTAGTTTTCATATTTCCTGTAATAATTTTAGACTTTAAGTGTATTTTGGAAAGGCTACAATGCTCCTGATTATCACTGCGATATGCAACAAGAGACAGTTTTCCCAACTTTATGTTGCTCAGAATATGACTGAAGACCAAATAGCAAATCTAACATACAGAGAACCAATCCCCAGGCTCAGCCTGACGACCTTAACAAAGAAAAGCTGCTCTGCTAAAAATGTCATAAAATAGTATGATAAAAATGTCAAGGTATAGTTTGAAAAAAGTATCAAAGTATAGTATGATAAAAATATGGTATAGAATAATAAAATGTTAAAGTATAGTGTGATAAAAAAATGTGATAATATAGAATGAAGAAATATCAACGTATAGTTTAATAAAAATTCCATAGTATAGTATGTTAAAGATGTCATACTACATTACGAAAAGAAAAAATCATAGTATAGTATGATAAAACCGCACAGCAAAAAATGTAAAAAATATTTATAGTACAAAAATCACAGTTAAGTATGATAAAAATATAATTTTTACAGGTAGTGTTGGTTTCTGATGTCCTTTCCTCTCCTCTTCCCCCCTTTCCTCTCGCTTTCTCTCTACCTCTTCTGAAGGCTGGAGTGGTGGATTGAATGCATCGGTGGCAGCAATCAGGAGTCAGCCTTGAGAAGGAGGAGAGCAGTCGGCTGGTCTCTCTCTGGAGCAGATTAAGTGAAGAACCAAAGGAGTTTGTTGTGTGGAAAAACTTTGTTTTCAGTGGAAGTCCTCTCAGTTTTTAAGGGTTATCTTCGATACTTCTGGCTACTTAATCTAAGATTTTGATCAAGATGAGTTTGTTTTTTGTTCTAATTATTAAATAAATTTCAGCACCCTTTGAAAGTTCCTGTCTCCCTCCTCATTCCTGGGTTTTTTCTTGAATGATTGTTATTTCCCCTTTATACCCTATTTTGGGGAATGTAACAACCATGGTATAGTATGTTAAAATTGTCAAGTTTAAGTTAAATTTTTTTTTCTTAAAATTCGTTTTATATTTTAGAAAAAAAATAATAGATGCAATAGTAAAGGATGATAAAAATGTCATAGTATAGTATGTTAAAAATTTTCAAATTTTAGTGTGAAAAAGAATTTCATGTTTTAGATTTAAAATATATCACATAGTTTATCATGATAAAAATGTCATAGTATAGTATGTTGAAATTTTCAAATATAGCCTGAAAAAAAAATCCTTAATTTAGTGGAAAAATAAATGTCATAGTAGAGTATGATAAAAATGTCATAGTATAGTATGGTAAAATGTTAAAATTTTAGTGTGAAAAAAATTTTATATTTTAGAATGAAAATAAATGCCATGGTATAGTATGAGAAAAATGTCATAGTATAGTATGTTGAAATATTCAAATATAGTGTGAAAATTTTTTTAATAATTTAGTGGAAAAATAAATGCCATAGTATAGTATGAGAAAAATGTCATAATATAGTATGTTGAAATGTTAAAATTTTAGTGTGAAAAAAATTTAATATTTTAGAATGAAAATAAATGCCATGGTATAGTATGTTAAAATGTCATAGTATAGTATGTTAAAAAATTCAAATTTTAGTGTAACAAATTCTTTTTTATTTTTGAAAGAAAATAGATGCAATAGTCAAGGATGACCAAAATGTCATAGTATAGTGTGTCAAAATTTTCAAATTTTAGTTTGAAAAAAAATTTAATATTTTAGAATAAAAATAAATGCCATGGTATAGTATGATAAAAATTGTCATAGTATATGTTGAAATGTTAAAATTTTAGTGTGAAAAAAATTTAATATTTTAGAATAAAAATAAATGCCATGGTATAGTATCAGAAAAATGTCATATAGTATGTTGAAATGTTAAAATTTTAGTATGAAAAAAATTTCATATTTTAGAATGAAAATAAATGCCATGGTATAGTATGAGAAAAAATGTCATAGTATAGTATGTTGAAATTTTCAAATATAGTGTGAAAAAAAAATTCCTTAATTTAGTGGAACAATAAATGCCATAGTATAGTATGATAAAAATGTCATAGTATAGTATGTTAAAATGTTAAAATTTTAGTGTGAAAAAAATTAAATATTTTAGAATGAAAATAAATGCCATGGTATAGTATGATAAAAATGTCATAGTATAGTATGTTACAATTTTAAAATTTTAGTGTGAAAAAAATTTAATATTTTAGAATGAAAATAAATGCCATGGTATAGTATGAGAAAAATGTCATAGTATAGTATGTTGAAATGTTAAAATTTTAGTGTGAAAAAAATTTAATATTTTAGAATGAAAATAAATGCCATGGTAAAGTATGAGAAAAATGTCATAGTATAGTATGTTAAAATTTTCAAATATAGTGTGAAAAAAAAATTCCTTAATTTAGTGGAAAAATAAATGCCATGGTATAGTATGATAAAAATGTCATAGTATAGTATGTTGAAATGTTAAAATTTCAGTGTGAAAAAAATTTAATATTTTAGAATGAAAATAAATGCCATGGTATAGTATGAGAAAAATGTCATAGTATAGTATGTTAAAATTTTCAAATATAGTGTGAAAAAAAATTCCTTAATTTAGTGGAAGAATAAATACCATAGTATAGTATGATAAAAATGTCGTAGTATAGTATGTTGAAATGTTAAAATTTCAGTGTGAAAAAAATTTAATATTTTAGAATGAAAATAAATGCCATGGTATAGTATGATAAAAATGTCATAGTATAGTATGTTAAAATTTTAAAATTTTAGTGTGAAAAAAATTTAATATTTTAGAATGAAAATAAATGCCATGGTATAGTATGAGAAAAATGTCATAGTATAGTATGTTGAAATGTTAAAATTTTAGTGTGAAAAAAATTTAATATTTTAGAATGAAAATAAATGCCATGGTATAGTATGAGAAAAATGTCATAGTATAGTATGTTGAAATTTTCAAATATAGTGTAGAAAAAAAAAATTCTTTAATTAAGTGGAAGAATAAATGCCATAGTATAGTATGATAAAAATGTCATAGTATAGTATGTTGAAATGTTAAAATTTCAGTGTGAAAAAAATTTAATATTTTAGAATGAAAATAAATGCCATGGTATAGTATGAGAAAAATGTCATAGTATAGTATGTTAAGATTTTCAAATATAGTGTGAAAAAAAATTCCTTAATTTAGTGGAAAAATAAATACCATAGTATAGTATGATAAAAATGTCATAGTATAGTATGTTAAAATGTTAAAATTTTAGTGTGAAAAAAATTTTATATTTTAGAATGAAAATAAATGCCATGGTATAGTATGAGAAAAAATGTCATAGTATAGTATGTGAAAATTTTCAAATATAGTGTGACAAAAAATTCCTTAATTAAGTAGAAAAATAAATGCCATTGTATAGTATGATAAAAATGTCATAGTATAGTATGTTAAAATGTTAAAATTTTAGTGTGAAAAAAATTTAATATTTTAGAATGAAAATAAATGCCATGGTATAGTATGTTAAAATGTCATAGTATAGTATGTTTAATGTTAAAATTTTAGTGTGAAAAAATTTTATATTTTAAGTGAAAATAAATGCCATGGTATAGTATGAGAAAAAATGTCATAGTATAGTATGTTAAAATGTTAAAATTTTAGTGTGAAAAAAATTAAATATTTTAGAATGAAAATAAATGCCAATGGTATAGTATGAGAAAAATGTCATAGTATAGTATGTTGAAATTTCCAAATATAGTGTAGAAAAAAAAAATTCTTTAATTAAGTGGAAGAATAAATGCCATAGTATAGTATGATAAAAATGTCATAGTTTAGTATGTTGAAATGTTAAAATTTCAGTGTGAAAAAAATTTAATATTTTAGAATGAAAATAAATGCCATGGTAAAGTATGAGAAAAATGTCATAGTATAGTATGTTGAAATTTCCAAATATAGTGTAGAAAAAAAAATTCTTTAATTAAGTGGAAGAATAAATGCCATAGTATAGTATGATAAAAATGTCATAGTATAGTATGTTGAAATGTTAAAATTTCAGTGTAAAAAAAATTTAATATTTTAGAATGAAAATAAATGCCATGGTAAAGTTTGAGAAAAATGTCATTGTATAGTATGTTAAAATTTTCAAATATAGTGTGAAAAAAAAATTCCTTAATTTAGTGGAAAAATAAATGCCATAGTATAGTATGATAAAAATTGTCATAGTATAGTATGTTGAAATTTTCAAATATAGTGTAGAAAAAAAAATTCTTTAATTAAGTGGAAGAATAAATGCCATGGTATAGTATGATAAAAATGTCATAGTATAGTATGTTGAAATGTTATAATTTTAGTGTGAAAAAAATTTAATATTTTAGATTGAAAATAAATGCCATGGTATAGTATGAGAAAAATGTCATAGTATAGTATGTTGAAATTTTCAAATATAGTGTGAAAATTTTTTTAATAATTTAGTGGAAAAATAAATGCCATAGTATAGTATGAAAAAAATGTCATAGTATAGTTTGTTAAAAAATTCAAATTTTAGTGTGACAAATTCTTTTTTATTTTTGAAAGAAAATAGATGCAATAGTCAAGGATGACCAAAATGTCATAGTATAGTGTGTCAAAATTTTCAAATTTTAGTTTGAAAAAAAATTTAATATTTTAGAATAAAAATAAATGCCATGGTATAGTATGATAAAAATTGTCATAGTATATGTTGAAATGTTAAAATTTCAGTGTGAAAAAAATTTAATATTTTAGAATGAAAATAAATGCCATGGTATAGTATGAGAAAAATGTCATAGTATAGTATGTTGAAATGTTAAAATTTTAGTATGAAAAAAATTTCATATTTTAGAATGAAAATAAATGCCATGGTATAGTATGAGAAAAATGTCATAGTATAGTATGTTGAAATTTTCAAATATAGTGTGAAAAAAAATTCCTTAATTTAGTGGAAAAATAAATGCCATAGTATAGTATGATAAAAATGTCATAGTATAGTATGTTAAAATGTTAAAATTTTAGTGTGAAAAAAATTAAATATTTTAGAATGAAAATAAATGCCATGGTATAGTATGAGAAAAATGTCATAGTATAGTATGTTAAAATGTTAAAATTTTAGTGTGAAAAAAATTTAATATTTTAGAATGAAAATAAATGCCATGGTATAGTATGAGAAAAATGTCATAGTATAGTATGTTGAAATGTTAAAATTTTAGTGTGAAAAAAATTTAGTATTTTAGATTGAAAATAAATGCCATGGTATAGTATGAGAAAAATGTCATAGTATAGTATGTTGAAATTTTCAAATATAGTGTAGAAAAAAAATTTAATATTTTAGAATGAAAATAAATGCCATGGTATAGTATGATAAAAATGTCATAGTATAGTATGTTAAAATTTTCAAATATAGTGTGAAAAAAAAATTCCTTAAATTAGTGGAAAAATAAATGTCATAGTAGAGTATGAGGAAAATTGTCATAGTATAGTATGTTAAAATGTTAAAATTTTAGTGTGAAAAAAATTAAATATTTTAGAATGAAAATAAATGCCATGGTATAGTATGAAAAAAGTTTCATAGTATAGTATGTTTAATGTTAAAATTTCAGTGTGAAAAAAATTAAATATTTTAAGTGAAAATAAATGCCATGGTATAGTATGAGAAAAATGTCATAGTATAGTATGTTAAAATTTTCAAATATAGTGTGAAAAAAAATTCCTTAATTTAGTGGAAAAATAAATGCCATAGTATAGTATGATAAAAATGTCATAGTATAGTATGTTAAAATGTTAAAATTTCAGTGTGAAAAAAATTTAATATTTTGAAATGAAAATAAATGCTATGGTATAGTATGAGAAAAAATGTCATAGTATAGTATGTGAAAATTTTCAAATATAGTGTGAAAGAAAAATTCCTTTATTTAGTGGAAAAATTAATGCCATAGTATAGTATGATAAAAATGTCATAGTATAGTATGTTAAAATGTTAAAATTTAGTGTGAAAAAAATTAAATATTTTAGAATGAAAGTAAATGCCATGGTATAGTATGATAAAAATGTCATAGTATAGTATGTTAAAATGTTAAAATTTTAGTGTGAAAAAAATTTAATATTTAAGAATGAAAATAAATGCCATGGTATAGTATGATAAAAATGTCATAGTATAGTATGTTGAAATGTAAAAATTTTAGTGTGAAAAAAATTTAATATTTTAGAATGAAAATAAATGCCATAGTATAGTATGATAAAAATTGTCATAGTATAGTATGTTGAAATTTTCAAATATAGTGTAGAAAAAAAAATTCTTTAATTAAGTGGAAGAATAAATGCCATGGTATAGTATGATAAAAATGTCATAGTATAGTATGTTGAAATGTTATAATTTTAGTATGAAAAAAATTTCATATTTTAGAATGAAAATAAATGCCATGGTATAGTTTGAGAAAAAATGTCATAGTATAGTATGTTGAAATTTTCAAATATAGTGTGAAAAAAAATTCCTTAATTTAGTGGAAAAATAAATGCCATAGTATAGTATGATAAAAATGTCATAGTATAGTATGTTAAAATGTTAAAATTTTAGTGTGAAAAAAATTAAATATTTTAGAATGAAAATAAATGCCATGGTATAGTATGATAAAAATGTCATAGTATAGTATGTTAAAATGTTAAAATTTTAGTGTGAAAAAAATTTAATATTTTAGAATGAAAATAAATGCCATGGTATAGTATGAGAAAAATGTCATAGTATAGTATGTTGAAATGTTAAAATTTTAGTGTGAAAAAAATTTAGTATTTTAGATTGAAAATAAATGCCATGGTATAGTATGAGAAAAATGTCATAGTATAGTATGTTGAAATTTTCAAATATAGTGTAGAAAAAAAAAATTCTTTAATTAAGTGGAAGAATAAATGCCATAGTATAGTATGATAAAAATGTCATAGTATAGTATGTTAAAATTTTCAAATATAGTGTGAAAAAAAAATTTAATATTTTAGAATGAAAATAAATGCCATGGTATAGTATGATAAAAATGTCATAGTATAGTATGTTAAAATTTTCAAATATAGTGTGAAAAAAAAATTCCTTAAATTAGTGGAAAAATAAATGTCATAGTAGAGTATGAGGAAAATTGTCATAGTATAGTATGTTAAAATGTTAAAATTTTAGTGTGAAAAAAATTAAATATTTTAGAATGAAAATAAATGCCATGGTATAGTATGAAAAAAGTTTCATAGTATAGTATGTTTAATGTTAAAATTTCAGTGTGAAAAAAATTTAATATTTTAAGTGAAAATAAATGCCATGGTATAGTATGAGAAAAATGTCATAGTATAGTATGTTAAAATTTTCAAATATAGTGTGAAAAAAAATTCCTTAATTTAGTGGAAAAATAAATGCCATAGTATAGTATGATAAAAATGTCATAGTATAGTATGTTAAAATGTTAAAATTTCAGTGTGAAAAAAATTTAATATTTTGAAATGAAAATAAATGCCATGGTATAGTATGAGAAAAAATGTCATAGTATAGTATGTGAAGATTTTCAAATATAGTGTGAAAGAAAAATTCCTTTATTTAGTGGAAAAATTAATGCCATAGTATAGTATGATAAAAATGTCATAGTATAGTATGTTAAAATGTTAAAATTTAGTGTGAAAAAAATTTAATATTTTAGATTGAAAATAAATGCCATGGTATAGTATGATAAAAATGTCATAGTATAGTATGTTAAAATGTTAAAATTTTAGTGTGAAAAAAATTTAATATTTAAGAATGAAAATAAATGCCATGGTATAGTATGAGAAAAATGTCATAGTATAGTATGTTGAAATGTAAAAATTTTAGTGTGAAAAAAATTTAATATTTTAGAATGAAAATAGATGCCATAGTATAGTATGATAAAAATGTCATAGTATAGTATGTTGAAATGTTAAAATTTCAGTGTGAAAAAAATTTAATATTTTAGATTGAAAATAAATGCCATGGTATAGTATGAGAAAAATGTCATAGTATAGTATGTTAAAATTTTCAAATATAGTGTGAAAAAAAATTCCTTAATTTAGTGGAAAAATAAATACCATAGTATAGTATGATAAAAATGTCATAGTATAGTATGTTAAAATGTTAAAATTTTAGTGTGAAAAAAATTTTATATTTTAGAATGAAAATAAATGCCATTGTATAGTATGAGAAAAAATGTCATAGTATAGTATGTGAAAATTTTCAAATATAGTGTGAAAAATATTTTCATAATTTAGTGGAAAAATAAATGCCATAGTATAGTATGATAAAAATGTCATAGTATAGTATGTTAAAATGTTTAAATTTTAGTGTGAAAAAAAAATTATATTTTAGAATGAAAATAAATGCCATGGTATAGTATGAGAAAAATGTCATAGTAAAGTATGATGAAATTTTTTAAATATAGTATGAAAAAAAATTTCATAATTTAGTGGAAAAATAAATGCCATGGTATAGTATGATAAAAATGTCATAGTATAGTATGTTAAAATTTTAAAATTTTAGTGTGAAAAAAATTTCATATTTTAGATTTAAAATATATCCCATAGTATAGTATGATAAAAATGACATAGTATAGTATGTTGAAATTTTCAAATATAGTGTGAAAAAAAATTCCATAATTTAGTGTAAAAATAAATGCCTTTGTATAGTATGATAAAAATGTCATAGTATAGTATGTTAAAAATTTCCTTTTTTTAGTGTGAAAATTCTTTTAATATTTTAGCAAGAAAATAAATGCCATAGTATAGGATGATAAAAATGTCATAGTATATAATGTATACATTTTTAGTATGATAAAAATATAGTAGAGTATATAGTACAGTATAAAAAATATATATTAAAGTTAATTATAAAACTAAATTATAGTATAGTATGTTGAAATATCATAGTACAGTATGATAAAATGTCATAGTATCGTATGAAAAAATATTTCCTTATGAAAAAAATGTCACAGTATGGTATGTTAAAAAAATATAGTTAAGCATGATAAACATATTAAAGTACAATAAAATATCATAATACAGTTTGATAAAATATTTCACAGAATAGCATGAAAAAAAATACTATTGAATACCAAGTACTATTGAATGAAAAAATGTTGTAGTATTGTATGTTAATAAATCATAGGTACATGTGGTAAAATTATCGTAGTATAGTACGATAAAATTTCAAAGTATAGTATAATAGAACATAGTATGATAAAAATATCTTTGTATGGTTTGATAAATATGCCATAGTGTAGTGTGATAAAAATGCCATAGTATTGTATGACAAAAAGATCACATTATGGTAGCTCACTGCTGCAAACAGTAACACTGCAGTGGCTGTAAACTCCGGCATGGATCCACATCTTCTACTCTTGCAGCAGTGTTGTGATTACATGACCATGTATATGCAGCCCAGTAATGTCCATACAGCAGAAAAGGTAAACTCTGGGGTTAAAGAAAAGCTATCTGACCTGCTATTGACTCAACCTAAATGGCAGCAGGCAGCAACTATTACCCACAGCTGAGAAGCACCGACCCCAAGGGAGTTCATCCAATCAGTGGGAAGCCATTAGATGCCAGCAGAGTCTCTGCGGGTGCAGCCTTTGACAACGTCTTGAAGCTCTGATACCTAATTGATCAGACAGCAAGCAGCCCTAGCAGTAATGTGGGCTTTTCTAATGGCTGTCATTATAATGGTGGGTTTGCCCACAGCTATGAGGCTTAGGGACCTTCATATAGTTCACTTTGCAAAGCCACATGGGGTGTTGCTCAAGGGGATACCTGGCTGAGCTTGGCGACCCAGACTCACAGAGTCAACTGCTTCCTTAGGGGAAAACATGGGGTCTAATGACAGCTGTGTTTTCAGGGTCTCCTGTCAGAGCTGGTTTCCAACCCTTTCTTGTAGACAGATATGGAGGCAAAGGTGGGAACAGGAGAAAACTGAACCCGAGGGAGTTGTGAATTTACTAAGGCATGCTGGGCCTTGAACAAGCATGGATGTGCTGCTGGAAAGGCATATGATAAACAAAACCTCAAGAGATGAAAAATGAAAAATGGATGTGGGAAAAAGTAATCCTATCGTACAAAAAAACCAGCACAGAGCAGTAAAAGTGAAGGTGTTTTCGTTGTGCAGCAAACATCCAGTGATGCCGACTGTTTCGACACAAAATACGTGATCCTGGAGACGTCCTCGTAGCTACAAGCTGAAAGAAAGCATGTCGCTACCACTTTTCAAAGGGGCAATTACACTTCTGTCAATGATTAGATCTTAGGACAAGTCCTGTTAAATCGCCTCATTGAGCTATGACAATGATATCTTGACTTAACAGTGCATGCAAACGTACTGATTGTATGATGAGGCTCAGACTGTCTTCACTGCATGCATCTGTGTCTCATGTACGAAAGCTAAAAATTTTAGCAGGAAAATCCCACTATCTGACTCCTACTATGAGTCACTTTAAACACCAAGCAGATGGTATGTGACATGAAACGATGCGAGAAGAGCTCTCACCAGCAGAGACCTCTTCACTTGCACACTAGATTAACCTTCACGTCTCAAAACGAAATGTTTCCAAACAACTTAAACATCACATGGGAAACTGTTCTGCACCTTTCAGTGGCCATCGAGCAAGCATCCTAACATAAACCCCCCCCCTGCACATCCCGTCCATTAAGTGCTCGCTGATGCAGCATGATGGGGAGGATGGCGCAGAGCTGTACTGTGAGTGTGTAAAGGTACATAAGCATGAGTGACAGGTTTGGAGCCCCACGGTGACAGTTGTCAGGTCTTTCTAGAGCAGGTGTGTTTCTGGGCGTAAGGTACTTAAGTGGCCGAGCGTCCCCTGACAACTGTCCTCTCACCTCACGTCAGGGCAGGTAACCTCACACGCACCGCTGCACCCTCTCTTTGGTTTCATATCTGGGTGTTTCCTCCTGACAAATGGGTTCTTATGTAACTCAGGTTTACAGTGTTACATAAAACACAGATGAAGGAAGAAATAAAGGTTCGACCCACATGGAGCTCTCTGCTTCACGATGTCATAAAGTCTGAGCAACAACTAAAGCGGTGAGTAAAGCCAAGAAACACAGCAAATGTTCCTTAAGAAGTATTCAATATAACTTTATGAGTCAGAGAAGGAAAGACATAAAAACAGATATAAGGCTAATGTCCTGAAAACAAGTTCATGCGCTTAACTTACTTGGTCCAAGCTTTTGTCAGGAGTTTGATTGTTACAAATCTGATTAAAACAGATAGCAATTTTTTTTAATCAAACACACTTCTATAATTTGATATACGATCATAGACTGTATATACTATGGACAAATTGGTTCCGCCTTCCGCCTGTAAACGGATTTGAAGCTGAAAAGCTCTCTGTAATTCTGCGTTTTTTCTCCATTTCCTGAAACCAACATTGCGCAGTAGCGTTGTACGCACTCCACCACTTGCGCAGTAGCATTGTACGCATTTGGCAGGAGAGTTTCAAACAGCGTATCCCTCGGTTGAGCTACGCAATCCTTGAACCCCCTAATAACTTTTAAAAATGAAGCTGCAGAGAAAACAAGGAGGACTTGAGCACAAACCAGTCTGGGCTTCACCCAGCGAGGAGGCGGACGCTGTCCATTCTAAATACAGTCTATGCATACAATACATTTCTTTGTCCACAGGGGGCGCCAAACTCAACAGAAATTGAGGCTTTAAAATTTGATCAAATGGATCGAAATGAACCCGCTAACTTCCAGGTTAAAGTATTTATAGCCAGTAGCAGCAGCAACAGTGCTTTTTAGAACATAAAGACAGAATTACAGCTTGAATAATATAACGGTATCAAATTGTGGATTTGATGATGGAAGCTGATTCTGACTTTACATGCAGCTTGTTCAGCTGGCTCAGCTAATCAAGAAGAACAAGAAGGTTTTTCATTATTATTCCCAGAGGAGAATTTTAATTCTCACTCTGTTATTGTATATACAACACCCACACATATCAAGAGATGCATATGCAAGCACAAACAGGGTCCTGTGGACGTGTGGAGGTATGAAAGTCAGGGGGCTACACATTTAAGTTTGGTGCCTTGCTCAAGGGTACCTTAGCAGTGGAAGTAAGCTCTCTATCAAGCTTATTTTTATACTCCTGGACTCGGACTGGTGACCCTCGGGTTCCAAAGCCAAGTCCCTGTAGAGTCTGTACAGTACATAGTATCCACAGGAAGCCGCTTCATGTATACAACTCACCATCCACGTCACAGAGTGTTACTCTGTTTAAAATCACGTAAACACTCTGTAAGTGGTGTTCATGCCTGTTCCGAACATTACTCTTGTTGATGTCGCGCCTCTCGCCAGACTTATTATTTCATGTTATTGTTATTTTTAATAAGCTTTGTTTTATTCTCCTTTGATTCAAGTCACACACAGAGCAACAGGTTCATAGCTGGTGTTTGAGTCATCACTTTTATTCTCTTCCTCCTGTGAGTGGGTCCTGGCTATTGTTAAGTACATTGCTGAAAATGGTCCAAAAAAGGCCCATTTGTAGAAAAAAAATCCACTCGGATGCAACAATTTGCATAAATTTACCTGTCTGGGTGTAAAAATTACAGCAATTTTTATGCAAATATCTGAACAGCGGCCTCACTCACCTTCAGTTTCCTGCAGCAACCTCTGCTGACCACAGCTGCCCATCAACTCATACTTGCTCTTTTCTTCAGCCTGAAAGACACACAGATGGCCAACAACTGTTGATTATAGTTTGCAGTGAGCGACAAGCAAATTACTCAATTACATAACCATGAGGAGGACTCTCTCTTCAACAGCTCAGTGGACTCGTCAGGAGTATTTATAGTGAAGTATTTACCGAGCGTCTAGCGTGTGGAAAGACTGTCTGCAATGCCTCATGGTTATGGGAGGATAGCTGCGCCTTTTAAATCGCGGCCACATAATCTCTGATTCCAGACAGCCACTGTAAGCACGGCTGTTGTGGTGTGAAAATTGGAGGTGGAGTGCAGCCATATTGCTTTCAGTCTGACTGAGAAACCACAAAGAGGGAATCCTTGATGGGACCATCATCATTTTGAGAATGAATGAAGCCATTACAGAGAAGAGACAATGTCTGCGCTAATGAGCGTCAACTAATGATAATAATAAGACGAGTAGATCTCTTTGCAGCAGGAGGAACTAACAGTTCTTAGAATTGGATTTTAATCATAATTGTGGTTAATATGATGGCGCCCAAAGGGTTCAATAGGAGGAGTCCTGTTATGCAAGACTTAAAATGACATTAATTAAATGATCTTTATTTAGTCCAAAAAAAAATTGTGTTCTGCACTTTCTTTGTCTGTCATGAGTAAATCGACAGGACAGCTAGCATTTGGCATTAGGGGACGATTTGCTTTTTTGAAATGGGTACTCTCAAATTGACTACAGACGATTAAATCCTACAAAAATACGGAAAACAAATGAGCTTTCTGACAGCAAAGGAAAAACATCTAAACAGAGAGGGCAGAGTGTGTATTCACACCAGCGTTGGTGTTTGGGTTGGACTTTCTCTGAGGGTAATACACGCAGGTCCGTGTATTATCCATCTATTCAATTATTCCATTCAGTCTAGTAAACGAAAAAACGAGTCAATATTTTGTTTATTTGTTTTTCTATATAACCAAAAAATAAAAAATAAGTGTTTGTTGTTGGATTTTCAGTTCAAAACAGAATATATAATAGAGATGGAAACAAAAACAAAATAATAAATCTACTTTTCATTCCCGGGTTACTGATGTCCTCATTTCCCATAGTGCCTTTCTACTGTTCACATATGTGTATTGGCAACAAAATAGCCAAAAAAGTGGACCAAAAACTCCAGGCCAGAGCGGTAGAGAAAGGCTAACCTGCTGTCATGGAGATGGATGCATCCTAAATATTTTCCAAAGGAGGAAGATTAAATTACAACCAGAGCTTCGTTACAACGTAAGATTTTGGCGCTGGAACCGCTCTGTCGCATCTTTTGCCATGGTAACTGCCGCTGAGGATCATGTAGCCTCCATGCACGTATGCTCAAAACAGGTGCACTCAAAATCAACAACGCTTTGTTTCCATCTCTATTATGTATTCTGTTTTCAGAAACAAACAAAACAAACAAAAACAAACACTTAGTTTTCATTTTTTGGTTATAGAGAAAAACAAATAAACAAAATATTGACTCATGTTTTCGTTTTTCAATTACTAGTTGGAATGGAATGATTGAATTGATGGATAATACATGGACCCACTCACCATCAACAATACCAAAGAGAGACATTAAAGATATCAAGGTTTGTTTACTTAGAGGCACAGCTAACTTGACAGACAAGTAGGCGCAATTTAGCAGTTAGCGAGGACGCTAAAGGCCGACCTCTTGGTATGTTGACAGAAAGTCGCTTTAAGTCAGACTTTAAAAGTCCTTATAAATGTGTGACATTACTGAGACTGAGTCCATGTGGTATACAGCCTACAGTCTGTTGCCTGTCTTTATGCTACATCTGTGGTCTAACAAAACACTTAGAATCAAACTTCATCTCATCAACTGAGGAACTCCTCTGAGAATAAAGAGTCTCATTCAGGCTGAAAACCTCTGCGATGATTTCAGCTCATTACAGACACAATCCTGACTCTCTCCAGAGTTCGATCCTACAAACTGGCCAAGATATAAAAACGTCAAAATGCTGATGAACACAATTTTTCATGTTCAGTTTCAGGTATTACTTGAACCTCCTTTATAACTCTACCACAATAAGCCGCTATTCACTTTTTATAATCCCCATCAATAACAGACGTTTCCCGGAAATGTTTAGCTGAACTCGGAGCACAAAGACTCTAACAGTCAAAATGTGAGAGTTGTTGATAGCATAAAGCGGATTAGAGAGTTTTGGATTAGCCTACCTCTGAGTTCCTCTCCAGCGCTCGACTCTCCATGATCTCATAAGCAGGATCAGCTCTGCGTCTTTCCTCTCTATTATGAGGCCTTTTGTCTGGTGGGAGAGAAAATGCAAAAATATAAGAAACCTAAGTAGAGTTTAATGTGCCAATAGCCGAGGGAGGAAATAAACCCCCACAGTGCTTTTTTTAAATGATTTTTTTTGTGGGATTGATACTGCTGCTCTCTGAGCAGAAATATATGAATTCCTGCAGATCCAAAGATGGAGACGGATGAAAGTAAATTGATTTATCAACACAAACTGTGGCACAGCATGAAATAACAGATCAGTTTGGATAAAATATGAGGGACAGATAGAATCAAAACCTGCATGCTGGTTAAGATTCAACATGCAGAAGAGTGTTAAGAGGAAAATCTGAATGATAAGAGACGTGCTTGTTTTGAAAATACCATCAAAAACTGAGAATTAAAGACATCAAAGTCTCTTCTGGCTGATCTCTTCTGCTGATGTGCAAATGATGGACGTCCTTGACTTTTGTGCATTACAAATAATATAAAGGAGTATTTCAAAATTATGTTCAGGGCACTTTTATTGTTGTGTACTTAAATTTCTGGTATGTTGTACATCTGCATTAAACTTATATCATGTAGTCGACTTTTATTGATATAAACAACAAAAACACAGGTCTGTAGCATCAGCCTGCAATAAACTAATAAACTTAGTGTTGGAGCCAAAAAGCCTGTTTTTTAATCTCTATATGAAACACCGTGCTGCATATATGCATATATGTTAATGCAGTTTTTACACTGAACAGCAGGTGGAGCTTTGGCTCAAAATGAGCATGAAGTCGAGGGTCGAGGTGATTGAAACCAGGTGTGAAGAAGCAAGTTAGCATCACTTCATATGAGTTTGACATTCTCTGATCATAGACTTGATTATAACAAATGGAATCCAGATATAATAAGAGTTGTAAATAAATGTATCCTAACTGGAGGAGCTTACGACACATTTAATCATAAGCCGGTTGGATTTGCGTTAAACGAGACAAAGTTTCATTGAGAAACTGCTTAAAATAATATCTGAGGAGCTTTAATAATAGCACAGTGGTCATGAAAAGTGAGTTTTTATATATTTGTGTATATATAAAAAGGTCACATTGAGTATTTTGAGGCTTTTGTAACCACTTGTCCTTCTAAAAGGATTTCTTTAAACTGATGGTTTTGTGATAGATGCAGCCGTTAATACTTTCTAGATTAATTCTAAGCCGTTTTTGACTGTCATTTATCCCTCTGACATTAATGCGACAAACAGCTGACTAATAATAACGCCTTAAAGATGAGTCTTTGGGAAACTTTTGAGTCGCTTTGGTTTGATTTTAAAAAATACTCCTCATTTGGTGTTAAAAGGAACATAAGTCACAACTTGTTAGACATTCACTGTAAGTGTTTTACAAAAAGGTGGTTGTTATTCATAACTCATTTCTGAGCTCTTGGTTTTCTTCAGAAGAAAAATCCGATCCCTTCTCAAAGCTCGGCCGCAGAAGCAAACAGCAAAAAAGAAAAACCCCCACAGAGAGAGCAGGCAGAAAACAAGCCGTTGATTAAAACCAGAAAGGAGAGGCCTGGAGGGAAAGTGTGATTTTTTTTTATTGATGATAGAGAGAACAGCAAACTGGAAACAAAGAGGAGATCCATTTGAAAAGACTGAAGAGGAAAGAGGACATCAGAGGAGTCGCAGGGAGCTTTTATGAAGAGGCCTCTTACCTTCACCAGCCACCGTCTGACCATTCATCTCCTCATACTGACGTTGCCCGTCGGCGATCTGTGATGCATCTCCGGGAGCTTCATTAACGGCTGCCTCGCGGTCTCTGCTTCTTGTCTGCTCTGTAGGAAATGTCTTTATGGTGGAAATGTTCCTGTCGCGGTACATTTCGGCAGGTGCGGCCCGTGGAGGGGGCTGACAGCGCTCTCCCCGGCATTTATAACAGTTTTCATAAATGACAGCTGTTTTCTCTCGCCGTGCATCTTGTAACGGAGCACAGGTGACAGTTGGTGAAGATATAAGCTCATTCCTTGGGCTCATTGACTCATACAAGTTCAGGCTGTGAGACTTCGCCTCCAGCTGCCTATCAGCTCTTGGAAAGCCAAGCAGATCGGCTAAGAGACATGCCAATTTCTCTCTCCCTTTCTTTGGCAGAGGTGAACCCTCGCTCGTCCTCGCTGCTTTCTCCAGTATTTCCATCTCTGACATATTGTTTTCGCTGCACGGTGATTTGTCAACACTTTGATCTGCTGAATTGAAAATATGATGTTCTGGGGGCAAGAAAACCCTTGAAACACTTTGCTTTTAATCCAAAACAGATTAAAAAGCAGTGAATGTTTTCCCGAAACATGCAAAGACAGAGTTCATGCGTGCAGAATTTACACATGCGGTGGTTTTTCCACACTTACCTGGTATGGCAGGGATCACTGACCCACTTGCGGGGATGTTCGGCGTCCCCTGTGACATGAAACAGAAACTAATTACATTCTCGTTGCGCGCTGGTTTAATTAGTATCACGTACAGTATAAATAGATTCATGCTGGTCGGGTGCTTTCAAGGCTGGCAATGATCTATACATTTTTTAATTGTCAACAATCCCATGAAAAGAGCGAAACCAGCGGTGCATTCAGCCGTCTCTCAATGCTCCCTGACTTCTGAGCCTGTCTCCGTCAAACAGCCTCAAGCTGATTGGTTCTTGAAAATGTACATTGACAAATAAAAACAAGAGCTAATTTTTTTTTACATCATTCCCTTAAAAACAGCTCTGAGCATGTGTCAATCAAAGAGGAGTCAATAGTGCATTTGTAGGGACTATTTTCAGCAGCTGATTCGTCACGCCGGGGACTGAAAAAGACGCTACACCAAGCTTTTATGCGTAGGACACAAACACTAACAGGATCAATTCATTTTTTGTTTTTTGCCTTTTCATGAGTTTCTTGCAAAAACAAACACAACTGCTCTGGTTTCCCTTTCTAAGCTCAGCGCTGAGGGCTGTTTCGGTGCCACAGATGTGAGGTGCCCTGGCTGTGAACGCTCTGAATGTCACATCAGATGACTTCATCCATCACACACACAGAGCTGACTCTACACTATGATTTTTCTTGGAGATTTATTACCCACAATCCCTCTCTTATATCAAACCAGCCAGGCAAACCTTTTTAAACAGCATGTCAGCTACAATAATAGAAATTATCTTATAAAAACGACCTTCATACGTTCATAAATGTGTTTTTAAAGAGTGAAACGGCGTCTACGTTCGTATGAAGCTGATATTTAATCTTTTCTTTTGAAGTAGCCCTTTGGCTGAGAGCTAATAAACACCACAGGGGGGGTATTGTGTTGCTCATGCTGAAGGTGATAAATGCTCTCCCACGCTGCTCCATCATCTCATGTTTCATTTAGTTCACCAAGGACTTGCTGGAGACAACACATTTTTTTTCAGGTAAGAAATAAAATGTGTGTTTTTAACCTTACTGCACCACCAGCAGGGGGAGCCAAATACTCCACATTAATCTTTCCCTGAGTTTAAACTCAAGCTTGGACTCTGCTTATGCAAAAATCCTCAAAACAGAGTCTGCAGTCTGCAACAACCAGGTTTTCAAAGAGACTACTCCTGATCAGATCTCCGGTGCACATTAAAACGGTACACAAAGTCCAGTTCTCCTTCATTAAACTTTAAAACCACTTAATGACGATAACAGATTGAACACAGACTGAAGTCGGCGCTCTCTCACACAGATGCCGCACAATCAGCAGAGCAGAGCAGGTGATAACAGACTGAAGTGATGACCTGATATAAACCTTCTGTCTGATAACGTGAGGCGTAGGTTGCATCAGTTCTGTGGTTTGTCTCTGAATTAAAATGACAGCACAGCCGACTGGAGTCTCTAATTACAGTGGGGGAAAATAAAGAAAGATCAAACACACAGACATAAAATATTCAGGCTCATAACTGTGCTGCTAAACAAACTCTGACAAATGCACGTGGAGGCATTTATCATGTAGGCACAGGCAGACTACGCTGTTTATGCAGTGAAAGACAGATCAGAGTTATACCTATAGAATAATATCAAACACACAGATCTCTACTGGTTATATGTATCTATTCAAGAAGTCACACACATACACCAGAGCAGCAGGAATCAAATCTTCCAACCTTCATTTTTCAAACATCTAACGCAAAATATCCACCTATAAAATTAACATTTGCAGAAAGTTATTAGTGGCTTCTTACTAAACAGTTACCACTGACAGATTTCATATGTTTTCATACATATGGTATCATATTGTGACATATCATTATCATTATAATATCGTTATTGTTATTAAAAGGTACTGTTATCATATCATAACATATTCTATCGTATGGTATGGCAAATCGTATCGCTATCATATCGCCATTGTATCATATTGTTATTGTATCGTTATCGTATTAAATTGTTATCGTATTGTATCGTATCATTATCATTATCTTTATTAGTGGCTTCTTATTTAATAGTTACCATCAACTCAGAGATTTCATTTGTTTTCATTCATGTGGTATTATATCGTAACATACCATTATAATTATAATATCATTATTGTTATCAAAAGGTACTGTTATCATATCATAACATATTGTATCGTATAGTATGGCATATCGTGCCGCTATCGTATCGCTATCGTATCGCTATCATATCGCTATCATATCGCTATCGTATTATATTGTTTCGTCTCATTGTTGTTATCGTATCGTATTGTATCGTTATCATTCTCATTCTCATATCGTATTTCAGGGATGGGATTGAGTGTAGCAAATCAGGTTGGAAGTGTATTTTCAGCTTTTTTTTTCAACTATTTTTACTGTTTAAATTGTTTTGTGTTAAATAACTCCAGATATTTCAATAGTATTTCTAGTTTAGTTCAAGTACAGTCATTTCAATTTTGTTAATCTAATGAAATGCACATCGGTAGAACAACAACAAAACACAGTTAACAACATCATTAAGACAAGCTGAATATTCAGATGTCTATCAAAGGAAGAAAAAGCGAAACTTGGATTCTGTTAAACTATGGTTGGTATTTTTTTTGTTTTCTTTGGATTTTAAGGATCAAACTATTTAAAAAGTCCCCTTATTAAACAAAATAAAATGTCTTTAAACTCCACAGACGGAAGGATCAAGAAAAGAGGAATCATTATGAGGAAAAAACTGCAGCTCAAATTGAAAATGTTTACTTAAAGATTTGTTTTTATCGTGGGCATAAAGGCTGGAAATATTATTGGTTGACATTTAAGTCCAAAGACATAAATCCCCTGGTTAAATAGTGGGTTCTGGATCAATAAATAAGAGTCAGATGAGAAATAAACAGCATGACGATCACGAATCATGGGCCAAATCTGCGAGATGTAAAGCCAGTTTCAAGCCCGACTGGCTGCTAAAACGCTAACTTGTCGGACAGATGGATCATGGGACTGTTTTTTTTCTCCTGTTCTTCACACTGAATGGAGAGCAGTATCACCGTCAGCCTGCAGGACGCCACAAAGGTCATGGTGACAGCGAGCCACAGGACGTATGAGAGCGTGATGATGATACAAGCTGCTTGTTGTACAACTGAGCGCGGGCAGGAGGACATTAGAAAGGAGAAGGTGCTCTTTTCCTTCCAGGCAAACAGATGGCCAACGAAAATACAACTGCTCTTCATCTGAGCGTGAATCAAGAGAAAATCTAAAAAAAATGACATAGAAAGAGTTTTTTTTCTCACCTTGAATCCTCCACAGACTGAGCAGATGGTCACAATGGTTTTGGAGACTGAGGTGCAGATGTGACAGGAGTCTGGGTGCTCACTAGAGGGCGCCATCTTGGTTTTTTTACCCTCCTCTAAGTGTTCACTTACTGACTTTGTTTCAGGAGTCTTTGAGTGGCCCTCACAGGTTTTGACACTACTTTTATCCTCTGTTGTCGAGTCAGTGGTGGGTTTTGAAGAGGCAGGAGTGTCCTTGGTTGAGGTGGAGGGTTCATTGTCTTTGATAATTACACTCCCCTCCACTGACAGACTCTTAGGAGAGTCATAGAGATACCTGAGTGATGAAGGTACCTGGTATTCATGTCCAGGGGCAGCAGGACAGCTACAAGGGCTCAAGTCTTGAGCCAAGTGTGGAGGCAAGCTGAAAACAGACCCAAATTCCTCCCCTGCTGTGATATCCAGGCTGCCCGTGTAGGAAGAGAAGCTGCCAGAGTAGGAGGAATGGCTGCCAGTGGCGATGCCACTGTCGGACGAGCTCTGACGGCCTATCTCCTGGAGCTGCCGCGGGGGTTTGGTGACAGGACAGCGGGGACCTCCCTGGCTGACAGAAAGCTTTTCCATGCTCTGTAAAACACTTTTGGTGTGGCTGGTGTTTTCAGACGGGTTAGGGGGAGGCTCGGTCCAAATAGCGAGCCGGCTGCCGATGCTGCAGTCTGATTGGCTGGTGTCGGACGTATCTGATGAGCCGGATATGCTGCGGTCGTCTCCCCCAGCAGACGGGCAGTATGAGGATGACGCTGCAAAGACAGCATTCATAAATGTCAAGAAGTTAAGGGTAAACTTTATAGATATAGTTAGGGTTGTTCAACTTTTTCATTTATGTGTTTTTAACTTTTTTATTTTTATTTAACTTGCCAGGATTTATTTTTATGTTTTTCTCTTATGTTAAAGGTGGGGTAGGAAGGCCAGTTTTTGGGTGAAATCTTGAATGTAAACTCTACCCCTTCCAGCCAGTTTTCCCCTCAGCATCTCCTCTCTCCTCTGTCTCTGCTTTGCCCACAAACAGACGCTCCAGCTCACTTGTATCGTTTCAATTAAATTTAGATATAATGCAGATAAATACTTCAGATAATTACAAATGGGGCCCAGTCAATGTAAAAGTAAAAAGCATTGGTGCTACTGTAGATGCCAACAGACTACCAGCAAACACAATGTTTGCAGGACTTCTACAACTAGGATAAAGTGACATAGTCCAGGACCCGAGGTCAACAGTTTAGCGGCGCTACAACACGCAGCAGGTCCCGTGTGATAAGAAACACTTCTGTTACAGACACTTGGTTTACTTTCTCAAAGCGGTTTATCTGTCCAGCAGAAAGGTTACAGGGTCCGTAAGATCAACACGTCCCCTATCGTTGTTGACCCGGCTTCTTTAGCTCTTGTCCCGGTGGTCTACCTCCTTTTTAATTGTTCGTTATTCCACCAGATTCTCCAGTATTTACTTCCTTTTTTGCTTGTGTTGGTGGTCGTGGCCAAAGGATTCTCCGTACTTTCTGGTTGGTTTCTACCGTCTGATATAGTAGCACGCTAACATGCTAAATAATCGCTATTGACTGATATTAAAAGCTTTTTTTTAATATACACCACAAAAAAAAAGCTTCTTTAGCCGATTCCTGCCTACCCCACCTTTATTTTCTTTTTTTTGTTTAATGTAACTTTTCCCTCTTTTATCTTTTTCTTTGATTTCATTCACTTACCCACTGATCGACGATAAGACTACTTTCCCTATTCCATGTGCAACACTCCGATTTTGCACCTCATGAATGGGTGTGTATGTGGCTTCTGGAGCTTTTGCAGCCAGCCTCAAGTGGACACTCGAGGAACTGCACCTCTACATAGGCTTAATCTCTTAAGACTAAAAGTTGCAGCTTGGTCAGTCCACAAAAAGAAAATTTAATAACTTTTGAGAAACTTTAAAAAAAGTCAGTTTGATTGTGTCTGATACACTTCACATAGTTTAGACGTCTAAGCCAATCAGAAACAGAGTTATTGAATTATTCAAGGGTCTTGAACGTCTTGCCATCTCATTTTACTTTTTGTCTCTACCTTTGTTGAAAACAGAAAGCATCATCAAAGAGCATAATAAATCTGTTTATCCTCAGCCGTCTTTCTTGTATCCGACACATAATGAGAACAATAAATCACAAGCGTCAGGAAAAGTATCACATCTGCAAACCTAATTAACAACCAAGCGCAGGATAATTAGAAGTGCATGGATCCTCTGATTTCTTTGCAACCCTGCATTAAAAGATTTTAGCGCCGTGGGGTAATTATGTAACAACAGCTACACATTTGTGAAACTGGTAATAAGATGCTGTACCTGTGCTGCTCCTTTGTGAGAGCATGCTCAGTCGTTTCTCCAGCTCCTGGGCCTCGTGGTTCAGCTTCTCCTCTGAGCTTGTCTGCGTAGGACTGGGGTCTGTTAGCGGGGACAAAGCAATGTTGCAGCCGTCAAATTTACTAGTTATAATAAGGTAAGTCAGGTGTGTCTGTGAGTGTGACACCGCTGTGAAAACGCATCCGCAGAAGTAAGAAAAGACACTCCAAACCACAGGAGTCTCACTCATCTTTCTGTGGCCTCATTAAAATAAAACATCCGCCACGGCATGTCAGCGAGGAGAACAACAAACGCACAATTTGACAGGAGTGTTTGTGTGCTAAGATTTGGTCTATGAGGGCCACACAGGGGAACACCTTGCAGTATTTGTGGAACACTACAGGGTGTAAAAATAGCGCTGCCACATGTTTGTGTGGGTACGCGCTCTGGCTAAAGACCGTCGGCGCTGTTCAAGGATCTAGTGTACCTAAGACCACCAAGGTCAACTCCGACACAGGATCGATTCTGTTTTTCTCTATTAGAGCCCCTTTGACACGTGACTTAAACGTTGCAGACTTAGGAAATTGCTTTAGATCAAACCCTACATGTGGGGAATCAACCTGCAGCTCCTCAAATTGAAAAATAATCAACCAGGACAAACTGATAGATGACTTTAGTGAGCCTTGCCCCGTGGTGTGTTGGTTACATAAATTGCCCTTATATGAGATGTGTCCTGCCAGTGCAACAAACAGCACAGCAGCACGAGCGAATGGAACCATTAAGAAGGATAAGTTGGTTATGGGTGTAAGAAAATATGAGTATTGGGATGTTATGTTTGCAGTACCGTTAAAGGATGTGGCAATCCCGACTCCAAGCTATTGGGTTCAAGCCAACCTGAGCAGATTCAACTGATTGAGGATCAGCAATTTGAGCTGAACATCTCCCCTCTGTCATTTATCACACAAATACAACTTTGGCAGAGTGTAAATATTTTAAACCAAAGGGGGAAAACAGTCCAGGAGTCAACAGCAGTGTAGGCAATATGATCTGTTTACTCTTTACTACAGCAAAGAAGAAGAAGAAGAAGAACTTTACTGATCCCCAAAGCTCCGTTCACTACAATAAATTTATCGCAGTAAAGTTTGCGATGAGTTAGGAGGTGATATAAAACATGATGCGACTGCGGCTGGTTTAAAACAGACGTGTCGAGTTTTGACATTTGTCCCGCGTCGGTGCTGAGACTCACTGCAACAATCTTTCCTTGAGTTGTAGCAAGCATCACCGATTCATGGGACTTTATGAGAGCATGCAAAGGAGAGGCTGACAATAAAGCAAAAATATTAAACACTTTATTTCTCCCAGCATATTAAAACTCAACCTCTAAAATCATACTAATTATTATGTAGTGCGATCTGTTTCCAGATGCACAGTCTGAGTTGTTTGTGTTTGACTGACAGGTGTTTTGTCCTTTCACCTACAGTATTTCTGCAGCTTGTTCATCCCAGCTAAGCACAACAAACACCTCCTCCCTTTTGACTGTTACAGGAGCCAGGAAATAATCATTTGGCTGATGAAATCTGCAAGCTGTGTACTCGCTGCATTACCTCATGAAAAAGAAGATCTAAACTCTCACTGCTGCACAATGCCGGGTGGAAAAACTACTTACAGGTCATACTTTTCATTTGGAAAACTTGCTGCTAATTCAATTTTGGTTTGTCCGTAATGTGCATAAAACTACAGCTACATGCTTGTCTCCACGTGACGTATAACTGCTGACACGGTTGTTTCATGCAGGCATCTTTTCACTTGATCTTGGAGCCACCTTTCGTGATTTTCATTTCCTGCCGTGCCGTGCACTTTGCAGCTTGATTACTTGTCGTTTCTGCAGCTTTTCTAGATAAATGATTCCTTCAATCTGAGTTTAAAGTGTAAGCAGCATTTCCCAGAGGTTAGAAACGGAGCGCGAAAGGCGGAAAGAGGGGAAAATAAAAGCACGTAAGGGGTGAAAGACGGATTTAAGAAGCCAAAGGGAAGAACAGCGATTAATCAAAATAAAAGGCTGAGGGTTTAATCAGTTAATGTCAGACAGAGACATTGACAAAGGTGAACCGCAAGTGAGAATGAGGGACACAATTACAGGCTGCAGGAGGGATGAGATGAGTCTAAAATGACGGGGAGGAACATGGGGGGATGGAAGGAGAGGGCGAGTGTAGCGGTGGGTGACCGAGTATGAAATGAAGGGGGGAGGCGGCAGTGGAATCCTGTGGATGAGGTTACATACATGCCCGGAGTGATTAGGAGGCTTTGGCTGCTCTGCTTGTGTGAACTGTGACTTTGACCCCTCGCCCCCTTCCCCCTCCTCCCCCCAGACATCCCCCCCAGCTATTTATCCAAGTACGCGCCACAATAATAGGAGTATGAGCTCAACCTGCCATCGGGCGGCGAGATGTGTGAAAACCAGAATACCCACAAGCCCCTGCAGCTGCCAGGTCCACATTTCCTGTTAAGTTGCAGACTGAGTGAGAAAATGTTTTTAAACCGCTAGTGTGGAAAAATCAAAGGCGTGAAAGAGCACAGCGGGAGAGCCGATGAAGTTTTATAGTTTTTCTGTCATATTACATGCAGCATCCAAATGTGTTAGTGAAATAACAAGAACAGAAGAAAACACTTAGATAAGGACCAGAGATGAAAGCATTTACTTGTACTGGCCCTTGTATCAATATCAGGGGCAATTTCACTTATTCTGTTTATTTTGTACTTAAAAGGTTGAAAAAGTGATTCAAATGTTCAAGGATGAAAGTGTTACCCACTCATTCAGCAACATTATTTCTCTGTTTTGCTTTTGTCTGAATCTGGGATAATGATTTATTTGAAACACACTGTGGCGGTGGAGACAAGCTGTAAAGCCGATATCTCGTTTCATTATTGTTTCAACAAAATTCTTAAGAAATCAGAGTATACAGGTATAGTTGGTTTGCAGTCTAACTCCAGCAGAGCTAGCACACTTAAAGTTAGCACTTAAAGGGATATTACGGTGTAAAATTAAGTTAGGGTCAAAGACAGCGCAACACTGAGTTAGACACCCCGTCGAGAGATGAATGTTGCTAACTGCTTGCTTCTCTAGTTATACCAACTTTAGTAACAACCGCAGGACAGCAATACAGAGAGCCACACGCTCAACCAAAACGCCACTTTAAAGCCACAAATAATGCTCAGAACAGCACCTAACTTCATCAACAGTACATATAGGGTCCTAGACACAGCACTAGCCACCAAACATCTCTGGGCGAGTCCATCGACTACAGCGGGGTGACGCAGCTCAAGGAGGAACTTTTATGATCATTTCTTCATGGAAATGTAATCAGACCGAGACGCTAAGGCAGAAGAACTACTGCGTCTTTAGTGCAAAATGATTAATATGATGATTATTACTTAAAGGGAATGATAAAGTAATGATCATAAATGTTCTTCCTTGAGCTGGGTCACCCCACTTTAGTCCATAATAGACTTGCCTAAAGGTCTTCGTACAAACAAGCGGCTGCTGGAAGAGAGTGGGTGAGTTGCATTTACTCCCTTTGCTAAAGAAATTAGGCAAAGTTAAAAAGACGTTTGGTGGCTATGACCCTATATGTACTGTTGATGAAGTTAGGTGCTGTTCTGAGCATTATTTGTGTCTATAGAGTGGTGTTTTAGTTGAGCGCGCAGCTCTCTGTATTGCTATCGTGCGATCATGACGCAACATTCATCTCTCGACACTGTTTGACCCTAACTTTATTTTACGCCCGAATATACCTTTAAGATGTTGTTTGTTCCCTATATTTTCACTTCAGGCTAGTTTAGCTTTTCCCGATGGCTACACTGTCCAACTGTCCTGACAGTGTGAGGGGTGCCTCAGGGGTCAATTCTTGGACCTATTCTGTTTTCTTTAAACATGCCCCCCCTTTAGGTCACCTGATCCATCAGTTTGGCTGTGTTTCCTACCATTGCTATGCTGACGATACACAGCTATATCTGTCTGTTAAACCCGATGACCTCTTATATCCATGTACTCTCCACAACTATCGAGCCTGAATGGGAAACTGGATGTTCCTTCAGTTTTCTCCAGTTAAATCACAGTAAGACAGAACTGTTGGGTTTTTGCCCCAAACCAAATAACCACCAATATCCTCCAACAACTTTGTTCATTAGCCACAAATGCCAAATCCTCTGCCAGAAACCTCTGGGTTACCTTTGACTGCCAGAAGAAGTTTGGCAATCATGATAAGATAGTTGTTCAATCCTGCTACTTTCACCTCAGACAGAACAATACGCCCTCTGTTATCCTTCAAGCAGATGGAAATGGTTATTCGTTGGTTTTTCCTGTCTGAGATGAATAATGATTTATCTGAACCGTAGTGATTAACTCTGCAAAACTCTGGAGCAAGACTTCTCATTGAGACCTCTTTCTGTTCCCATATTATTCACTGGCTTCCAGTTAAATTCAGGCCACTGTTAAGTTCCTCCGAACTAGATCCAGACATTGTTTTTGTCCGGATGGTTCTTTATTGTTTGTACTGTACTCACATTGATAATTCGATAATTTGATTTTGTTTTGTAAAGCACTTTGTCCTTCAGGTTTTGATTGGTGCTATATTTATAAATTGTACTTACTTTTTACTTTCTTACCCACTTTTTCTTCCACTTTCAGATTTCAACACTCCTGAGGAAAATTTCTAGTCCAATCTGCTGATAAATACTTCCACACTAAACAATTTGCAGCTAACTTTAGTTGCCTGGCATCACCGCTAAAAAAGTGGGGTATAATTGCCTAACTAGAATCAACCAAAGTGCTTCCCAGAAAATCAAAACGAGGCTATTAGACACAAAAACTCTTCATGTACTATGAAAGATCAAGGTAATCAATTATTTTACATCATTTTCCCAAGAAGTGATAGAACAAAAATAAGTTAAAATGCTTAAAAAAACAAACAAAAAAAAAAACAAGGAAGGGGCTTTAAAATGAGAATTTTTTAGCTAACAAACTGACAGAAGCTGCCAACTTTTAACAAATGGTGTCAGGAGAACAGAGGAGCTGAGGGCGGACATGCTGGAGCTCAGTGTGCTCATTAAAAAGACTAACCTCACTGTCTTTGACAAATTGATATCTTGCCAGACAACCCTGCTGTTTTCAAGTAAGAGACATCTAATGACTGTTTGGAAGTCGGCCCAGCAGCCAGCTTGTGCTCAACAGTAGCGCTACAACCTCAACTGTACATGAACGACAACAAAATCTGCTGCTTTAATCACGGTGAGTACAGCAGATATCCTCTTACCAGTGTCTAAGATGACCCTTCGCTTTATATCAAACACAGTGCTCTCAAGGCAGGGGTTAGGATTTGACTAAACTATAAATTCCTACTGCAGATTATCCAATTATGTTAAAAAAACAGCTGTCAGTCATAATTTAGTCACATCAAAGCAGACGGAGGAAGCCTCTGACTCATTCAGCCAAAAAAAAGTCGGATTCCAGGAAGGCAGCACACCTAAAAAGCGAGGACAAATCCCTGGAGGCGCAGGAGGGGAGCCGTGCCAGGTCTGCTACACTTTAAATGGCCAGTGTTGACTTTGGTGTTTGCTTATACACCTTGGAAACAACTCAGTCACCAATTAGCAAAACATCATCACAAAAAAAATCCACCCTCTATCTATCTTTCTGGAAAAATCCACACAGCTTCATTCTTTCTTTTCTCACAGACACACGGTTGGGTTTTGAACACCTCTCATACTGACCTGGCAAAACTGGCCGCAGTCCAAAGGGGCCTCTGGTGGGGGAGATGCCTCGGACGATACAGTCGAACAGAAAGCTGATCTGCTCGCTCTCTGCAGACGCCAGCAGAAAAACCCCGGCCCCTGTAGAAAGCAGACTTTATTAGTGTCACGTTATTTATTACAGCACTGAAATACCCGAGACCAAATGCACAGTAATTAGCAGAACGTTACTCTACTCCTCCTGTGGGTGTCATCTAAATTCTCATATGACTGCTATCTTGTGGGGCTGCAAATAAGATATTTTTAAGGTTCATCAATAAACTAAACATGTCTTAAAACTAAGGGGAAAAAATACATTTCAGTTACATTAAAGCCAAATTTACCATGAAACTAAAAGTGATGATTAAGGTAGTAAACAGAGGAAAGGAAAGTAATAAAAATCGCCACGTAACCAACGTTGTGAGTACAAACCCAAAGATAAATACTGGCCTATTGTTATTTTTTCCCACTGCAACTCTATAGCGCCAATGATGTCAAAAGTAACCCTGAACAACATGAGAGAAACATGTAACCTTAGCCCGGGTTATATCCCAGGTTTCTGTCCTGGTGTTGTTCCTTACAGTAAATAAAGATGTGCTGAGCCTTATGTCCCTGTCCAGAACAAATCTCCCCATGAGGACAGTTAAATAAATCTAATCTAATCCAACAGGCCTGTACTGTGATCATGGTATAGAGAGCTATAAATGAATATCATACGCTTTAACTCTGGAGCTCCTTCTGCTGCGTTTTAAACGCGTCTCTTCTGAATCCAAACAGCACTGCTTAATTAACTTAGGGTAGCTAACAGCCGGTTTTAGCTTCATTTGACTGCATCAAAACATAATGAAAGCATGGCCATTAAACCCATGCCTCCATTTAAAAAGCAAATTTACATATTGAGTGAGAGGCCTTTGTTTACATTAAACATCATTCTTGTTTATTGCCTCATAATAAACTTAAAGCTCCTGCAAAGAACTTTTGGTTCAATTTAGGCGCCCCCCTGGACAAGACAAACAAAGCCGTCTTTGTTTGTCTTGTCCTCTACATGCGGCAGTACTGCCTCTTGACAAAATATCTCATCCTGGTGACTTTTTACAGTCAAAAGCATCATTATTGTGGATATCTTCTGTGGAAAATGTCAAATTAAATCTGTTTCCTCAGCCTTTCCCCCCCTGAACCAGTTGCAGACATAAAAAATAATGATTTCATGTTGTTTTTGGATATCATGGATATCATTAAAAGTAATCAATATGAGTTTCAGTATACTTCATAAACGTCAAAAAAAACTCCTCATAGTAGCTTTAATAATGTCTTTATGTTATGAATGCTGACATTGTTATAACAACAAAACTGCATGACTATTGTAGCACAAGTAAAGATCTACTTTTGTCAATCACTTTGAAAGAGTCTTCATTGGTCAATACCCCATCACAACAGTCTGTTATTTCTCGATAATCTCACGTTGCTATGGATACAGCCCTGATCATAACCCCTGGCAATCATTTCTCGGCTCAGTTAAATTCATGTCACTCAAGTTAGTTTACTCATCTGCAGAGCGGCAAGAGGTAACGGTTGCTATGGAGACAGCAGAAGTGTTACAGACTGTTTTCAACCATATAGCTTTAATCGAATCATTTCCAAATCTCTATCTGGTGTAACATAATTCATTCGCTGAGTAGCAGTGCAATAAGCAGGACAATGTATATTGAGTAGGTTGCAGTCTCCTTCACTCCCTCTTCCCGCTCTATTGCATGTATTTGAATTATCATCCTAGTTGATACAGGAATTTAAAGGTCAAAGGTGGTGCAGCACAGACCTCCATCAGACAAAACAAATGGCTGTCCAACACAAGGTGTCACCAGTGGAAGGGTCGCAGTGTCACCCTGTCCCTGAGACCACCCGTATCAACGCAGGCTTCAATCACATTCCAACACTCTCCTGGCTGTGAGTGGGGTCAAAGGTCGGCACTAGTCCTAATTGAAAATATACCTGCGACCAAGTCTTGATATGTTATTGACCCTAATAAGAAGTACATCATCTCATACTGTCCTCTGGCGCGGTCACTACTTTGGTTAACGTCATATCTTGTCATTTCCGGATGAAAACACACATATTCATGTCATGTGTTTGACAGCAAGTGACCGAACATCAGGTGCGCTACAAGAAGGGGGGAGTTAAAAAAAACACACAAAGCAAAATAAAGAACAGGTGGCAGAGTTTATTCAGTTACAACCTGGTAAAGATTCTGTGTAAGTGAGAAAACAGGAGGAGCCGTCTGCTCTCTCTTCTATAGAGAGATAAAACAACATCCATACAAAGAGGCGCAGCTCTTTGAATTGTGTTGTTAATGTGGGACGTGTTAACAACTTTGAGTCTGTTTAAGATGACCTTTCTTGTTTCTGCAGCAAGAGGAGCATTTTTTGGTCAAACTCGCACTATTCTTTGTTTACATGCGAGAGGAATTCAAAGATGTTTAAGGAAACCTGTGCCAACACCCAGATAAGCGCAAAGAAACACTTTCTCCAACACAGAAGTGACTTTTTTAGTCGCGATATTAGTCAATTTACGATTTCAATAACATCTACTCCCAGCCAAATGTAAAACAAACTCCATGAGTAACAGCTTAGGTGCTGTTAAATAACAGTAACTCTCTACATGCTGGAAATACATGAAAACATACTTAAACATCTTTAGTTTAGAGTAAAATAAGCATGTATTATGTTTATTATTACAGCATCAGCTCTCACAGGGCTGATATCACCGTTATACTTCCTAAATTAATTAGAAATCTATTAAAAACATGACCTTTAATATTTGATTTTAATGTGCATGAAATATCAGTTTTATTCATGATGTTTTTCATTTGATGTTTATCTTGGAGTTTTATTTCTTTTTTAATAATTGGCTGTACAGACAAATTACATAATAACAATAATGGATAATTTGGACTTAACTGTTTTAATAATTTATTAATCGAACTTGTATTTGTCCGCTTTATACGGCACATACACTGAACACCAAAGACAAAGATGCCTGTAAAACTCCTTCTGAATATATAAAACCTCTGAGGACAGACTAATAAGTGGATCCTGGATAAGAGTTCACCAGGAAAAGCAGCTGAAGCTCCACAGCTGCTCTAATCAGAAGTGAAAGGTCTGACACTCTTCACACCTTCTCCCTCTGCTTCTGATGAACTGTGTTGAGCAATCACATGTCACATGAACACATGAAAACCCTTTTAATAACGCGAATCCACTGCAGGAGCGTTAACGAAGCTCGTACATCACGTTTTCGAGTGTCAGATTTCCAGCTGTATGTCTGCGTGTTGACACCTTCCCCATGTCGGCTTTAATGGCCTCTATTCCAAGATGTAAACCGCGCTTCGCCGTATCTTAGGGATACACATGCCTCTACCTGAGCTGAGGTGTAACTCACGTACTCAAAAGCATCTTCCCAGGAGTGATGCATGAAGCTGGATTGTTACTACAGCGGGAGTCATCGTGAACGGACTGAATCATATCCTGCTGCAGGTTTTTCTTGTTGTCGTGAAGCAGCTGGTTTATCTAAAAACACAATTCACCAACTCAGAGCAAACAAACAAAGACAAGAGAAATACGGTCTGCAGCCTTTTACATCATCTGTTTCACATTACTCACGCTGGTAAATAAAATCACAAATAACAGCCTGCTCTGTCAGTTTTACTAATAATATTTGGATGTGATTGCACTCGCATCGCCCAGAGCTCAAAGTATGCAGATCTCAAACACATTCACATTAATATTTCACCTCTATATGATTGCCAAACATCCTCCTCCAAAACAACAGACATAAATGAGTTCAGTTAAGGTCGAACTGAGTTAAGAACAACTTCTCTATACAAAACTGTCAGCCCCTCCAAAACTTTATTTCATCTAAAATGTACTACCGTGAGCACATATATGACTACAACTACCTGCTAGTTTGACTAAAAGCAGCTAAATCAGCTGAACTACGTCACGATGACAGCAAACATTAAAAGCACAGTCCAAGCAGAGAGATGAAGATGAAGTGTGCCTAAGCAAAATGTCAGCAAATCAAACCAGTTTGAAGATTTAAAAGAGCAGTTTCACCAAAAAAAAAGAGTCCCTCCAGAGCTTTAAAAGCCAACACAAGCAAAAAAATATCTTTTCTGTGTGCTCTGCAGCAGCGATGGCAGCCTCATCATTTCCTCAGTCAACTCCTGATCAAGCTTACGGCACGTGCTTTGAGTCAAAGCTATGCCTGAGGTGGTCCAAAGTGACCAAATGAAAGATATGGATGATCCAGATGCAATTTATGTTGCAAAATATTTCCTGCAAGGGGGAATACAACCATACCTGCCAACATTTGGGCTATACAATCCGGGCAGTTTTGGGGTTACCTTTGCTATGATATGCCTTGAACTTATCTAGTCCACTAATATTAGTGTTAAAGTCCTCATACGTTTTACATGTTCTCTTTTATCTGAGGCTGCCCTGAACGCATCACTCCGAGACGGTGCAAGACTATCAACGTAAATATTATATCTCGCATCTGTTTCCCTTTTATTGAAGTGTTCATTTTGTGACAAACGCTGCTTAAATATAGTTCACAGCTTAAACCTGAATCATCCCAAATTGTAAAGTAAAAGTGTCAATCCAGTGTCTGTGAGGCTCAGCAGAAACACAGGACAATCTTCAGTTGTCTGGAAGCCTGGCAACTTTGGACAAATATAGTGATCGGATTCATGAATGAACGTGGACCATCAAACTACGAGAGATTCCCAGGAGAAATGACAACACGGGAGGTGGGTGGGAGATAGGTCTGAAATATGGGAGAGTCCCTGAAAAACGGGAGTGTTGGCAGGTATGAACACAACATTCATGGCCGAACACATCAGCGTTGTGCATCAAATCAAGTCCAAAAGGCTGAACTTTTGACCGTCTGCAGCTGAAAACGACTCCATCAACACCGACTGCAGCTGCAGCTGTTGCAGGGCTGCCATCCTCCTCTGCCAAATTTTACAGCAGCTCTCATAACCGCATTTTGAAATCAATGTGCTCAAATGTTACCATCCATATGCCTGGTTCATCGGTTCTCCTTCCGTGGACCAAGAACAGACCAAGACAGACCAAGAACACCCTAGAAGACCCAGTCACACAGCCATCACAACACCCTCAAACTTTCCCATTTTCTTGCTTTCAACAGATCAACTTAGAAGACAAAATATCCCACTCTTTGACAGGTGCCTTGGCAACCAGATAACTATCTTATTTGCTCCACCTTTTCATATCCTGTCGTGGCCGACTATTGAATGGATATCTGTAAAAAGTGAGCGGGCTTTGTGCATTAGCTGTGTTCCCTTTATCCAGGTACACCAAACCTGTAGAAAGAGGTATTTCAACCATGCAGCACAACTTTCTCTTTAGGTTTGAGCAGAGTAATATCTGAATGACTGAACAGGATTTTAAGGTACTGCGTTATGATTTCATTTAGACAGAACTATGTAAAACCATGAAAAACAGTCAGGATGAGGAACGGTGTTCACTATTTCCTTGTTTCGATCAGCCTGTAGAGCTTCCATTGTGTAAGAAAGGATTGTCTCGCTCACAGACATCACTGAATAAAAGCAAGCGATGAATCATCTAAATCACAGCTGGTGATTATTTGGTCTGTTTGAAAGAGACATAAACAAAACACCGCTCTCATGGGGGTTTTATGAGCTCTTAGTATTTAATAATGAAGCCTGATTTTACACAAGAGACACTCTTGTCATGAGATGATGAAGTTAGTATTTGATGTGGTTGTTAGTTCTTCTCAAAACCATATTTTTCTGATTAATTTGTAGCATCGCATTGGGTTTCGTGTCCTCTTACTTTTGTAACTTTAACCTGGTTTTGTTTATTTTCTCCTTTTGTAGAGGATGCTTTAATTTCCTGACCTCCCATTTCTTCTTTTTAGTAAACATCCAAGTCTGATTAGTCTCAGAACTGTTTTTATAGCTCTTTAGTTCCCCCTTTATGCTCCCCTAGCACAAAGTGTGCGCCTCACACTAATAACTAATTATCTTGATGCCTTCAGGGACCATCTGCCAGACATTTAACACCAGTTTTAGGAGCATCATAACAGCAAAAAAGGCCATTGTTCCTAAAATAAACACACCAAACAAGCTAAAGACAAAAACTTACAGTAACCGCATCTTGTTCCTCCTTCGAACACAAACCCGTTGGGTACGGGTCCATATCTGCGCAGGTCTGGAAGGTTCCAGTGGCCTATAATGACAGGAGGGACATCCCGGGCCAGAGCCAGTAAGCTGTTGCACAAATGAAGAGTTGCAGGTCCGCTCTCCAACTTGGTCCCTGGTAAGACTCCAACACTGAATCTGTGAACTGTAAACGCGGAAAGCAATGAGGAGGACAAAGAAAAGCAGAGAATTTGTTCGTTGACTCTGTATTTTAACACAATCTCATCAGTGTAGTCGTTTATATTTCAAAACTTTTTGTGTGGATGATTTTACTGACTGTTGCTGTTCGCCGTGTGGCCACACTTTACCAATAAACACAATTAACTCACATGTCATCATCCTTTTTAAATAAAACTCAAATTTATGTTTTAACATCTGCCCTGTGACTAAAAAACAACATTACCTCATTATATAATTAGTTTTTATGCTTTTATTTTGAAAGTTTCTTCTACCTTCGGTTCCAGTTACTTTATTTCAGTCAAAAAACAGATAAATATCACAATATCATTATTTTATTTTTTAAAGAGGTGGATATCATCAATACCAGTGTTTTGCAACAACTCAAGTTCAAAGAAAATGATGGTAGCTGGGGGTGGGAATCACTAGTGGCCCCACAATATGATATTATCACAATACTTGATCTACGATACCATACTATTGTGATTTTTAACACTTTGCAATACAGTAAGTATTGCGATACAATATATTACGATTTATATAATTTTTTCAACTTTTTAGCCAATTTAGGATTTGTCTTTCTTTTATGTTTGTCTTATTTACGCTGAATTTTATTCACATGTAGCACATCTTGCAAACCTTGTATACATACATATATATATATACTGTATATATATATATATATATATATATATATATATATATATATATATATCTGTTTTACCAACTTTCTCCTGCTCTATGATTTCACTTCTGCCAACCTCACTGGACAAACAGTTAATTTTATTTTTTATCATCATAGATTTGACTTAATATTAGCAATTAAAATCGATACTTGGTAAATGAGACAATACGATATATCACCAAACAAAATATCACGATACTATGCTGTATCGATTTTTTCTCCCCCCCCCCCCCATGGTACTACTATTGGTGGTATCTACTATTATTGCACTAACAATCTTCAAGCCTCATTAAAGTTATTTTTGTTCAACTTCAATTACATTTTTACTGTTTTACTGTGTTTTGGTTGCTTTTATGCTTTTATTTTGAAATGAATCACACAATACTCCTTGAAACTTTTAAGTACCAGCCAAACCAATTAATTAGTCCATCTCTAAGCAATATTTCTTTTTTTCTAACAATATTATCAATAACAGTTTAATGCAATGGCCCTGGCATCAAGATAGGCATGCGAATGTGTGATTGGATTCAGTGTAATTACTCTTTATTTGGACTTGTATGGTACACTTTGAGTCAGCAAACCACCAGAGTTCTGGTCAGATTGACGAGGAAGAGGGGAGTCCAGATTGAAAATAGCTGCAGTTGGACTTGTCTGGACAGAAAACACTGTGTGCCTGATTTAACGATGACCTCAGCACAGATTCCTTTTCATTCACCAATAAAAGGAGAAACAGCTGCACAGGGGGGGAAAATGAAACCAGCCAGAAAAAAAAGGACGACTCGGATCTGAAGCCTGATGCAATCAATCTGAACCCATCACTACCATCTGTGTAACTTAATAAAAGCGCTTAAATCGAAGTCAAACATGAGAATAATGTTTGTGAGTTTGTGTGACGTGTCTTCCAGCTGTATTTAACCGAACAATTTCACTTCCTCAAACAGACTTCATCCTCTGAGATTGATGGAGGCGATCAGGAGGAAATGTCTTCCAGCTGCATCAAGTCATCACTCAGGTTAAGAAAGATTTATCCACTATCTCAAACACACACAGACACACACACACACATTTACAAAAGCTCTGCTGTGCACTGTGGCCCTCAGCCCGGGCTGGCAGGTGACATTTTTCTGGTTTGGACACACTCCACTCTATGCTATTAAGCTTTGGGCCACACAAACAAACACACACTAACAATACACACTCTTTCAAACACACATGCCGGCACACACGCCAGTTTGGAAGGAACAAGAGCGCTGCAATTTGTCTTTAGCACCATGTCCTTATCCTCACAATCACGTCTCATCGCACTGTCATTAGTGAGTTCTGGACCGCAGCCTGCAGCTGTACAGTACAAAGCTATAAATAGCTCCTTTATGTTTAACACTTACATAACTGTAGATCATGCTGGGTACACGTCAATCAAACTGTCTTCAAACTCGATTTCAAGCTTTGCATTTAGAGTTTCAAGGCGTGATAAATCTGTTCCTTCAGTCGTTCTGAGTAAGAGACGTAAAGGACAAGCGTCTCTGAGATTTTCAGGGATGGTTGACGAGAGCCTATTTAGTCAGTCAGCGAGTGAGTCCAGGCAGAAACTTGAGGAACAGCCACGAGTTCAGATTAAGAAGCAAAGAGAAACTCAACACTCCAGGCATGTCTGCAGAATAAACACTCTCACATCTTCGTCCATCACATCTTTTTTAAGTGCTTTAAGAGCTTGTTAGGATCAGAGCAATCATTTAGGATGCATTTAAGGGAAGTCAGGAAATCGAAGCTCTGTTTGCTTACAATGTCAAAGAGTTGCGAAAGTGTTAATATTCCAACAAATTAAAACCAGACGCTGTTTTTAATTTACACAACTTTTAGAATATCTTTTAGAAGAATAAAAAGACATTTGGTACAAAGTTATTGAAGAAATTTAGATGCAGGACAAAGCAGAAAGATGAGACAGACTGATGCAGATTTTGTTGTAGATTTTAAGGAAAGTTCACAACAACAAAACTGGCTTTCCTTTTTTTCTACGAGCCCTCAGGTTTGTATCACTCGTATTTTACTTTTTGATGTTTGAAATGTGCAACATCACTTGTTTTTTCATTTTGCTTTTCATTGGAAAACTCCTAAAGGCCCAGAGCATCTTAATAAAAACATTCATAACCTTAATTAAAGTTCAGCACACGTCTCTCTGTGTACAAAAACAGCTTTGATTCATCATCGCTTGCAGATATATCTTCTCCCCACTCTGTTATGTGAAGACTCTTTTGATCAGTATACAAATCTTTAACAATAAGTTCAATCTTCTTGTTTTGAAACTTCTGAAGTATTTCTAGATCATGTCCTCAATTTGGAGTCAAGCTTTTGTTGTACCTCTGGACTTCTACACCATGACGTCCTGTTTCTTTAATAAATCATTAAACTGCTGCTTATCCTGAAATGCTGTAGCAGAACTCTTATCCTGTCTCCTGCAGGTGAAACACAGAAATTAACTCCAAATGCTGCTGCTGCACCTGCAGGGCTTTGATAAATCAGCTCCCAGGATTTATTCCTCTGGCAAGGTTCCTGAGGTCATTTGTTCAGGGTGTACTGAAATTTTCTTAATCAAAAATAAGACCCCGGGGTGACAGAGTTTTGCTGCTGTGGCCCTCAGGACATTCAGGAAAATAGTTTTCTTTCAAAGCCATTTGTGAATTGTATTAAACAAAAACCTTGAAAACTCTGCAATTACAGTTGTTTATACTTTTGTTGACACATAAACTTTGTCGCTATTTGTTACTGAAAGCTGTAGACGTATTTGTCTTCAAGAGAACAGAAAATCCGACTTCTTCCTTACCTTCTCCAAGGCTGTATCGCAGGCGGATGTCCCACGCCTGCAGCGCCTCCCTGCTGTCGAAGCCCAGCAGCGCAGCCTGGTTCAAGCAGAGGATGGCGAGGGTAAAAGCCACGCCTTCATACCACTGTCCCACCTCGAGACCGCAGATCTCCTCCAAGGTGACGCTGGCCTTCTCCTTGTTCCCCTGGACTTTGTCGGACTTGTCTTTAAAAACCAGCAGCACCAGGCAATCTGGCGGAGAGACAGAGACAGTTGAATACTAATAGGATGTATCTTGTCATGCAGTAGCTGTCTTCTGGCACCTTTAAACAATCAGTGTCAACTGACAAAACAAGACTGTGTGTTTGTGTGTCTGCATCCCTCTCCTTCACACACCTCTTAACCCAAATAACTCAAGCATGAGCGCAGACAGCTGTGATAACATCGCATCAAAGGTCTGGAGATGAGCAGCACTCAACCTCGGTCTAGCTTGTGGAGCATGTTAAGCAGACCACCATCTATCCACAGAAACATGCCTCTGTAACGCAATATCGCCACTTCATCAAAGCGAACTACTTATTATTATTCCAGCTCAAAAAGGTCAGAGGTCACCTGCGATACAAGGGTTGGATGAGTTAACATCAGGCTAGCATACTTGTTATTCTGTCACATTAACTAAGAGCACTTTCAGGGTGCATCTAAAAATACAGCAGGGCTCTGACTATCAGTCTTTTGTGTATTACAAGGTCCGTGTTGGGTCAATAACATTCCTAACATGTGAAATTACGCTCAGAGATGCTTTTCAAAAGATTAGATTTAAGATCAGAGTCTGTAAACCAGAAAAAAATTCTCAGCATGAGACATTCAAGGCCCAACAGAGCACAAAGGCTCAATGTCAAAACAGAAATAGTAACGCTTACTTCTTAAAGGGATATTCCGCCCTGAAATTAATTTAGGGTCAAACACACCGTAACACCGAGTCAGACACCCCGTCGAGAGATGAATGTTGTTACTTCTCTAGTTATACCAACTTTAGTAACAACTGCAGGATAGCAATACAGAGAGCCACACGCTCAACCAAAACGCCACTCTATAACCACAAATAATGCTCAGAACAGCACCTAGCTTCATCAACAGTACATAGAGGGTCCCAGTCACAGCACTAGCCACCAAATATCTTTTTAACTTTGCCTAATTTCTTTAGCAAGGAGACTAAACACAACTCACCTACTCTCTTCCAGCAGCTGCTTGTTTGTAGCGAGACCTTGGGCCAGTCCATTACGGACTGCTGTGGGGTGTCACAGCTCAAGGAAGAACATTTATGATCATTTCTTTATCATCATAATAATCATCATAATAATCATTGTGCACTGCAGACGCGGTAATTCTTCTGCCTTGGCATCTTAATCATAAATCGTAATGATCATAAATGTTCTTCCTTGAGCTGTGAAACTCCGCTGCAGTCAATGGACTTGCCAGGATGTCTCCGCACAAACAAGCGGCTGCTGGAAGAGAGTAGGTGAGTGGTGTTTAGTCTCTTTTCTAATGAAATCAGGCAAAGCTAAAAGATGTTTGGTGGCTAGTGCTATGGCTAGGACTCTATATCTACTGTTAATAAAGTTAGGTGCTGTTCTTCGGTTCTGAGCATTTTTTGTGGCTATAGAGTGGCGTTTTGGTTGAGGTTTGTTTATGGCTCCTGAGACCGTTGTGTATTGCTATCCTGCGGTCGTTACTAAAGTTGGTATAACTAGAGAAGCAAGCGGTCACCAACATTCATCTCTCGAGGGGGAGTCTAACTCGGTGTTATGTGTATTTGACCCTAAATTAATTTTACGCCGGAATATCCCTTTAAATAGCAATAGTTAGCATCTTCACTTTATGGACTTTAAAATCCTTTCTCCCAATATTCAAGAGATGCAAACTATTGGACTTTGCCAATATCCAATATGCCAATATTATTCAACTTATCATGGACATACCAGTACAAATACTGATAGCATTACAGGCCTGCTTAAACCTCCAAATTTCATCACACTGAAAGGACAGTTGTTGAGAGTATTCAAGTTCAAAAATTATCAGGTTCATTTTTCTACCAGTACCGATATTGTGCCGATAACTTGAAGAAAAGAAACACACCAACAGTGAAGAAACCGTGGAAACATGTAAAGGCACGCGCACGCTTCCACCTGATATGCCAGCTTCTCCACTGTGACGCAGCGAACATGCGCATTTATTTGTTTACACGCTGAAGTAAAGTGCCTCATATTATAACTTAACAGAAAAACCAAAGTGAAACGTGAACGAGTCGGTGATTTTACCTGCTACAGGCGACGGCTTTCGGAGAACGAGCCACCTAGTTTTCCACTGTGGAGGTAAACAAAAGTACAGAGAAAGTTTTTAAGCTCGGATGAAAGTTTGCTGAGGTACTCTGTCGTATCCATCAGCATATTTAGTGAAGCATAGCACCTTTTTTCCATCTCTGAGTCTGGCATATCCCTCCACGACAACAGAATCCGTCATCTTCAGTCATGGTTCCTGACAGCTGCACAGTCGCTGCCTGAATGAGGGGTCACTTTCAAAATAGCTGCTCTCTCTGCTGGTGGGGCGCTAACTCGCCCCGAGCAAGGCACATGGAAAATGGCATGACCACTGTCCGTCCGCCTGCCTGCCTGACTGACCGAGTGTCTGTCTGTCTGTTCGTCTTTCTGTCTGTCTGTCTGTCTGTCTGTGTGTGCGGACCAGGCAACCAACCAGCCATGCCGCTGCCACCTGGGCCTGTTTACACCACCTGCTGCTGCTGCTGCAGGGAAAACTTCTTGAAGACGCGATTCTCATACCACAAATACCACATTTCAACACAATAAATGTTTCTGGTAAACATTTAAGAACAGCTGAAGGAACACTTGTCCTAGCAATGTTAACACACATACATGTAATACAAAAAAATGCTCATTGTTTGCGAAACATCTACCTAAATGTGTAGTAAACTGGAATTATACCAATAAGTTGGACCCCTTGAATGAAATTGCGATACATGCTGGTGTGAAAATGTAAATTTTAATGATATATATGTATATTTGGTGGTGTTATACGGTGGCCGAGAACTGCCACTGCTGCAAATAAAAAAGAATGCAAAAAAAAAAAAAAATCACAATAGAAGTTACTGAAGCAAAATAAAAAAATGAACCAAGGCTCCCTGCAAAAAAAACAAAAAACAAAACGGTGCAAATAAAAAAAAAAAAAGTCACAGCGTAAATCAACGATGCAAAAAAGACGCAAATAAAAAAAGCCACAACAGAAGTGAGCTGTCGGGGACCAATAATGATGATGCGCCAGTGTATTACAATCTAGGCACAGAAGATGACGGTGAGAAGATGAGCAAAAAAGTAAGTGTAAAGGTTATTGTTTAATCTCACTTCATGTGCTTCTCAATATGTCATTTGGTTAAGCCATGTAGCGCCTGAGTCGATATGAAGTTGAACTGAATTTAACACTACACCGGCATCCTCCAATTCAACTTCCGTTGTGGCTTTTTTTGAAAACAAATGTTAAGATAAAATGTTGGACATAGTTTGTGTACATGGGCAAAGTTTCAGATTGTGAGTTTAACGTGCCTAGAAGAAATCCCTTGATTGGCTTCTCCAAGAAGTCACATGAGAATTCAACAAGATCAATATGAGATTTGCCCAAATCATGACAACCTTAGACAGTGAATCTCCTTTTTTTTTTTTTTTTCACCACTACTTTGTGATAGTTATTCATAACCACTGTGCTAAATAAGGATAGCATGCAAATTCCAGGACCACTCTTACTGCCCTTATTTGCCTACATGCAGCTATCAAATCCACCCAAACCTACTTTACCCTCTATTGCAGGGTGAAAATCACCCAAACAAGTGCCTGCAGAGAGACAAATATGCCTTCAAAGATGTCGAAGGTAATGCTGAAGCTACCCAGAGACCCCTGATACTCAGACAAACGCAAAATAATGAAAATCACGTAAACATGTTTGGTCGGGTGAAAATCACCCTGCGATAGTGTTCTAGGGTTAAAACGGCTAATTTGTCTTTTTTTTTAAATAAAAAGAAACAAAACTTCTTAGCACGGCAGCAGTGAAGGGACCAACCTTAAAGGGACAGTGTCTCAGTCAGAGGCTGAAGTTAGGGCTTGTTTTAAAAATAGGCTACCTTCACTATCCAGCGTTGACATGGATTAGACTCAAAGTCACTCAAAGATTGATCAAGTCAGTAAAGGTTTATTCAGTAAAATCAAGCTTCACAGTACAAAAGATACAAATAAAAACAAAACACATTATCAATAAAATACAAAATCCAATATATTAAAGCTAAAGTCTAGTTTTTGTCCATTCATGAAGGCTTAGGTTTGCGTTTAATTACTGAATTGATCCAATCCATATAGTTCGCTACTTTAGTGTAAACACCAGGTTTTCCAGTGCGGCCACAGCCATCCCCCCAGCTGATGACCCCATACAGGAAGCTGACATCATCCTTCGCACAAGCCAGCGGGCCTCCCGAGTCACCCTGGGGAAACACATACAGTCCGCTTACATAAACATACAACCACAGATCAAAAAGGAGCTGCACTGGCGGCTGAGTCACACGCTTGAAATCTAATGTAACACAAGCAAATTACCTCTACCCATGCGGTAAATAAACAACTGTGACATTTAATTTGAAAGGAAGGAGCTGAAATATTTCACACAGCAGGCTGGAGATCTCCCTGCTGCTTTTCAGACCATTGTCTCCCCCCCTTCCCCCTTAAAACACTTCACTTCGGGGAATCCCCTGCTGCTGTCTTCAGAGCCTCTCCATTACTCTCATATCTTCAGTCGATTTCCTGATTTCCACCCCGCTAGAGCTGAGATTTCAGCAGCTGTGGAGTCCACTTTTAACAGATATCTATCAATTCCTAAATCAAACAGACTAAAACAGAAAAACTCAGCCTGACCCCTCGACACGATCGTAAACTCAATCACATCATTCGAGTGTTTTTATTTAAGCAATTCCACATAAATGTCCTCTCCGGCCTTTGATATAATAATCATTGTGAGTCTTACAAAAACGCTCTCCTACCTGGCAGGCGTCAGCGCAGCCGTTGAGCCCGGCACATAACATATTTGAGGTGACGTGGTTGCCGTAAACTTCTGGCTTCTTGCAAGTGCTGTGAGGAATGAGTCTGACCCCAGCCTCCTGGAGAGTGGAGTAACCCTCATCCTCTGTCGAAGAAAACACAAATACATCATTTCAATACAATCGGATTGAGCTCGTATGAAGGGACGTGACTTCTGTAGACACCCACATAACCTTGACATTGGTTAGCACAGACAGACGGAGGTGTTGCACTTGCTGTAATCAGCTTAAGTCAAAAAAGCAGACAGCTAAAAGTGACAATGGCGTGATTTCCTCATCACTCACTCTCATTCTTGTGTCCCCAGCCGCTAATAGTGCAGCAGTATTCATCTGGGAAGGTCATGTTTTTGTCTGGGAGACAGATGGGTCTGATGAACGGGGTTCTCCTCGCACACCGCCCGTCCTTCTTCTTCAGTTTGACCAGAACTGGCAACACAAACGCAGCGTTATTGAAATAAAAGGCAGAAAAATGTAGTAAAATGACGCAACAAGCGGCAGACTTGGAGGCTCCGTTAGCCAATGAAACCGCCACACCCTAAAGTGCGTGAGCGTGAGTCTGTATGTCTAAGTCTTTAAGTATGTGTGTGTGTGTTGGTGTGGGGGAGCACAGCTGCTTGGTAACCCACAGCTGTGCACACAAACTAACGTCTTGAGTGTGTTTCTGAATGGGGAGCAGGAGGTCTCCTAGTTTATGTGAGTCACTTGGTGTTTTTGAGTGTGTTTGAGAGTTACCTATGTCATGTACAGTTGGATTAAACACGGAGAACTGCTTTGGAAAGATGTACTCCTCCACTCCGAAAGTCACGGTGTTGAAACCTGTGGCGTTGAAGTGCTGCTGTCCGAGGACCACGCGAATCTGGGACTTGAGGGGGCTGCGCGGAGAGACACACTTTGATTAATTTTGGTCTCAAGCCAAAGGGGCTCGACAGCTGGTGGTTGCATTTTTAATTTCCTTGAAATTCACGAGAATTGAAGTTGAATCCCTATGACGACGTGACTTTGTAGGCCTAAATCATGAAGAAAGTTTGGTGCGTGAACCTAAACCAACAGCTCTTCAAAATGGATTATTCTCATCTGTGCAGGAAGTAGAGACAGCTGGTCAGCTCTGTATTTCCATGATAATAATCTGATCCACGTAACTTCCCATCGGATTCAACCTCTCCATTTGAAACCTGATTTTAATGATCACTTGGCGCTCAGACCTACTGCTGCTAAGACTCTAATAACAGCAGAATCTCCAGTATGCTCTTCATTATGTTCGTCACTGTTGTGCTGTGGGGTGTGATGAACATTGTGGACTTCTTAATTAGTTTAATCAAATCCCGGGCTGATACTAAAAACAGCTTGGCTTGAACAGTGCGTTTGGAAGGAGAGCCTTGCAGGTATCATATAATGAATCCTTCACAAACGGCGGTTTTACGAAGATTAAACGGCCGTTAAAGTGACATCCAGTTTAATGATTTAACGCTAAAGTCAAGGAGATCTGAACCTGAACAATAGCAGCATTCCTGTTTGTTGACGGCCTCTGTGCACGGGGATGTTTTTAGGTTTTCCTCGAACTGCACGCTTGTCTAAATTTGGCCTGTTCATAAAGCTGTGATGGTGAAGGGTCACGGTCTTTGAATGACTCTCTTCTAGCGGTGTGTGACCCCTCGCTCAGCGATAACAGCCAGAAAACAATTAAGAGGAAATAATTCTCTCCCAAGAATACTTTTACAACCCTGACTCCACTCCACCACGTACTTGCGGAAGAAGCAGTGAGCTGCAGAGACGACCCAGCAAGACGAGACCAGCGTGCCTCCACAGAAGTCCGACTGTCCGATGTAAATGGCTGCCATCCAGGGGTGAGTACCCGGCAGTGCAGAGTTTCCACCCAGAATCCTTCCCCTCGCTATGGATAACCTCTTCTTGTGCTTTTTCCCGCACACAGCCTTCCTGCCTGATCTGGAGGGCTTCTTTGGTTTTCTAACAGCAGGCAGCATTATCCTTCTGGCGGACGCTACAAGAGAAAACAAGTTTAAGCGCATTTTTGTAAATTTAGTGCAACTTTAAAGCTCCTGTGAGGACTTTTTATCTGGTTACAGACGCCAGTAATTAATTCAGATAACAGACATTGAGTTATGGACCCAATGCAAGATAGGGCCACACTAGAGCTGTCAAGATATCATGATTATCACAAAATACTGCGGTTTACAATTTTATCAAGAAATTTGTGGAAAACTGAAAATGAGTCAATCTGAGGAAAGACAAGAAGGAAGGAAGACAAGGGCGATAATTACAACGAGCTTACATTTTAAAATCAATTTCTAACAATAATCAGATTTGTGATTTATCAACAACCTTGTGACTGAATCGTCTTTGGAGAGGACTCCTTTTATTCTGATATTTTTTTCTATCTTGCTTTAAAGTTGCTTCAGTTTTAAAAGTGTTGAATCATCTCTCAGATGGCTACTTTGCAAGCTTGCTAGCAGTCTGCTACTTCCTCTTCGTCATTCCCATTTTACGATACGTGGCAAACTACATAAACGACCACTATGATTAAGTCACTGTGTAAAGGTCCTTACACACCGGTAATGACACAAATATACAACACGAAATTACGAAATATTTGGAGGGAATTTTGATGCGCCTCACTATAGACACTAGTGTTGAGATGTCTGTCTGTCATGATAGCATGTACTGAGTCAGGGCCAGTACCAGATAAGCACATTAAACTATAATCCATAAACGTAAGGTAACAACCGAGACCTAATGGTGCTGTGACAGCAACACGATTGAGTTTGAGACAGTGAAAATACATATGGTATGTTGTATCTGAACAGGTTAGCTTACGAGCTAAAGTTAATTAGCACAGATGAGAGTTAAAACAAAGACATTTAGCAAACTGTTAAAGCACACAAACCATCGTCATATGAGAAATCCGACGCTATGACTCTCCACAAGTTGTCCTTCAGGTCGTTATCTTTGTAATGTTTGTGTCTTTTATCAAAAAGCACTCTGTTCTCCGACGCATAAACAATCAGCCGGTCGGCCATGTTGGATATACGGGTGAATCTGACGTCACAACAACTCGAAATCTGATTGGTCAGAAGTGAACACACAGTATGCGAAACTTTAGAAAATTCGACCGTGACACGACGGGAAAATGTCACTGATGTGAATGCCTGTATTGACAGGATACAGGTTAGAAAAAAAATATTGACATCGGAAATAATCGCATGAAAAAATCGCTCCTGGTATGTAAAGACCTTTACTGTTTGCTTATTTTCAGCAATATGTCAATGTTTTGTTTTTAAGGTTATAGTGAATTACAGTGTAATGTGACAGTCCTACAAACCAAGATTTAAGAGGTACAGCTTTGCCCACAGGGGGCGCCAAATCTGACTCAAATTAAAATTTCCTCACAGGAGCTTTGAGCTACAAACTAATTCACTGCAAACTAGTCTAAAAGCTATAACATGTCACCAACACACTTCCGAAGTACCTCTTCTGAGTATTTTGGATTTTGCACCTGGAAGATTCTCCCCTGCAAGAAGCAGAAAGGCTCATCTACAGTGTGATCATGTCATGGTAACAGAGCATCCTCATGCAAATATTCATATGCCGATGCGTGCAGAGCAGATGGTAGAAGCTGCTGAAAAGGATCTGGTGCATACTCCTGGCATCACGACAGACGGGGCCGCCTGTGCCAAATCCCACTCAACACATTAACATTTGGATCCACCTGACATGACTTGTTGACTCAGGATGAATCAGGACCTTATTTCCCCCTATCTCATCGGGAATACGTCTTCCAAAGAAAAAAAAAAAGAAAAAACATTTGACTCTGGCTCTGCAGAGCGTACCACGCTTGACTCAGCAGGGATTAGCTGTATTCTCCGTGCTGTCAGTTCCTATCACAAACACTGGCTTTCTAATTAAAAGCGGAGGTATTTTAATGAGGCGTTTGGATGTTTTTTCAGGACGACAAGTGTTGCAGACTGTGTCTTACAATCAAGGCTAGTACACTGGAGATACTGAGTGATACAACAAGTGGCCTCGGGAAATAGTCGTAACATTTCACACCTGATTATGATGGAATCAATGCCATCCTTGATAAAGCTCATTAGAGAAAGGCTTATATAAACATGAAAACCAATAATAACCAGAGGCAAACACTGAGAGAAGGAGCCTCTCAATGAAGAGTGACGCCTTAAGAGACATAATGCAAGTTTTTCCTCGAAATGACTGTGTCTTTCTTACTCACACACGGACATGACACAGGAGGGGACGTCACAGTACTCCCAGGAGATGGCGCCGTCATTAAGCGTGTAGCACCACGGCTTCTTGTCTCCGTCTGGGTTTCTGCGCACACACAGAAACACAGCAGAACACAGTGTGTAAGGGTCCCACCGCTGTTTTAGCTCAGCGTATCACAGGAGATAATCGGCTTAAGGGCTCGACCACTTTTTCAACAGGAAGAAGAACAAACGCCTGTACTTTTCAATTTCTAGGAACAAAGCTGCTACTTTTTTTTTTAAAGAGAACAAACAGCAGAGTCTGGGCCTTTCAGATGGTCTCAGCGTGTGTTGGTGCCCAAAAATAATCCTGGTGTTTGCTTGAAATGGATTTGTCTTTGATGCTAAAAACGTTTTTTTTTGCAGCTCGTACCACTGGCTATGGGTGAATGATATGGCTGCAGGGTAGTCATAGCAACAACAAAACCTGAAGAGAGAGAAGAGTGAATGTGGAGAAGATAAGACCTGTTTCCAATCATACACAGGCTGGGTTCTCCATGTGTTTCTTTAATACACATGGTGGTTTTGTGGGCAGAAGTTTGATATTTCAGCTTTGAAGTAAGATTGAATTAAAACCGAGAAAACATTTCGCCAAAGCAGATAAACCTCCTTGGTTTTTATAATTACCAATTTAAGAAAAAAATGTGGTCATAGTAAAATTTTCTTCGTTTTTCTTCCCAAATATTTGAAGCTCCTCTAACAGGTTAGTTTTCACAGCCCACCTTCTCCATGTTGACAGATGGGACATGGTCAAACTTTCAAATCAAGATACACAAAAAAATCTTTTGAGTATTGTGTGTCTGAAACTGTAAAATCAGAGTTCATTCTTGGGCTTCCTTCCTCACACCAGTTTAAAAAAAAAATACGGCATTCAGTGAAATTAAACCTATTTGAAAAACATCAAAATGAACACAGTAACCTGCTCTGCGGTGGACTGTACTGACTTGAAGTGATTCCTGCAAACAGAGGGATCTATGGGTGGGTCGCCCAAGTATATTTACACCCCCAATCCATTTGTGCATCTTCTTTGATTTATTTCCACCTAACATTACCATCTCTGAATTAGTGCACACTTGCTCTGCAGCATGTCTTATTGATGTATTGGTTGCAGGGAGATATCTCATGTAAATTTGTAGCTCATCGCCAATAATGTCATTTTGCACTCTCTTCTGCATGACATTAATTCTAATCCTAGCTAGCTTATCATCAAAGATACCAGCACACACACACACACCTGCAGTAGGCATGTTCTCCGAGACCCTTCAGGGGCGAGGACCCCAGCGTGCCGACATGAAGCTCATCGTACAGCAGGTCCGAGTTCCAAGGCAGACAGTGGGCACCGGACACCGTGGTGTTCACCAACCCTCTGTAATCTCTGCCCCTGCTGTTATAGCACTCGGTCTCTGGCTCTGCACACACACGCACGCACAAAAAGCAGAAACACTCAAAAACAAACAGCCAGTCCAGATTCTGCTGAGTTCAACAATACGATCAGACAATATTTGGATACAGATGAGTTGATTTCTGTCAGTGACACAAGAATCCGTCAGAACAAGTCCGAGGAGAAAATCTTTATCTGCATTAAGTACAACAGTAACTGCAGCTTAGTGCGAGTTCAGCAGCATGCCCTCACCTGCTTCCATTAATTCAACCATTATAGTGCGCACACACCTGCATGAACATGTACCATATGAGCACAGAGGACTCGAAATAGAGAATATCACTACCTGTTGTTACAGTCCTGCCCTCACTCACCAAAGCTGCAGTGGGGCCCACTGAACGCACGTCTGCAGCTACACACTTCTTTGCCGGTGGCCGTGATCATTCGGCATGTTCCGTCGTTCTGACACGGGTTCGAACGACACGCTGGAAGCAGAGGCAAAGCGGGGCGCACATGTTTATACCACAATAGCTGATAATAAAGTGAGAAGTAAGAGTTTAAAATAGCAAACAGTTCAGCTGCTAGCACGCCAGGAACTTCCTTTAGAAGTCGGTCTGCTGGTTGCATAAATAAGCAATTATAATGTTTGCCAGTTTCGGCATCACAAGGTGAGTTTTTATCTTCAGAACGTTGTGGGTCTTTTAAGTCTTCACAAGCGACTTTAAACGTGGTGTTCAAACTAGCCCTGAGGTGTAATGTACAAAAGTTTATCTGAGTCTGTGTATCCCCTAAAGATCTATTGCAACATCTGAGAAATATGTTGGGAAACAATGACGCCATCGCTACACTGAGGTCACTTGGTATGAGACAGAAAATAAGAGACGTCAGTGTGAAATTGAAATACAGTCGCATTTCAAAGCATACTCAGGTGGAGGATTTTTTTTTCCCAGACTCTGTGTAAGACAAGCCCCGACCATCATGACAAAAAAGACAGTTTCGGTGGAGGGAGCATGAAACCAGCCCACTGCCATTCTCTCCTTTATGCCAGGGTATCTGTAAAATGCACATGAACATCCCCCCGCTGAGATGAAAGCACCTCACGGACCCATGGGGTGTGTCCTAAAACACCATGCCTGAGTCACAGTGAGTCATATAATCTGTCTTTTCTTCCGTGGCGAGGTTACTCCTGTAACTATGGAGCTGTGATCAAAGAATCAAAGCGTTTCTTCAGGCAGGGAGGAGACCTGCGTGGCCATTTGAGGATTGATTTGAAAGTAAAAACTCAGGGTGTTAAAGCTAAAAGTGAAAGTGTGTTTGTTCTGGAAAGTTCATTTAACTCATACGCGCTTTGCTGAGTACAGTGTTTTTTTTTTTGTACTGTCAACAAATGCTTTCAACTTGTGCCACTTTTCTGACGAGCAGAACCCAAGACACCTCTGAGGCGAAAGAACAAAGAGCGTCTTACTTGTGTAGCGCACTCTTTCACACTTGATTTGTCCTGCCATACATGAGCACTGTTCCACGTTACGAAGGTGAATCCGGCCCCAAGACTCTCCGGTGTCATAATAGCGCAGGTGTACGGTTTCATAGCACTTCTCTGGAAAAAAAGACGCCGACAGGACACACACACAAAAAAAAAGGAGATTGAAGGGCTCAATGGAGCATTAAGAACAAAGTTCAATGCTGTGAAAGATGCATTCAGAATGACTACACTTTTGTCTTCATGCTTATGATTCTACAATTTTGCCTTATTAGAGGTGAAACACTGAAATGAGTTTGAATAAAGAGTGAAACCTTCTTGCAAATGAATCATAACAGACTTTTCCATGACCTCTGCAATTTTGAAAAAAGGAGAAACCGATAAAGAGGGAAGATAAGGAGGTTTCACGTGAAATTTTAGTTTTGGTTTTTAAGATGGCAGATTATGTAAAAATGAACTTATATTATGTCATAGATTATATTAATCATTAAAGTAGAAAAATGAGACACATAAATTGTAATATTACAAGAATATAATCTGAATATCATAGAACTAAAGTTAAAAAATGATGTGGTAATCTTAAAAAGAAAAAAAGTTAGTGTCATAGAAGTACAACTCTTTACATTAAAGCTCCTGTGAGGAGTTTTTGATGTTTATAAAACAGACTGAAACTCAAATTTAAACCTTTTCGTGATATATATAAAAGCACACAAGACCGTCACCGGCAAGATTCATGACTGTCATGTTGTTGATGTAAAAGCCTGAAACCAGTGTGAGGGGGGAGGTGTCAGAAGAAACGGCTGTTGTAAATTTTTTACATTGAATGACAGATTTAAGTATCAAAAGTCAACAGGATGAGGTTTCTAGTCAAAAGACACAAATTAAGAAGACAGGATAAGAAAATGCAGCTATGTCCACAGGGGGGCGCCAAAATTCACACAAAGTAAAAGTTCCTCACAGGAGCTTTAAAGAACAAAGTCATCAGATAATGATTGTTTTGACCAGACAGAAATTAATTCTTTATGTTTCAAGACAAAGTGAGTTAAAATATTACAAGATTTAAGATATTATAAAGTTGTAGGTACAATAAAAGTTATGTTACCATGAGACTGAAGTATTCTGAGAATAAGTTAAAATACACGGACTTATTCCTTCTATATTGTGACTTAAAGTTCTGTATCCTTGGAATATTATGTATTCTAAAAAACTCTGTTTTCCTTCCTCAGTGTGACCAATGTCCTTGAACAAATAATGGAGGGAAATCTTAACAAGATTATAATGTCACATTATAATTCAACATAACTTGATTATAATACAGTAGCACAATAATGATCATCCAAAGGTATTTAAAAGGTCGTTTTGATACTACAAGTAGAAATTAAGTGAATGGAGTCAAATGTAATGTAATTAACTCCTAATTATATTTCCATATATCATAATGAGGCCTATTATGAAGGTAGTTAATTAAAATGTCTCAGAGGTACAGCTTCCTGGCAGACACTTGTCAGGTGTCAGGTAATTGGAAAGTTAATCACTCATTAAAACGGATGTTTCACTGTGCAGAAGTCGACAGGGTGACAAAAACCCGGTGTTATGTTTTGTTTTTTCATGGAGTTGTAATAATTAGTCGACCTACTTTGCTCACAGAGTCTCCCGGTGAAGCTCTCAGGGCAGGAACACTCAAACGTGAGTCTGTGTGGGATCAATGTGCAGACGCCTCCATTCTGACACGGGTTCGCCTGACAGGGATTTGTGACTCCGCGGGATGTGTGGACGAAAACTGAAACACATCGACGAGGAATAATTAGTCACAGGATACACAGGTAAACTAAAAGTGGCAGAAAACTGTCACTTCCACATTAAAGTACATGTGTTTTTTTCTTTAAACTGACTGTTTGGTTGAGTTTTATCCGGGGCACAGAAGCCCCACTTCCTGTCTCGGTCAAAATTATGTGTGAGGGAGCACCTGAAACAGGAGAGACAAGCAAAATACGAGACTTTATCATTTCATACTCTTTGTATCCGTGTATATTTCTATCTCACAAGGTTAGGATCAACTCTTTTGAAATACGTGACAAAAGAAAACACAATAAGACCATGATGATTTTATCCACCCCAAACTGAGATCCCTGCCAAGCTGCTCTCTGTGTTTAAAGTTCTGCACACTTTGAGACCAGTTTGTTCCTGAGAAAGAAAAGCAACCATAACCAAGCAACGCTTATTAACTCTGTCAATCATCCACTAAATGAATCAAAGTAACACCAACATGCCTCTGCATCACTCACTGAATCTCTACCACAAAATGCCAAACTATTCCTCACGCTGACTTCATGAGCGCGTTGCAGAAACACGCTCATGGTTATGTTGCACAAACTTTATTTGCAGGTGGACCGAAGACGTTAAAAGTTGGGCCATATGTAATTGCATTGATGTTGCTCCAACTTGCTGGCATCCACCCATCTTTATCTCCGTTCCAAGGAAGAGAACTAGAGAGCCCTTTAGCAAAACCGTCCCGTTAAAAGATTTAGATGCTGTGTCACAATCTGGAGCAATAGAAACCACAGAGCGATGGTTCGTAGCGTGACAAAGGATTACTCAGCTGAAAGACAAATTATACGAGGAAATAATGTTTTGAAATCCTTGGCTACAACCACCATTTCTGCCTTTTTTTCAACTGTTCGTTAAAAAACCTTTTCATAATATCCAAATCTAGGACACACAAGTCGTTACAAATCCCACCAACAAAGCCGTGTGTCGGCCAATTAGCTCATTATCTCATTAAAAATATAATATCTCCTGTAGACACTATCACAAAAAAATCCCCAATTACATGAAAATACACCTGTCCTCAAGCAAAACAGAGTCATCACCGCATTGTCTGAAGGAAAAAAACAAATGTCTCTGATGCAACACTCCAGTCTGTATGACAGTGTAATCTGTGGTCTGAGTAAATCCAGCAATGACAAAGCAGCACCTGTACCTATTAGGAGAAGTAGACTAAGACAGGGTTTGGCATGGGAGGACTCACCACGGTCTTGAGGACAGTATGGTGATGCAGGTGTGATGAATCCTTCCACCTTGGCGAAATGGGAATTTGCATTCTTTGCCTGTTGTGGTAAGAACTGTAAAAAAAAAAAGAAGCGTTACAAAAAGTGTGTTTGCATTGATTTTACATGAAGATTAAACTCAAAGGAGTTGTCTAAAAATACACTATGTTGTGCCTCACACACACACAAACACCCTTGACTTTGTCCAAGGTTTCAATCAGAGGACAGTAAATCTGTGATCCTCACTTCAGAAAACCTAACTCATGCTGCTCTACAGCATGAACAAGCACTAGATCTCACATGCTCCAGATTTATGTTGCACCAGCAACTTTCTGCAGCTATAAATACATCACACTGCCTCCCAGTTCAATGTGAATCGACCCCCTCTTTTTCCTCTACATTAAACACATGATAGAGGTGAAATTTACCTTTCCTGCTCTCTCTGGGGGGCTCTTTGGAGATTACACTTTCAAGCACAGGGGATTGTAGGCGCTGAAAAACGAGTGGGAGAAGTTATGCATGAAAAAAGGGTAAAAAAAGACACGCACTTTGGAGCAGCTGAGGATGGTTACAACTTACCGCATGTGCAGGAGAAACGCAACATAGAAAAAAAAGCGCAACACACGCCGTCAAGACGGTTTGTTGATCCATGTTTTTCCGAGGAAGCGTCTTTCCACAACTTGGGTCTGTCACGTTATATCTGTCAGTTCCCGAGTCCTCAGTCTGCTTTTGGTCATAGGAAACGTGGGAAACCCTGCAAGTATTATCCTGTCCCTCACAATTTCAAGCAGGACTGCGTAAAGCCGTTGCGTCATTAGGCTTGTCTATCTCTGAGGCATCCCGTGTCCCGGCTGGTGTTCCTGAACACCTTCACAGCAGACGCCCACAGTTTATCTACGACTGTAAACTTTGAGGAGATGGAGCAAACCAAAACTTTCCACGGGACAGGAGGGGGCGGGTCGGGATTTGCCTCCTTAAACAACCTTTTTCTGTCCTGTTTGTGTGGACAGATTTATCAAATCTGAAAACTTAAACAACCAACTTCTCTTGACAAAGCATGGGCGTCTTTGTGGGGGGAAAGTGGGGGTCCCAGGTCCCTAATGAAGTAATAGTAAATCCTAATTTCAGGCCTCAGTGGGCCTACATAGAACAAGAGTAGTGTTGTGTCGTTCATGAACGTTTCAATCAAAAGAACGGAACTGCTGAGTGAACGAATCACTCCGAGACCTGATTCGTTCCTTTCTCAGGTTGCCGGTTGGGAGTGGAACTGCCACCTTTGACTCTTTGGCGAACGACTCGCGGGCAGACGGACGGAGTCTCGTGAACGTCTGTGAACGACACGTATCAATATGTGAACGGAATGATTCAGTCAGTTTGTGAACAACATGGTGAAGAAACTAACTACTTCAGAATAACTTGAAGCAGGCAGAGGGGCTAAGATAAATAGTGCATTTTAGCGCTTTTACATTGATACACGTGTATAAACTTTCCTGTAAGAAGGATTTAATTTCAGCCGATTTAAAATAATACGCTATTTGATCTCTTTAAACATAGCAGTATCCCTGCTACAGCTGCGATGTTTATTTATTTTTAATCTCTCCACTTTTCCATGATATAAAAGAACGACGACTCGCACTCGTTTAGCGGGCGTGCTGCTTGCTGCTTTGTTGTTTCCACCCAGAGGTGGGTTTTTCAGGGCACGGGAGTGATTCTTCCTTCACGACTTAATGAAAGAACGACACGTGTCACCAAGTAAACGATGCCGTGACTTCAGCAGCAGGGGAGGGGAGGGGCTTGTTCAATGAACGAACTCGCGGCTGTGTCACTCACTGGTGTACTGCACCGGCAGGACGGGGCTCCGAAGCACTGACTGATTCAGTGAACGAATCTTTTGAATGAATCATTTTAATAAACAGATTCTAAAGATTCAGTACAGTCAAAAGAACTGTTCTTCCGATCACTACTCAAGAGACAGTCTTTTGCCAGTGGACCTTATATCACACCATATCTACTATGAATTATTCATAAGGCGTCTCAGATTGGATTGCCCCCTGTAAACAAATATTGTTTGCATGTGGTTAAGCCTACATAGATTTTCTTATCCACGAGGTCATATTTCTTTGTCAAGGTCAGAAACATAACTGCGTGACAAAAGAAAAACATTAAGAAAGGAAACATCCCATCACTAACTGATTCATTGCATTGTTTCAGTTTTGTTTTTGCATCATTTAGGCACTAAAAGAGACGGTTTTGGAGAGAGAAGTTGTTCCGATTTATGGATGTGTGAGTCAAAATAATAATATAATAAATGACTCTGCCTGGGACTTCATTAAAGCTACAGTAAGGAGTTTTTTAACATTTCTGATATGGACTTAAATTCATTTAAATCCGTGTTTATGATGAAGAAAAGCAGATGAGATCCTCGGTGGCAAGATTAATAATTTTTATGTTAAAATTTTAAGGGCTAAAACCTGTGTGAAGGTTAACCCCCAATTCCCACCGCATCCGGAATGGCTATGAAAAGGCTGTATCTGCCAATCATATCTGATCGTAACAGTTCTTGTGTCGATTTGCACCGGCTTCTTTCTGTTCTGCTGCGGATCGCCAGACTCTGCAGCTGATCGCGAGAGTTCTATTTTTTACGGACGCCAGAGCATGCTGGATAAATTCAGCACAGATGAACCCGTGCTGGAAAGGAAGTCGAGCACAATAAAACACTCAAAGTTCCCGGCAGATTGTATTTCACACTGTGCAGTGGAGACAAACAAGTTAAAGGATAACAGACAGCATTTCACCCCGATGACAACATGGATTAGGAGATGCTCATTTTAGAAGTCTAGAGGTGGATCAGCGAGTTCTTGTGAGTTCTCACGATAACTACTGTCCATAAGCCACCATGAAATCCGCCCCACCAACAGATCCAGTAGAAATTGGCAGACGGTGAAAATTGGCGCCATTCCGGATGCGGTGAAAATTGGGGGTAAGTGTCGACCATTCTGTTAAAAAACAGCCCTGATTTTCACCGACTTTGAACTCCATACACCTAATGTTTTATTTTGGAAGAATAAGCAAGAAGATGTTGTCTTGGCTTCTGTGGCGATGTCTGTAATGACCACTCATTAAGCACAAACAGTCGGTTCAAACTCGGTCCAGACACCAAAACATCTACAGACTGTAGACTTTGTTTTTTCCTCTCAGGTTTTTAAGATAGGAGAAAGTCAAACATGTGGGAGTATCAAGGATCTAGAGGAAATTACTGAAGACTTGAATGATGAGAGGACCTTTGAGATAAAGACAGCATGAAAAGAGAGCGCTCTTCGGACCGTTTATACGCCTCATGTGTTGTAAACATTCCAGCAGCGACATGCTCTGTCAAGACAAACTCTCCAGTCCCATAATCTAACCTCTCATTTTCACCAGCTGTAATAATCTCCTTCCAGATGCCGGGTTAAAAATACAAAGAAGAGGCTGGGAGACTACACAGCACGTCCACATTATGGCCAAATCCCCAGGTGAAGGGAGTGGGTTTCCTGACAAGAAAAAGTTCAACAAAGACAGCTTTAGCGTTAATTATTGACTTATGTTAGCAAACACAGGTAGCTAGCCAAATACGACAAGAAGTGATCTCAGCATTGTGAACATATTACGCAAGACTCGAGGTGATAAACCAAAACAAAGGAGATCTTTACAACAAAGAGGGTGAGGATTTCCCTGCTGTTAGGATAATTACAACTAAAGAAAAACAGTGTCAGTGGGGTTGGAAGCAGCCATCAAAGCTTTTTTAATCATTTGACATGTGAACTACCTTAAAACCACAGAAGCAGGAAGTACAACGCAATAAAGATACCATCGTGGATGATCAGAAGAACACAGGAAGAAGATTGTAACAGGAAAAAGTTCAATACCCAAGAAAACGGTGATTTGACATCCAATAGTGTGACAAAAAATCGAAACCAAAGTTCACTCGCCTTTTTTTATCAGTCCAAGCCGAATCCTGCCGTCTTCCTTTGTGAATTACAGAATTAGAAAAGAACATTTATTGAGTTTGTCAAACTTCTTACCGTCTTGTTTTGATAATTCTTATTAGTAGCTAAAATAATACAGAATAAACTCATCCACTGAGAAGCAGTTTGTGCTTTTTGCTGTTTCTTTTTTTTCAGAACATTGCAAATAACAGCAAGATTTAAGGTCATTTCTATTGAAGCCCTGAAGGTTCATGACCCAAAAATTTCAGACAGGCCAAAAAAAAAAAAGTATCGAACACAAAAACATAAAAAATAACACAAAACATGAACATATTTCACATAAACACAAAATATATTGTAGAAAACACAAATAAAGTTTAAAACTTCAAATATTTTGGAAGCTTTTAAACTTTTGAAAGTGTGAATTAAAAAAAAAAAATAAAACATAATAAAACCATAGAAACACAAATCCATATTTTTTATAATACATATGTTTTGAATTTTTTTTTTTTTTTGTGTTCTTTATATTTATTTGTGTTTTCTCAAATACTTCAATGTTTTTTTTGTTTGTTTTCTTACATGTATTTTGTGTTTATGTGAAACATTTCTTTGTTCTGAAAAATTCTCTGTTTTGGAAAATTTAAGTATTTTTCCCTTTAAATGAAATGTTATTGAATATTTTTTGCCATTGACCTTCAGGGCCACCGTACAATCCCTTTTTCTGGTATGTATAGTATACTGACACCACTTTTTTCTTAGCAGGCTCTTTAATTCATTTCATTTACCTAAAATAAACCCGATTTTGGTCGGTTAAAATTGTGCATCCTATCAGAAAATGGTCCTTCAAAATAAAAGTCAGGCTCCTCCTGTGGTCATGGTCCTCGCTCTAACATGGCTCATAATAGAATTGCTTTGCACCTCATCATTAAACTATACCATAACAAAAACATCACTGTCCCAACATTACAACCAATACTAAAAATCAACAAGAAGACAGCATCATTTGTAACAAATATACAATATCTATCACCATAACATCGATCTTTTTGGAGTGTAAATTGACAGCTGTGTACATGCAGCCCATTGTTTGACTCGTTCTCTCTCTCTACAGACAGTGCTTCAGGCTTTGAAAGTGCAGCAGTGAGGGGGAGGTTCCCTTTAGACCACCGTGGCCTTGAAAAGGTCTGTCTGACAGTCTGTGCCTTCAGGTGGGTTGCGGCCATTTTGGGGCATCTGGGAGTTCCTCATCTTGCTCTGGCACTGCCGCAGCTCGGCCACGTAGCCCTGGAAGCTCAGGCTGAGCTCAGAGTCCTCTCCCTGGGATGTTTCCAGGGTTCCTTCCTCCAGATGCACCCCCTCCACGTCCATTACCTCCTGAACCGTCTGCGCAGCGTCAGGGGATTTGGTGTTGGAGCTCGGATCTGAAGAAAAAGAGAAACATTGAGTGAATATGTAACTGAGAACTAAGAAGTCTTTGAATCAGGTTAACAGGTTGAAGCTGCACCTCTGATCCTCTTTGATTCACTTGAACTTGCAGGCAGCTGAGCAATGACTTCACTCAAAGTGCCTGACAGCCAGATGTTCAGCTCGACTACACAAGATTTCAGATCATTAGGACGCGGGACATTTGTGGCCCATTGTGTGGGTAATCATGCGGTTTAACTCAAATGAACACATTAGCTTAATATGTTTGTATAATGTATAGCTGTGTAATGTGGGCAGCTGTTTTCAGGATGCAATCGATGGTGTAACTTGCTGAATCTGCCTGCCAGTTCAAGAAGAACGAAGAACTGATGACATAAATCTGACTTTAGGAGTCAACAAGCACAAGATAATCCAAAGGAACTCAAAACTCTTTCTGATTTTTGTAGGTTTTCATAACAGGTCAACTTTTGTAAGCTCATGTGGACCCTGCGGCCCCCCTGACTCTAAACACAGGGGGCCAAGGTGACTCAAACCCAGCTCTTCAGCGCACACACTCTTTCAAGTGAGAGACTGTGATTCACTGCTGCTCAGCTCGGATGTAAACAGAGCCTGTGAAACCTCACAGCTGACCTTCCAGACACTCAGAATACCCACTACAGGACATGTACACGAACACTCACAATAAAGGTTGCAGTCTTTGAATGTGAAGTTTGTTTAGTTGGTGTCCAGGAACTGAAATCTAAGAAGTGTGTAATTTGCCTTATTTCCCATCTCTTATAATAAACTGCTAGTGTAAAGTTTGAGGTTTAAGTGGGAAGGGCTGAGCTGACTCAAGCAGGCATCCCCCAAGAGGAGATGGTCCTACTATGACACCAAATCTGGTGCATAAACATCCAAAGTAAAACTGACACATTCAGGAGACTCTACGTATGTTTCTTTCCATCTCTGCCACCCCACCAGAAAAGTTCTGTTCCTGCTGATTCCTGCGATGTGACAGACGATATCTCGACACAGCCGTTTAAAGAGATCATGCCTCCTTCAGTGACTCTCACCACTCAGCATGTCAGCCGTCAAGAGCTGACGCGGATCAGCCAGACTGGGCAAAGATCCAGCCACAGTCCTCTCCGAGACTGACTGCCAACTTTCAGTCGTCCTCTGACGGCCACATGGATGATAAGGATGACTCGGGGTCAGCGGCTGCCAGCTTTGAGAGCTGACACAAGAGACAGGAGGAGGAGGAGGAGAGTGAAAATGAGCCTGAAGGCAAGCAGAGCCGTATGTTCCCTCTGGTGTTCTGCTGAAAGGGAGTCATTTCAGAGCACTTTTTTTTCTTCAAGATAACCAATTTTCTCCCAGGAATCCTTTCATCTTCTTTGTATAGACAAAAAAAATCTCCTTTTCTTTGCTTCTCTGAATTAAAATCTGACTGAGTGACTCTAAAAAAGGAAAGAAATCACAATCTCTGGATGAACTGGTGTTAAATTAAAGTTTTTCTCCCTCATTTCTTTTTATGATAGTGCGTTTTTTTTTGCCTGAGTTTAAAGTTCGGTGCACTGAGTTCAGATCAGTCTGCAGAACATAGTTACACTATGCAATGTCGCCCCCTAGTGGTTGCCATAATCCCTGTTGATTCAGCCCACAGACTGCACCACCTGCCAGGCTCAGAGAAGTGATAAGAGTTTAAATGAGAAGTGACCGTGCAAACAAAGATGTGACTGACTTTTTGTTTGTCTTTGATTTTATAGACTGCTTTTTTTTACACCTGATTGTTACATAACTAAGAGGATGAACCCATAAACTACCTCGGAGGACAAAAACACTGAGTTACAGTCCTGAGGTTGACATGAAGAGGAGCCTGTTTGTTGGTTTGAAGTGCAGCAGAAATACAAGGATGAAAAGCTGGATGAAGAGGAAAATGAAGAAGAGAAGAAAAGGGATTAAGAATAAGAAAAGCAGAAAGGGAGAAGAAGAAAAGGCAGGATAGAGGAGAGGAGGGTAGAAGGAAGGAAAAAATAAGAAACAGGAAAAAAAGGAATCAATTAAAGGCAAAAAAGTAGAAAGAAAGAAAGAATCAAGGCCGAAAACAGGAACAAAAACACAAAGGTAGAGGAGGAAAATGACAAAGGAGAAAAAGGAGGTAAGAAATATATAGGTGATAAAAAAGAAAGAAATTAATAAAGAAAGAAAGAACGAAAGACAGAAAAGTAGAAAGAATTAAGGCCAAAAACAGGAACAAAAACACAAAGGGAGGGGAGGAAAATGACAAAGGAGAAAAGAGAGGTAAGAAAAATATAGTTGACAAATAAATGAATAAATAAAGGAGAGTAGGAGAGAAAGACAGGAAGGATGAATAAAAGGAGTAAAAAAAGGGGCAGGAAGAAGAGGAATGAGACAAATCAGATAAATAAGGAAAGAAAAGAAAAGGAAAAAGTCAAGCGTTAAAGAGATAATAAACAAGAAAGAAATACGAGAAGGCTGAGAAGACTGAAAGAAATTGAAGAGGAAAGAAAGACAGAAAAGGACAGAAAAGGTTTTTAAAAACAAGTATGAAAAAGGTTTGAAAAAAGGGAAAGACGACATTAAAAGTAAATTTGAAAATTGTAGAGCCTTCGTTTGGTCCGAACAGGAACTTCAGTGTCACCATCTGGCTTTAATATTTTCAATCATTTCTAAAAAAATTCACTTTGTTGTAGATCCTCTAATTTCCCCTTTTGCTAACCAGATAAAGCAGCTCCACATGTTTACTTTCCTCTTCTAAAAGCTCATGTTTTCAAGGCTCTGTGTGTTTTGCCCTCAGAGCTCGATTCCCCTAAAACAGCAGAGGGCGTCAGTCTAACAGCAACACCAAACTACAGGAGGAGGAGGGCTGACAGAAAAAAAGAGGAAAACTTCTGAAAACTTGTTTGGACTGATGGGATTTAACTTTCTTTATATTACTGTGTTTGTTTCTTTGAGACTTATCAAGAGTGTGAGTGACTTTTCTCCCCAAACTTTTCACTTCTAACTTTATAAAGTCTCTGAAAAGTTGCAAAGTTGCTGCATCATGATATTTGCCGATCCTTCACAGAGTCAGCAAGTTCAAAAAAAGGATGTGTACCCTACGTGTGTGCTTGTGTTTAGAGAAGAAGAGTAACAGAGGCTGGCAGATAGATGAAAACCAATAGTGACAGTTTCTATCTGTGGCTCAGTAAACTGGTGGATAAGGTTACCATGGCGCCCGGTGGTGGGAAGATGCACTTAGCAACCAGGAAAAAAAAAAAAAAAGAAAAAAAAAGAGGAGCGAATCGTCAGAGGAGCTGAAAGGCTTCGATTCCTCTTCATCATCTTGTGTACATATCACCTTACATTTACTGCTGGGCTGTTTATTCAAGGTGTGCCTCTTCCTGTAAGAGAAACACGTCGGCTTGAAGCGTCGTCGTGATTATCTTCTCTTTCTGCGGAGAGTCAAAGGAGGCTTCCTGGGATTTGACTCCAAGCCAAGAGTAAAAACGTGTCTCTAATTGGACATCTCAACACAGAAAGCTCTTGGCTTTAGTTGATTTACTGAAAATAAAAACCACCACCATTACAAATCAATCTTCAAATCTTTGCAACATAATCAGTAAAAAGCAAGCAAATGAGTAAATGCAGGGAACAGGCAGTGAAACCAGTCTGCAGGAGATGACGATGATGAGCCACACAAGCTCTGACAAGTTGGACTCGAAACAGACACAATGCAATGCCACACACACAACACCGCACTGACCCCCATCAGAAGACAAACCAAGCAGCAGGTACACTGAGCAACACGTAACGAGACCGCGCAAACCACAACAGACAGAGCGGAGCGCACAGCGACACCCTGAAACCAGCACACTCAGGAAAGTACACAAAAATGAGTGGGAGCGGATGAGAGGAAGAAGCCACAAGACAAAACGAGATGGAGCGGAGGGAGGGAGGGAAGGAGGGCTTGGGAGGGCATGCGGAGGAGGAGGTGGAGGGAGAAAAACCGAGCTGACAAACGTGTAAAAAGACAGACAAGAGTGATTTCCAATTCTAACATTTATTAGATCGACTCAATCACAGGTACAGAGTTTATTGGCAGTGATTATCTACAACAGGCATCTCGGGAGGGAGTGGATGACCCTGATCAGGAAAGACAGGCGATTCAACAATGTCACCAGAGCTTGAGGAGCACTCGTCCTCCCATGACTAATTATTTTCACGATTGCTCAAATTGCCACAGAAGCAGCTGACACCATTCAGTGACTCAGAGAATTGCGTAAGAAAAAAAACAAAAAAGGAGCTTTTTGACACTGACATTGTTGAATTGCTCTTAACTAGAGGAGGTATGATGGAGAGGAATACAGCATTTGTTTGGTTTGAGTGTTCAGCATTTAAAGGTCCAACATCAAAACAATTTCAGGGGTCTGGTTTTTGCTGTGATGATTTCTAATTGTACATAATGAAGCCGTAATGCCAGGAAACAGCTGCTAATCGCATCACTTTCAAATGTTCTGTATTATAATCTCGTGTTCATCCACTCGCCGCAGTCATTAATCTGTATGCGATGATTCTTAGCGATAATAAACTGCCGTCGCCGACGTCTCTCGCACCCGAAAAACCTCAAAATAAACAACATATTTAACTGGAGTAATTAAATCCAAGTCGTATGGAAGACCCAGCAATTTGTGGCATGGGAAGTGACATCTAAGTAAACATAAATCACTGAACAAAATATACACATCACTATTTACACGTGTACTGAGGATAAATCACACGCATGCTTCGCCGAGTTTGTTTAAACACATGAGTTTAAAATGACTGGCAAACTGAGAGAGAGTCAATTACCAATTCACCATGTTTACACGGCGGCCTTTTTTACACCACACTGTAAGGAGTCTGGCTTTATTTTAACATGAAACGACATATTTTAAAGCCGATTATCTGCACTAAAACTGATCTTAGCGAGGAATCTAATGTCTTTTAATAACCTTTTCAGTCATTTCCTAGCTTTTGATGTCCAGTAGAACGGTTGAAAGTTGGTTGTTTGTCTGAGATATGTAGATCTCAGTGAGTGTAGGTGAAAAGTAAAGTGGCCGCGGGGTAAACGTGGTTCATTTGTCTTTAAAGTGCATCAGAGTCAGTGTAGAGGGAGTGTTTCTGTGAAGTCGTGGTCGGGTTTTGACCACATTCAGGGGGGGAGACCGCACACACGCACAAACGACACACACGCAAACACATGGTGCACTGGTTGTTACACTGTAGAAATACCTGAGCTGGACTTTTCCTCTCTGCCCGCCTCTTGAGGCTCGGAGCAGGGTGGCGGCGGCGTGAAGTTGGCTTCAGGCAGGCTGCTCTCAAAGGACGGCCTCGGGGACGGGGACGGCGGCAGCAGGGTGCTGTTAGGGCTGCTTATGTCGCCCTCCCCGACCAATGTCAGGTCGGTGTGTGTGTCCTCCTCTACAGTGCGGAGGCTTGGTCGGGTGTCCAAAGGCCGGGAGATGGGGGACAGGTGGGTGCCAAAAGTTGGGTGGCGAGGAGGGGGTAAGAGGCAGCGCCTGGCTGCGGAGTGTCCGTTGGCGCTGGAGCTGAGGGAAGAGTCCAGACTCTCCGAACGAAGACTGGAAGTAAGGGCCCCCCTTGAGGAGATGCCGTTCTCCCGGGTCTGTTTCAGGGAGTCAGGGGTGGAGCATGCCAGCTCAGGTGGAGAGATGCGTAGAAAGTCAGGAAGCACCAGATCATCTTTGTTCAAGAGTCCGCGTTGGTCATTGGCTCGGGTGCTCTGCGCACGGCTCAGCAGCTCAAAGAATTCTGTGAAACACATCAAGAGAGTTTCCTCACTCCAAGTTTTCCGAACAAGCCTCGAAGAAAAGGATTAGTCTGGTTTAACATGCAGCAAAGCAGCCTCACACCTGACAGAAAACATCACCTCTCAGAGCTGCAAATATCTACGCAGTTAGTCCTGCAGCAAAGCAAAGCTAAGAAAACCACCGAGTAGATAAAAGATAGAAGAAGAGAGAAAGAAAGAAGAGGGGGTTTTACCTTCGGCTTCATCTATATTAATCTTTTTCTGTTTTCTCTTTTCCCCTGGAAGTCCTGAGTCTGGTCCACTTGCTCTCACAGAAAAGTCCTTTGGTGTTGACCTCTCATCTCCCTGCAGATGCAACAATAACAATGCACTCTGTTAGGGGATGGAGGGATGGGGAGGTGGTGGAGGAAGAGAGGGAGGTAGGGAGGGAGGGGAGGGAAGCTAAGCATGAGCTGCCAAGCACCCTACTGAGCGGAGGGTCCAGATTTACCGAGACCCTCGCGTAGGGATCAGCCCGGTCCATCTGTGTCATAGCTGACCTTGCTAGAGCGAGTGCTGTCTGCCTACATACGGAGCCATAACTCAAGCGTTGAGAAATATGAGTGAGTGAGTCAGCCACAGGCGGTGTTAGGGCAAAAAAAATAAAAGAACAAAAATAAAACAGAAATAATCAGAATAAAAAGAAGAAGGAGAAAAACACACAAGACCGGACGATAAAGATTTGTGTGAGAAACTGAATCAAACTGAATGTTGCAGAAGCGGCACAGCGATAGCGAAGGGTAAAATAATCTGGACTCAGTTCTGATGTGACATGTGGTAGACTGGGTGAAGGTGGTGCGAGTACTTACTGTCGCAGAAAAACTCCTGGTTGGAGGGTGGCCTTTCAAAGAGGAAGACTTTGATTTATCTGAGTGAGGAAAGAAAAGGAGATTTTGCTTCATAAAATATAAAATCTATTTTTTTAAATCCATGTGAAAATATTATTACATGTGTAGAAGTATCCCACCTTTGCTTGAAGCAGGGTCTGCTCGCTCCAACACAACTCGCAGTCCATCCAAACTGGATATGGGGGCGCCCAGGTCCAGAGGCTCAGTTTCTCCGCTCTAAATCAAAACACAGTTACATTGTCAGCATGTTAGCAGCCTCACCTGTTGAGCAGAAATCCAAATATGTAGAAGTTCCTCCATCCTCCTCTTAGTTTATAAACCATCTTCCAGCTCTGATCTGCTATATAATACAGATATAATGTTTAGAAACCCACAGGGCGAAAATAAATCGTCTGGGGAAGGGTAAAGAGTCGGCATGTTTAAGGAGTGTCGTCATCCTTAATTATAACCCTACTTCCCCGTCTTAGGAGGCTGGGCTGACTCACTGCAGTAACCACCGTGTACAGATGGAAAAGGATGCGGTTGCTTCCCTCCCCTGACCACGATGCTCCACCCTGTGGCACTGTCACACACTGCACATGCTGCCCTCCGACACTCTGCAGCTTCAAAGAAATCAAGGCACCGAAGCCACCAAGGGAGAACTTACTATTTTGGCAACAAGATCACTGAGGTGGAGGCCGTATTTGGCCACCACAGGACGCAGGACCTCTGTGACTGGTTTGGTGGGTTTGGCTTTTAGCCCCACAGAGCGGTTGATGGGCACCAGGTCCAATCTAGAAAACAGGAAATACAGAAAAAACTGTTGGAGGAGACGAATAAGCATGAAGAGAAGAAGTGCTTCTCAAAACAAACATGGATTACCTGAAGAGGGTCCGCTTTTCCAGTCTTAATTCTCGTGAGCTGAGGGTCATACAGTCCTGGTCCAAAACCAGAGGCTTTCAGGGGGAAGAAAAAGTGAAAAGTTAAAAACAGAATACACACTAAATGCTCACATCTTTCTACAGTAGTGTATCCTGAAGAAGTACATCATGCTTCCGAAAACATCTACAGTGATAAACTATGAAAAAAATCACATCAAACCACTCATATAAAATGTGATGGGAATATTTTTGTTTGTTTTTTCAAGCAAAAGATTCTCGTACAAAAAGCCAGGCTCAAATTACAATAATAATAATAATGTGTTTTATTTGTAGTGCCCTTTGCATCAAGCGAATTTCACAGTAAAGGAATTTAAAAACAGGTTATTGGTTCGAAAAAAAACCAGAAACATCTCATTAAAAGAGTAAAAGCAAGATAAGAAACTATGAGGAGGGACCAAAAACAGAAAGTTTTAATGATCTGGATTACTACAATCAGCCAGAATGATCATCAGTTGGAGAATTGAGGGTGACCCAGGAAGGATATGGACCCTACTCTTATATGGTAAGATGGATCATAGACAACTTGAACCAGATCTTCTGACCTTGGTCGATTTAAAGTAAGTTGTAGGAATGATGTGCTTGAGGGGACCCTTTCAGCTGTACTACTGTCAGGTTTTCTTTCTGTAGCATTGACATCCCTTCACTGTGTTCATCCTAACACTCTAGTAGCCATTGGCAGTCTCCACCACCCCTCACCTTCTCCCCTCCCACCAGGAAGAGGTCGACAGCAGCGATGTTGACGCTGATGTTGTGACAGAGATCTTGGAGTACATCTCTTATGGAAGCGCCGGGCCGCAGAGCGATGGAGGAACAGGAACCGTCTGGAAGCAAAACGCTGCAGTGTTTGGGCGAGCGTTCCCACACTCCGACTGAGTGGCGATTATCAGCCTGAGGATACATAATTAAGATGATTCAGAGGCTTAATTTAACAAGAAGTACCGCTTGTGTCAAGTGTATATAGTTATTTTCTGTCGTAATTGTAGCTTCACCCTCTGATTTATTCCATCTATAAACAAAAAAAGTGAGTGGGCTGACAGGCACAAAATAAAAAAATAAACATCTCTGGCCAGTTACAATGACTTCACCAGATATTGAACTCTCTGAGTTGCCATGGTGATCTGTCCAGAGGAATCTTACCTCAATCTTGCCAGCCGAACAGGAAGTGGCCATCTCCAGGCTGGTACCGGACGACAAGGAGCCCTGGGACTCCCTCCGCCCATTACTGCCCCAGTAGTCTGCACACAGGAAGAGGAGCTCATTCAGATAAGACATATCAGCGCACAACTCACATTCAGATGACATTTAAAAAAAACCAACGTAACATCAGGATGGAGGCGGAGGGAGGATTAGAACAATTTGTTTTTTCTTTTGTGATTGTAAATTTTCACCACTCAGTCTTGGCAGGTTTAAAGGTGTGAGTCATTAAGGAAGGTGTTTGTGAAAAACAACAGATGTTTCTTTATATATCTGAGAGCTATAACATTCACTGAGGGGTATTTATGTCGAAGCTGAAGTGTGAAATTCATATTAGGTTAAAAATAACCTCAGATGATTAATTCTAATTAATTAATGTTAATGATTTATGCCAAATATTGCTTAAAAGTTGGCATGTCTTAAAGGGACATTTCCAGTGTTGTATGGTAAGTAAGTAGCAATACTTATGTGCAGTACTTTTTGAAGTATCTGTACTTCACTGGAGTTATTTTGTGCCCGCTACTTTTACTTTTACTTGACTACATTTCTAAAAATAAAAGTATACTTTAACTCCATGACATTTCACTGAAGCATTTTCGCTACTAGTAGTTTTACTTCGTCACCATGACAGCGAGTAGGGGGAAAATTACCTTTTTCTCCTTTTGCCTAATGTTGATTTGCATTGCACTTGATCATCGTCGATCAGTCACTCAAGCGATACTTCGTACTTTTACTTAAAGTACTTTTGATACTTAAGTAGAGAGAATGTGATATACTTTAAGACTTCGACTTGAATAGAATTCTCATGGAAGACTTTGACTTTTCTGGTAAGGTAACTAAACTTCAACTCAAGTATATTTGTTTAATACTTCATACAACACGGGACATTTCAGTAACGCACGCCACAGTGCTTAAAAACAGGCGGCAAAAAAAGCAGCAGTAAAAAATTTCAGCCAAAAGAAGCAAAAGTCAAAGACATAATAAAGCCGTTTGAATAAATGAAGTCCTGCTAAGTCTGGCAGATGGCTTTTATAATGAGTGTGGTTTTTGCTCAAGATTTCCGCCAGTAAAAAGAAGTTTTTCTTGCCGTGTTCGCCAAATGGGTCACTCTAAAGTGTCTTTCAAACATGCACTCCTCATAATTTCTAAGTTGAAGGAGTCTCTAAAGTTTTCCAAAGTTGCTCTTTCATGCACGCCCCTGTAAGAGTCAGAAACACACTGTGGACGCCAAAGTTTGTACCATAATGGTGGACAACTCTGTGATGACAGTGTTAGCGTTTCTACCAATGCTATGAGCAAACAGGTGGATCTCTGCTGTTTTTAGCTTTGACTTTATCACTCCTTCTCCAACCTCAGTGTTTTTATTCATCCTCTCATATCACTTTTCCTGGCTTGCGCATGCTTTTAACGTCATAATCCCCGCCCACTTACACTGGTGAATATCTCCTGATGAATTCCAACATCAGCTCACCGCGACTACGACAAAATGACTGCCTTTTACACCGTTTTAAACATCATTTTAAGCTGCTTCTCTCTGGACCACTGCTTCTTCAGCGTATCAGACTGTAACATTTTTAACAAGTATGTTTTTGCCAGTGTACCAGCAGAGTCTGAGCAATACTTTGATCACTGCAGGGCAGCTGTGTTTCTACACGCCTCCCCCGCATGCAGCTCATCTCAGGAGCTGGCAGTGATTTGGTGTCTTGTTCAGGAATACATCAGCGGTTAGGAAGTTTGTGTGCTGCAAAAGTTTTTGAACAGCGGGGCTTTCAGAGACAGAGGCGTTTTAATCGACCCCTCACCGAGGTTAATGTCCCCTATGTCCTTTTTCTTGGGTCCCTTCCCGAAGCTCCTGTTGCGTGACCACGAGAAGAAGATGCCGCGTTTCTTGTCGGCGCTCTCATCCCTGCTTTCATCGTTCAGGGACCTCCCTGATCTCTGCTTCCTGGCCTCCTGATGTTTGAAGACAAAAAAACAAAGATTTAACTTGAATGATTCACCACATAACACCATCTGCCTCCCTTCGGTGCAGCCAAACAGCGAAAAAGCGGCACCTTTTTGGGAGTGGAGAGAGTGGAGCGGTCTGAGCTGGCGCTGTGTTTGGATGGCGCGGGACTGCAGGGGATGTGGTAGGGGTCCGGAAGGGGTCGACCGTCCACCTCAGCGCGTATACACTCTTGGTAAAGGGAGGATTTGAGGAATCTGGAGTAACTGTCGAATTTCATCAGATTGAAGATCTACAGACGTGAAAGAGAAACAGACATCAGAGGAAGGAGACAACATAAGTGATGGCTTACAGTTATGGGATAGGAGGAACTACTAGTGTTAACATATGGTTACAGATTTTGTTATGACAGGTGTCCTCGCAGTCCTCTTATCATGCTCGTGTGCAGGCTGCAAACATACACACCTCTGACTGCATGTCTATGAGTCTGAGCGTGCAGTATGTGCTACAACATTCTCTGTGGGTGTGTGCCAGTTTGTGTTTATCTCTCTGGTAAAGACTCAGAGCCCTTTCGTAAACAAACCCAGATGGCCACGAACAGAAAAACCCAATATGCTTGTGCGGAGTGAGTCAAGACTAAACGAGAGCAAACCCCCTACTGCACACAGAATCCCTCTCAGAGGAAAATCGACTAGAGAGAGACGTCTCGAAAAAGACAAAACCACCATATTGCGGTTCTTTAAAAGATAAGCCCACTGAGACAGGGGTTTTGTCTGTACCTGTAGCTGCTGCGTCTTGAACATGTCGGGCCACGGGGAGGTGAGGACGTCATCAGCCAGCTGGGCCTGACTGTCGATGTTGACAGGCATGGTGGCCTTGCTGGACAGGAAGCTGTTGTAGATCTCTCCAGCTCTCTGAGACAGCTGGAAGGCAGAGATTTGGGATTTAAGATTTTTTATAACAAGAAAATAATGTTGCTCTATGTCTCCTTATCTACTGTTTAATCAACATATTTTGCAAACTAATGTTATTTAATATGAAACCTTGTAAATAGATGTTTGCTTCCCGTTCTTAAAGTAATGGCTTCAGACCCATGCATAAGTACATTTAAGGAGCAACATTAAACAGCCAGTAAAGGAAGAAAACATACTTTCCTAATTAAAAAAATCCAATCCATAGATTTTAAAGAAAAATCATTAATTTATATCTTTAAGGGAGCTAAATCTCTCAGAAGCACTGCTGTGGAGCAAATGTCACTTTATCATAAATTTACTTTTAACAGGAAATGATGCGGACATCCAAAAGCAGCTGCATGTGTATCTTCACACTGAGAACTTACCTGCTTTTTATCAGTTGCAGGGACATTGCTGAAGTATTCACAGGCCTGCCAGAACAAGATATTCTCTTCACTGAATTCTTTCTTGAGGAATTCCTGCAGAGACACAGTAACAACTTCTATAAGGCCTCAAACTACAGATCAGAGATTTCTCATCTTTTCAGGGCTGTTGTTGTTGCTATATTTTCTGCTTTTTCTTTTTCTTTTTCTTTTTTTTTTGAGACCAGTGGTGAGGGAAGAAATCGTTGGGTGTAATGTTGTGAACAAGTGTGGTGTAAGTGTGGGCGCAGGGTAGCGTGGGCGAGCGTGGCTCTGATCGGTGGTGAGGGGAGGTGGATCTGGGATGCCAGAACTTAATGTTGCACCTTCTGAAGGTGTTGTGGGCTACTTTCAAAAGGCACATACTTTGTGTGGGAGGAACAGGAGCATAAATAGAGGGGCGATCAAGACGAGGGTAGAGGTTTGATGTTGTATTAAAACTAAATGCACACACACAAACAGGGGATTTGTCACAAACTTTGTAGCGTCCAGTTTAAGAAAATCTGCACACTGACTAAGATTTACAGCAAATATTGTCATCAAATAGTTTGCCAAGTCTTAAGTCTGCAGTATAATAATGTCTGTTTGCTAAAGTTTAGCAAAATTCAGCTCAACAAACTTCTCTCTCTTCTTACCGAGAAGTAGCGCACGCCCACGGGATCCTGCAGGAGACGCTCGAAGCAGGTGGCCCAGCTGGCCACACGCTGCTCTGGAAGCCCTCTGTGGCTGCCTGCGCCTGGAAGGCTGCCATTACTGTTCAGGCTGCTCTGGCTGCAGCATCCCTGCAACTGGACTCCACTGTAGTCTACAGGAAAGAAACATGCAAAGGTCAGAGAGCTCTGATGTTAGAAGTTAACTCAAGCCAAGAGGAAGACTTGTGCCCTTTACATCTTTAGGAAAAAAATACTGTGTTGTTTTTTTATTTCTAATTCTTTTTGGCCTTTTTTTTTAGCTTGATTCAAGTTGATTATATTTTTAAAGGTAAGCTAAGTGACTCTGTATTCTTTCCAAAGATTTCCATAACAATTAAGGTCCTTTCACACCAGGAGCGTTTTTTTTCGTGTGACTATTTCGGACGTCAATATTTTTTTCAACCCCGTATCCTGTCAATACAAGCGTTCACATCAGCGACGTTTTCCCGTCCTGCGATATTGCGGCATTTATTTTTTCGTATCACGGTCGAGTTTTCTTAAGTTTCGCATACTGTTTGTCCACTTCAGATTGTTGCGATGTCAGATTCACCGGTATATCCAACATGGCCGACCGGCTGATTGTTTACGTGTCGGAGAACAGAGTGTTTTTGATAAAAGACACAAACATTACAAAGACAACTTTCGGAGAGTCATAGCGTCGGATTTCTCATATGACGATGGTTTGTGTGCTTTAACAGTTTACTAAACGTCTTTGTTTTAACTTTCATCTGTGCTAAGTAACTTTAGCTCATAAGCTAACCTGTTCAGATACAACATACCATATGTATTTTCACTGTCTCAAACTCAATCACAGTGTTGCTGTCACAGCACCATTAGGTCTCGGTTGTTACCTTACGTTTATGGATTATAGTTTAATGTTCTTATCTGGTACTGGCCCCGACTCAGTACATGCTATCATGACAGACAGACATCTCAACACTAGTGTCTAATCAGAACTGAAAAACAGTCAGTCTGCTGTTGTGTCAGTCTTCTCGCTTCCATCCGGGACACGTCTTTTTTTCCTCCGTAAAGTTGCAAAATCGCATCGTGCTTGATGTGTATAGTCTGGCGTGTCAAAATTCGTCTTCGAATATTTCGTAATTTTGCGTCACTCCCAATGTGTAAGGACCTTAAGATTTATGGAAAAAGTAAAGGCAAGAAGTTAATCTGAAATTTATTAGACTTTTCGAGACTTGATCCTTTTAAAAGGGGAGGTCTTGGTCATAAAACAATCTAGACACAAAGGGGCCAAAAGGTGCCGTACAAAAGCACCAAGCACAATAACAAGCAGAGAAAAGGACAAGACTGTAAAGCTAAAGGTCAGGGGTTTGAAAGGGATGCTAATGGCTCTTTACTGTACCCTTTGCTGCACTCTCCACTGCTGAATATCAAAGTTCAAAGACATGTAACAAGAAAAGCCAACATGTTTGACTGCATCTCAAAAAAGAGAAACAGCCAATGTCACTTAGTTTTTAGAAAAGAGGAGCAAACAGCGTACAGCTAAAAGGAGCCATGCAAAACAGGGGAAAGAAAAGGAGAGGAGACACGGCTGATTTAAAGGACACAAAAAGGATCCAGGAACCAGTGCACAGCTACAGTGGGGGGTTATTTCGTCCTGCTCAGTACCTGCTATCATGGCAGCAGATGGCCACTTTAGAGCTGCGTGCAGTGCATGCAGGGAGCATACAGTAAAAACAGAAAAAACAAAAGGGTCACAGCGGGACTTGTTACTGTTTTCATTCTGCAGAGACGCAACTGGTCGTCACGGGAAACCGCTATTAACTAAGTGAATCTCTGCTGTTTGGAGCAGGAGTGTTTGAATAGGGAATGCTGCTTATCTTTATGTCGCTTGCATGGCTGCAGAAATGGTAGGGCGGGTTTCAAATAGGTGTAGTTATAGTGCGGTGAAATAAAAGCACTGTAAATAGTGCGTGACATCAGTAACAGCCTGACAGTGAGCTCTTTCAGATTATGACTCAGGTAACCTTTGTATGAACTTTTAAAACCTACAGTAGGTCATTGTTCCTTTGCAATAAGCCTTTCTGTACCATTAAAACTAAAACAAGTAAATCCATCAGAGAATTTCACCGCTTTAAAATTAGAGTCCAAACATCACAGGCCACTTGTTTTCCCTTTATGTTTTAACGCTCAGAGATCCACATTGTGCGCTGCTCAGTTAATGAGACAGCTTTAGAAAGCAAACAGCCGTGCATGTCTGATCTACATCTACAGTGAAAGGAGCAAAATGAAGCAGAGCGGCGCTGCACCTCCTCCTCCTCCTCCTCTTCCTCCATCCGCTTGTTAGTAAATGTTATTAAAACTGCAATGAAAAGAGAGACCAGACAGAAGCGCACGCTAGCCCTGACTGTAACCCAGAACACGCTCGACAAACATCCTTTGTTAATGAGGTATGCTGAATACAGTGAATAGCACAGTGAGTCTTTTTATTAGACTCTTTTACTGAGCGGCTACAAAGTGCTGTGTTATGGGTAGAGGAGAAAATGAGGAGTAAAAAAAGCAGGCAGTGAAAGAGCTGGATGTAAAACAAGCATTTCCCTTTGTTAGTCAAATAAAAGACGTCAGTGAAAGTTGGTTAACTTTAATTGAACTCGGATTTTACTTCTTTTTTTTTTTTTTGTTTTTATCAATGAAATGAAAGAGTGTACTCACCGCCGTCTGAGGAAGCAGCAGACTGAAAGAGAACAAAGAGAGACATGAGTGAGAGGCTGCCCTCATGACCTCCTGCGCCGAGACAAGAGACTGGAGCTGATAGCAGCGGCTCTTCCGGCATCCCACCACTCGCTCTGAGGTGTGTGTGTCTTTGGGTGTGAGTGTGTGAGCTTGAGCTACTGGCAAAGGGCTGGATCTTTGCCCCTTACACAGGACCATTAATTTGTAAGTGGGCGGACCCCCCTGGCTTCCACCACACACAGCTGTTCACACCTCCACATGAGGACCCACCCCTAATTTCTTATTTTACACTCCCAGGCCGGGCCACACTCGCTAAAATCAGAGCTCATCAAGGCTGAGCTGCTCAAGAGGCCATCACTCCATGTAATGGTCCTCCTTTCACTTGCTAATGCGGGGTTGGAGGGGTGCAGATGCACTTGAATAGGGGGCAAACAGCAGAAGGACCCCTAGTGGGGATGGAAATTTCACTGTGACAACTTTATGCCAAAGAAAAAAAAAGCTAAATAAGACACCAACTGTGACTGATCTTAAGGTGGATCAACAAATATTAACTCGGAAACTCATCAGTCTGAAATCACGGCTCCAGTTTTGAGATTTCCAGAAACCTGTTAGCACGATGGGGCTAATGAGGAGCGATTTTAAACTCCAAAGTGGAACGCTGTGGTCGCAAATAAATGCAGGGGAGGAGATGAGAGGCGCATCTTCAGGTCTGGTCCAAGAACACTTGAAAATTGGGTGCGTTGGAGGATTCATCTGAAAAAGAGAGACTATTTGCAGAAGAGTGTTTTTTGAGCTGCTACTTCAAAGTGTGAATGTTAAAGGCTGATAAATGCTTACAAGCACGGCTCTTTCTGCCAGGCTGGTGCTTTGGTACAGCAGAGCACACACTTTGTACTATAATAGAATTGCAGAGCTTTACTATTACACTACAATACGACTAAGACGACTACTTCTAGGCAAGATTTTCCAAGGAATTGAATCAGCCATAGCAGAAACCTAGACATGTCTTTTTGTAGCTGTTGCTAATGTGACTAGTTGTCTCAATTGACCGCGGTCATGTGCATTGGCGTGACGTTTTGTCTCATTTTGGGAGTGACCACGTGTATCACACATAAACCGCTGAACCACTAATAGTCAGTCGCAGCCTCTTTAAAACTCCCCTTCAGCTGCGGAGTCCTACCCTGAACAGTCAACACCCAAAAAGCCGTTTCTTCTGTGGTGGTTAGTATGTGAACAGTAATCATGGGTGGGTAGCATGAGGACCAACATGAAGACTGAAACAGAGGAGAGACAACAGGGAGAACACCCACTCCATCTGTCTGTCTTTATGGGTCTAAAAACAGCAAAACCTCAGACTTTAAATATATACAGTGGGCTGTGGTTTACTTTAAAGAACAAGACCGGCATCACACAATGTGACGTAAACCTCGGTTTGGAAAAAGACAAAAACTATCCAGGGTGAAACTTTTTAAAGTATGAATCAGAGTCCTACTCGCTCCTTCACTTGTCTCCTAACTAAACGGGGACACTGCATTTCAAAGTAGCATCTAATATTAAGGGCCTGAGTCCACTAACAGAGTTGTAGCAACTTCAGAGTTCTGCTCACTTGGACTCACTGTTGCTAGTTATGAAAGTTCTTTCACAGCCCTCCCACTCATCTCACTTCTTTCCTTTGTAGTGACTGTTGAGTCTGTTTTAAAATGCTGTGTCTTTATATAATGGAATTACACAAAAAGGCACAACAATTGGTAAAACAAATTGTGTTATATCATAAGCAGCAGCTCTAAACCTGAAAGTTGTAGTTTGTTTTCTGTACAAACTTTAACCATCGTTGTTAAAACTAGTTCTTGGTTTTTGACGGGTAGATGATAGAGAAGCGGTATTAGTGTTTCAAAAGTTTGACCTTTTTTCAATTGAAGTCCAGTAAGGAAAGAAAAGGTCGACACCAAGATAAGTCTTTGTACTTAGGATGCACACAGCATGAAAAATGCGGAACTAAAATGGTTTTGTGATAGAAAATGGACCAAAAAATGTTGTTAGTGGACACGGGCCCTAACAGCCAAGATGTGACGACTACTGAGAGACTGTCATCAAAGTGCTGATTTAAATTCAGTAATTCTTTCTCAGAACATCAAGTGTAGACAAATTGCAGAGGATGAGTTAGAAATGGTCTGATGTCATGGTTTGAATCACTTCTTTGTAATGCTCTTAGTGTCTGCAGCGCATGGCATGAAGCAATTTGGCGGAGCAGATGACGTTGAGCTGTATAAAATGAATTAAAACTTCAAGAAGTCTTTCAAAAAAGTTATTTCTTGAACAAAGTAGCCGTTTGTGTACCATTATGTAAAACAAAAAGAAGAAACTTGAGTAAATCTACGTAAAAACAGGTCAATTGTCAGTCTAAATTTAACTCATTCTCATGTTTTCACAAACATCCAATTTTTGTAAGAGTGGGACTTTTGTCTTTTCACAATTATGAGATAAGAGTGGGAGGATTTTGGTTAATGACAGTCTTGAAAACATAGTAATTCAAGGAGTCATAGCGATTCCTCCTCTTTAAAGCCTCCGCTCAGAGGAAAGCTATGTGGATGACAAATAAGTCATGAGTTACGTCAGAAGGCTACGAAGGAAGCGTTGCAAAATCCTGCGAATCACCTGACCGCGTGTTGTCAATAATTTAATCTCCCTGGGACAACCAAGGATCATTTTAGTGTTAGAAAATTTCGGATAAGTTAAAAACTGCTTGGTTGTTTGCTTTTAAAAAGTCATGATAACTGTTACAAACTCCAAAGTCCAAAGGGACCTGTTGAAACGGTCCATTCATGACAAAAAAAGGTGACAAACCGTCACTTTTGAGAGGCTTAAATATACAAAGATGAAGAAATATGACTGATAACCAATCGATAGCTAAGTGTTTCTTGTAAAAGTTGACCACGTGAGGCTGAAACAGGTTGGTGTGTGTCTTAGAGGCTGCAGAGGTCAGACCACACACACCACTGTGTGTTTTCGAACTCAGCATTGCTTCCTTGTCCTCAGCTCCACTACAATCAGGCCAAAGTGGTGACCCGGCACACCGTCACCTCTTGCCTCTCTTCACACACACTCCCTTCCTCTGTTGACACCTCTGGTGACGAGCTGGTCGACTGTGGGTGGCTCTGCACGACCCACAGTCCCTCTTTGATCCCTTTCATGGAAGCCGGATTGCAAAGATCCCATTTCCCAGCTGGACTCCCTCTGAAAGCTGTCAGCGTTTTGCTTGTTATCATCCAAATGGACAAAATCACAATTCAAGTCACAGCGAGTTCCCTGAGCAAGGATTTGGCTCTCCGGTTGGAAAAGGCTGCTCCAGCTTTATTGCGGTACAGCCCCCACGCCGCACAGTCTGGCATCCTGAGACACCACATGCTGGAGGAACGATGATGATCACACAAAGACAGATTTATGTGTGTGATCTGAAGTCAAACACCAGGACAAAGCGCACAGTTTTAGCCCTGTGAAATCAGCCGAAACCTGAACCGTATTCACAAAAATGTAAATGTCACTAATTCGCACCTCTTTCTCCCCTTTTCAAAGTGTCTCTTTAATCTTTTAGGCTTGTTTGGACATGTTTTCCTCTTCCAGAAACTAAGCTGAGATGTACCCTTTTAAAAACTTTCCCCCAAGTAGGATAAAAAACTTCCAAACTTTTTACACAAGTCAAGACTGATTCCGGCACCCCGCAAACAAACAACTCCCCACCGCTTCAAACAGCTGTTCTCAGTGAGAGAAAGAGGCGAGCAACAAAGAGGGAGATTAATGAGAAAAACAGCTGACTGAACAAAAGGAGTCCTCTCGCTCCAGACGGAGGAGGACAAGGAGGCTCACCCGGCAAACCACAGTTTACTTACAGTGTTGAAGTTCCAGGTCCTCTTGAAAGAAAGTCTCTTTTTGAGACTCATTGTTCCCTAAAGTCTGCTACACCCGCCGCACACAGACGGATTATGTGTGTGTATGTGTGTGGACGCATACCTGAACATTCCCCACCCAAAACTCTGCAAACCGTGTCTGTACAAGCCTGAGCGAGAGGGGAGAGGAGGGAGGGAGAAATTTGACAAGGTACTGGACAAAAAGAAAGAAGAAGAAGAAGAAGAAGAGGAGGAGGAGGAGGAGGCGGGGGAGGAGGAAGGAAAGATTTCCTTACTCCGCAGCTGTTGTCATGGAAACCAGGAGGACAATACATACAGCCTTTGCCACAGTGGCATGAAGGAATCAGATGAGTTAACCCCCCTTTCTTCTTCTACACACACACATACACACACACACTGGCCATGTCAAAACCACAGTGGCTGTTCCCCCCTCTTTTGTTTCCAGCCGGGGAACTCTTTCTGTGCTTGAAAGAGGAGGAAAAAAGGACCATGTCGGTTTTTTAAAGTGAAACCAGATGATTTTTACTGGTATCAAAATAAAACTTTGGGAGTTCAACTCAGCTGCCACAGAGCCCCAATTCTTCAATTCGGAGGTTATAATTCTATCACGTTGGGTTTTCTCCGAATGATTTAGCTCATGTTGCAGAAACAGAAAATTATTCTCACTTCCAAATCTCTACAACCACGCCAAGTGTTTCTGCTCCAACTACTTCTGAGGTTTTCCTGCTTGCATTCTTTGGATTGGATTTTGCTGTAAATAATGAAAGCGATACAAGCGTCATTAACAGCAGGCTTTTCATGGTAGATTACTCCAATTTAATTAGATTTTTACATGGCCTATTATTTAGCAAATTGAATGTTTGTCACGTTTGCATCAGGGCTGTGAGGGGGGGAGGGGGGATCACAGCTGACATCTTAACCACCTCCAGGAAGATGGATGGCCATGCTATGAAACACAATGGCATAAAGAGGAGCTAATCAAGTTGAACTGATGGATAAACATCTCGTAAAAACAAAAAGACGCCGACAGATTCCGAGCACATTCCCGCCTCTGCACACCTGGTCTGCTCTATGATAATGCGACAAAAATAGATTGACACAAACATCCTAAATTGCCGCCTGAAGAGAGATCTAATCACTCACTAGCGAGTGCTCAGACTGGGAGCCCTAAATTTAAAGATTCTTGTTGCTGTAATTACTGGTTCCCAAAGACAATTTGCAGCGAGAAGACGATGTACTTGCTGATTTCAACACAAATTTCAATTTTGGATTATTTTACCAAGCCAACAGATTTTGCTACGAAGTTTAGGCGCGATCAGGATTATCAACCATAACGGAAGAAAACGTCCTGCAGAGTTTTTTCAACATGCAGTAAGTTGAAGGGGCTAACATGTAACTTAGCTGTTTGATATAGTTACCCTTGCCTATCTGGTTCAGCTTGGTCCAACACAAATATCTGCACAAACTGATCAAAATGGTCCTACTCTTCTGTTGGGGTACCAAGCATATCTTCTCAACCCTAAAGGGTAAGGATAGACATGCTCTGAATATATAAGAAGTTTGATCAATTATAATCATGCACTAGGACTTAACTTTATGTATGTTTGTTCATATCAGGAAGTAGGTGTCAAGAACCATCTACCAGCTGACAAAAAGAGACACTTCCTGAAAACTTGATGGAACTTAATCTAACTTACCTGCTGGGTCACGGCCTCTCAGATCAGGGGTTTTCTCTTTAAAAGTTTAATTTTCGCATATGTTAAAACCGTGCATTTACAGTCGCGGTCCTTTGCTTTTAACAGAAGACATACCACTCAAGCTTTTCAGGTAACATATTCCTCCATTAGATACTCCACAAGTAACGAGCTGATTAAATAAAACATACTGATGTGCTTCAGTGCACCAGCTGTATAGATGTCTTTAAAAATAACACTTACAGGATGATTACATAGTGTACATTCAATGCTATGAGGCGGAAATGCACCACAGTAAGTGTGAGTGCCTTAATGCGCAGATGAATTCATGCTGTTATCAAAAGCTATTCATGCTACAGAGCTGAGTCATCTGTGGTCACAAACTCATTGAACAGAGAAAATTCAAGCCCCCAGCTCTACCTTTGCCCTCTGACCTCCCTGAGGCAGAGTGTTCACAGCAGCCATTTCTAAGCACACCAAAAGGGCAAAGCATGTTGGGACTCTTCAAACCAAAAGCACCTCCAGGAAAAGCATTTTTCTACCTCCTGCTGAAGTTTTTGGAACGAAGGGAGGGGGAAAAAAAAGAATCTGCTGCCACAGAGAGAAGAGTTTTCACATCAGCTCTCAGCCGTCATTTGATTTAATCAATTAGTGAAACATTTCCAGACAGGCTTGGCACTGCTTGTCACAAGACCCGGCTAATTGCGTGTCAACTCCTCCACTGGGCAATCTCGACTGAGGACAGGGAATAATCTGGGCCTGCTATCTGCGGCCGACGACAAACTGCCTTCTGAAAATAACATCAAGAAAGAGAATTGCACAGAGGCAACTTCCTCTGCGGGAGAGAAGGGCGAGGGTGCGGTGACTGATAAGATGGAAGAGACGTTTGTTTCCCGACCGAGGAAACTCCTCTGACAATATCAGAGAGGACAGACAGGCATGTGTTGGATTTGTGTGAGGCAAACAGTGGAATCTAGTGTTTTTACTGTGGAAAATCTTGTTCGTCACAGCAAATCTGACAGACTCCATCACATTAGCAAGGATCTGATGAGGTCAGCACGCTTATGTGATGCTAAAGGGACAGGAATTGTAAACAACATGACCACAATTATCCTCCCCTTAGATTCCTTATCTCCGTTACGTCTATAGATGAAGTTCCCTCAGATGTAAACTCAGACAGACATAAGGCATCTTAAACATGTGGGCTACTGTCATGGCACATTGAGGAACTGTGATTTTATCAGAAGGGCCAGTGTGTTTTGTTTCAATTCACTTATGATCTAACAAAGTTTCACATGGTCAAAGTCTTTTAAGAATTAGATTTGGATTTTAACCGAGAAATAAAGCAGCCATGTGATTAAGATGTGATTCAAATCCAAACAATAAAAATCTGTCTGGGTTTTTTTATTTTTGTCCATGCTCTGCAAACATTTCTTAGAAACATGGAAAATAAAAGATTGGGTTAATTTACCAAGCCCAAGTGGCACATTTTTATCATTTTTTAACATAATTTCTTTGTATATTTGCTAATTTAACAGGAAAAAACACTTGTTATAAGGCACTCTCATTGATTGTGTTGTTTACCATCATATCTTCCACAGAGTAGACAGTCAGGTGTGATCTTGTCATGTGATCCACTCAGCGGATGACCCCACATTACAGGACTTAAAGGACTCATGTTTGTCTTCTCCGCTCTAATCAAAAATGGTTAAATATTACAAAGATGCAGGGATGCTCCGATCCACCAGAGTCCAGATTTGTGCTGAGACGTCTTTAAAGTGTAATCCCGTCAGATAACAAATTGGTGGTTCTCAGTGCCCTTTAAGACATCAGTGATTTGCATGCAAACACAGACCACCGTCACAATTCGTTTCATCTCTTAATCCCTCCTGATCGGCGGTAATCTACTCCCTGTTCCCAAACTCTAACCGGTTAGCCACAGCAGATGGGCACAGCTCTGCTCCTTTCTGGATTAAAGTGGCATTACCATGATTTGTTCACCGCTGCTGGTGTGTGTGAGCGTGTTTGTGTGCGAATGTGTGCGTTAGCCACTTGTTGCTGGGAGTACCAGCATTCCTCTGAATGGAGATGTTTACCTTTTCGCCTTTGCTGCCCTACTTTTTGCAGGGTCAGGATCTTGGCGCTCCAACCTGATATCATAATTTGCCTTTTACAACCCAGAGCAGAAATGTAAATTCTGATCTTAACCTCTGGCACTGGAGCACTACAAGCATGCATGGCAATAAAATGTGAACTTCTTTTGTTGCACTGACGAAATAGAGAGAAAAAAAGTGACTCCAGTTTGTTTAACATTGGAGGAAATATAAAACAGAACAGTTTAAGCACGTTTGATTCAAAGCTGAACCCTGCACAAAAAAAAAAAAGAATGTGAGGCAGACACTACATCCACGACCCCTCCCTTCTCGATTTATTATCACAGAGTAAAGGCTTTGCTCTCTCGAGCCTGGAGGGCCTGAGGTGGGTAAAACCACATAAGATGCCACCACACCCTGTTTCTGCTCCCTTTCTCTTCCATAAAAAACACCAGAAATGGACTTTCCAACCTGAAACCTGACACGTATAATTAGCCCAGTCAGTCCCCCCGGTTGTTTTTTCCACAAAACTAACTTACACAAATGCTCAGGGTTGTCCAGTCTGGGAGCTTGGGTCCATTTGTTGTGTCATGATAAGGCCATGATATACAGAAACATCTGCCTCCTGGGGGGGTTCTGCTGCCGTTATTGACTTGCTGTCTAAGTCCACCAAAACCTTACACCCTTAAGTCTAATCCTTTTAGTCACGCAGAGAACCTGAGCTTGTTGAGCGAGACCATGAAATATGGAAAGATGAGTTTGGCTCATAGAGTTTATCCCTCTAAATTTAGGGCTTTTGGATGGCATGTAATGCATGTCTCTAACTTTGTATTCATACATCTTATCACATCACTAACTATAGGTTTATATAGCCACCATAGTTTTTGAGCACCCTGTCTTTTAGGCTCCTGTGGGAAGTTGTTATATGGACCACCTGCTGTTGCTGCCTGCCTGACTCCATCTGTTACAACTAGATTTACTTTTATTGTTATTAGAATTATTGATGCTAATTGAGGAGATGCTAGAATCTCATCGCTTTTACCATCTATGAATATTATCACATGATTAGAAACTTGATTTGTGGAGATCAATACTCATAGTTAATGTAATTTCTCAGCATGAAAATGGCTCATAACAAACATGATTTATCAGATCAAGTTGAATGAAACTGTGCTAACACTTAGATGTTAACCAGTTAATCTAACTTGGATAATAATATCTAGTAAAACAGGCATCTTTCTATAGAGCAACCTTCAACCGCTGCCTATAGAAATATTGTAACACATTGTGAAATGTTGTACCAAAGCAATGAGGTCACACAATAACCCAGTAACCCAGCTATACAAACAGATGGATCACATTTCTCCATGCTGACCACAGGATGAAGATGTTATAGAAATAGTTCATGAGGGGAAGTTAGTGTTTAGACTGCCAAAGTAAAGCGCCAAGCCAATCCTTCAATAATATCACTGGGAGAAGAAGTTGGCCGCTCAGATAATCCGTGTTTTTGATTTCCACAGTGCGAGGGCGAAGAGACCTTGGCTTGGTTTTTGGGTCAGAAAGATACTAGTTATAAACACTTAAATAGTCTCCCTCCTGTTCGAAAATATCCAATCCCTCTGAGCAACACCTCAAAGACATGAGCTTCTGGTATGAGGTACAAAGTTGTACACGATGAGATCCCAGACATGTCTAAACGGTTACCAGTGAGGTGATAAAACACTCTGGCAGCTCTGAAGATGTTCCTTGTTGGGTAACCTCCACACCCTTGGCAGATTCCCTTTCAGCGGAGCAAAGAAATGTAATAATAGTACGATTTGGGAAGGTAAACAGTGTGCGGGGGATGAATCACTCTATGAAGACTTTTGGGCCAGGTTCAGACCAGGCCTTCCTTTGGCCGATCAGCGGGGTGGAAGATGGAGAGCTGTGTGGTTTTTCTAAAAAAATAAAAAAAATCATAATCCTGAAAGTCGGCGGATGATGTCATAGCATTGGACTGGATCTGCAGCTTGTCTCGGTCCAGAGATCGTGAAGCGGCGGGTATTTTCCGTGGTTACATTTGGGTCAGAAAGCAAAGTCAGCAACCACATCCACATCTGGTCATCTGGTTACTGGCTGTTGCAGATTCATACCCGGAGCAGCTGGACAGTTAAGGAACCTCCATTTAAGTTTTCTCATGTTAATGCTCTGCTTTTCCACTTGGTTGGGTTTGGAGAGAGGAGTCTGTGTGATTGCTATAAAACTCTTATATATGTGGGTGAAAAGAAGAGAAAATAGTAGAGGGGACATTTGGAAAATGTCAAGCTATAATGCTAGCCTAAGGACACACTTCGTGAGCGATACTGTCCACCCACACTCCAAGGCGGGCCATGTGATGTCAGCAGGATAAAAGTGCGTCGTGTTCTCCTGCTAATCCCCAGGAACACAACATCTCTGCTCCTCTTCTGAAGTCATAACACCCGCATCGAAAAGTACAGGGAGGGATTGATCTGATGAAGGGTGGCGTCTAATTTTAGCAGCTATTACAATATTAATAAAGGTCATTAGTCAACTTCTGGGTGCAAATAGGCTGTTTGCTCAAATATACTGTGTTTCTTTTACCCAGAATGTCTCAACAAGAGGTATCTCGCAACAGCAACAAAAAAATGTGTTTCTGAAAGATAAGTGAATAAAAGGCTGGTGAATCAGAGCGCGGGCATGCCTGCACAAAGCCAACAGGGGCAAGGCAAAACCACAGCAACCTTGTCAAGTTCAAACTCAGTTGAGGCTGTTATGTGATCGCCCAAGAATACAAATCCTCTGAACATATTTCTTTCAAAAGGAACAACCTTAAACACGGTTTCTCTCTCACGCTGAATCAAACGTGGGTCATTTCAGAGCACTCTTCATTCAAAGGCCCCATAAGCAGCCCTTGATGTGCAGTTAACAAGATCCCGGGTCACTTCACAAAACCCTTTCAGTGCGGCGTCTAATTTGAAGTCAGCGCGCATCCTGATATAGATGCTGGACCGCAATTCGCTCTTTACAGCGGCGCAGTGTGTGCGTGTGTGTGTTTCATACAGCACATGAGAGTTCAGCTGGCACTGGTCAAAACATTCCTCTGACAGACCACACAAACTAACCACTGTACGCCGCTCAAAGACTACAACAGGAGCTACAAAGAGCCCAAAGAGGGGAAAAGTAACGGTGGTGAAGGGGGGAGATGCCGACGAAGATGGGAAAAGAAGAGACAGACAGGAAAGAAAAAAAAACACAGATTTTTTCATGACTTACAGAGTTGAGAGTTAAAGTTTGCTCCATGTATGGCGCCGTGTGTGTGCGTGTGTTTTCCTTCAGCGCTGCTGCTCCACACGCCCGGTGTGCGTAAACGAGTCCATCCGCCGAGGCTCCGCGGTGCGTGTGCGAATTGGTGTTTGCAGTGCGGAGAGACAGAGAAGGAACCGGGAGGAGGAGGAGGAGGAGGAGGGAGCGTGAGGGAGAGCCGAAATCCTGACAGCTACTGGGAGTTCAAAAGCTCCCTCTCTCTCTCTTCCCTCTCACTCTCTCTCTCTCTCTTCGCTGTAAATTCCTCCTCCTTCCCTCCCAGTATCTGTCTCCGTGCCTTCTTTTGCTACGCCCACAGGATGGATCTATTTCCCGCAGGCGTGCAAACAAGAGCTACTCATGTCTCCGCACCTAATGGGAGAGGAGGAACTTAATTCTTGAAGGGGAGTAGAGGCGCTCTAAATTTCTTATCCGGCATCTGGAGTATAGAAAATGATCAATCAGAGATATTCTCCCATGCAGCAACATCTCAAATGACATAGCACAGTGTCACCTTTTCAATGCCTTACTTTAGTGTAGGGCTGAGCGATATGAGAAAAAGTATCATGATATGTTTTTCTTCGTATCAAACGATATTGATATATATCACGATATAAGAAATATAATTCAAGAGTCCTTTTTGTCGTAAGGCGCTGCGCTAGAGAAAGTGGACTGAATGGTCGGCTGTTTTGGCTGCACAGGTGCCATGGGCTCCTTGCTTTGCTCGGGGTTTGTAACCTTTTGCATTGCCAGTGCTCTGCTGCGTGGCGGGGAGCAACCACCATTCCGACATCTCGCCATTGGTTTCTAATTGTCGGAGTGGCGGTATGTTACCATACAACGTGCCGTAATCAAAGCAGGACAAACGCCCGACCAGTTGCCACACCGCCGCAGAGCCCTCTGCACGGGTTCGGCACGGACATTACCATCTAAACACTAGTGTCTAATCAGAACTGAAAAACAGTCAGTCTGCTGTTGTGTCAGTCTCCTCACTTCCACCCGGAACGCGTCTTTTTTGCGAAGTTGCAAATTCGCATCGCGCTTGATGTGTATAGTCAGGTGCGTCGAAATTCGCCTCTGAATATTTCGTCATTTTGTGTCGTATATTTGTGTCGTTCCCGGTGTGGATGGACCTTGAATCTTCATTTCTGCCGGGGGTAGCACTCATTATCTTTCTTTTTTTTTTTTTTTTATCACAGACACTGCTGTCGGCTTCATGTGTTTAAGTGCTATGGTTGCGTGTAGCTGCACCCTGCTACTATGCAGTTGTTTGCTACTTGGTTCTAATTCAACACATGACTGGTTCAGCGCGGAGCGGACCCAGAGCAACTCCCCTTTTCATTGGCTATTACGTATAATCTACCAATACAAAGCAGACTGCTGACTATCAAAAAGCAAATTGACCATGTTTTATATTGATATTGAGTGAAATTAATTTTAAATATATATTGTTCTCGTTTTACTGCCCAGCAAGCCGTACTTAAATGTCACTCAAGGAAGGAGAAACACGACAAAAAGCATCCAAAAAGGCTCCAAACAGGGAGTTTCAAGAGCTCAGTATGCACTCCCTAGTCCAGGTGCAAGCACATACTCAGAGCTTATCACGAATGTTTGCAAAATGTGCCATGAGAGCAGTCCTCTGAGACAACCTCCACAACAATAACCAACTCAGAAAGAGCTGCAGAGGAAAAACACTTCATACTCTCCAGTTCAAACAGGCACTATTTTTCTTGAATGAGCAAAGAGGCATTTAAGGTCAGCTGTTTTAGGCCTTAATAGGCATGATAGGTTGATGGTATTTCTGCATCGTCTCTGAAGTGGAGCACAACCTTCAAGAGCGAATGGAATTCCTTTTTTCTGGTCGTTCTTTTTTTTCTGCGTCTGAGTGCTTTGAACAGAAACACGAGTAGCTCTTGAAATCTTTTGCTAAAAAGTAAAACAACCAGCTTTTGACCATGTGTAAGTCTTCAAAAGAGTAAAGTCTAATTTGTGATGCTGCTGGTTTGCTGTGGGAGAGGCTTTTAGAAGTGCACCATCTGATCTATGACCATGAAGTCAGGGTGAAGTTTGCCCTTGAAATAAGACACCGAGGCCAAGTTCCATGTGAGGATCTGATTGCCTTTGACAACCATGAAACATTCCCTATGGTGATATTAGCAGGAATCTACAGAACTGCCATCATTTAAAACTACATGAGGTAAATTAGTGGTCTTGATTAGTCACAGTGGTCATGCCTTTCAGACGGATGTGGCATGAAGAATTTAATCTTGCTTGAATGTAATCTTGTAGCAAAGATGTATGTATATAAGTAAATACATCACATAGTTTCTTCACAGCATAATACTGTAGAGACTCCTTTGGGTAGACTTGAAAGTGTCTTTAAATGTCTCTTATGATGTACATGCGTTACCTTTCTAGGGTACTTTGTTTCATACTCCAACTTAAGGGCCTGTGCCTGGGTCTCAATTTAAGAACGCTTTTCACTGGCGTTTACTGCTGCGAGGTTATCAAGTTATCCCCTGGCTTTTAAGACCTGCTTCAACTTCTCCTCTCTGCCTCTTGCTACAACTAAGTTGAGTAGGAAATCATCAGGCAACATCCCTTTGACCACCTCTCTGTAATGGACATAGGCCCTGAAGTCCTCATGGGGATTTCTTTGTGTTTTTTAACTGCAGATTCTTCTCCTGTAATGAAAAACCCAACTGCGGCCAATTATTTCAGCTAGCCAACATGTCAGAACCTGACCCTGTATGGACGAAAAATTACCCACGATGCTCCTATGATGAAAGGCTTATGTGTTTTTGACTTGACTGAAACCTCCATCATTTAACATCAGCTTGAACGTGTCTCTCCTTCCCTGCTGGGGCTCCTGATAGAGTTGAGGTGTGAAGTCCAGGTATTACAGATGTGCAAACATTGTGTAACAGAGCAAACTTGAGGTGTGAGGGAGAGAACTCGACACAAAGCTACAAGTGTGAGAGCATCCAGTTTACACCACCAATGTCGGTTTGTTCTGTGAAAAGTAGCTCCACATAATGGGTGTCAAATAGAAAACTGGTTTCAACAGCCCGAGGCTCCAGTTCTTCACATTTTCAGCTTAACAGAGAGCAAGAATATCTCATTACGATGCCTCCACAACAGCTGTATCAGTTTTATGCCACAATGGTAATTTTCCTCTTGTACAAAGCTCATTTGTGACTGTACAAAAGTAATAACCATGGCAACCCATAGAGCAACAAATCTCAACCACTCACAGAAAACATGTGTGAAAGTTTGTAACCTCACAGGAAAGTAAGGATGTGAAAGGTTATGAGTTCTGATTACCACACGCTTTCAAACAATTCTAACAGTGCATAAAAAGGCTTATGAAAAAAACCGAGCTTGGGTCGAATCTTCAATCCAAAGCTGCAGCGAGTGAAAGAGAGGGAACAGCGGTGGTTGAGTTACTTAGAGACAAAGCGAAGGAAGCGCTCATGAAAATAAAGCAGTGAAACTGAAAATGAAACTTTATCCGTCAGAAAGCAAAATGCTGGTCTCTGCTTACAGTGTTGGAAAAGGTAATAAAACCAGAAGGCACCCATTTTTTGTTGCTGTGGTATCTCAACAGGTGCCAATATGATAACATTTTCATTGGTATCATTTAGAAGTTAGAAATTCTGGTATTGTGACAACTCTAAAGTAGCTCTGAGCACTGTCTTCCAGTGTGGACATAGAGGAATAAAAAAGTGGAAAGTGTATTGGGATTTGGTGCACTTTCATCCAAGAACATTACCACCCTACAGTCATGAGTCTACAGTAAATCAACAATGAGAGACAGGATAAAAGTTGTGTGCAAACAGCAAATCTGCAGCTGTCATAACCTTTTACAGCCATGTGTAATCCTTTTAAGATGCGGGGCAGACTTGCTCTGAAACTGGAGCGTATCGACTACATTGCTTGTCAGCGTGGAGATCTGTGGTGTCCTGCTTTTGGTACAATGTGTGGTCTCCGGGTGTGTCTGTGTGCGGCTGTGACTAATGCCTGCGTAGACCCACGATACAGTATGCCCCATTCTCAGTTTGTCTTTGTGTCTGTTCATGTGCTTTCAAAGCAATTATGAGCCGTAGGAACAGTGTGCGTGTGTTTATGTGAATATGAATCAGTGTGCATGAGTAATGCGTGCATGGGGGAAAAGAAAAAAAAAAGTTCCTCAGCGACATTAATATGAGAAAATGTGAGCGCAATATTCAGCCGCGCAGCAGCGCTCATTAGCGAGGCCAAACAAACAGGAGCACGGCTCTGGCCCACACAAAGAGCACTTTGTGAGCCACCTCGTGCCACAAGTGCAGCAGCAAAACGCAGAGTTCAAGGCGACGGAAATGAAAGGTTAAAAAAGAGCTGAATGTGGAGCAGAGAGAGAAAGGGGGATGGTTCAGTGAATGTCCACATTAGTGACGCATACTCTGCTGCAGTCAGGCGAAGAGGGAGGAACAGAAAATGATCATGAATATTGTAACTCTCATCATCTACAAAAGGCTGCTGATTCCCCTTGTTTATGCAGCAATCATGTAAAGAGACAGTACACGATTTGGAAAACAAAACAAAAATCAAGTCCTATGAAAACAATGAAAAACTTAGCGCCTACCTCGAGGTCGTCAAGTGATCGGGCCATGCTGAGGCGTTTGGATGAGCGGCGTTTAGAGGCGCGGACGACACCCATACCCCAAAACCTGGAGCCCTGCAGGATAAAAAGTAGTGCAAACTAAGACAAGACCAATACTAACAATGTGCATTTCATGACAACAAGATTAACCTTTGTGAATAAGCTGATTGTCAGCAAAGCATTAAATTTTGTCGATCATTAGACCAGAAAAGTGGATTCATCTCAAAAAGTTTGCACACCAAATCATATCACCCACAAGCTTAAAAATCCAAAAGTAAAGAAAAGTTGTGAGGTTGACTCTTTGGTTATTCTGCGGCAATTATAATATGAATAAAAAGACAGAACTACACTGGCCCCTTTTTCAAAGACACATAGACAAAAGCAGTGTTTTAACAGCTCAGTCTTTGACCAGCTCTCCTCTTGTGGCTTCAACTTCAGAAAAGCAGTTGCAGCTTAAACCGCCACCCCCCTGCGCTTATAACTGCGGAGGCTGTGTCCTGCATTTGAACAAGAGTTGCAGATAATGACCGCTGCATGGCATGAATGGCTCTACCCTGTAATTTGCCTGGCTTCCTGTAACAAGATTGTAGTCTGATGTAACACAAGCTGGGAGACAAGGACACAACAAACTCTGATTGATAAACACAACAAAGTACTGCCTTACATGCAGCCGAAAGACCAATAAATGCATAAAAGGAAGCTCTGAAACAGCCGGATCTACATCTGCAGCTAATCCAACAGAACTAACTGACTTTTGATTTTCAGTCATGTATGAAAACCTCGCATGAATAACTGATTGTAGGCACTTATGACTAAGAAACTAATTACACACACACAGACACATCACTGATTTCCTAAGGGAGGCTTGTGGTTTCTATCCCGGGGCTGCGTGGATGCACAGGGCCATCTTGTGGGCAAAACAGAGAGCAGCATAAAAAAAAAATCAGTGTCCTTCCTTTCACAGGTTCAGGACAATGACATCATTGACTCACAACAGGTGCTCAATTCACACTCAGCACCAATTGAACGTTGAAATAGTGGTATTGTGTTTCATTTTAGGTGCCACTACAAACACGCCCTCGGTGTCTGGAAACTCAACTCGGTGTGACCATTTAATACTTCCTGTGCGGCTGTGTTAAACTTGAGTGAAGCAGAGAAACAGATGCTTTTGTCTCAGTAGGACTGCTCTAACAATAGGGCGGTTTTGGCACAAGGAATTCACGTAAACAAAGGGCAACATTTTCAAAGATCGAGTGGGTGAAAAGCTTTCTCACAATGCAAAAATAGATGCTGATGTATTTTCACAGATTCAAGCTATAGAAACGACAGGAAATGATCTACTACTTGTTATTGGAAGTTTTACAATCACAACACTTACATTTTTAGCATCTTTCCGCTGCTTTTCTCTCTGTTCAAGGAACCGTTTGGTCCACTCCTCTCTGGGAGGCATCATCATGACCTCCGCAGACCGGTACCTGTTTGGGGGAATCTGGTTCATGGGAGGAGGAAGGTTATTCATGCTAACGCTGTGGCTAACGCCAGAGGACCAGTTGTTGTAACTGGATGTCTCCTGAGGCACAGGGTCGCTACTTTGTGCTTTTGGCCACTTTGGCTTGGAGAACCATCTTTGACTACTCCTGAGGGGATCTGCGAAGAAGTTTGTTTTTTTACTCAGAGGTAGAGGAGGTGGTGGGGGTTTGAACTGGAATTCGAGCCTAGGTGGGGGACCTCCGTAAAAGCTAGTGAGAGAGTCCGGGCCTGGTAAGGACTCTGAAAGGGAATGTGTGCTGGAACTGGTGTCTGGATTAGGTTTGTGGCCGTTCTTGGAGAGATTTATTGGGGTGAGGTCTTCAGACGTAGGACAATCCCATGGACAGCTGGGTAGGTGGGCCCCAGGGTGGTTATGGATCACAGAAGGGAAATCCCTATCTGCTCTCTCCTCAGGAGGGGACGCATTTCCAATGCCGCTGTCCCCATTGCTGCTGGCGCTGCCTTCCTTACCAGTGCTGCCGTTCTCCTTGGCTTGCTGCTGAGCCTCCATGTCCAGTCTGACCCGAAGCTTCTCCACAGCCTCCCCCATGTCACTGTAGAGGACTGTGACAAAGTGAAGAACATCTGGTGGGGTCAGAGGAAACTCCAGGCAGCCTTCAGCGTCTGGGTCTGGTGTGCAGTCAAAACCAAAACGTCCAGCAATCCCAATGTGGTCCTGATGGTTTCCAAGTTCTGGATCAATAAAGAACACATGGCAGGAAGCCCGCAAGGGACCGTCCTCGGGTACTCTGCCATTTATTATGTGTGCTGTAGTGACCAAGCAAAAGAAGCGAGGGTCTTCAGCACAAACAGCCCCCAAAACCAGGTTTTCGATAGGAAAGGCGGCTAAAACAGCTCCCGCATCATCACAAAGTCGCACGCAGTCAAACATGATTCTCATCATGACAAGAGTGTGGGTGCTCTGTTCTGTTCCTAACTGTCGGATCCGCTCTCTGATGGCTTTCAAACAGTCCTCCTCTGATTCTGTCGTGTTTAAAATGAGTTCTGTGGAGCTCAGGTAGCCCACCACCAAAGTCATGTTTAAAACACTCCACTCTTGGTTGACTTCCTCTGAGTCTGCAAACACAGAATCTGTGTCCCCCTCTCTGGGTGCTTCCTGCTTTGGGTGATCCGCTAAAGAGTTCCAGTTTTGAGCCCACAGTGACATATCAGGCTCAGAAACCGGCCTCTGTTTGATGTGGGCAGCAGCACTTGAGTTAAAGGATGAATTGCTTGAATCATCCGAGATAGTGCGGAGAACAGCTGCCTTTTGGTAAATCCCACTTTTACGACCACTCCCAAATTTTGCATCATTAAGAATCGGATTCCCCATGATCCGTCCCTCTGCATGCACCACCAGCTGCAAGGGTCCTTTGCAGCTACCAATCAGCTGCACTACAGTCTCATGCGCTGAAGCGGACACGTCAGTTCCATTAATTGCCATGATGTGATCCCCTTGTTTAAGCCCCACCAGGTCAGCGGGACTTCCCTCCAGGATGCCGCTCAACATACACGGCCTCTGTCCTGAGATAGTAAAGCCATATCCTGCCCGACTCCGGATGACCTCCACACCCCTAAGCTCGCCGACTGAGTTCAAATCCAGACGCCTCCTCGCACCCTCAGGCTGTCCCTGGATCCTCATCTTTGTTGTAAGGTGTTGTGATCCAGTGTGTGGGAACTGAAACACTTGCAAGCTGCCAACACTACTGTGTTGTTGTCATTCTAGGAAATGAAAAGAAGAGATGAACATTTTTAATACAAAATTAAAGCATTTTTTTCCCTAATAATTTTTTTTTGATAAAAGCCTTGAATAGTCATGCAGTGCATCTTTTTCACTGTGCTTTCCAATGATAACGAGGGATAGATCAGTTGGCTGATTGATTTGGCCAATTATTGGAAATTTGGCATAATCAGCATCATGTTGGCCTCAGCCCTCACAGGGCCGACATCACCAACATCTTTTCTAAATGATAATACACGTTTCTTATTACCCCATAACAGCATATCAAATCAAAAACAGTCACTGACAAATGTTCTAATATTGAACTGGATTGTTAAATTCAGTATTGACAGAAACTCAACGCGTCTTTTTGTCGCTAATAGGCATTATGAGTCTGTTCAAAACATGGCTAAGACAGCCATGTATGTAAGATTTTAATGTATATGGAATAATGAATCTGTACATTACTTTCTTTTTATGTTTTAACCCAATATTGTCCTTGTATCATTTTTCTTTCTCCACAATTTTTAGACAGAATTCCAGAAGTCCATTTTCCATTTATGTTTTTTTAGATGAAATAATCTCTTAAATCCAGCATTTTTGTTTCAAAGTTGTTAGCATGATCAAAGTGATGTATTTTGTCAAATGCAAAAACAACACAATGTGTGATATCAGCATTATGAACTAGTCCCGGCTGACCTGCTGTCTTCAAATCGGTATCGGCTTCTGAAAAACTGTTATCAGTTATTTCCCATTGTTTTCTCAAGATCTTGGTTTATTTTCTTCCTTTTCATGGGGACTTTTGTTTCATTTGACCCTTTTTGGGAGAAAACAAGCTTTTTTCTTTTTAATCTAAAAGTTACAAGAACATTTTGTTGAGATTTTGAAAAAAAAAAGACAAAAGTTTAAACGCTATCCCAGGAAACCGGAGCTGTTATCTTGTTTCACTTGAACAAAACAAGATCTTCTGAAAAGAGACCAAAAATTCTTATCACAGTGAATAAGGGTAAATGAAATATGTAAAACAATGTCTGCATAGGGGTGATTTCACAATACCTCCTGTCTCATATGGCTGTTTAAGTAGGCTTAACTGTCTTGAGGACATTTGGTAAAAGCAGAATTCTGAAATACTTCATATCATAACCAACAAGTCACTTTTATAAAAACTCTTCTAAAGTAATTTATACGCCAATTTTGTGCTATCAATCTTACTTTGGCAGTTATTGAGCTTTTGTGCTCAACCCAGTTTGCAATTTAGTGACCTCCACGTCTCGACCCTCTCCCCCACAATAAGCAGCCAGCTGGCCCCCTTTTCACCAACAGCTCTTAAATGACAACCAGACTGTTTGGTTTCGGTTAAGCTAAGTTTTGGAGATGTTAAAGCCTCGTACCACCCACTCCACCACAGGTTAAACACATCTAAAAACCAGATATACGTGAAGAGGAGAGGCAGGTTTCTCTCATTTTATCTTTTCATCTTAGAAAATAAAGTTTTAAACGCTCGCGCATGACTTCAACTATCAACACAACGACGCTGTGAGTACAAACATTCAAAAATACCTTTTTAAAGAGTTGAAAAGTTCCAAAAAACTCTCGTGGGTGTGCTTTCAAGCTGCCATGACTCTAAATATTTACATTTCCCACATTACTCATCCATTTTTTTAAAATATTCCACAGTATTTCCTTGCCGTGATTCAGGAGTCCATATGGCAACGCGCGAGAGCACCTCCCTCCATGTAAACGCAGTGGATATCACAAAGCGTCTTTCAATGTAACCATGACAGCGTAACGTCTGCGGAGCACGTGACGTCTCCTCCTGGCCAATCGCCGTGCGTGTGACGTTCAATATTCAAACGACTGCAGGGACGCCATTGGCCAATACTCGTGTCAGTTAGCTGTCGGAACTTTGCGCTTAAGTAAATCAAATTTAAAAGCCACGAGCCTTTTTTGGAAGAAATAACGCCATATTTATGCGGAAAATTCTGTTAAGAACATACATTTTAACCATCCAATCACCCTTAAACTGCTCAGATAGCGACAGGTTGATTTGTCTTACGCATAAACATATTTAGTGTTGGAGAATTCCCATTGTCATTTTTAAAGAAATCCAGTTTTACTGCGTCTTACCTGCAAACGTCAGGTATCTGCTTTCTGTGCCGAATTCCTTGTTCAGTTTACATGACTCTCCCTCTCTCCTCCACCCTGGAAAAGAAGCAGCACATAACTGCAGATGGTGTGTAAACAATACCTCTGTGGTCAAAGGGCTGCAACGGTTGCTCACAGTGTCACATGGCTTTATTACACATGTGCAGTCCATACAATTGGCAGCTAAAAGAAACAGTAATGCCATAATGATAAGACATAAAGCTATTTATGTTATCATTTTTTACATGTACCAAAATGGCAGGTAGCCATTTCAGTCTTCATTTTACTCAAAAATAGTGACTTACATGGAGCGACTGTGGTGTGCAACAGAACTAACTTAATCCCCAGTTTCTCCAAATCCTCTTAAAATAGCCTGAAAGGCAAAGACTTTAAGAGTTGGACTTTATCAGACCTTACCTTCTGCCTATTTGCATTTCAATAACCACACTGCAGTCACAGTAAAAGACAAAGACACAACTGGAGCTTGTGCATTGATTTATTTAGCAGAAATGCAACAAGGAGAAAGAAGAGGATATCTTTACATATTAAAGAGTTGAAATATCAGGAAAATTACACAGTTAATGTTTCTGTCTTTAAGGTTGCATTTAGATTTAATCCTCAAACTGTAAGGGCACAACCAAATCTTAAACGAAATGGTGACTAAATGTTTCTCAGACGTGTATTTACTAAGTCAACTTGAACAGTTACATGAATTGAAAGCAGGAAAAAAAGCTTCATTCTTACAAATTTCTGCTTAGCCATGATCTTTTACAGTTAATTTTCTGTACTTTCACATCTGCTATAAAATTGAGGTCAGAAGAAATCCTTCCTTATCCCTTTTTTTCTATCCAATATAGTTCTATAGAACACAATGAGGACAAGTTTGAGGGTTTGAGGGTTTTTTTTTTTGTCTGAATCAGGTCATTTTCTCTTACTCTGATGACAGCAAAAGAGATTATTGCCTCAACTCCTAGTTAGTAGTGCTACAAGTTGCCCTGTTTTGGCATCAAAACCTTTAAAACATGTAATTATCCTGGCACAGTGAATAGATAAGTGTGTTTTTGCAAGGCTGTTGTTCCACAGTGATTTCTAACAGAGTACTTGACAAATAATCAAGGAAGAGGTACTAAAACAACTATCCTAAGAGATGAAATGTCACTTCGGAGAACGACAGATGAACTACCAGCATATCATCGGAGGTTGTGAGCAAGGTCATCCTCATTTGATATAATCAGGTTTATGACACCTAAGAGGGTATTTTCATACCTCATGTACCATTTCTGTACTGGTAAGCGTGATACCTCCACGTATGCAACACAATCCCCCTTCAAAATGTTGGATGTCTAACAGAAATCCATAATAACTGGCTATAGGTGAGGCAAGACAACAATCTCTCCTGGGCTGACCTCAACGTCACACTTTATGCCTTCCCTGGATCATTGACCCTACATTGGCCCCAAGGTGTTGCCGTAGTGGACAGAGGCTGGATCATCTTCTCCAGGAGATTCATCATTCGCTCCTGCAGCTGCAGACACTGGACCTGGAGTAGGTTCTGTTGGTGCATGGCACGACGGATCTCCCTGCATGTCTCCTCTATGGCCTGGCTCGACCTCTTCTGCTGCTGCAGCATGGCCTGCATCACCCGCAGTTTCTTTCTCTTCATGGACAGGTGTCTGTTGGTGCGTCTTTTCCGGGAAGGGTGTGAGCTGCAGAGAAAAGATGTTAACCTTAAGGGATGCTAGTTTTGAAGTTTGACAGATCAACGCTAATCCTGTGGTCTAACACGCTTCAGCAAACTGCTATGATAAGCTTCCTCTCTCTACGCCAAAAAACAGCAAATTAATGTTGAAATTAAAAGTCAATTAAGTTTTACTTAAAGGCATAATTGCTGTTCTTCACAGCGTATTTATAGAAAGACAAAATTTTGACCAGTTTTAAAACATTATCTACTTTTTAAAAGAATTTGTCACTTTAAATTGCGATGTAAAAATGAAAAAAAAAAATCTACATGACCAAAGCTGCAAGTTACAGCTGACTTACGATCACAGTCAAGTTAGATTTGGCTGACATGATATTTATCTAAACTTTCCAATTCTTACATTATATCTTAAAATTTTAACTTTAAGGAAGCCGCATATAGTTTTTTTCCCCGTCAAAAATGGCATATCAAAAACAAACTACACAACAGTGTAAAACCTGGTTGAGAGAAACCCGGGCTGGTCTTGGCTTAGGCTAACTTTACATGAAGCAAAAACATTTTGATCAGCTGTTTGAAGTTTGCTGTGCTTATCATTGCCTGCAAATAAGAAATAAATTTTGGGGGAAAAAAACATATCCAGTTTAATAGACTTTTAATAATAATAATAATAAGAAGAACTTTGTTTATCCTCAAAGGGAAATTTAATAGTATATTCAATATGTATTTAATGATATATTTAAAGATAAACTAATAAGCTTTTAGCAGTGTTGAACTGGAAACAGATGTAGCTTTTAAAAGGTTTTGCTACACTAGGCTTACTAATTACTCAGATATGTATTTACAACCAAATTTGTAATGGCACTGGTTTGAGAGCTAAAATAACAATAATGAGGATGTACCGCTTTGGCGTTTTTCAAAACAAATTTTTCTGCCAGATTCCTGGAGCTTTCCTGCACAGTCTTCTTTAGAATCAAATTCTGATTTAATAAACTGACTGTTATGTCTAAAAATAGCCTAAAAATTTAAGGCCTTGCAGTCCTCTTTAGTTGAAAATTACCAACTTTGGCATACTGCCTCACTAAACCACAGAGGTCAAAAAGTCAGCCCATGAACCTTGCCTCTGTCAGTGACTTAACGACTATAAACATGTCCTGTACACTCCTGTTACCTGGAGCCGTGTGTGTGCTCACTATCAGAGCTCAGTGAGTCCAGCTCTTGTTTTATCTCCATTTCATCTGAAGATCCTGTGTACTCTGGCAGAAATCCTATCACTCCATCATCCGTCAGGGTCACCACGTTGTCTGAAGACTGCCCTGAAGTGGAGGGACCTGCAGCTGGGGTCTTAAAGTCCAAACAGTTCACCCTCCCGTTCTCCAGCGGCTTGGAGATGATCTTCTCGATGGGTTTGTAATACGGCCAGTCCGGCGTCTCCCCACTTTCACCGGCTGTAGCTTTCAGTCGCCTGTTGGATCAGAAATAAAAGTTTAAAATCATGCAACAGCTTGATTTGAGAGTCACATCTGCATCAGGACACTTGGATGTGGTGCACTTGCCTGTACTGGAAAGACATGTTGGTGATCTTCATCTTGATCTCCTCTTTAAAACGCTGCTCTCCTGTCAGCTGGAAAAACCTCTGGGACATCTTCTCGTAAACCTTTGCGTTCCTTTTGCTGGTTTTCAGTTCGTTGTGGTGTTCCTCCCACACGTACAGGAGGGCCTTCATTTCCCCGTCCGTCCAATTCGGGGCCCGCCTGTGCTTTTCACTTTGGCCTTGTATTAGGTAGCTGAAACCATCCTCTGCTGCCATGTTTGAAATGGTTCTCTTGGCCTGTGCTGGCTGTGTTTGCAGATATAGGATCTATGGAGGTTGAATTTGAAAGTCTTTTACCGTGCTCAGAGCTGAGCACAGTCTGCAGTGAGGGAGTGATACAAGCACACACACCGTCCTGCATGTGCCCTTCCCCCCTAGCCCTGCTGAAAGAGGACTCAAAATGGGGCCTAAGGCAGGAGAGGAATCCGGTTAAAAGCTTTTAGTGGTGCGTGATGTCACCGTGACATCAGGTTGCCTTGGCAACGGAGAGGGAGGCCCTTCATTTTCCCTCCCTCTCTTTTATAACCACTCCCATCCACTCTCCTTTCTCCCTCCATTCTGCTCCACAGGAGCACAAAAAGCTTTTAGCTGAAAGGCAGCAGTGTGAGCGCATGAGGTTGCTGACAGTTTTGAAATATGAGCCTCAAGGGAGGAGGAAAAAAAGAGAGAGAGAGCCAAGACCACGGGTATGTGTTTCCCTAGCAACAAGGCGCTGGATTTGGTAGTCAGCCAACACACTGCTCCATTTAAAAGCTTTTAATAATAGACAAGTCATTTTGAGACGGGGAGAGGGAGGATTTGCTTTATCTGGTGTGATGTAGAGGAGTAGAAAACACTTCCAGCCTGCAGTTTAGATCTCCAAGGCAGAGAAAAGCCTTTCACTGAAACACTGTAAAATGCATTAGGTGGAATAACAGACAAAATGGCAGCCTTTGTAAAACAACCAGGGACACCCCTGCAGGGGACTGCAAAATGCTGACTCCTGTAATCAGCTTTCTAATCACAGCCATGGGTTGTAGACAATAGACCCCTGCAGGAAGGATTTCTCTGACCATTTAAAGACCCCTCCCCCCTTTGGATCTCAGTGAGGGGCGGATCCTCGTCTACCCCTGTCTCAAGCACCCTAATCTACCATAATATGTGCATTTCCCCCCCTCTGTTTCTTGCTGCCTTTCTCTCTACCCCCCTCTAAACCTTTTGGGGAGAGCATTTCTGCACCAATGCACAGAAAAACGAACTCCTTTTCCTCAGCTGCATTTTCTCTCTAAAAAACACAGTAATGGTAATGCTCCAAATGAGGCGTGCATGCTCACTTCATCTTCATTACAGCCACTAGTTGCTGTCAGTCGGCTTAACTCTGGCCTGATTATACCCTTAACCCATCTGCTCCTCAATAACCTGACAGGCGGACAGTGCATTTTCATACCACAAATTGGCAGCTTTATCCAATCCATCACATCTGTCACTTAAAACCAAGGTTAAGCTTCGCCGTGTTGGAAATGGAAGGGCAAATGAAAGTTTGTGTGAAAGGTTTTGTGTGTTTTTGCTTTTTGCTTTTACCTACTGACTTTAGATTTTAAGAGGTAGTGTTATTATGAGAGCACCAGACCTTTCTGTCTTTATGAAGGGGAGGTCTTAATTTAACAAGTGTGTCCTCAGACTTACACTGGGTATCATTTTTCAGTACGGAAAGAAGCCAGCAGGCTGTTTTAGATACATCAAACCCTGAAAACTGCCTTTTTTTCTTTGGGATCAATATGCTTATAGATACCCTTCAACCTTTGATTATTTAAACTGAATCCTCTTGTTGGGGGGTCCGCTGTAATTGTCTCAGTATAGTTTCTCATTCATTAAAGTGGAATTAATCTGGACTACTAATCCAAGAGCCAGACTAATCTGCGGATAAACTGGCCATCTCCCTCATATGCTTTAGATGTAAGTAATGAAGGTAATCCACAAAATAAAAACAAAGTTAATGTGAAATGCCAAACTTGTACCCACACGAAACAGAATATATGAGCCATTTTTTTCTATTCATGGTCAAACTTTTTCAATGTAATTTACAATAAAATGGGATTTAGTTTTGTTGATTTCTCTCTGATATTTTATCCTGTAGTCTATAAAGAAACAGACAAGGTAAGAGAAAACAAACAGGATGAACAATTACAAGTAAATGTAATTCATTAACTGAGACAGAAGTCTTCTCAAAATACAGAATAAAGTCAACTAGCAAGTAGATTAAACTATGTGTTCAATTTAGCCTGTTTGTCAGAAAGTGGTTAGTTTCTCAGTAAATGACAGAAGTTGGTGCATTTAATGACCAAAATAGTCAGAATAGGTTTTGAAAGACTTGTAAATTACTGGGGCAAAATCGTAAGCGAGCAGTCTTTTGTTTTTATCTTTAGCTTAAAAGGTTGTTCTGGCATACACCTCTACCCAAAATTATAACTAACCTTATTTTTGTCTCACTCGTAGCAAATAGACAAAGCAAAAAAAAAAAGAACTGTTAAACTTCAAACAAACTCTAATGGTGTCATATTTAAGCTTTTAATGTAAAAGACTTACTACAACATGTGACGGTCCTTTACCAGAAGCTCATAACGGCTCGCTAACGTTAGCTAGTGCTTTCTTTCCACTTAAGCTAGCTAACGTTAGCTAGCGCGTTCTTTCCACTTAAGCTAGCTAACGTTAGCTAGCGCGTTCTTTCCACTTAAGCTAGCTAACGTTAGCTAGCGCGTTCTTTCCACTTAAGCTAGCTAACGTTAGCTAGTGCTTTCTCCCAAAAGCTAGGTACACATTTCATTGAAAATTATCTGGTCTTTATCACTTTTGGATCCTGTATCTTGTGTAATGCATAACAGTATAATTCAAAATAACAAAATTGGACATGTAAAGACATTTCAAAAAGAAGAAGTAAATTTCTGTTATCTCTTGAACCTTAGAAAAACGTTTAATGCAAATTTGTGCACATAAAACACATACATACAGTACAGTGCATACATAAAGTATCATAAAGCATAAATGCTTTTAATGTTGGCCTACATTAGTATGTCAACAACTCATCTAGTGTACCTCATATTAAACCGGTCCACAAAGGACCGAATGCAAACCGACTGGACCACTTAGGCCAAAGCTAGATCCACAAGAAGAGATAGTCTTTTGCACCTGCTCATGGTGAAAACTTAAAAATGTCAGAAACTAACAGATGACCACATTTTGTAGAATGATTAGAGCGTTTGAGGCTGGTGTGTGTGTCCTACATAAAAGAACAGTAGATACAAGCTGTCCGGGGTTATTTTGATACTAAGTAGAAAGCTCTGTGCAAATCTGAGCTCAGGCAGGAGGTCCAATCCTAGCTTTTTTGGGGGGAGTAAGCCATAGTAGCTTTTTCTTTATCAATCCTTAACATTGAGCTGAAACAAGAATACATAGAAAGCTTTTCCCAGTGCTCTGTGGGCTGGATAGTTAAGGAATGTCATTTGTAAAAACTATCAAATACAAAATACTGAATAGTATGTTTTTGTAAAGAAAGGGCTGGTAAATGGCATATAAAGTATCAGGCAAACTCTGGCACACCTGTAGCTTATCTTCACTTCACCCCATAAGAGTCTGTCAAACTGCACACACAAAAATCAATGCAAAGAAACACACCATATATAAAACAAAATGTGAAATTAAAGTATAAAAACATGATAGAATGGAAACAATATATGATATATCAAGTTTTCATAATATACATCAATACACTTGAATAAAAATCAAACCTAGAAAGGAATGTAGTTCGGGAAAATACCACTAGAGGTCAGCAAATATTCATGCTCTGATATCCAGTTGTACACTTGAAGTAGTCATCTGCAGTGTAGTTTCTTCTGCTTGTGGACTAATACATTGAACTTACAGACTTCTTAAGCTCCTTTTAATTCCACTTAGCAGCAGTAGTAGTGGTAAACACCTCATCAATTCAGCAAAATCCACTTAGTTACATTCTTGATATGGAGTCTCACAGTATAAATGTTTTTTTTTTCCGATCTAACACTGATTCGTATGTGCACAGTGGTCTGAAATGTCTCACTGAATAACACCTGTAATCTCGATACTGTAACTGCATCATGAGAAAAACAGATTTCTCATGTATCACAACTGGCTCATGCAGTCATAAAAGATTTTTTTTCTCAGCAAATTCTGCTGAAACAATTTCTGCATCATTCCAGTGTAGAGTTTTTTCTCGCTTTGAAGGGTTTTTTACTTCTCAGGTGGTAAAAGAACTCTTAGTTGTTGTTAAAAATAATTCATCTGCCCAGCTTCTGTTGCATGTTTTAGTCTCTCTGTTCAGTCTCTGGGTAGACACTCCTCCTCAGTGATACCCTGAGCTTTAAGCTCCTCCAGCACGTTGTCCAAGTGGCCTGGGTCCGGGTAGCCATGGCCCGTCAGGTTGGAACCAAATTCCGTCTTGTGGTGCACCTCGTTCCAGATGACTGTGTCGGACTCACCAGTGGTGCTGGACGTGCCAACAGAGAAAATGAGGCGGCGGTCCCACGCAACCAGCAAAAGCCTCAAAACCTTTGGGAAAAGATTAAGGAAGAAAATATTACACTTTATATTAACAAAAAATATAAAATATAAAATCAATTAGATAAAAGAAGAGAGTTCTGATTTACCTTGCGTCCCTTTTCACTGTCAGGAAGGTAGCAGTGTCTGGGGAACCCACGGGCAGTGAAAGGTTTGCCTGGATTTGGGTGCTCTGGACCCTAAACAGAAACAAAAACTTGTTAAATTCACAATAAAAAGACACAAACACTTCCTATGATCGTAAAAAATTCAGTGTCCAGACTTTACCTGGATGCCAGGAGGGATGTTATAAATAATACGGATGGTTTTGCAGTCTGGGTGGCCAGGCAGTGAGTGGGGGATGACATGGTACTCCATCTTGCCAGGGGGCTGGTTGCCAGTCTTGACCCCGTAGATAGTCTTGCAGGTGGGGCACTGTAGGCTGCCGTCCTTGTTGCCATTGTTGTACATGGCGACGAGACATTGGAGGTGGTACTGGTGACCACACTGAGCCAGGCGGCCTACAGACTCAGCCCGTGAGATGCCACCCACGCCAGGGCCTTTGTAGCCTGAAGGTCCGGACAGGGCCTCCATGCAGATGGTGCAGTCCTGATGGGAAACATAAAAGAGTTGTAAACTTAAACATAAATTTTTAATAGTTTTTAAATGATTATTTCAGCAAATCACAAATGAATCAAAATCCCCTGAACCTAAATAGATATAGTGATTTGTTATTAGCATTATTACTGAACATCTGCCCACTGCCTCCAAAACCCAGGCCACATAAAAAACGAGACTGATTTTTAGCATATCACTGTATGAGCTTAACATTTTTATTTTTTAGCACAAAATGTTGTTTCCTCAAGTGTTTGAACAAATTTAAAATTTATTGTCTACAATATTGTTTCATAATTATCATTATTTTCACTTTTGGGGCATTTTAGCCTTGAATATAATTACGACAGGTGAAAACAAGGCTAGTAGAGACAGTGGAGGATGACATGCAGCAAATGGTCAAGGAGGGTGTATCAGAGGAGTAGCCAGCTGCCTACACTTCAAAGAGGAAAGTGGAGCATATACATCAACTGAATACTCAATCTTTTAGCAGATGAGGACCTTAAAAAACAGTCTGCTCTGAAAAAAAGGCTAGGCTAGTTTTCTCCCTCTGAGGCCACTGCTCATTTTAAGTTGTTGAGTAGGTGGCTGGCTGCGCCTCGAAAACTCTCTCTGTTACTTTAAATGTTGATTAACCATAGCCTACATCCCTTTCTCATAAAATCAAAACTATATTGTTATAAATTTGTGATTCGTGAGAATATATTTAAGACTATTTTTTTACAAGTTTATCTATAAGAGCTCAGTTTTTCCATCCTCTTTTTATTTTGTTTTATTTAAAGATATTAAAGTAAGACTCACCTCCTCTGGGGGATTACGAACTTTCTGCAGGTACCTCTTCACAACCTCTTCAGGTGTCTTTCCTGCAATAACACCACATAAAATGACACATGATAAGTTTGAAAAATATTCATATATATCTGTTGAAAAAGTAGAAGAAAACTTTGTGAAATTCACCTTTACGAGCCTGTTTCTTGGTGGTCTTGCGACAGCAGTGACCCAGACCGGGAACGGGTTTGATGTCGCTCTTGCTGACAGGTGGAGGATGAAGCACCAGCTTGGGGGGGCGGGTCAGACAGACAGGAAGTCCTGCTGCGCTCATGAGGATACCTGTGATGCCTGGATGCCATCAGCAGAGGGAGCATGTTAGACACGAGACATGGGATGGCCAGCTCTTTAATCAGACACGGATCTCTAAGCCAAACTCCTAAAGGCTGGTCTGTTCTTCATATCAGTATAATATTGTGCTGAATTTACATATCTGTGCAGGGTGAATATCTAGTATAAACAGTTACATGTGAGGTGCTTCTTTGATGTTAAAAAAAACCCTGAAGTAACATTTATCAAAGGATACCTCAGATTTTTGAGATTTTGATCCAATTTAAAAACATAATCACCTGCCAGTGCAGGGTGCACAGGGCTGGATCCATTCAGGTTCTTCACTGGAACTGTTGGCACTCTGCAACACAAGAAAACAAACCCAACATTTACCATCAGATCGCTGACACACTATTTAAACCTGTCCTGGTCACCTTAGTCTAGATTCTGTATGTAATTACATACGCAGCTAGCCGTGGCATATGCCAGCACCTGCTTTTTCTAAATGTCACCAGGTTAAGGAGCTTTTGCATCGTCATGTTAGGAAACAAACAGATGCCGCTCATCACGAGTTGACATACTGTCCTATAATTGTCAGGTAAGCCGTCTGGCTGTGAGGCTTAAGCTCAAGATGCTGGTGGTGGCACAAGACACCTGGCGCGGATTAATTTCTGTCACTGCTTTGAAGTAAACTTCTGAAAAAAACAGTAAAAACAGTTGGCAAATTTTGGCTGAATTGCTTTGGCTCAAGAAAAAAAGACTGGACCGTGAAACAGTGAAGAAGACAAATTAGTTGAAGCAAATTTATTGAAATGAAAACATTCTGTTTTCTTTCATTTGTTGATTCAGAAAGAGGAAGTCTTTGAGTTTGAGTAGATGAACATTTCTGAAATAACCGAAAAACACACGCTCTTATTTTGATAAATATAAAACGCTTCTCTTCAGGTAAACAGGTGAAACACATGCAAAAACCTTACAGCCACTGTCACTGTTCAGCCACAGAGTGTACTTACGGTCTGCCAGTCTTGATAATAGTCATTTTTAGTCCTTGAAAACACCAGATATCCAAGCAGCTATTCCGTTTTCTGTATTGCCGTCTCTGTCTCCGTCTTCCTCTCCTGTTTGTGTGCTACTGCCAGGTCTCCTTCTCCTTTTATAAGGCTAATCCACCTGCCTCCATCTGTTGACTAAACTCTGGTTGTAGGCCAGAGATTCGTCACAGCAGGGATTACCTGTCAGGTACCGCGTCACTCCTGGGCTGCCATAAGGCTGACAGACTCCAGCACATATGACTGGATGCTAACATGCTGCTACCGCTGAGAAATCACAGCAGCTGTCATCAATCTTGACCTCGGATTTTAGCACTATGACTCGAACTTTCCTTTGATTAAAGGGGCTGTATTTATTTTGGGTACCTATGAGAGTAAGGACAGACCACTAACACTTTCTAGGCTTTTAACAGATTTAAATGCACATGGTTGGTCTCTTACTAGCAAAAGAAAACTACACATTTTAATTCATAAATCATAAGAAATACTTTTTATTTGCTGTGAGGGACCTTGCTGTACAGCCTATCCTCTTCTCCTCATCTGATTCCTTAATTGCTAGTTTAAAGCTCCTGTGAGGAGTTTTTTGATGTTTATACAAGACTATTTTACACTATAGAAAAGCAAAAAAGACCATAAGTGACAAGACTGGCAGCTGTTCTACTGAAAATTTAAAGTTGTCAATCGTTGTGATGGGGTAGACAGCCAAGCAGCTGAAGAAACTGCCCTGTTTTTTACATCATTTTACTGTACATTTTTGCATCAAATATTCAAGATAAAGTTGACATTTGACTGTCAAAACTCAACAAGATGAGTTTATTTTTTCATCAGAAGACATTGTTTAAGCATGTTGTGGACAAAACAAGTAAAGAATAGAATTAACATTTAAGTTCCTCACTGGAGCTTTAACTAGAGTTTAAGTCTAAATAAACTGATAAAACTATAACAAAACATATTTCAAACAGTACATTAGTCATTTTCTTGAAAAACTGCATTCATAAAAATTCACTAATTATCTAGTGTTGCCCTAAATGGCCATACACGGATAAGTTCTAAAAAATATCAACCTATTTATGAACCTATTACAACACATCCATGCTAATTAACCACCAACTCAGAGCCTGGTGTGCGAACAACGGGGTACCCACAAAACGCTTAGGTCAGTTTCAGTCCCACTGAGCTTTACACAATTGAAAAACAATCTCCAATCGCATTATCCGGATATCTTTACCCTATTAAAATAATGGTCTAAGTCATTTTTTGACGAAAATGAGTTTTTGACCTAAATGATCTCTTGAGATGATTTAGAGATGATTTAGGCCAAAAACTCATTTTTGTCAAAAAATGACTTAGACCATTATTTTAATAGGGTAAAGATATCCGGATAATGCGATTGGAGATTGTTTAACTAAGTCTAACTAAACTAATACGTTAACATGCACTTCAAAAGTCCAGTTTCAGTCTGACTAGTGCAACAAATCAATTTTTTCATGCATGTGAACTTAAAAAATGGCTTAATAGAAACTACAGTAAGTTAGCTTTTACAGTATTGTTAAGTATTTTGTGTATTTGTAAATCCAACAAACAAGACTGCTTCTTCAGTTACTCAGCTGACACCTTCCCCCCTCACACTGTTTCCAAGCAGTAAAAATTACAATATAAAAATCACCAGTCTTGTCACCAGTGGTGTTGTTGGCTTTTGTATATCGTTAAAAGACATCAATATGAATTTCATTCAATTTCATAAACATAAAAAAAATCCTCACAGGAGAGAAACACATTTCTCCATGTTATATACTTGTTAAACTCCCCTGATACATTACTTCTGGGAATCATAAGAGTGAAGAATTACTGATGAATAATCTGCAACAACAACAATGTCATTTTTGGAGAATATAATCTATATGATAAAAATTCAAACTATGCACCTTTAGACACCTGTTCCTGAACATTGTGATCCTACTGACCCTCTTTGTGGGGCAACAAGTCATTTAAGTTGTCCTATAGCCTTGACATCCTGGTATAAAACGTAAGGGTAACAATCAATTCCCGTACAGCTCAATCTGCTCACACTGTACTGTGTTACTATATCGGCTTGTTTACCAACAAACTGGCCGAGCCGTGCGTAACTGTCCTCATTCACCAAGGCGCTAAACGTGTCAGTTGAGTGATTCAAACCTCAGTGAGGGGAAGTTCACCGTAATTGATATGAGAAAACTGATTAACCAAAGAAGGAGGAAAGGCAGAGAAAGGTGGGGAAGCTAGGAGAGGAGAGGTGTGTGTCGGCAAGTCACGTTTCTGTGATCCCGGCTAATCTTGTGGCATTAGAGCTTCCTCCATCTGGACTGCCAGGCGATGCTGAGCTGGAGCATATGTCAACACACAGGCATTACACTTAGATTTATTCGATTCAAAGTCCCAACTTAAATTAAGACTCGTAAACAGACAAATCCTAAATATAAGAGTCAAAATGAAAAGTAGAAAATGTGGCAATGACACACTTGGAGATATTTAACCTGCTGCAGCCAATTACTACAGGTCCACGAAAGGTGTGTGCACCAGTAGCAACTTTCGTCACGGGGGTGATCTATGACACTTGATTGAGATACCATCTGCACCATTTCACTGAAGGAAAATTCACTCAACAATCACACAACAACAACAACACCAGGAACTAGTCTTCAATCGATATCACTATTTATCAAAGATACCTCTGTCAACATAAGGAGGAACAAAATCACCTCGCAAATTCACAACAGACTGATTTTAAAGTTATAGTACACAATTAAATTTTTTATATTGGAGCAACTGTTTATATTATTACCTAAAGTTTGCGGTATATTTTTGTAAACTACAGTCATGCTAACTTAATGATAGTTTAAAAGTTTAGTAGGTAGTTTCCAGCCAAGTCTAATCTAAAATAAATTAGTAACAAATAATGGTCTCAGAGGGGTTTATAAACCAATGTACACCAATTATTGACAACCCAATGAAAATAACTTACAGGTAAACTGTAAACCTATTTGTCTCGCTAGCTCTACTGTAAAACCAGAACTAGCATTGTGCAAAAAAACTGGTGATGTACATGTTTGAAAAAAATAAGTAATCCAACTTATATCTGCTTTTTCCTTTAAAATAAAACATGCTCAGTGTCACAAAAGGGACGAACCCTGTTACCAATCCACAGGTGAACACAGTGGGCCATTTTGCCGCTAGCAGCTAAACTCAGGGTTCTATAGCTAAGGCTACGTTCACACTGCAGGTTATGATGCACAATTCAGATTTTTTGTTAAATACGATCTTTTTGTGCGGTTGTTTACATTACAACAACGAATGTGGCATCTAATGTGAACGGAATGCGTCCGTGAAGTGACCCGCATGCGCACATAGCATGTTGGCTAGCTGTTGTCCGTTCACTCGTATCTCGTACATATCCGATTTACATCCACGTACAAAAGAGGCCTGGGTCGGATTTGAAAAAATCAGACTTGCACTGTTCACACTTACATAAAAAAAGATATGTGTCACATATGGTTAAAAAATTGGAATTGACCTGCAGTGTGAACATAGCCTAAGTTATTATAGTAAGTGGGTTTTATTATGATTTTAATGGTTTTAAGTGCTTTAAAGCTTCACTTTTTCCCTTTTCTAATTGACTTTATTAGGGTGAACCTAATTACCTACATGTATCAGTGGATTAAAATGTTTTAGCTCTGGGGTTAATACGCTTAAACAGATGTTTCACTAAACTGTAGCAGCGTGACGTGCTAGCTATGAATTTCAGGATAAAGCAGTAGGATGGTGACAGCAGGAGCGCTAAGTGCAGATTGAGCTAAGTACAAGTAAAGAAGAGGTGGGGGGGGCACGCGGAGAAGGGAAACCCAGCCTCACGTGATCAGAGGGACTATTTATCTCTGACGTATCTTCTTCTGCAGCAGGTGCTCTCACCTGATTTAGCACAAGAATGGGTCAGCACCCCTGACACAAAACAGAGATTACCAGAGCGCTATAAAATCTGTGATATTGACTGTTAATCTGTCAATATCACAGTTTTGCAAATGCAAGGATTCATAAAGTTAGTGAAAACTGCTGGCCTGTTTAATCAGATTGCACCCAAACAAGTCCTTAAGCACTGCCAAAAACTGATAAAGCAAATCAAAATGGTTGAAATGTTTCAGAGTGGACGAGAATTTAAAGATAAAGAAACCAAGGGCAGCCGAGACACATTCAGATTCAGACAGAAAGACACAACAGAAACCTAATTAAATCAAAACACTGACCACAGACAGCTGGCTAACCAGCGCCCTCTGGCTGCATTACATGGGTACTGTTTCTTCCTTCATTTGTAAACACCCAGTGATGCTTACAATGTTGAACGCCAACACCGGAGAAAGCAGTAGGTAAAGACATACTAGGATTTTGATATCAGCATGCCAATGTTGACACAAATTGAGCTTTAAAAATATATTCAGATACAAATTGTAGTAGCTGTGTCAGACATGTTTCCGTTTACCACTCCACGACAAGGATAAAGACCCAAAAGTGTGTCCGTAATTTTGTCCATCATGTGCAGGAACTCAAAATTTCATGGAAAACAAACACAAACAAAAATAGGATGTACAAATGCAAGCCTCAAATCAAGGATGTCATCCAACACCAAGCCCCCTGGTCCACACTGATTCCTTCAGGAAGAATTTTCAAGCTTCTCTGATTCCTTAAGGCTGCGTTCACATGCGTGACAATGATATACATGCTTTGTGTGCATCTATGTGTGGGTGCATGTGCATGTGTGTGTGTGTGCAGAGCAATCCGTCATTAAGCAGTTGCATGACAAATATGTGGAATGTGAAACACGTGTGAAAACTGGGCCTTGTTTGGCATGAATGCCCTTCATTGTATTCAGTGAAGATGAATGACCCTGATGGACTTTGTTACACAGATTAAAGGCTTGTGAATGTAAATGAGGGCTGATGTCACGCACTGTGTAAGAGGGGCTCAAATCTGAAATTCTTGTGTAGATGATTTTGATACGTGTCTGGTTCTGTTTATTACCTTTGGATAAATATGCAGTATGATTTTAAAAGATGTAATTGGAGGAAAAAAAGGTTTACATGAAGTGCTACACTAAATCGCAATATGTCTTTAGCGTGGCGTATTATCTTCTCCTCTCTTTTGATTGGTTTCTGTCATATGGACTCAAATTCTTGTGCTTAACATTTTAAGAAGCAGCCGCCAATCTCCTCGAAAAATGGCAAGAAAATGATCCAACTTTTCAACCGTCAGCCTGTTGGTCCTGTGTTTTACCAGACGTCAAATGTGTCAATAACGGCTGTATTATGTTGCCAGTAAATGACTTGACAGTATACTCACCCAGAGGCGATAAGGGCACGGGACTGAGCCATGGCGATCCGCTGCAGCGCAGGTCGGCTCAGTCCCGCCAAGCTGGACCGAGGTGGAAGAGGGGCCGCACAGGCAGCAGCACCTGATGAAGACACTGGACCCAACACGCGTGCAGAAGGCGAGGGCGTGCAGGTGGAGGCAGCCGTGGAGATAAGAGGAGGAGGTGGACCCGGAGTGGGCACTGGCGCTGTAGGGGCGGAGCAAGAGGCAGATAGGGAGGATGGGGCTGGAGGGGGATGAGGGGTAGAGATGGTGGCTGAGGAGGAGGAAGAGAGGGTGGTGGAAGGTGGAGGAGGAGGCGGTGGAGGTGGGGGGAGAGGCGGTGGAGGGGGGCGGGTGGAGGAGATGGAGAGGGCTGCTGTGGCTGAGTTAAGAAGGGAGAGAGAGTGGGGGAAGCCTCCTCCGAAGCCATAGCTGGAGCTGCTAATGCCACCACCACCAACAACACCTAAACCCCCCGGACCACCCATCCCACCCATACTGTAGCCACTTGTTGCCCCAACTATGGACGTCCGGTGGGGAGAGAGGGAGCGAGTTAAGGACGGAGGCCGAGGGAGTGTCAATGAGTACGACCCTCCGGGGATTGGGTGGCTGCTGATTTTGGGACTAGGTGGCTTTGTCTGTGGTGGCCTCCGCCCTAAAGTGTGAGCAGTTGCCATTGCGCCTGCTTTGACGCTTAGCACCAACATACACTGCTGACAGGCGCATGGTTGTCCAAGAGAGGTGATGGCTGAAGCAGGAAGTGCCCCACTTGGGTATGCGCTCCCGTTTCCAGTCCCGCCGCTGCCCATTCTGATCCCCATACCCACACCAGAAACATCCACCCCAAGCAGTCCTCCGTGGCTGGGCACGGACATGGGGCCCCAGGCGTGGTGCGATCTCGGCAGTGGCCCTGACACGAGCGGGTAGGCCAGATCAGAGCGGCGCTGGATGCGCCTGCAGCGCTGCGTCTGCCCGTTGATTTGGGTCATGCTTTCGAAGTCAATGAGGTAGCAGAATCCCAGTGGCGCCAGGTCCAGCCAGGGCTGCTGACGATCACGGGCCGCCTGGATGGCGATGCTGACGTCTGTGTCGTAAGCTGTCCAGCTGCCTGTGTCGTTCTCCCACTCCCACAACCAGCCCTGGCCCGGCGCTGAGGTGGGGTCGTAGAAGCTGCGTCGTACCGGTCGAAGGGTACCTGGAAAAGGAATATGTAGATAAATCATCCACAGTTTAAGACTTCTCAAGGTGCAGCGACTATTAGAAACCGAACCACTAGACTATTTCCTTTATCAGCTGGAGAACGACCTTTGCAGTAAGAATCAAGTCCGAGCTCTTCAACTTGAAGGACCACCATGACTCTGGGTGGTGACAGTAAGTTGCATCAAGACTGCAGTGCCTTTTTTTGTGTCCAAGAACATAAAAACCCTTACAAATTCAACATGTCTGTGTTTGCTTGAAAAGAATTTAGGCAAACAGGTTGCCCCTGGTAACAGCACATGGTGTTCTGAATTCCGATTGGCTGGCATTCTCGATCCGACCCAAAAGTTGGCTGTGTTTGCTTTCCCAGGGTGTCCAGAGAAACTCTGCAGAGTCTTCAAACTGTAAAGCCTCCAAAATTTCGAATCGTCATCGAAAAACAAAGAAGTGGAGCGAAAATTCCTGAACAAATGAAGCTTTTTATCCCAGGATTATACAACAGCTTTGTCAGAGTCTTAAAAGCACTTTAATGTTAGTTTTTACAGTTAAGCCACAAATAAAACCTTAAAGTTTACAGTCTCAAAGAAAAGGTGTAAAATAGATCATATCAAAATCTGATGTTCAGCTTTGATGCGCTTTAACAAAACGGAATCATGGATAGTCATGCATAAACTTTGCTCCCATTGACCTCAGACTCCTGACATTCCCCGCCACCCTTCATCCCCTCTCTGTCTCCTCCTCCTCCTCCTCCTCCTCCTCCCTGTCACCTATTTAGACTGGAGTACCCTGTCTGCCAACCCCCAGCCCCACAAGTTGAGCTTTTGCTGGTTAGAAAACAAACAGCACAAAGGCTTTTGTCAGCCAATGTTGACAGAGGGGAGGAACGTGTGGGACTCTGCCAAAGTTGAAGAATGAATGTTGATTATTCGCTGTTTTATCATTCGCTACGTACACACAGAGCTCAGCATTATGAAAGGTGGCTTTTTATTTCATTCGTCACCTCTGTTTCTCCTGGATACTGACTCTGAAGGGGGTTACGAATTGACAATGGAAGATTTCAGACATTTTGACATTTCAGCTCGCACTGTATAGTTGTGTATTTTCCTCCTTTAACTAATTCCTAAACATAGACTCAAGTGTAAATTCTTTAATGGTCTGACTGACACTTCAGCTGCTCCTGTAGCCTTGGTGCAACATGCAAACACACACAGGTCCTACTAAAATGACTCACTCTTGCACTAAAACCTCCTCAAATAAAGCATCCCTTGTGGTGCTTTTCACCTTAATGTAACCCTAATGCAGGAAATTCATTTATGATACACAAAAGGAGCATGTAAGACACTGCTTCACTGATACACCTGTGATCCTGAATCCACATTAAGCTGGTAAAGACAGAATATACACAAGAGCAGTAAAAAAAAGGCCTCCACCTCAGGCCCGGCTACACCATTACACCCCCCACCCTGTGTCCTCCTCTCCTCCCTGCTCCTCACCTGTGTCTTGTCGAAACTGGTGCATGGAATGCAAATCAATGATGTAGGGCGAGAGGCGCGAGTCCACCTGGCCGAGGACGACACTACCACAGCGCGGGTCGCTCCGGATGACTGCCTCGATGTGATGACAGACAGCCGGGCTGTAGGGCCGCCAGCGTCCGTGCTCGTTCAGCCATTCCCATACCACTACAGCGGATGCTAGTAACATCCTACTCCTGCAAGGGTGGAGAAATCAAACCGAGAGTAAGGACGCATTTATGAGAGCATTTTGAAAAACAGATTTAGAGACACCCTGCTGCTCCTGCTCCGCCGTGCATCCTTGCGCACAGCGGCGCTGCATCCATCTTGGACAGTTTGCAACCCAGATGTGTCTCCTATCTGTGGATATAAATATATATTTTAAGCATGACACTACATGCAAACCGTACCTCCCATGTTTGTAGTTTCGGTTATGCAGCAGTCAGTGTGTCCCTTTGTCACCCGGCGAGGATACAGAGCGTTTCAGGGTGCAAAAAGCCTTGCAGGATGGTTGCATTTTACTCCCTATGCAGATGAGTGACGTCTACTGAAATCATTTCTCCGGTACAATCAAGTTAGGGTGAGAGGAGAAAATGCAACTTGAATGCTCACAGTGGTGCGGCAGTCGTGAAGTGGGTTACTGTGACAGACTGCTGTTAAATGTGCAGTGATTTCTTTTTTTATTGTTGACTTTTTCTTTTTCTGTGGGAGGATCGGATTTAAGAAAGAAATTATACAATATTTACCGGGTGAGATCGGATCCAGTGCTGTCAAATCACTGCTGTGTAGAAGTGGGCTTCTTTATTTTGATCCATCTGCCACTGTGATTATGTCTTCAGTCTTGAGGTAAAATCCCAGGATTTTGGTTACGTAATTATTTTGATAATGTGTCACCACTGTTGTGTTGAACCTACTTTGGCTCGTTCTCGGTAAGTAATCCATCCACAGTGTGTGGATCGAGTAGCTCCCTCACCCACTACCTAAAGCCATTTGCCCGGCGAAATATAAATGTTTGACGCTGGCGTCCCTAAACACTCCCACGCCTCACAGGCCTTCAACAACCAATCAAATAATGGCAAGTGCTCCGTCTAGCCAATCACGAACGTCTCTCGTTTCGCAGGTTCTGTAAAACAATATCGGAGTAAAATATTGTTTTAGACTTTCAAGCACTCGAGAAATTTCTTTCACAGCCGTAAAAAGATGGTTTGTAAATATAATTTGAATTTGAAGAGAGCAGAAGGACTATTTTAAAACTGTGGAGATGCCGGGGATTGAACCCGGGACCTCATACATGCGAAGCATGCGCTCTACCACTGAGCTACATCCCCATTGGCTAATGCAAACGGAGCGATAGGTTATAACCAAAACTTCAAACGATGTTATATGGTTAATGTAATTTGTGTTGTTCACCTCGACAGTTTGAACAGCAGTAATTGTCCCAAAAATGGTTTTATTTACCTGTAATGTACCAGATATAACAGGAACTGACTTTAAATTATTCATTAAAAGCTGAGGTCAACCAGTTTTGTCTCTTTGGTCAAAAAAATGCAAAATTGTTCAGTTTTACAGGTAGGGGAGAGTGGGTTAAGTTGAGCCAAAGGGTAAGTTAAGTCCACCATTTTAGCTTAGAGGACTAATAAAGTCATTATAGTAGTTCTGGAGTAAGTTGAACCAGTGGCTCAAGTGAGAAAGTAAAGAAGTCTGATGAGAGAATCAGAGTTTCAGTTCAGATTGTTGAAATGTGTTACTTTTTCTTTCCAAAAATACAGCTGTGAATGTTCTGAATCACTTAAAGACATTCTCATGTTAAAATGGCTTTTTACAAAACAGCATTTTAACACTAAAATGGCTCATCTTACCCCACTCTCCCCTACACTGTGTTGAAGTGGAAATATTTCATTATATCTAGCTGTGAGACTAAAATGCCCCTATGCTCATCTCTCCCTTAAGCAGAGCATTCCTCCCAGTACAAAAAACACTCCAGAATATTGTTGTACTTGACACAGCAAACAATAGGCTAATACTGTAGTTTTGCATCGTTGGATGCTGATTGTTTAAAGTACCCAAAATGTCTATTTCACCCAAATTTTGTCTGAAATATTGCCTAATCAAAACTCTCTAACAGTCAGCATCATACTTACAAACACTTTCTTTGTTGATATCTGGTGTTCTAGTTTATATCCCAAGAAACTAATTGATGTCCAGATATAATGTCATGAAGAGTCAATGAGTGAAAAATTCTTACAATTCTTTTATCTTCCTTTTTATTTAAAAAAAAAATGAAAGCAGTGGAAAAATAGATGTACAACAATAATGTACAGTATCTGAAATGCTAAAGCAACAATTCAAAGGCAAGCTGAAGTCTTACACAGTCAAAATCTGAAACCTTGTAATCTTGCATATGTACATTAATTTTCCATGAAATGCCCATAAATGGTAATGATATTTTAGGCATCTTCAAGTAGTTTTAGATTGTGTGACCGCTCGTAGGCTAAAATAAAAGTAAGTATTGGGTAGCATTTTGTTTGAACTTCTGGCCTCAGTATTTCTAAAACTCAAACCACATCCCCCACTACACCGTAAGCTGCACTTGTTTTTCATGCCCTGTTTGCCTTTTCTCACAGAGCAGTCACATCACTGTCTTTGTAGACGCCGTTCTCAGACCATGTGGCACTTCCAGAGAACTGCTTCAGATCGATCAATAATCCAGCCCCTTCACTTGCTTCACCTTCACCTTCCCCATCCTCCACTTTCTCCTCCACCTTCTTTTCCTTTGTATCAGGATCATCAGTTAGCCTGGCTGTTTCTCCTGCCTCAGAACTCTCCAGACTTGAGTTGTCATCCGAAGTTCCTCCTGCCCCTGCATCTCTCTCTTCCTCGGCTTCATTCTCCTGGTCATCTCCTTCACTGTCACAGCCGTCACAGCTGGTGCCGTCTTCCACCTGTCTTTCCTCTTCTTGAACTTCCTGCATTTCCTCTCCGTCCTCATCAGTATTACTGCGAGGCCACAGTTGGACTCCCAGACGTGTCTCCAAAGGCAACACTACACCTCTCACCCGGTCTCTGACCCCACCTTCTTTATATACCATGCGTTGGATGGTGTATTCTCCATCAGCCTCTCTGTTTAACTTCTTGTACAAGAAGAAAAGCAGGAAGAGTAAGGCAACTAGGATGAAAAAAAGGATCAACACAGTCTGAGTGCCGGTTGTTGTATAGTTAAGTTTGATCCCAGAATCAGTCATGTCTACAATGGGAAAAGAGAAAAGCATTGCCAAATTAGCATTATCACACATTTATTTTTTAAATTCAGCTTATCTTTTAATGTCTGTTGGTGCTTTCTAACAATAATTTAGTAAACATATTTGTTAAAAATATGTAATTTAGCCAAATTAACTGCTTCTTGTAACCATATTGGAGGTGTACAGGCATATGTGGCATCATTCTCCATCGGACCTTTCCAACTTATTAACTCAGAAAGTGATGAGCACATTCAGAAATGTAGGAGCGGTGTGTCTTAATCGACACTTGGTGTGCACAGACATTAGATGATGCTGCCAACTTTGGCTTTTTTGTGAGCCGCATGTTGTTTGCCTTGTCACCAAAATGCAACTTCGGGTGACATAAAAAAAGCTGACAGAGAGGCTAAATATTAATTCACTGCTTTCTGTCCACTAATGTTACACAGCTATGTATCCAACAAACTGACAGATATTAGAGAAATGCTCTTTACCTTCTCAGAATATACAGAAGATTTCCTTCGTTCAGTGTTGCAGTTTCAGGCAGAGCTTGAGAGTTAACCTCCTCCTACTTTTAAAGCGAGTTAAGTTTTTGTCAGAGGAATCTCCATCTGTGTTCTCTTTGGCCAGGAATAGATGTCAGATGCTAAAGAGAGAGAGAAAAAAAAACAAAAAAAACAAAAATTAAATGGCATTTATTCAAATGTTCATTACTGAAAACTATAATATCCCGCCAAATTAAGATTTATCAGTTTGTGAGCCTACCGCTCCCTTCACAGAGGCTATAGTCCTATTTACATCCAAACAGCTGCTTAACTTTGACATAAAATAAAGCTTTTATACCGTCTACATCTACTCCAAGCACACTTACAGTCAAAAAGTTACCATCCATGATGGCTGAAGTGTAACCACAGGCTCATAATTGTTGTATCCTGTATGTGCGTTTGCTGGAGATGTAACAGGAAATCTGTTTTGCTTTTATCTTCTTCAGCTATGAACTGTCTAGCTTGTGAAGTGACAGGAAGCTGGCTGACTGCTCGCAGTGCTACTGGTTTCCTGCCAAAATGATCGCTTCACAGCATCAGTGTGGTGCGCAGAAAACTTTTTAGTCATAATAAGTTTGGTCAAGGACAGGCAGAGTATTGAGACATGCTACTTGTTAACAGATGTACAGAAGTTAACACTCCTGTCACAATTGAAACTGAAATTTGAAGTAAAACTGGTGGCACTGTAATCACAAAATTATTTTACTTTACATCTATCAAGTTCAAATATTCGAGCCTAGGAAAATAAGCAACAAAAGTATGTAAAAAAAACTCCAGAAATAGACACAGCACACAAAACACTGAGAATAAATGAACGGTATGCAACTGAAAACAAAGGTATTTGTGTCACTGCTTTAAAAAATGGAGTTAAGAAGTTATTCAAAAGATTAAAAAGACAGAAATTAATGTCACACTTACTCAAGTTTTGCGCCGGGAAAAACCATGTACCAGAGACGACCACCTGCGAGGAAACTGTTCATTCGAGGTTTTGAACAGAGTGACGGTAAGTGAGAGAGAGACCGATGCGTGACATGTGGTAGAGAAAGCCAAGGTGGGTGGAGGCTGAAGGAGGTGAGACTCTGTCAAACAGGGTGTGGTGGAAAGCACTGTGTGAGTGACTATTCATGTAAAGAGGAAGATTAAATTCATGTCTTTTGTGTTTGGGTGAAGGTTTTATTTGGTGAGGCAACATTTTAAAAGACATTTTTTTCTGCAGACTAGAGAATCCACCTGATGGAAATAACAGATTATTTCCTGTTACACAGAACTAGGAGTAATTTGTGCCTTCACCAAATGAAACAGAGTTTGCCCGAGTGTGTGTGTGATTTTCTGTTTTTGACATCAGCCCCACAGCTGTATTCTTTGATTTAAATGAAAATATTTAGGTTATTGCTCTCTAATACAGTTGCAAGATTTGTATTAAAAGAGCACAGAAGCTGTGCACTTCTGCTGCATGCGTGTAAAAGCCACATCCTGTTTTCAGCCCCTTTCATAGACCAGAGACAGCCATATCAAATCTCAACAGTTGTCTTACACTAAAAATAAGTTCTAACATGAATAACATAATAATAATTTAGGCCTACAGATGGAGAATAGCATAGGTCTGAAACTGCTACGAAATATCATACTAGTTTAAGCTTAATAAGATTATAGATATCTTGTATTGACTTAGAGAATAACTTCCTCGCTTCATATTTCATACTCAACCTTTTTATGGATGAAATGTTCTTCATTTTGTATTCTCACTGCAACAGAAGTAAAGAAAATGACAAGAAATATGCTTACTCATGCTGCTAATGATACTCCCACGCCAGCACAGTTCAGAGAATATGCTGGTTTAAACTCCTAGTTAGCTTAAATTAACATGATAAAGGGAAACAAAATCAAGACTTGGTGAGAGACTGTCGCCAACAACCCCTCGTAAAAATGTTGTTTTTGCTACACAATTTTGATTTTACAGTGAACAAACTTGTTAAAATTGCATGAATATTGATTGAGAGCAAAACTCGCTGTAAACTGTCATAAGCAGAGTTAACAAAGTTAAGCTTGCTGCCCCTTGTATGCAAAAATGTGATGTTTAAAGGCCTGCCAACATGGCAGTACTATTACTGTCATACAGTAACCATGGTGAGCTACCTTCATGCATGAAGGTGCCTCAAGTTCCTGGACAAAGCGCTTTTACTTTGCACAGTCTGCTGCATTCAGATTGCTAAACCAAACCACAGATCTCCATGTCATGCTTTGAATTTCTTGCAAGACTTTGCAGACTGTTCAGCATAGACAGGTGGCTTTTCTCAGACTGAGTCAAATTTACTAAACTAAATCTCACGAACTTTAGCTTCTGTTCAGTTTAGTTTTTAACTAAGACAAAAAAGGCAAAACTGTGCCTGTGTGTGAGTGAGCACTAGGCCTTGGCACACAGTTCAAACACACATAAAGAGGATTAAACATACTACACAAAGCTTTTACAAACAAAACATCTTGAAAAGTCATTTAATTAATACAAAGGAGGAATGAATGTTTATTGAGTTTAAACAGTGGAGTAGTCTCATTGCTACCAGTTTTACAGTTAGTGTTAAGAGGTCAGTGCATAAAGAAATATAAATTAGCGAAGTTATAAAGGGATAACTTGAAGTGGAATGTAACATTGTTACATGATCAGAGACGAATGAGTCTACAAATAACTATGAAAAAAAAAACTAGAATAAAAAACAAAATCAAAGATATTTTTCCTTCTTTTAACACCAATACAAATGCAATTTTCAAACAGTAGAAAATGGTTCACATTTCACTTTTACTTCCTCTTTCCTGTGGCTAAAAACACCAAACTGTTGTCTGGAACAATTTTAGTATAATACAAGTGTCATGTTGATATTAGTGCATGTAAAGTTACAGCTTTCATTTTAGCGTACAGCTATGAGGTACAAAATCACAAGGGATTTTCATTGACTTCAAAGACTACAGAGATAATTATAATACACTTAATTATGTAACTACACCCCCTTCATCTATTCTTCTCCTCTCTTCACTGTCAAGCTCATGATTTCTGTGCCAGAAGTATTTTTTTTCCTACCGTTTACCTTACACACTGCATCCTAAAATGTAGTAAAATAAGTACAAAGTCACACAATGAGTTAACAGTTGGGGTTTCTGATATGACATCACAGTTAAGCAGCTTTAACTACCTGATTAATCAGCCCTAATGGTTATATTTTTAGTGCTAAATAGAAAAAATCATATTAGAGGTACTGAATTGCTTTGCTATAGCATGTTGACCTTCTTTTTGTGACACTTTTCATCACTTTTTTTGTGCATTAATTTGAGGCGATAGTGCCTTTAAAGCCCTCGAAGCCCTTCAAATTGAATGCAAGGATTCAGCAAAGCTCAAAAACGCACTATACGCACCACCGAGAAGCTGCTACAACACTCCTTCATATGAAAAACACAACATTGTATCACTATCACTTTATGCAGGTGACACCCAATTCTCTGCAACAGTCTGAAAACCTATCGCATAAACAAACTGTTGTCTCACTTTCATCACAACAGCTGAGCTGGTTGTGAGCGAATGTGATTCACAGTTTGTTTGCTATCCTACACTACATTCTCCCACTCACACAGCTTAAGGTACTGTTGATTCTAGTAAGGCTATGGTCTATGGACTAAGAAAGAATGCCCCTGCGAATGTAGTGCTCCTTCACCGTTGCTCATACATCCCCGTCCTCTATCCGAGCCAGCTGCCTCTCCAGCAGCTCGATCCTCTGGCTCTGGGCGAGGACGACGGCGCGCAAGGCTTTCATCTCCGCTAAAAGCTCAGTCAACAGCTCGTCCTGCAAGAGGGAGACAAGAAGCCATCAGTGAAACATCAGTAAAGTGGATTTAGATATGTTTAGAGTGCAGGAGGAATCAAATTGTCCAGGGTGACCATAAGTCCTCTTTAACCCGGACATGTCCTCTTTTTGGAGGGCTGTCCAGGCTATCCGGGCTTGTCCAGCTTTGTCCAGGGAAGTTTATAAAATCCTTCAAATGTATGTGGTTTTGTACAAGACATTTGATTTTGTGTCAGGTGGATTTACTGACTTAGAAGCGCATAAAAGACACTCTCAAAATGAACTTTGTGCGACTCTGTGACTCCGCCCCCGCTTAATCATGTCCTCCTTTTGGGAAGTCAGAATTCGATCACCCTAAACTTGTTTTTTTTTTGTCGAATTTTTCTCCACTCACCTCTCGCTTCGGCCTCTCGCTGTTTCCATCTGTTGTGGCTACTCTTGGCTGTGGCGCCTCTTCTTCTACCTCCTTAGCTGCAGAGGTAAAAGTAGACGTGGGAGATGCTGCAGAGGGCTGGGCAGCCCCAGTCCCAGAGTCCTGCGAGACCAGCTTGGGTTTGCTTCTGAGGGTGTCTCTTTGCTTGGATGGAGGAGCTGAGTACCCACCACTCAAAGAGACCAGCAGGGGCGGAGCATCCTGGCCAGCGATCCATTCATCTGCAAGGAGAGCCGGCTCTGAGCCAGCTGTGTCCGGATAGAGGTCTCCTTGAAACAGATCCGACTGGGGACGCAGAACGGAGACAGGAAATTGATTTTTATTACAGTTATGGAAAGATTTCCAGGGCACGGAAAGAGGCATGTAATCCAACTAATGTAAAAAGGTAATCTCTGGGTTGCAACCCTAAATCTGATGCTGGGTTTCACAAAGGTTCTGACAACAAAATACTTGAAAAACTGCATAATGCTATAAAAACACACCCGGAGGAACATCCTCCAACTAATTACATTAATTTAAAACAGATTAGTGACACAGCAGAGTTTATAAAGGACACTTTTGAGTCGATCTGATGTAAAAATGGGAAGAAGTTCATCACTCTGTGAGAGACTGCGAGAGCAAATAGTTCAACAACTTCAAAATTATGTTACTTAAAGGGATATTCTGGCATAAAATTCTGGCGTTTGTTGCTACAAACAAGTGGCTGCTGGAAGAGAGTAGGTGAGTTGTTTTTAGTCTCTTTGCCAAAGAAATCAGTCAAAGTTAAAAAGATGTTTGGTGGCTAGTGCTGTGGCTGGGACCCTATATGTACTGTTGATGAAGTTCGGTGCTGTTCTGAGCATTATTTGTGTCTGTAGAGTGGCTTTTTGGTTGAGGTTTGCGTGTGGCTCCTGAGACTGCTTTGTATTTCTATCGTGCGGTCGTTACTAAAGTTGGTATAAGTAGAGAAGCAAGCAGTCGGCAACATTCATCTCTCGACAGGGTGTCTAACTAGGGGTTACGGTGTGTTTGAACCCAAATGAATTTTACGCCGGAATATCCCTTTAAGGTTCAAATCTAAGGACTTTAGGGTTTCATCATCTGGAGTCCAAAATAATTAAAGATTCACAGAATCTGGGAAAAACCTTGTACAACATCGTCTCAAGTGAAAACCACTTCTTTACAAAATAGACATGACTATACCATGAAAACCACTATTACAACCAAAAACCACTGTTGGTATTAAGTTTTTTCAGGCAACCACAAATGCAGGTTAACTGTACCATGCAAAGAGGAAACCATATCCAAATAGCTGATGGCTCATTGGGGTCAAACCCATAAACAAAAGTCCCTTGGTCTTCAGATTCTAAGTTTGACACAACTCTGGAAATCATAAACACCGTACCCTTCACTCTTAAGAGACGAGGGATCACCAGTTCAAAAGCAAGGATCCATGAGGGTACAGAAATGCATAAGTGCACACATCTGAGAAGTTTCTATTAATGCTAAACAATTCAGGTTTTCGAGAACCATATGCTGCCCTCCAGATGATGTAATTTACAGGGTAGACCTTTCAGAAATATATATTTTCAAAGGTTATGCGTTGGTTACCTTTCTTGGTACAGTCATAGAAATGGGTTCCACTTTTCTCTCGTGGAGTTTGTAGAACCTGCAGGAGACAAGCAATTTTTAAAAAAGTGCTAAAGGGTTATTCTGGTGACTTCTCCATTTTGCTTATGAGGTAAGTGTTTAATTATGTTTTTTTTCTTTTAGGTGCTGACTCATAAAGCCAGACCAACACCTAAATGTTTCAGCGCGTCAAAATCAGTGACATACTGCAGTTCTATTTTAAATACTGGCTTTGTGACTTCCTTAAATAGTTGTATGTGATGGTGTTTCATGAAACTGCATCTGCTGGGGACTGCTTAGATAAAAGCACATTGAATGCCATAATAAATATTTACAGCGGGGGAATTTGGTACGCAAGCTGACTTTTGATAAACTGATCTAAGTACAGTAAACTAGAGTATTTAAGGCACACTTTAATACCCTTTTGTTCTCTACAATGTAAGCTGTGTTTAACATGCTGCTTTTATGAATATAGAAGTATACAATGTAGAAATTTGTATTCTACTGTGTGATGCATTTTCGAGGAGTCAAATTAATGCTACGATGGAAAAGCTTGCAGTTCATTCTGGAGGCTAATGGTTGTGGTATTGATGGGTTTCAGGATGATAATGGAGCTCTACAGCACAGAAGAATATGAGTTTAATGTTTGAAACATTGGCAAGACTTGGCAGGATTGTTAGAGAAGTAAACAAGTTAACCATGAACACAGAGAAACACATGTCAGCATGTTTACCTGGCAATTTCACACTTGTTGACATCCACGCCTCTTTTACTGAGGAAGCCAGCGCCCCTCTGAGGCTCCTTGCTGCTGTATAAGCTGAGGAAGTGGACATAGGGGGATTCATCTGTCACCTCAAAGTACCGGATGGTGCAGTCTCCCTAAAAATCAGAAGATAATGTCAAAATAGAAAATGACGCTAACTGATTAAGCTAGTGTAACTCTTCATTCTATCCTGTGTTCTTACCTTTCCACACAGGTAGACCATGTTGGTATCAGGGTCATAAAAGGGTAAAAGGACTCCATTACTTGTATCCATTTCTTGCACTGCCATTGGTTCAGAGAGATCTTTCTGTAAAAAACAATTACAAAGTAAACAAGCGTTAAATATTATAATATCTTTATAACCAAGGCTGCTATTGTGATACATCAAATGTTAGACAAAGTGATTTGTTTAAGAACGGGATCATGAGGTAATAGATGCTGAGCTCATTTTTCAAAGGAAGTGTGCATAACATTGAATATAATCAGTCAATATGACTACAATCTCAGTGTTAATCAATGGGAGTCAAGGCAGACTTACAGTATCCCACAATGCCAGCTGCCTCTCGCTCATACGGCTGAAGCCTGTGGTCAGGATTTTTCCATCTGACAGAAACACCGCTCTCATTGGCCGGGTGCCGTCATGAACCTTCTCTTTAACCTGAAAGAACCAATCAAACGTTCATAAAAAGGGTCATGAGGAACACATCTGCCCTCAAAGCAAAAACGGATAACAACCTTCAGAACGGCGCCCCTTCGCGGGTCGATGACGCGCAGAGCCTTGTCCTTGCAGACGGTGCAGACAGCGCTGCCGTCCTTGTTCCAGCTGACGCTGTAGATCAGGTCAGGGTGGGCATCGCTCAGCTGGTACACAAGTTCTCCGGTGCCGACGTTCCACACGCAAATCACATTGTCGCAGCCTGGAGACAAGAATTTTGATCAGAATAAACAAAACTACAGAGCAAGGAATGAGCAAGAAACACAACACCTGAGATGACTCCTATTGTGGACAGAATGTGCAGCATGTTTGAGTTTTATTTTTGTTGGAACTTTTCTTTAAAAAATGCATTAAAGATGTTTCTTAAGATATTGAAATAAAGCAGAATTAAGTTACTAAAGCAGCAAAGCTCCTATAAGAAAAACAATACTGAAGCAAGAGACTTTTGTAGCCAGAGGGGACTGCAAACTGATTTATAACCTGGGAGCACATCCAAGAGCTTTGCATACTGAGACAAGGATCTACTCTGTCAATGCAGATGTACACCAGTACATTAGTACATCTCTGAAAACAATGAGGAGCCAGTGCAATATCTCATGTTTCTGAGAAATGAAACCAGGCTTATGGGGGACTTTAAAGCTGTTTTTTTCCTATCTTGGTTTGAGAAAGCTGTGATATTTCTTCATATTTTAAAACTTCTGCCCTGTTTGTACCATAGCGCTCACTCTAACTCACTTATTGCACAACTGACAGACACAAAGAGTTAATAATCTAGCTCCAGAAACTATGTTACCTCAGGGTTTTATGCTAATGAAACTAAATCCAGCAGCTTTGCAGCCAAGTGTAATTATTTTTTAGGTTAATCACTCTCTCCTCTAAACTTGCACAGCACACTTTGAATTACAGAGGGACGGAAATCCAATTCCTTGCCTGTATAATGCAGTAGTATTTGAACTGGCTGTCACTGAACACCACACAGTAAGACAAGAGCCGTTCCTAAACGCTCACCATTCACAAATGGATTTCTATAAGTGTTTGGCACATTCATAAAGGACTATTTGTAGCCTGTTTTTCAAAGGGTGACATATGTCTTTAACAATGGCTTCATGATATTCTGCCACAGTCCTTCAGCATAGCCTCTTGGGTTTGGGTGATAATGTAAATATATGGAAAACACATGAACTACACTGCACGCAGGTGGAGTTCAGAGAGGGTTATGAGCCACGCTCTCTGCAGTCACAGGGCACCATGACAAGATGAATCTGCTCACCTGCAGTCAGGAGGATATTGAAGGCAGAGGGGTGCCAAGCCAGGATTCCCACTCTCTTACTGTGTCCCTCGAGGGTCACGATGGCCTCGGTCATCGGACTAGTGAGGCCCCCATCTGGGATCTGCCACACCTTTAAACAACAAGACACAGCAGATTTGTTCCTATTAATGCCTCTACAGTAAATAACATTAGGGTACGGACCAGGTACATGACAGAAATGGATGTCTTAAACAGTGTATTTGATGTATGTTGACTGAAATTCATATTGATGCTTTTTTATGATATATAAAAGAAAATAGAAGCATCATAGTTTTGAGTACCTGAAATTGTTGTGAGAGGGGGTAAAGCTGTGTTTTTAAATTTTTCACATCCATTTTTTTTACAATAAATGATCAATTTGAATGAATAGATTTCTGAAGCATAGAGGACAACATAAGCAAGTTTAGTTCATCTTATTTAGTTCATTTGTTCAGGCACAAAACATACAAAGACATACAAAAATATAAAGGTATGTACATGGGTGTGGTAGAAACTTTAAAATAGCTTTAGGTTTAGACTAAAACTTAACCTCAGAAACCCCCCAAAACTAAACTTCTATAAAAACACACAAGATATATTCAAGAAGATGAAAATATAACCAAACAACCTTAATGCAAGAGTTTCCACTTAGAAAATGTAGAGAATTTTAATTTAAAAATATGAAAGGAAGTAGGAGATTTTGCTATTTTCAAGGTCTAGCCGAATATTTATTAATTTTTTATGATTATTACAAAGGAGGTGTCTTTGAATAGTCTTTTAAGAGTTGAGATAAGGGTGTTATTACTCACAAACTTAGCTTAAATATTCAAATAATTTGGCTAGACATGTAAACATTTAGCCTCTGTGGTCATTTTAGATGTTATTATACGGTGAAAAATGGTTTCAAAGCAGCATCATGTGGCACAGAGACACTGACAGCTGGAAACTTCCTTCAACTGAAGAAATAACGTCACTACTAGTACTGAGACCAAATGAACACAGCTACTGTGTGTATTGGTGTTTAATGTGGCATTGGGTGACAATAATGTGTGATACAGAGCCACAAAAATGACACATAAACTTGACAAGTTCAGTTCCTGCTAACCAACCTTTACTGTACAGTCCTCTGAGGCACTTGCTATGATGTTGTCGTCATGAGGAGACCACTGGATGTCCAGCACTGGAGCTGCATGGCCACACACCGTGGGACAAGACTGATCAATTCTCCCACTCTGTCATAAAAACAGACAAAAAATAAAAAAATCATTAACACCGTGACAGCCAGTTGGATAAAGTTTAACACATCACAGGAGTTTAACCTTTGTCCTCTATTTGTTTGGAACTGCAGAAGGGCTGCTGCAAACGCATCAGCCAGACAAGGAATTGCTGATGCGTTGCTTTTAACAGCAGATTGAATGGTAGGAAAGATGGAAGAAGCTTTTAAGAATATCGATCTCCTGTTTATGTGATGCTTCAGTAATGCAGAAGGGTTTTGAACCTTGCTGATGGGAACAACCAAGAAGGCCCCTCCTCCGCCGGCTTCAATTATAACAGCGATGAATTTGGGGTTGACTGCGCAGAGGGGATTGTCCCACGTCACGCGGGACACCCTGACATCGTCGATGCAGTGCTCTGATTTCCACGCCTGGGCAAAGACGTGTCGGAACTTGCTCTGCCGCACCACACCTCGCCGGAAAGACATTATCTGTCTGAGGAGAGAGAAAAGCAATGGCAGGTGGAGAAACAAAAGTTACCTTTTCTTTTACTGCAAGTGTGACTGAATGAGAGCTGATTATACTGACCTCAAGTAATCATCAAACCAAACTTAATCCTGTGTTAAAAATCATCAATTTATCTCACACTTATCCAACAAATTCCCAACATTTGAGCTGGTCAGCAGAAGAGAAAGAGGGGCTGTCAAACCAGCAGGCAAATTCTTTCAAACTGGGAGCCTGGCCTGAAAAGTACAGTCAGGCTTCAGTGGACAAAAGGGCATGATCCGCCTGAGACCAAAACATGCTGTGGCAGTGAGGGAAAGGGGGTTGGGCAGTGTGACCAAGCTGCTGAGGCAGGGGAACCAGTAACTCTATATGCCATCTACCTAATGCTCTACAGTTGTCAAAGCAAATTGTGTTTCAGCAGGTATGCCGGCCATAGCCTGCATTGTTTCCAGTAGCTAGTGAGGATTAGAAAAAGCTCCACACTTGTGCACTTCTGAATAGGAAAAGCCAAAGCCTAAAACAGGTCCACTCTGTCACGGATAGTGTTTTCTTGGTGTATAATGACAATTTTGCTTACCTTATATATCATTACAACAATAACAGAAGAATATATTTCTATTGTTGTCTGCACACAATACAAGGAGTAACAAACGTAACAAGCACGAGCAACAAAGACCGTGTATTAACGCGTTATTCGTTACAGCACGAGACACACTAAGAAGATGAGGAAGGTTGCTACTGAGGTTATTATTCGTGAGTACGGTTGCTTACCTGGCTTTTGCTCCACGAATAAGAAAAAAACCACCACAGACTCGGGCGTGACAGGAGAAGGCCAATAAAATAATCCGCCGCCAGCAACAGTAACTTAATCCTCTCCTGTGTCCGAGCAGGCGAGCACGTCGATTGCGCAGACCTTAAACAAAATACGTGCCTTAGAAATAAAGACCCAATAGAATTAGTACCAATTTAGCCTCTCGTGTCACGTACTACGCATGTCTGTTGTAGTAAAAGCCTGACCTGATGGAGCATGTCCCGCGTGCAGATTTATGCGTGCATTAAAATTGCTGTAACGAAGAATAGAGCCAGTCTACTGGTACTGCTGTGGTATGAGATGCACACGGTTTCGCCCCGACTCCCTTTACAATCGACTGATCTGGGGCGATGTGAACTGAGCGGAATCCCAGACACTTCCGCCCATGGCAGGATGTATCAAAGACACATACAGACCAAGAGGAGTCTCTTCCGCTCACATCCACGTCCCTGTCCGCTCGACAGGATGTGAATACACCTGCAAAAACAATGCTCACTATTTTGGGAGTTGAAAAGTAACCAATTAATGAACCAATTTATGTATTAAGGGACGGATAAACCATTCTGCGCACGCGTAAAACAAAGTTATTACGGCATCGTCGCTGCTTTAGTGGCAGATTCGTTCACACTAGTGATGGGCACGGCAGTTATTTTAGATGTACTGAATCACTAGAATCAGTTCACTAAAAAGATTCGTTCAAAAGATTCGTTGACCAAATCACCGAATCATTGAAGCATGCGACTCCGACCTCAAGATTCAGTTCAGTTCATAGCTTCTGGGACCAGGAGACGAGAGTGTATGGCTGTGTTGCTTTGACGAACAGGTTTGTAAAAATGAACTTGTTTATAAGTCACGAGCTGTGTCCGAAATAGATCCCTAACCCCTATTTAGGCGACTATATGGGGGTAAGCGCCATTTTGAGGGACATCCGATAGCTCAGTGATCAATTCCACTGCCCTATGGTATGCTATGTATCAGGTCTGCTCTGTAAATTGGGCTCAGTGAGTGATTCGTTCACCGAATTCATACTGAACATGCACCGTTCTCTTAAAAACCACTGCAATGATAGGATGTTGCGGATTTATTGCACTACTTGTTACATGCTGTGTGTTATTGTATGAAAGTTTTGTGTCGGCAATTTAGCAGTGGAAAAAAAGGACAAAAATGATTCCAGAGAGCGTAGTTCAATGTGTGATTCGTTCACAAGTGATTCAGGCGTCGGTGCATGTGGTCCCTCGTTCGCAAACTGCTCGACTGGCAATGCTGTTTCTCATTTAAGCTCAATTGAAGTGAGAAACGAACGAATCACTCGAGGAAGTGATTCAGTTCAGTACGTTCACTTTAAGGATTCGGTTCTTTTGAACCAATCGTTCGCGAACGACACAACATTAGTTCACACAATAAATGCGTTCAAAGTGGTTTAAATTTAATTAAGTTCATAAGCGTTTTTGATGGACTTTATAAAGGTCGAAGCTACCTGACCCTCGAGCAAGTTACAGCGTCAAATTATAGCGCCAGCGCATAACGAGTTATCCTTTTTAAAACTTGCTCAGCAGCTTGTTTTCTTTTCTGTTTCTCCATAGTGATGTGACGACTTCTGCAACATGCGAGACGTGAGGCCCACTACTTAAGGCGAGTTTCATTTGGAGTGTATAAGGTAACTATTAATGCAAAGTCAAAGTTTGCAATGAGACTTCTAGCGCCAGTCTCTACAGTCTTATAGTAGAATATTTGAACCCCAGTCTTCGGCTTCCTTGCACACCTCAAGCACAATATACTTAGAGTAAAGTAACGCCCTTTATCAGCCTAAGGGAAAGGTACGTGGCATTACTGCCAAACTGGACTAACAATACCTCTTTCAGTGTTAATTGGCTTCTTAAGATTGAGAACTTTTTAAAAATACATAGTTAAAAGTTTATGCAGATTCATCTGTTCATTTCATGTCGAAATCTTTATTTTTTCACCTTGGCACAAGAACCTCGGAAGTAGAGAATCTAACTTTCTCTGGCAATTAATTTAGTAACGATGGGGACTCGAAACAGCACCGCGTGTAAATGAAAAACAGCCCTCGATGTATAAAGAACGGACCTTTGGCGCCACCCAGTGTTCCAAAGTGTACACTGTAGTTTTATCAACGTGACCTTTATTTTTTTGTTATGCATAAATGTGAAGATGTATGCAAGGTAAAATAATTTTCAGGCCCAAGTACTTAAAATAGGAAATAATTCGCCCAGCTGTATCGATTTTAATTGGTTTGGGTGACTGGGAGTGCAACAGGTGGCTCCGTGGCGCAATGGATAGCGCATTGGACTTCTAGGCATTGAATAGCGAAGGGATTCAAAGGTTGTGGGTTCGAGTCCCACCGGAGTCGCATTTTTGTTCTCTTGAACGATTCATCATATACTTTTCCCATCATGTACTGAATATTTATATCATATTAAACTCGCTTTAAAATGCTTATGTCAGACAAGTGAAACATTTGCATTACCGCTGAAGCTTTTAAGTTTAACCTTTGTTATTGTCAGTGTAGGGTTGAGCGAGAGCTCTTTGTATGCTTTTATTTCAATTGCATGAATTTTATTGTTAAGTCATTCGATGAAACTTTTTAGCTAAAATACAGCTAAAGCTAGCTAAACGATAATAAAACGATCGACTAATTCGTCAAGGTAACAAGCTACAGTCAAAGGGCTATCCGAAAGTTCCTTCAAAATAAAATGAAATATTGTTCATGTAGATAAAAATTACTGTGCCATGCCAGCCCACCATATATGCTTGCATTACACACACACACACACACACACACACACACACACACACACACACACACACACACACACACACATATATATATATATATATGTATATACATATATAAATAAATATGTGTGTGTGTGTGTCTCATTTTTTCTAACATAAATGTATGTAGGTAGGGTGTGATTTCATCTGTAAGTGCATGTGTGCTTGGTCACCTTCTTTTAATGTGAGGTTTTTTAGTTGTTTTTCATTTATTTCCGCCGGCTCTGGTTTCCTTTGCTTTTTTAACTTTTCTATTTTTTTTGGCTTTCCTCTTGCATCACCACTTCATACTTTATAGTGAGACAAATATGGCACTACCAAATCCCCCCCAAATATACGTATTCAGATGATAATATGTTAGACCTGCAAATTTTTGCTGAAAAGTCTGCGTACCATCTGTCCATTCAGTTAAACTATTGCACAGTTAAACAAAATATCGCACAGTGTATCAATATTCTGTTTAACTGTGCGAGAAAACTATAATAACTAAAATGTGCTTTTACTTTGGAGGCCTCATTTCCGGTTTCTTCTTGCTAATTGACCAAAATGTAGGCAATCTGAAAAACCAAACCGTGTTTGTTTCTAGCCGGAATCAAGTCGTGTTGCACCGGGTGTAACCATCGAGCTAACGTTAGGCTAGTTAGATGTAGCTAGCTATAGGTTTTTGTCAACGTACGCAGTTAATGGATTGACACATTTCATGCGATTATCACGGGATGCTGATGAATCTCTTGGGTGTCACTTTATTGTACTATCACTCTGCTGTTGTCGTCGACGTCCTCGCTCCGGTTTATCCTTTATTGGCTGCCCCGTGTTGGTCAGTTAGCTAGTTAGCCTTCTAAGCTAGCTCGGTGCAGCGGCGTATGGGTGTCAAAGTTAGCCGGGACTTCTCCGGGTGTCTGGTTCCCTGATCTCACATTTCGGACACGTCAAGGTAAACATTCAGCCTCCGGCGAGTAGGAAGGCCAGCTTGCTAAGCTAACGTTGTATCAGTCGTGAATACTGTCAACAGCATTCCATAAATACGCGCATGTAAGCCGGTAAACTTTGGACCGGCATGTCCTTTAATGTCTCCGGTTACTTTATCTCATGTCCTGGCTTTGAACTGTCACCAAAGAGGCTCAAATTGGAGCTAACGCTACCTAGCTTCAGCTGTCAAACTCCTCGCTGTGCTGTTTATTAACCTCTTTTTGCGATCTTCTGATTTATTTTACACGTATAACTATTATTTCCAGTTAAAATCCCTCCAAAGTCATTATTTTCTCTCACAGTTTGCTATCTTCCCTATCAATCATGCTTATTTAAAATGAAATCAGAAATACGGAATCACATTATAATACTGATCCCGCTTCCTGACTGTGTTAAAAACACTTTTATTCCAGCTTAAGTTCAGGTTTTGTGTAAAAAAAAAATGTGTAAAGAGTGACTCCTTATTGATCCCAGTTTTAAACTTTGACCCGTGACACTACACTTCACTGATCGATATGAAACAGAGTAATAATGAGTCACATCAGCGCTGACATGATCAGGAAAATACCTCAAATGTTGACATAGTTTGGGAGTAAACGTGGCGGTAGCATTTTCAATTTGTTAAACATAAAATGGTATTAAGGAGTGTCCTATTTCTGTATGTGATCACATATTAATGACTCATCTGCTGGCTGTTAAATACCTAGAATATGGGTGTGTGATATTGCCATACTAATATAGCAGGCTCTTATATGTATTGTTCATATTAATGATAAAAACAGCATATTGAAGAAAATCTGATATATTTATTTACTTAAAACTGAGAAATTACAGAAAAAAAGACACAAAAATACTACAATCACCAGGTTTGATATTGACATAAAACTGCCATGGCCTTTACTGGGTTTGCTTTGCAAGATATTGGGGCCTCAACAAACATATAGTGGAAATAAAAAGTCTACACACTCCTGTTCAACTGCCAGGTTTTAATGATGTAAAAAAATGACAGCAAGATAAATATTTTCACAACTTTTTCCACATTTAATGTGACCTATAACCTGTGCAATGTAACTGAAAAACAAACTAAAACCTTTAAGGGGAAAAATATAAAATAAAAGAACTAAAATAATCTGGTTGCATAAATATGCACACCCTTAAACTAATACTTTTTTGCAGCACCTTTGGGTTTTATTACAGCACTCAGTCTTTTTGGGTAGTGGCAAGTGGGATGTGGCAATATTTGCCCACTCTTCTTTGCAAATCTGCTCCAAATCTGACAGATTGCGAGGGCGTCTCCTGTGCACACCCCTTATCAGATCACCCCACAAATGTTCGATGAGATTCAGGTCTGGGCTCTGGCTGGGCCATTCCAAAGTCTTAATCTTATTCCAGTGAAGCCATTCTTTTGTTGATTTAGATGTGCGCTTTGGGTCATTGTCGTGCTAAAAGATGAAGTTCCTCTTCATCTTCAGCTTTCTAGCAGAAGGTTGAAGGTTTTGTGCCAACACTGACTGGTATTTGGAACTGTTCATAATTCCCTCCACCCTGACTAAGGCGCCAGTTCCAGCTGAAGAAAAACAGTCCCAAAGCATGATGCTGCCACCACCATGCTTCACTGTGGGTATGGTGTTCTTTTGGTGATGAGCCGCCTACTAGAACAGCTGAACTTTATTTGGGGTTGATCAGAGGCACTTTAACAGGTGTGTGCTGACTCCAATTTAACCTGAGTTTGAATGTTATTGGTTAAATCTGAACACAGCCACATCCCCAGTTATTAAAGGGTGTGCACACTTATGCAACCACATGATCTCAGTTGTGTATTTTGACTTCACCTCCATGAAAGATTTCTGTTTGTTTTTCAATTGCACATTAAAGGTGGAAGAAGTTGTGAAATTATTTATCTTGATTTAATTTTTTTACATGACAAAAACCTGGCCGTTGAACAGGGGTGTATAGACTTTTTATATCCACTGTACCTAGAGTATATGCACCAAAACGCACTCACAGGGATGCCACGCTCCACTCTTAACAACACTGGAGGCCAGCTACCCTAAAACAAGGTTTTAGAGATCAAGACTTCATGACAGGGCCACTAATTTAAGGCCCAACTTAGTTCTGTTTTCACTGAACCCACACAAGGCTTGTATTTTTCTTTGAAGGATGATTTCTAGTTTTTCCAGTCAGTGTGAAAACTTCGGAACTGGGTTACATTAAATTCTGCATATACTTGGATTTATTTTGAACACACCTGAGAAACTTTAGGCAGTAAAATTTGTAAATTGACTTACATAATAAAAAGTTTAAAGATGGAACCATTGCAGAATAATATGCTGATTAATTAGTGCATCCTCCTAACTGATCAATATTTATAATTCTGTGTTGTAGCAAAAGCTTTTCCATGTAACCTGAAACATTTCTAAATCTCGTTTTCCCTTTTAAGGTTTCTCCTATCCGTCTCCTGATTTTGGGGGCTGTGATGTCGGAGCCCAAAACCCCCACACCCACTCCTGCTGGTGACACGTACAAAGGTTGGGTGTTCAAGTGGACAAACTACATCAAAGGATACCAGCGGAGGTGGTTTGTCCTGAGCAATGGGCTGTTGTCGTACTACAGGTACACTTTAATGTAAAACTAACAGAGATATACATGTCTTTCACCTTGATCATGCAACTAGAATAATCCCTCTGCAGTCACTGTTGCTACTGTTGAATTACGCCTGATAAGCTGCTGATTATATTAACTTATCAATGTGTGTTGCCCATTTTTGTCACACTGCAGCCTGTGATTGGTGTGAGGGTGCAATCACAGAACAACTGTCAAGCACTTTGTTTTGATGATAAGCAATGTCAAAGTGCTCACTAACTAGCGAAGAGTGGACTCTGTCCTGCGGGTGTGCTGGAACCGACATACAGTGTATGGAGGTTTGTCCATTTTGGAAAGTGAAACCCCTGCGAGTCGGGACTCAGTGTAAAGTTTAAAATGTTAATATAAAGCCCCCCAAGATTCCCCAGGGCTTGACACTAACTTTTTTCACAAGGAGCACATGTGCTCTAAGTTGAAAAAATAAGGAGCATACAAAGAACTTTAGTGGTACAATGAAAATTGATCAAATAATGTTTGTCTTATTGTATTTGTCTTAAGTACTATTATTTGAAATCAATTTTAGGTCTTTAGGTCACATGACATGGAAGCTATTGAAGGAAAGGTTCAAAATTTGCCTTTAAATTTAACACAAAAACTTTTAGAGGACAAATTAGGGAAAAAAAGAGGTGTGTCTTATTGGTTGACATAAGTACTATTTTTTAAAATTAATTTTTCGTCAGTTGGTCACATGACATGAAGCTATTGAAGGAAAACAGACTTTTTTGAGAACATCAACCAGTAATTTATTGATGGTCCCTTATTCAACACCTGATGTTGACAGGGAGTTTGGCGAGTAGATTTAACCGCTCTGCTGTTGCTATATCTGGTTATGGAGAGTGAGAAGACACCGGTAGATCTTCAGTGAGTGTCCAACAGATATCCAACCTAAAACTAACTTCACCGCGGTATTTACATGAAAAAAAAATTTGTTGCCTCGGCTGATTTTCTTAATGCACACATGTGCTCCTTAATACATTTTACAATACGCACACATCTATTTTTAGTCGCAAATGCGAGTGAAACGGTCGCACTGTCGAGCCCTGAATCCCCTATTGGCCTCCATGTAACAGGTATGTGTGAATGTGCAGAGTCAGGCAAATTTCTGGGTTCGAGCTCCTGAAATTTTCTGGTTATTGTCTGAAAACAGCTGTACTCGTGCTCGTAATGCTCTGTGACAATGTATTTTTTAATTTGCTTTGAAGCAGTGGTTCTCAATCCAGTCCTCGAGCCCCCCACTGTCCTCCATGTTTTGGATGTTTCCCTACTCCAACACACCTGATTCAAATGATTAGCTCGTTATTAAGCCATTACAGAGCTTGGTAACGAGCTCATCATTTGAATCAGGTGTCTGCTGCAGTGATCGGTCTTATCTTCTAATTAGCTCGTTAAGTCCACCTGGCCTGATTCTGAGTCACTCTACCTCAGGGTGAAAGTTGTGTCTTACCAACTTTTACTCAAACTGGCACTAAGAAGGCTTTTTTTCTGGCGAATTGTTGCAGCCACAGATTGTTTCTCTCTTCAGTTGCGTTTATAACACAAAATCTGGACATCTTCTTTTTATTAGGACCCAGGCAGAAATGGGCCACACCTGCCGAGGCACGATTAACCTGGCTACAGCGACCATCACTGTGGATGACGCCTGCAACTTTGTTATCTCCAATGGGGGGGCACAGACGTACCACCTGAAGGCCAGTTGCGAGGTGGAGCGTCAGCGCTGGATCACTGCCCTGGAACTGGCTAAAGCCAAAGCGGCCCGCATGCAGGCTGAGTCAGGTAAAACAAAACGACTAAAAACACACAGCAGAGAGACAGAGTGAAAAAAACCCTTATCATCACGCTTTTGTTTGCTGACTTGTTTCTCTGATTACCAACAGACGACTCCGGGGATGACTTTTCTCCGTCATCCACGCCGGCGGCTCCTGGACAAGGCGTGGCATCACAAAACTCAGAAGTGCAGTCATCCTTGAGAACGCTTGGCAGCAAAGTGGAGGATCTGAGCACATGCAACGACTTGATCTCAAAGCACGGATCTGCCCTCCAGAGGTCAGCCTTTACCTGCTTTATAACTCTCTCAGTCTAAGCTCTCACGGCCAAAGAGTTAAAAGTTCTTTCGTCTCTCAACTTAGAGAGTAGAGAATCGGAGACTCAGACATATTTTTTTTTTTTCAGATGTTTGTTTTTTTCTTTTGTTATTTTACAAACAACAAAAACACTCAACAAACTTATTCATGACAAAAAGATATTCTTTCTCACAGTATATGTAAGAATATTATACAGTCTGCTGGAGCAGGTACTCAACTCAACTCAACTTTATTTGTAAAGCACAACAACCACAGCTGAACAAAGTGCTGTACATAAATAGACAAAACAACGCAGACTTAAAAAAAAAACAATTAAACAATGGATAAAATAAAAGCAGATATTAAAAAGTAAAAGTAAAACTAATTTAAAAACATAAAAACAAATAACTAAAAAGAAACCATAAAACACTCAAACAGGAGCCGAGTCTCATGCAGGGTTAAAAGCCAATGAATAAAAATGGGTTTTAAGACGAGTTTTAAAAATGGACAGTGTGGGGGCTTGTCTGATTTGGAGGGGTAGCTTGTTCCATAATTTTGGGGCCGCAACAGGAAAAGATCTATCGCCTCTGAGCTTTAGTTTAGATAAGGTAAGATAAGGTAGGTAAGATGGAGCCAGACCATTTAAAGATTTAAAAACAAATAAAAGAATCTTAAAATGAACTCTAAAATGTACAGGTAACCAGTGGATGGAAGGCAGGGTGGGAGGAATGTGCTCCTTATTATGTACTCCAGGTACCAACAATACCATCTTGACACTGGTGACCCAGGAGTGAAGAGATGGGATTCAATCTCAGAGGCATACCAAAAATGTTTCCATATCGTGTTGAATATCAACCCAGGATGTATGAATTTTTAGGGGAAAACCAAACACAGTGTGTAAAGGCTCCAACAGAGATTTTATAATTTAGACACAGAGATGAAGTTTGGGGGTTGATTTTATGCCTTTGGCTGGGAGAGATCCTCAAGAGGTAACTTCAACACGGTATTTGCATGAAAAAAACATTTGTTGCCTCGGCTGATTTTTTTTTTATGTGCACATGGTACAGTATTTTAAATTGTAGCAATCTTGCGCAATAGCACATGAAGACCTTCCTTGTATTACTCCATATCACCTCCCATTTACCCTCATCAATATTCACACCCAGTTCATTTGCTGTTCAGTGCGTGACATAGTGGTATTAGTTTTGAGGGTGTTTTTTGTTGTTGTTATGAAATCTCTAATATGGAGGTATCTAAAAAAAGTGGTACCTTTTGGAGATTATATTTCTTTTGAATATGTTCAAACGATAACAAGGACGCTCCTTCAAATAGATGAAACATTTTCTTTATCCCTTGGGATGTCCAAGTGTTATTATAAACCAGACACGCCTGGCTCAAAGCTTGGGTTACCCTGAATTGGAGTTAGTAGAGGGGTTAAGTTAGATTACCCTTCGAGCTTCTGTGAAAGAAACTATGCCTATTACTGTTTTGGAAACTATGGGGTTGTTAGATAAGAGTCTAGCTGGTCTAAAGGCTCAACAATGAGCGAGGGATCAGTGATGACTCAAGAAGAAGAATCCTCCTTCACCCGTCCTGAAACGAATCTCACTTGAGCTCCCAGTTGATAACATTTCAGACATATTTCTTTGAAGGTTATAAAAATACAAGCGCTCTACTTTAAACCTCTCTGTTGTTTTGATGTTCTCATGCTGAGTGGAGGTGTGGCATCATTTATGTCTGAAGTATGTAGAGCAACAAACACTTGATACCTTTTAAGAACACTAATTAACTTTGACAGCAAATCAACCGTACAAACGCTTTTGTTTCGTTTCAAGTGTTAATTGTGTAATCCTTCGATGTAGGATTCCTGCTGTTTTCCTTCTTTCTGATCTTTTTTTTTTTCTGGTCTCACATGGAACCACAAGTGACATTGCAGCCTTTTATTTTTAGTAAACTTCAGGTGCATACGGATCAGCTGTCACAGGGAAACATTTTAAACGTGAGATGTGATTTTTTGAGTCCTTTACCAAAGAACTGACACTGAGAAGCAGAAAGAAACTCAAGGTCACTACTAGAGGTGGAGAGATATAGGTATCAGGGGTGGATTCAGAGTAAAGCTAGGGGTGCCCCTGCCCTCCCTGATATTTGAGTATACACCCCAAAATCCTAAACTATGTCTGTCTATTCCCCTGTTTTTGTTTTTTCTTAAATCTTAATCCCTGTGGTGTGTTTTAATCTCTGATTCAGGTCTTTATCGGAGCTGGACAGTTTGCGTCTGACAGGAGAGGCTGGGGATAAAATCCGGCAGGTCACAGAGAGGGCCACACTGTTCCGCATCACCTCCAATGCCATGATTAATGTAATCCCACCCTCTTGCTTCTTCAGCTAGTTCTCTCTAGTGATTGATTCAACCCAAAAATCCAAATTTACTGCATTAATTGTTCTAATTACTAAAATTGCGAGATCGTGTGTGTGTTGCCCCACAGGCATGCAGAGACTTCCTCGCGCTGGCTCAGGCGCACAGCAAGCGGTGGCAGAAAGCCCTCCAAGCAGAACGGGAGCAGCGAGTGCGGCTGGAGGAGACTTTAGAACAACTGGCCAAGCAGCACAACCACCTGGAGCGAGCGTTCAGAGGGGCTGCGCAGGCTAACGCTACTGCTGACAATAAAAGTAAGACAGGGAACCCAAAAACTTCACAACTACCCAAAACAAAAAAACGCTTGGGCGCTTCCGCCGGGGTTTTTTTTCCCCATAAAAATCCGCCTCCAAGGAATACACGTCATGGAATGTTTCATGACAGAGAGTACCTGCAAACCAGGTTTGGTTTCATTTTTAAAATCCTAACTGATTGTTGATGTTAAGGTGCTGCCGGTCCAGGGAAAGGTGAAGCCAGTGACGAAGATGATGACAACGAGTTCTTTGATGCCATGGAGGAAGCCCCTGAGTTTATCACTGTGCCCGCAGACCCACAGTTTCACAAGTCAGTGCTTTTTAAACCAGCCCATATTTACACACACTTCCCTGCCGTCTTACAGGAAAACAAATCTCATCATCTGAATTCTCCTATCATTCCTCTATCATGAGTGTGTGAGAATGTCTCTTTTGTTTAGCTCAGTTCTTTGTATGGCGCAGACACGTGATACAGACACATGATACATGCTGTTATCATTTGTACAGTCAATTAATCTTGTTGGCAACCAGTTTATGCCGCATATTCTCATGATTGTTCATTGAAAACTTCCTGAATCTAACAGAAACCTCTTTTGTAATCTCTCTTGCAGAAGATCAAGCAGTAATATCAGCGGGTTTAACAGCGAAATGTGTGCTGATGATCAATCGGTATGTACAGGGGAAAGTTACCCAGCCACTAAAATGTGTTTATTTTTATTATTTCTACAAGCTTTTACTTCTGCACTGACATACTGTTCTGCCTTCTAGCTCAATGAGGAGCCCCTAGCCATGAACCAAGAATCCCCGTCTCAGGAGTTAGTGCCCTTGAAAAAGAGGCGGACACGTATCGCAGACAAACCCAACTACTCCCTCAACCTGTGGAGTATCATGAAGAACTGCATCGGCAAAGAGCTTTCCAAGATCCCCATGCCTGTGAGTATCTGAGCTTCACATGGTTCCAGCGGCTCCTTTAAGAGTCAAGTGAGGCTCTTCAATTGCCTGTCATTTTATTTTAAATTTACTGTCGTCGTAAACCTGACAATGGGGCTTGTTAGGCGAATGAGGAACTTGCCACCCAGGGCCAAGCGTTCCACTGAGTGCAGAGGCAATTTAAATTTGTGATTGGACAGGTTCAATGCCTTGATCTCTAATTGGTGAACCTACAATCGAATATCCTAAAATTGATCATATTTTCCCTTAATTTAATCCTAAAAGTGAAATTTCAATATATTCTAGAGTCGTCACAAACAAAGTGAACTACTTCAAGACTTTTTAGTTTAAATCTTTATGATTACACTCACAAAATAGTCCACTATCTTAAAACACCGATCTAAAACACCTGATTTATAACACAGAAATGTCCACTCCTGGAGACTTCTGTGTGTTTATGCTCTCAGTACTTGGTTGAGGCTCTTTTTGCAAAAATTGCTGCATCAATGTGATGTGGCACGAAGGCAATCTGAGGCCCAGGTTGATTTGAAAGCTTCTCTCTCTCTCTCTCTCTCTTGATGACCCCCCCCCAGAAATCCTCTATGGGGTTCAGGTCAGGCAAGTCCACTGGCAAGCAATCCGGTGGTCCGCAAACCACTTTGTGGTAGTTTTGTCGCTGTAGGCAGGTGCCAGTCATTTAGATACAAATGAAACCGGATGACATGCTGCCATCCAGACCTGGACTTGCTGTTGACTCAGATCCGGATTACACTATGACTCAGAGGGTGTGTGAGAAGTAGCTGCCTGAGTGGGATGTCACAGAGACGCAGCAGGAGAAATATGTGAGTTTGAAATCACAGAAGTGAAAAGCACAAAGAACTCTGAGTCAGGAACAGAAAGATGTCGGCGCCAAACTGGTCGCCTGTGTCTTACATGTTCTGGCAACTAAAAAGGGAGAGATATTTTGATATTTAATTCAATTTATAATGGAAGAAACTAAAAATTTTTAGGGTAAGGTCATAATATAATGAGAACAAAGTCATAAGAAAAGACAGTCGTGGTGTTAAGAGAATAACGTGAAAATGATCATTATTTTTGAAGGGTCAGATTATAAGAGTAACCTCAGTGAAAATGGAGCTTATTGTGATCAAGTAAAAATGTCACAAAAGCAGTTCTTTATCTTCTTTAGCAATACACTGTCAAAGTATCTCCACTGTTTGTTAAGATCGGCTAAGGTGAGCCATGATTCATAAGCTCCTGTCTAATTACAGCCTTACATTAACCACCAGGTAATCCTCAAACAAAATTGTTCTCCCTTGAGGGCATAACCTTAAGAACTGCTTACATTAACCCTCGTCTGAGAACTCAGGCTGTTACTCGAGCATGGTAACTAAACGTGCTGCTGATAAGAGTTGTCAAAAGATCAAACAGAGAGAAAGGTGAGGGGGAGCCGCTGGAGGAAAGGCGGGACGATCTGCCGAGTGCGAAGTTGAGGACGGCTGTCAGCGTGGTATGTGTGAGTTGTGGCGGGCGACAGAGGTGAGGGAAAGTCGGATGTGCAAATAAGAGCTTTTGTCAACACACTGGAATAAGCTGAAGAACAAGAGTCATTATAGAAATCTGCACCAGTCATTGACAGAAGTGCTGCGCTCCACCAGAATAAATGTTGAATATTTTAAGGCCCCATGTAACGCCTTTTTAAAAACTGACATAATGACAAATTGAGAACTCCTCAGAGGCCTCGTCACTTTCAAAAACTGCTTAAAAAAAGGTTGAAAAAAACATCGAAATGACCTCCTAATTCACGCAGGATTGTTGTTTCTCAACACTCAGCATGACTTACAGGAAGTTTGTCAGTCCTCTGGCAGTTTCACAGCCTCTTCTGTCAACACTTGGCTCCTCTTTTCATGTCATTGTTTGGCTGAAAGGGAAAGAAAAAATGCCTTCGCTCTTTTGACAAGTTAACCGCAGCGATTTAAGGACACCGCTTTTTGACACCATCCCGCTCCTGTGACGTGGGTTCAATCAAAACACCAGTCAAACTTTATTTCTATGGTACGGGCTCGGCCACATTCCTGGCAGGTCATCTGCAGTCTTTTGGCATCGAGAATAAAAGCGCTTATACTTCTTGTTTGTTTAGAAGACCACGGAAACTAGTTGCAGATACACGCCTAAGATCTTTGTGCAGGTTTCTTTTTTTAAAGTGATATTTCTGTCAGCACAAGCACGCATGTGAGCCCGTCAAACAGCGCAGCAAATTCAGCATGACGACTCTGCCAGACCTGTGCGATTCCTGCGTTCACACAGCAGAAATAATAAGATGGAAGATAACAGAAGTTTGCGTTCGTCCAGAATTCCTGCTACATTGTGTTTTGGTTGGAGTCATTTCACTGTGACAAAATACACTTCTTTGGAAGTTAAAAAAAGCAGAAAACCAAAGCCGCGTGCGCTGATTTAGTTCTGCCCTGCGAAACAAAAAAATACAAAACTATAAAGGAGCGCCTCTATAAATAGCGCTTCATGAGAAACAGGTTGTGCGGTGCTGGGTAAACAATACTTGGAAGCGTCTCTGATGCAAATATTCAAAATAAGGAAGTGTTTTTTCTCGTTTCTGACATCATTATAACTATCAATCAAATCAAATTTAACTTGTAATGCACTTTTCATGTAAAAACAGTGTAGACACAGGCTGTCTTGAAAGCAGTGGGAAAGAAGAGAATAATTTAGTATATTAAGATCATCATTACAATTACTAAAAGAGGTTTTTAAAAAGTGGATGTAGTGATAGGCTTTAAAACACAGAGACAACCTTTTTAAGCAGGACAAACCTCTCAAGTGTTTACTCAGAAGACTTAAAATTAACAGGCTTACTCTTTGAAAAGTTTGATCTGAAAAAATCTGTTACTTTTTAAGTGGGATGTAAAGTCTTTACATGACAATCATTGCTTAAAAACAGGGTTTATAACGATTATTTATACCTCTGCTGTGCTGCGTCCAAACATTATAAAGCACTCGATTCCATTCACACTGTATGTTTATGTATTCACTATTGCTAATCGTTTTTCTTCAGTTCTCTACGTTAATTATCATAATTAAAAATACAAAAACATTTACATGCAGTATGAAAAGGATGAACGCTGCTTGAGGCCGTTTAAAAAAAAAATGTGTGCCTATGTCTTGGCTCCATCACAAGAGGGCGCTGAAAGGGAGCTTATTATCACACACTCTGACGTCCTGCTCAGAATGAAAACCACTTCAAAAACAACAATCTCAGTGCGGTGTTTGAGTTTGTTTGGAAAGGAGCTGGTGACAGTTAATGTCAATATTAGCCACAAATATCCAGTTTTGATCGAGCTGCAGTTTAATATCATGTTATTTTAAGTGACTTTTCAACAAAATCTTTGAATCATGCTGTAATACTTTATGATATCATGTTCTTATCTGTGCGTCTCTTTTAATGAGAAATGAAGTGAGCTTTTCTTTTGTTAAATCTGTGGGTGAAAAGACATTCGTAGGAGTTAATAGTATTTTAAAACATCTGTGTGCTTAGGAAGCAAGCAGCAAAGCATAAAAGCTCCAGTGACGTATTTCAAGCTAGCTATGAAACACCTACAAAAGCAAACCAGGCCATGAGAGGGAAAATAGACTTCTTCCCTTTTGTTATTTTGTTTAGAGGGTTAGGGTAAGACCTGCATAAAAGGGGGCAAACATGAACAGATCCATACTGGAGCTGTAAGTAATGTCTGACTGATCCCCTCTCTCCCTGCAGGTCAACTTCAACGAGCCCATATCCATGCTGCAGCGGCTGTCCGAGGACCTCGAGTACCACGAGCTGCTCGACAAGGCTTCCAAGTGCCAGAGTTCCCTTGAGCAAATGTGCTACGTGGCCGCCTTCTCCGTGTCCTCCTACTCCACCACCGTCCACCGCACAGGCAAACCTTTCAACCCTCTGCTGGGGGAAACGTACGAGCTGGACCGGCGGAGAGAGAGCGGCTACCGCTCCCTTTGTGAGCAGGTGAGGGGGGACACAACGGCACACTTAGAGCGGCATTCTTTGCACTCGCAGGGAACTATTTTCTATAATTTGCTCTTTCTTTGGGCTTTCAGTTGAAACAAAGTTAAACTTTTTGAAGAACCTGAGTGTGTTTACGCAGACTTGATTATCCTGGCTATGAACTTTATCCTGATCTGGATCGTGTTCAGGATATGGCGTTTACAGACCATGAAACCGGCTTCTTCATGCACTAGTTTTCTACAACATACCGTGGGAATGCGGCGCAATGTCTCTTATGTACTTGCCAATGTGACCTGATGTGCTTGATACGTACTGGGTAACTAGTGTCTGTATTCATCACGTAGCTGGAACTGAGCCTATACAGCAACCACAAACTGGGGTAAGGCCTGTATACTCCATAGCATACATATTTTTTCCCTTACGTAGCAAAATCTGGTTTGATAAGTTTTTTTTTTTGATGAGTTTTTTTTCTAGTTTCTGAAAATGGAACAAAACACAAAAGTAGGACACTTGGGGAAAAAAAGTTTTAGAACCGAGATACTCAACTCTATGTACAGAGAAGAAGCAATCAGTATAACTTCTTCATCTATTCATCAAAACTCAGACAGGGCGGGACGTTCAGTGTGACCTTTGTCACCTTCAGCAGTCACAGACAGCCCTGTCATTTTACATCGAGCTTTCCCAAAGCTTTGAATGAAGCCAACTCATCCAGGCCCAACTCTTGTACCAGTCAGTGGGAATCCTCTGACCTTACCCCTCCCTTGACGCACCAAGACCTCTGTTTTCAAGGGTACAACATCCAGGTCTGAGTTGCTGCTAAAGCCAGGACACAGTTTTTTTTTATTTTGTTGCTTTTATGTTTTCTCTGCAACTTTTCCGTGAGTCAAAGTAGATACTAAGTGAAGAAGGTGGTTTCAAACAGACTTAATGAAGGGAAATTCAATAGTTGAAATATCTATATTTTATACTATATTAATATCTAAATTCAATATCTACAACTATATCCCTGTATCTTCCTGTTATTTTAGTCAAACATACAGGTATATCTCAATTTGCAGTGTTAGTGTCTGCATGTGATGACTAGTGTTCGCCCAAAATACAGTTAATCTATTAATAATATTCGGAAACCATAAAAAAGAGCAACTTTGGATCCTTCGTGTTGCGGGAAACAGTTTAGTGCGCTAAGATTTCCCGTAATATCTCCTGCAAGTCAGCTCACCCAGTGACCGGCAGCTTTCTAAATTTAGAACGTGAGCTTAATGGACCTGGTCAAACAAGTCACAAATTAGATTTAATTAGACTCATAATGACTTAATTTAGATAGACAATTAGACTTCAAGTGGTTTTATGCCTTGCTGGATAATAACAGGTTTATTTTGTAGGTCATGAGTGAAAAAGTGGGACAAAACACAGAAAAAGGACTTGAGTTTGTGTCTAAACTGTATGCATCATGGCGTCTTACTCTTCTACCCAGGTGAGCCACCACCCTCCTGCAGCAGCGCATCATGCCATCTCCGACAGGGGCTGGACTCTTAGGCAAGAGATCACTGTCGCCAGCAAGTTCAGGGGCAAATACCTCTCCATCATGCCTCTGGGTGAGCGTGTACACGTGGGTAGCGAGTGTATAAAACATGTGTCACAGCTAAGTGCCAATACGGGCGTGTTGCTAAGATTGATTTCCTGGTGGCGAGGTCAGAGTGTGGAGACAGATGATTGTTCATCAACAAACCAGCTAGAAGAATGCAGCAGCCGCACCTTTCTGCTGAACTGAGTGTGATCAGTCAGACTCGTACAAACAAACATGGCTTTGTTTTTCTTAGCTGACAATAATTCTGATCTCCTGTTGGCATGTCAGGCACAATCCACGCCATCTTCGAAAAAGGCAACAATCACTACACGTGGAAGAAAGTTACCACCACAGTGCACAACATCATCGTGGGGAAACTGTGGATCGATCAGGTGAGACTCAAACCTGTGTGATCGATAAATAACCGAATCTATAAAAGATATAAGCATTCAGCTGTAAGTGATCTGATTGCCAGAGTGTAATGAAGGTATTTGTTTGACGTTTTAATGGCTTCAACCACTGGGTGGAGGCAGGTATTACAGAGAACAAAAGCCCCAGCGCCACATATAATTACATGGTTGGCGACATAGCATGCGAGATCGAGGCGGACTTGACTGACATTGTTAACAGGTCAGAGATAAGTGGTATGAATAAAATCCCACATCAGGGTGCGCTGTAAACACTGTCATCAGTCACTGTTGTGAATCTACCTGTAAACTAGCACAGAGGTTGCCTGGCAGCAACATGTGAGAAGTTGATAGATTCATCTGGCGACAAAGTTACACTTTAGTCCTTTGGTTTGTCAGTCAGGATAATCATTGAACAAACGTTTACAGAGGAAAAACATCAACACTGTCAGCATGTGACAGCCTGGTTGTATATTTAAGATAGTATCTTCAACGCTGAGAAAACTATGCAGCTGCCTAAACTAACATGCATTTAACATACTTCAGTATCTGCTGTGTTGCTTGTGACAGCAGAACATGTTATCCTTTACATTGCTTTGTAATTATGGTATACCGTGTATCACCCATCATAAAATCCTCCCTCCACCTGTCATCATAATACCTATATTGTGCTATAGATATCGCTTGTGTAGGCAATGAACAGCGCACTCAAAAAGGTGCTCAACTTACATGTCAAAGTGGATTTATTGTTACGTTGTCAAAGAAATTTGAAGCTGTTATGTGGCTAATTTCTCTTTGACGATTTTTAAAACTCTCTCCCTCTCAGTCAGGGGAGATCGACGTGGTGAACCACACCACCGGAGACCGCTGCCACTTGAAATTTGCTCCCTACAGCTACTTCTCCAGAGATGTGGCCAGGAAGGTGAGCAGAATGCAAACGCCGCAGACTGACCCTGTTTTTTTGGTCTGCGAATGCTCTTTTTGAGAGTCTCTTTTATTCATGTTCTCTTGTTCTCCAGGTAAATAAACCTCTTAGATCAGTTTAGATGCTCTGGATTGAATCATATTAGGTTCTTTTTAATTAATGAGGAGTTTTTGGTTGAGAAACAGACTGTTACAGATTCTGGTGCCTCTCCAGACCAGCAATGAGACAAAATTTAAACTTTGATTTCACTGTTAAAGGACAACAGGACGAGGTTTTTGTCTGAAAACACAGCAGTACAAGAGATGACAGGCATCTGTTTGTCCACAGGGAGCGCCATTGTCAGTGTAGACTCAAAGCTCTATGTTGACAGCAGTTTTAAAACCTGAAAATGCTGCTTATCAAAGATGAGCTTAACTTTCATGTCAAACAAGACAACCAGTTAGGCTACTCCTCTTACAGACTCGGTGTCGCCAGGATTGATTTTCAGCCATGTCCAGATTCTCTGGGTCTTTCGATGTGATACTGAAGTGATGAAGTCCCCCAAATTCCCTGCAAGTTTATGATGTGAAACAAAATGATTGTCTAAATAACCGCCCATGTTATTATGTCTCAAACAAAGACTGCCCGAGTTTCCGAATTTAACATCTGAGAGACTCACCGTCTCTGTAATGACCTCTTTACGATGCTCACCTGTTTCAATTAGACCTAATTAGTTGGGAGTGTTTCCTCAAGCTCTTTTTATGAACATACATAGTTCTGCCAGTGTTTTGTTGTCTGTGACCCAGTTTTTTTTTAACATTGCTGACCTCATTAATTAAAGTGAGCACCTACTTTTCAGTTTCAGAATTCTCTCTGCACTACTTTTTCATCAAATAAAGTAGTAGTTTATCCCTCAGAATCCTCAGAAAGAATAGGATAGTTTACGCCACATCTCAGTTGGTCATATTTTTCTTCTCTGGTGACGCTCCGACTCTTTCCTTCAGGTGACCGGCGTCGTGATGGACAAGGACGGCAAAGCCCACTACGTGCTCTCGGGCACGTGGGATGAGAAGATGGAGTTCTCTCGGGTGATGCAGAGCAGCCGTGGGGGCGAGAACGGCACAGAGGGCAAACAGAAAACAGTCTATCAAACTCTCAAGGCCAGAGAAGTGTGGAGGAGGAACCCGCTACCGTAAGTTGCTGTCATGCAGGGTTGGGTGTGTGCGTGTGTGAGTCATATACACAATCCAATAATAAACCAAACCTACCTAACGAGTCCTTGGCAAGAGAAGTACTCCGTGTTTTGTATTTTATGTGGTCTGCATAGCTTCGCTAAAACCAGTTCTAATTCAGAAGGAGATTTTACAGCTGACTGTTCACATTCATGGATATGTTATTGGATTTTTGTCATGGGATTTAGCCGACTCCACAGGAAATTATAACATATTGTACCAAATACTATAAGCTCATGATTTATTACCACAAATAATCCCAATATGAAGTGGTTAATATGACAAACAAGTGCTGAAGGCAGCATGAATCTGCAGTTTTACGCTTCAAACACACAGCAGGGATTTTTTTTTTACAGGGTTAGAAAGGAAGTGTCTCCACAAAGAAACTCTGTCTGGTTTTGGATAAAAATATCTCGTTTTCTTTATAAGAACATTAATAGACTCATTTTTAGAACACTTTTACTCTCTGAAGCCTGAAAGAGTTTTTGAAAGGATCAAAACATTGCTAATTATTGTTGGGTGCTGGAGAGAACCGGGTCTTGATGCCAATAGGGTGGGACAAGGCCCTGATGCAAAGCAGAGGGGTCTCATCCCACCTTGAAAGGACAACCCGGGAATTCAGCCGAATCCTGTGGGTTTTGCCCGTAACAAGCCGCTCACTGATCCTGCTTCATACCTGGCTACTTGGAATGGCGTAATCAACAACAAGAATAAATGTCGGAGTAATCCTCCCACCGTTGTCTTTGCTTCCTCCAGGGAAGGAGCAGAATCCATGTACTACTTTACCGCCTTGGCGCTGACCCTAAACGAGCCCGAGGACGGCGTGGCGCCCACCGACAGCCGGCGCCGACCCGACCAGCGCCTGATGGAGGATGGCCGCTGGGACGAGGCCAACTCGGAGAAGCAGCGGCTGGAGGAGAAGCAGCGCAGCGCTCGGCGGGAGAGAGAGAGGGAAGCTGCCAGCCAACGCACCTCCAGCCAGTCAGAAGAAGGTGAGAGTCGACTGTGTGTTTGTGTTTCGCTCCTTCTGTATTTCCTTGCTCTACCTTGCATGGGGGAAATCTTGAAATTAAGGGGTAAAAAAGAAATCTCTGTGATCCCCCTTTTCTCTTCCTAAAGCTGTCGAGGAGGACTCTCTAACTGATCCCTCTTTAAAAAGCAAGTACTCTCCTTTTGCCTTGATCTGCATCCTTTTTTAATTTATTCTCCCATCGTGTTTCCAGTTTGTCTGTTTTTTTTCCCCCTCTAACACATTTCTTTTCTAATTTCAGGCGCACCTCATGACAACTACCAGGCACTTTGGTTCGAGCGCTGCGAGGACCCCATCACAGGTGAGCAACTTCATATCTATAAAGGAGGCTACTGGGAAACCAAGGAGAGGGGCACCTGGGAAGGCTGCCCTGACATATTTTGACCTCGGCATTGACTGCAAGGTGCCCTGAAGAGACTGATCCCATCAAAGCTGCCTGGTGGAGAGCTCCCACCAAAGGCCTGGCTCATCACCCCCTGACCCCCTTCTCCCTCCTCCAGCGGCTCTCTGTTGTAAGAGATCTCAAAGACAGTCACTACTGTCTGCTACGGGGAGGGGCCTCCTTTACCTGGTTTTGGTTCCTGTCTCCTTGTTGCTGTCACGTACCCGATGGGACTGGTTAAAAAATGTCTGTGCTGCTTTGACTCGGGTCAGGCCAGGAGGTGAAACGGGCAGTGCTTCCAAATCTACAGTAGCCTCTCTGTCAACGTCTGTTCAGTCTCTCAGATCAGGAGCAGAGGAGGTTTCAAGGCCTGATGACACCCTGTGAGATAATGTAGTGTTCCTGTTGTCATCCACAGCATTGTGTGTTTTGGTTATAACTCTAAAAAAGGGGGTAAGACCTGGTTAATATATACATTTATACATAAATATGATTAGAATAATTTCATTTAACTGTCGACTGGTGGCCTTCAACAACTTAGCGAGGATTTCTTGTCTTTTTCTCTCTGATTTAGTGTCTTAATGTAATGAAGTGAAGGTTCCAGTGTGCTTGTGTGTATGGTGCATAACCGCTCTTCCATCACTGTACAACTCTGCCACTGTGCAGCTTACTGTGTTAAAAAGACAAAAACAAAACAAATGATTGTTGAAAAGAATGGTTGAGCCTCCACACTCTTTTTTTTTCAAAGTTAGAGGAGATTTTTTTTTCCCTTCACACATGTTCTCTTCGCCTTAGAAGCAAACTGCTCAAACTTATATTTACTTCACTTCTGAGTGGATTTGAGGCAGATAGTAATGGCTGGTTTCTTGAACAAAGAATTAAACCTTGAGGAAAACGTTGGGGAAAGACGCAGAGATGCAAAATGCCAAAAAAAAACAACAAAAAAAAACATCCCGTTCCAATTCTGAGGAATCCTTAACCTTGTCAGTTTTAATGAAATTATCTTTGTGGCAGGGTTAAAATATGTCGAGTCATTTTCCAGAAAAAGTGACAACTGAGCATCAACTATTTGATTTATTGTGTTGACAGTAACACAAACACAAAAACGAGCAAAGAAACAAGTATTCATACATATGCAAGTACAATTTGACACCAAAAAAATGAGACAAAATGTGTGTGTGTGCGTGTGTGTTTGTGTGAGATTTCATAATTTTGTTTGTAAGTGTACTTAAAAATGAAGAATAAAGACACAAAGATGCATTGCAAATAACTATGATTTTATAAATGTATAGAAATTCATATTATAGTATTGATAACTGTAAGGTAGTTTTTTTTCTTTATTTTTGGGTTCCTCGTATTATTGGAGGATTCTTCATTTTCAGAAAAAAAGGGAGTTTCCATACCTAACTGAGAGGGGAGACATGACATTGTTCAGTATTTTGTATTAACAAAGAAAAATAATCTGTAATAAACAAATGCTGTGATGTCAAACAAAAAGCTGTCTTAAGTTTACTTTTCTTTTATTGCAACATTTAGGTTTTATGAATACGTTAACATGGGTAAAGATTGGCCGTATTCTCTGTGAGCTTTGACTCAACATAGGGACAGTGGCGTCAATTCAAACAACATGGGCTGTCGATAAAAAAATCAAAACTCGGCCCCTTAATTAACATTGTCATTGATCTTTCCAGTCAAACAAAAGAAGACATTTTCTACGACCTTTAAAATTTTCAAAAGAAACCTCTACTGTAGGTGGTTTTTATGGTTTACATAAAAAGATAAAGGCAGCTGCACAGCCCATCTTGGGTATTTTTCTCCAAAGAGGCTGAAACAAATTCCAAAATACACATGGTTCTTAATCTGTATAAGGTTTAATAACAGAATATTTCATCAGTATACTAAATTAATTAAAATTAAAGGTATTTACAAGATGATAGGATATTTATCCAAATATTTGAAAAAGTCAGCAGAGGGGAGCAAATGAAGCTTTAGAATCTCTCCATGCTATTAGCCAAGCATCTGTAGCTGTTAGTAGAAGAACCCCCTCCCCTGGAAAAAAAATGGCAAAAAAGTCATTTTTATTTTGTTATTTTTTGAGCTCCTTGTAACTTTGCTTTCAAAAGGCATTTTATTAAATAAAATTTCTTTCATTGGTGTATATACTCCCTCTTGCAGGAATACTGTTTAATTTTGATGTCCAGCTGATTAAGTCCAAGCTCTTTACCTCTCAGATTCTCCTGCAAAGATCTCCATTCAACCAGCATTATTTTCATCATCTTTTACATTTTGTTCATAGATCTTTAGCTGGCTCCAGCCCCAAACTTTTTCTCACTGATTAAATGAAATGACCAATGAGGCTTCAATCCCACTTATTCATCACCGACTCTTATGTGAAAAATATATTCTTGTATTGGCCTGTAATACCCAGTACTGCTCAAGTTATGCTACAATTAAGAAACTATACAACATGAAGTGATGAAAACAACCCAAAAATTTTAACCAATTTTGAATGAATAAGGTATTTCACAGGATGAAAATGCAACCACATACCAGCGTTACTCATGAAAGCTGGGTTAAAAGCTAAATCCCTATTCTCTTTAAGCTCCCAGCTGATTCACTTGTTATTCTCCCTGAGTGAAGCCCTCTTCCTTTCACTCTACACACTACAGGCGCCTCTCCTGCTGTGTCATGCCAGCAGATTATTTCCAGCCGAACTTCTGAAAAGCAAACTGGAACCTACCATCCTATACATAGGACAGAGAGTGAGAGAGAAACAGAAACAGGGAGCTGTGAGTGGTGGACCTCACGGCAGTTGGGACTGAGGGCTGATGCATCAACGTCACACTCTGGACACACCCTGCCTATGACACCGTGTGGTACAGTGCAGAGCGGCGGACGAGAGGTGGTAGAAAGACGGTGAGAGTTTTGCAGGTTGAATCAGGAAGTTAAACCCTTCACATGGAAATGCTGAATCAGTGAAACTGCATGAAAGCCCAGGAGAGGGTGGAAGAGGGTAAACAGCAGTGAGGGAGAGGGGAGAGAAGGGTAACGGCCAGGGTACTGTGGGTAAGATGCACAGTATAATGCTTCGTCATTCATTTCCTGTCTTATTGAATGTGGAGCCGACAGTTTGCTCTGTTTTCCCTCAAGCTTTTCTTCTCTGTTGAGAGACGTTAAATCTCAGGGCTGCTTTAGTCAACAGAAATCTCATAAAGGTTAAAGCCAGAACTACCTCTTTACAGTTTCCAGCACAGCAAAAAGGTAAGGTAAGGTTTCAAAAAATCAATATCTCTGCTCGGTGTTGCTCTGTTCTCTTCAGTCAATGCTGGAGCAACTGATACATCCCACTTAGTCAAAAAGAGAGGGAAAACATGTGCTCTGATTTCATTTAACACCAGCGTATCCTGATAAAAAAAGATACAGCTGAAGAATGGGATGAAAATGCAACTCTTTTTGTGCCTGTGCTGCCCAAAACTAGAGTCTCTTTCACTGTTTCATTGCCTCAGATGGAGTTGGTGTGTTTGCCGAGGTTGCCTCGGGTTGCAGTTTGTGGTGGCACTCATGGCAATGAGTTGTCGGGGGTGTATCTGGTGAGAGAGCTCCTGAGAGTACAGAGAGAGACATCAGAGAAGGAAAAGGAGGAGGAGGACAAAAAGTCCATGTCGGTGCTGACAGTTCTGGCAAATCCAAAAGCCATGCAGAGGTGCAGCAGATACATCGACACTGATTTGAACCGTTGCTTCACCCACGCCATCCTCAAGTAAGGCCGAAGACAAGAAAAGATAAGATATGAAGAACTTATTGATCCCCAAAGGGAAAGTCAATAAGTAAGAAGTGACTGTGTTTTATCATGACCTGCAATCTGGTTTATCTCTGTCTTTCAGTTCTCCCTTATCAGACAAGCCTCCTTACGAGATGGTCAGATCCAGAGATCTAAATGCCTTGCTTGGACCCAAAGGAAGCTGTGAAGCTGTGGATCTTGTTTGTGACCTCCACAACACCACTGCCAACATGGGTCTGTGCTTCATCTCGTACTCCGACTGTGACTGGATCTGCCTGCACATATTTAGACATCTGCAGGCAAGTACTTGCACCAACCCATCTTGTATTAATACAGCCTATCCAGGTCAGGGTTACTGACACTCTGATTAACTAGTTCCACCTTGTATGATGGAAATACTCTTTGGAATCTGCTCCAATTTAAAATTAACACAAGAAAATGATAAGCACTCAGTCAAGAATCACTTCTCCATCCCCCAGTTGCACTGATATCCTGGCGCTTTGCCTTAATAACTAGTTACAAAGCCTACCAAACAGACCTTATAGCATCCCTACCTTCGATAGACCCAGGCTCTGTCTGTACTTCAGACATTGTCATTGCTGATACTTCAGATCAGGGCAACACTAGACTGTAGAGGTGTTAATTGGGATGCTCCCTTTACTGCAACACCAAGGAAGACTTGACAGTGAGCTCCAACATTACATCAAACAAGTAAGATTGAGATTATTACTGTATGTGAGCAATTGGTAGGGATCAAAATAATGACACTTCGGTGGTGTAGGACTTGGAGATCCTCAGGGCTCTATTCTCGGGCCTCTTGCCCGTTTCCTGTATACAGTCTCACTTTGGTCCTTGCATTTGGAAGCACTGCACTATCTTTAATTGTTTCGCCAGACTCAGTTTTTACTGGCTGTTCGGCAGTTTCCAGGAAGTCAAAAACTAGATGTCACTAGATTTATTGATATTGCTCAAACTTTAACAACAGATGGTTTCTTTTCGACTCTCTGGTACCTGCCGAGTTCCTGTGTGGGAAAGCTTGGCCCATGATAATCTACAATTAAATTCAGTATTTTTTAGTAATGTTCTTGTCACATAAAGATTTAGAGATCACGTAGTCCTCCATACTTGCCGAACTTCTCTTGTGCCCTTTCATTTTCAAAGCGCTGACTTTCAAACATGCTTAAATTATTTTATAACACAAATTTACATGGTTGTTTTTATTCCCCCCCTGAACCGACCGTTGCTCACGAGTCCAAATGATTTTACTCATAAAGTTGACTTTGTTTTCTTTTGCCTGTGTTTGAACGTTGAACAGCTCTTGTTTGAAATGTACTGTACACAATTTAATTCATTTGACTTAATGTGACTAGACTCAACCATGCTAGAAATCTGAAGTTAAGCCTGTGTCACTTCAGAGGCAGATGCCAGAAATATCAATGAGGTACATCCATTTTGATGTCTCCAATAGAGAGTCATATTCCCTTGATTCAATAGGGAAACACGGCTTTGGTAAGTTTGTTTTTCTTAAATGACAACTGGTTATTGAAAGGCATCTGAAAGCCTGACAGTCTGTCATGGTTGTCATATATGATTGTTTTTCTACAGCCATAGAGATTGGCCCTCAACCCCATGGTGTGGTGAGGTCAAACATCTATACAACGATGAAATCAGGGGTGCAACACATGCTGGATTGGGTCCATTTCTTCAACTCAGGTAGACACACAGTGTTGCTGCTTTGCTATGCTATTACAAAATTTTCAAGCCCTTCAGGAGCGTTTTACGCTCAGGTGTTCTTGTATTTTAAAAGGTACTACATTTGAAGGAGGACTCGTGGAGGTGTTTACAATGGTTAAAAACATCGACTATCCAAGAGACTGCGTTACATGCAGCATCACAGCAGCCATTCATCCTAAGCTCCAGGTACAGTAGGTGCTTTAATGCTTTCATAAAAGATGACACTCTTTTGCTAAATTAAGTAAAGCATTATTTTAACACTCTAAGAATTAAATCAAGGAGTAACAAGGCACTTAATCAGGACACTAAGTATCACACAGAGTAGGACAGGTCAGCACAAATTACATGATTCGACTTTTTGTTCACATGTATTTTACCGTACACCAGACGATTCATACCGAGCATTTTGTATGTATCATTGTCTAGTGTTGAGAAATATTGAATTTGTTTAAGTGGTGTCTTTCCTTGTATTAATCAACCATTAACAAAGCTGGTGTTCACAATACAGGGTGGTGCCTTTTCCTGAGATGGCTCCATACCAAAGACATAATAAAGTCTGTGACGTCCGCAACATGGTTTACATTCCATTTGAAATCTGCTGTGCTTATTTAACCCTGAAGGCATCCAGTCAGTAATTAAAAAAAAAACTGCACTGAATGCCATATATTATTATATGACACTTGTGAATCCTGTGACACAGCAGCTCTAACCCTAACCCTAACCCAACTGAACATTGAAGAAATACTACAAGCAATACTATAAGCACTTTAATGTGCTTGTATCGGCAGACTTTGAGTGTCAAAACTTTTGTAAATTACTTGATACTGTCCCCAAGAACCCTGAAGATGTCTTAGAATAGAATTCGTTAATGTAGTTAACCCATTACATTCAGGGCGTCTCATACTGATGCTATCAAATGATTTAAGTTTACAGATTAACGGAGCAAAGAATTATCAAAATTAATTCGCACTCTTAAACAAATTACTAAAAATGATCAGATTATGAAGGCAAGCGCATCTATGTTGCGGTCACTCTTGTAAAAATGTCACAAATCACAAGGCTGAATGAAACAAAAAAAATGCAAAACATCGTCACACAATCACGCCATCTTGGAACATGATGAAATAGTTGGAAAGAATAATAGAAACAGTTCCATTGACAGATCAGACGTGGTGATAGTGCACTTGAATGGTACCCTACCCAGCATTGAAAGGCAGCTTTCCTTTACATAACTTGCATTGTAAATTTAACTAAAGCATTTCTATTCATTCTGTCAGACAGCTGCTCCTTTTAATCCGTGGTTATGTTTGCAGAGGCGGTTTAAAGGTGTTGGTCAACAATGCTTTGAGTGACAGAGTATTTTCTGTATAAGATCAGCCTTTTTTTATCAGTTCATCTGTGATGATGACTAACCTGAAAGAAAATGAATTATGTAACAAACTGAAAGCACAGAATAAACGTATGCCTTTATACCACTAGTACTGGAGACAAAAAAAACTTGTTAGTTTGAAGCACATTATAAAGAACTGTATCAAAGTGTTAAAGTGAAAAGTTTCCAAAAGTCATGAGACATAAATTTGAAGGATATCTTAAACTATGTGACTGAGTCTTGGGGCTCAAGGAAATGGGTTGAGTATTTTGTAACAAAAGGCTACTATGACTTTAAAAACCTTGAGCTTGACTTAATGAACCAATCTTCCCTAAAGCAAACAAGTAGAACCTGTTTAACCATTTAAAGGATTTTCAAATATCAAAGTCACTCCATAATGTTAAATCCAAACAGACTCTTACTCTGTTCACAGTTATACTCGTATTTCAGCCTAAGACCTTCACAGAACATTATGTTTGACACATTTATGGCATAAAAGGCAAGTTATAATGAAATCCCAAAATGTCAACACAAAGACTGAACTGATGGTTTGACTTTTGAAAATACAAAGTCTCTTGAATTAAAGAGCGGGGTGTAAAAGACTTTAGAGGTAGAGTAAAAATAACATGAAAACCTCTGGTCTACATAATATTCTGTATAATTGGCCCCAGTTAGCAGTGAATTCATGCAGTTTTGTTACCCTTACCCCTGTTAGCAGCAGTTTGTTTAACATTTAAAAGCAGATTAAAGATTCCAGGTCTATCGGCTCTTTTATATTAACTGAATAGAAATGTAATATGTTGCTGCCTTTTTAAAAAAATTCTTGTTCAAAGCCACATCAACCAAACAATTAAGATTCCCAGTATGTCCAACTTTTTTTAAAACTTTCTAATCTTTATGTGAAGTGTTGGCAAAAATCTAATTCTTTGTCTTTTCATCACCCCAGGACAGAGACTTCTGCCTGCTTCATCCTGGAGACCCGATGTTTCAGACTTTCTCAGGTGAAACACTGAGGTATAAAGGGAAAGAAGCGCTTTATCCTTTTTTCATCAACGAATGTGCATATTATGAAAAGGGCATTGCCCTCTCCTTGGCAAGAAAAAAGCATGTGATGATTCCTACAGTCAGGGTGCAAACTGAGCAGGAAGAACAAGCCAACAAACTGGGATTTGCATCCGAAGAAGAGGAATGAGGACGCATGTTGAAAAAACAGGACGTGATGACAGTAATCAATGCCCATAATGAGACTTGAATGTCTGTAAAATAAATTTTACAAAAAGCTTTTATTGAAATGACAGCTGATGCTTGAACAAATCATGAGTACACACACGTGCACACACACATCCTTACATACAGTGCTTAAGTGTAAAATTCCAGGTCCACAAAATCCACAAATAATTCACTGTTGATTCACAAAAGCACAGTCATACAGTGTCTGATGTTATATTTATGCTCTAATGGGTTTATGGATCGAACAGTTTTAAATCAAAGGCTGAATACGGAAATTACAATCTGATTTACAGTAAGAACCATTACACACACACACACGCGCACACACATACACACAGAGTGCATTTAATATTTCATATTCCTCACTTCTTAGACTGTGACAGCTGGAACTTCATTTGTTCTGCAGACTGAAGCATGGCTTTTAGGGTTAAAATGATTCTTATCTAAACGCGTTTCGATTTCATTTCATAAATACTGTCAAAAATAGAAAGTCACTACTGACTACTACAGTAATGTTCAGGATATGCTCGTCAATATTTTCAGTGCAAAGGAATAAGGAAGTTTATCATCATATGGCCTTAAAGTTACATTCATAATGCCTTTCAGGGAAGTGCTGTTTCCCTTAAATCCTGTGAAATTTTTTTTTGAGGACACCACTTAATAATTATAAGGGGAACTAATTGAACAAATAATGCTAAATATAAGTAAACAAACAAAAGGATGAGGGGAAACATTTATACAATGAAACACAAATGAAGTAAAAAAAAAATTACTACAAAAGTCTACAAAAGTTAATCAAAATGTTGAAAATATCTAAACATGGCTGAGAAAGTAAAGCAAAGGGTGAACAAAAATATAATAAAAGCCAAGATTAAATAAATAAATAAATAGATAAATAAATGAATAAATAAGTGCTGCTTTAAAAAGGGTAGGTCTTAAGTTGTACAAGTATAAATAGTAAATCCCTCTCCCTCTGTACTCTTTACTGGCTCTTCTTGCCTTAAAGAAGTAAAAGACAAGCTACAGCTACAGATGGCTTTCTACTGAGACAATGAATATCTTATTGTGGCTTCTTTGTGTTGCTGCACCTCCATGGATACAAGTTCAGGGTGTGTCGAGTACACCTCTCTGTTGTGGTAATGTGTTTTTGATTTGTGCACAAAAGGGACATGTCACCACACCCAAAGGTGAATCTGTGGTTTGAAGGTAAAATTGAAAAGAATTGTTCATATGAATTGTTATAATCAACCTCACGGCTCTGGTTGTTGAACCTGTTTGGCTTATAAACGATTACTAAATTTTCCATGATAAAAAAGAGAGGCTTACCTTTGGATAAATAAAAAAAACTTGTTTGGTCTTGTGTAACTTTCTAGTGTCCAGTCCTGACAAACTTTTTTGGCAATGCTGATGTATTCCTAAATGTCAGCAATGAACTAAAAGAACTGCAGTTTTCCTGTTATACACCATTTCTGCAACACAAACACATTACTTATTCAGAATGGCAAAGGAATTTATGCATAACATGAACTGTTACCCAGAACCAAACATATGCTGCGACATCATCTCTTTTGACCTTCCACAAACCAATTCCATGAACTCTCCTTAATCTTTTGATGCAACAGATAGTGCCTGCACTTTAATCCATCAGAGGGCAAAACGCACAGATTAACCCACATCTCATTCCTCTGAGATCATAATAAAAAGCATCTTGGTGTCGTAGTGGTGTATGAATGAAGCAGGGCAGAGATTTACAGCTGAATCTCTGTCTATGCCACCCTGTAGGCAGTCATGCGGTAGTAGTTCTGACTATGGCTGCGGGCCGCCCACACCAGCAAGGCAGCGGCCATCATGTGGAGCGGGGAGGAGATGAGGGCCAAGTAGAGAGACCAGCCTAGGGAGCCATCCACCTTATCAGGCAGCATTGACACCCTGTGGAGAAGGTCCATCCCAGCCAGGTAGCAGCACACTGTGGCTAAGGTGCAGAGACCTGCAGAGCAACATAGTTGCACATGAGGAAGATTGGAGTTAAATGCATCATAAAATATCACCATTGCATCATGGCATAAAATGTTTTTTTTTCAAGCCATTGAAAACAAAATCCTTTTTTGGGTGCTTTATAAACCACCGGTATGATCAAATTAGCCACTTGACAAATGGTCTTAAGGTGCTGAATGGGGTCTTACCAGCCAGCAGGTGAAGAACTCCTATCCCCAGTGTGGGGGTGAGGCTTCGGCAGAGGCAGGCACAAAACCCAATCAGGCCGGCCAACACCACTAGACCCAGGGACACCAGCGGCAGCACAAACTGGCACCTCCATAAGTCTATTCATACATGCACCAGGACACAAAAGTTTAAGTCTCAGTCACCTACTTCTGCCTTACAAAGGAAACTGTTTATATATGATATCCATGCATTTGACAGAAAAGAGGCTCAGCCTGTTATAGATTTTTGTACAACTATCAGAATGAAAATATTAAATAAGAGAAAACTTGTTGTGACTTGACTTACATGTGCGCAGCATGTCCTCTCCACTGTTGTGGTTTCCTGGTTCTTTGTATTTGGGAGTGAACTGCTGAGGTAGACTGAAGCTTCGACACTCCAGCACCAATTTTGCATCTGAAAAACGCACATTACGCATTGTATCATTAGAACAGAAAATAATCTCAAGTAGGAACACAGACAAAACTTATTCATTCTAACAGACTGTGTTTTACACACCGGTGCAACATCTTTCCATTTTTAAGCCGACAGACTGGTTGAGTATTACCGGTCTTGCTGGCACAGTAGGATATCACTTGCACTCCCAAATGACACCTGCTCATATAGAGACAATTTTAAGAAGAAGTAGGCCAAAACTGGATGCTTAAGCAATTTGTATTCGGAGCCTCTCTTTATCTGACTACATGTCCACTGAGATTATTTTTATGAGCCTTCTCTGGATGTTGATATTAAGATTTTAGGTGCGCTCCATGTCACCCCTACATAAGTCAGTGTCCCAGTAGGACCACCTCGAAATGACTTTGCAAACTACTGTCAGACATATGTTAAGTTATGTATCACAGGACACTAAGCAAGTGATCAGATACTGACACTGAAAATAATAAGCTGCTGGAGGCTGAATGCATGCCATTCATTGGTGTCAAATAAAGGCACAGCCTGAGAATGACTTAGTTGATGTTAACTATTTCTGTGATCAATAAATCTACAGGATGACAGATCTGTAACAGGTCAAAGTCACAGTCACACAGTACAGCTAGCAGCACCAGCAGCCCAAGGGTAATAAATTCCTGCTTATCTGCTCCTGCCTGGGTGAGCCACACCTGATGGCATCTACCTGAGAACAGGTGGGGCTCATTCTCAATCGCTTGAAAACACAACCCATGACTCAGCAGTCGGTTCTGATCACAAACAATGTAATTGGACTGATTAGATAATTGTAAAAACATACCTGTCTCTTTGAACCAGTTACCACTGGAAGGGACGAGAACACACCGCCACCAAAGGCCCACAGTCCCGTTGAGGCGGAACAGGGTGTCGCTGTAGGTTTTCTCATCAAACTCCCCATCCATGAACTCCTCGTACAGGGAGCGCAGCTCGGACACGTTGGCCTCCCCGCGCACGGTGGGGCTGCTGTACTGATACCAGTGCTGCGTCCCGATGGCCACGGACAGATACACAGTGGCCAGTATGCTCAGCACGCAGGCGATGACCAGAGCCGTAGCGTAGCGGTTATCGACCATTGTTCACCGAGTCTGAGACACGTCAAAGGGGATTAAGCTGATGCAAGTGGTCGAATTGTCAAGCATTAATTTAGTCAGAACGCGATGGGTCTCGTCTTAAAATCTCCTCAAAGTCACTCCAACATTGTAATCTCTAAAAAAAAAAAATACAGACTGAAGCACAAGGGAGAGAGAAAGCAACCAATTCTAATGATCGATACTCATCTACAATATGTCCCAACAGAAAGCGTCAGCAGCCCTGCAGGCCGGCTTGGGTGCGCCATCTGTTCCCTTGTCCCACTTCCACAGATGGTGGGTGACCACCAGACGCTGCGGAAGAAATCCCTCTATAAACCCCACTCCCGCTCCTAAAAAGACAGGGAAAAGGCTGTACTTTTGAGATGCGATCTCCTCTGGTGACAATCGGCTTGTAAAAGAAAATTCGGCTGTGGTTCTGTTTCCTTGGGAGGCAGGCTAACGCCGGTTGCACACGGGATGATGCGAGTTGTAAACACACTAATCCATGCGGTTTCCGTTTCCGGTTGGGCTGATAATGAGATGTATATATGTGTGTATGATCACCCTTTCTCGGCCTGCTCTCTGTTTTATATGCAAAAGAGCAGGGAATAACTAAGGCATGGTATTGTGAGAAAATTGGAAGCAGGGTAGCATTGTCATGAATAAATCGACAACAATAAAAAAAAGGACTTCTTGCCAACTTCAGTTCTGAAAAGAAATGCTCATTAGTTAAGATTCAAGGATGATTTTATTGTCAATTTCTGTCATAGCCTAGGTAAGAACACAGAGGCCTACACACACACACACACACACACACACACACAGATGTATCATGCTATAGAAAAATGTTCTTTTCTATATAAATGTATACACACACACACACGTACACATGCATACCTAGCGACCACAAAAAGTCGTGCTGTCCACATTTACACATGACCTTAAGTGCGGGTGGTGCATGCAATCTGCAGTATTGTGTTGATACAAAGAGCATGTAAACAGTGGAGTTGTGGCTCAAAGAGAGAGAAAAAAACAGTACAAAGAACCAGGTAATTCTGTAACAGCATGACAGTTTTTAGATTAAAAAAACATAGTAATAAAAATAATAATAACAACAACAACAATTATAATAATAATAATAATAGTTGACAGGATTATTCCGGACATTGTCTGTAGTTAATTGAGTGATATAGCAGGTAGCTCCCATAAACAAATCATGCGTTCAAGTTAACTCAGAAGTCAGCTGTCGGAGCTGAAAATGACGTCACAACTGAGTCACCAGCGTTTCAGACTGTGTCCAAAATGGACACATGGGGGGTGTCCGAAACCTGAGTGATCAATTCTAATGCCCCATATAGGCAACTCAAAATTTCCCATAGAGCATTGCAAAATGTAGTGACCATCCGATGGTCACTCACCGGTGGTGGGCATCCCGTTATGCATTGCGTCTTGCCATGTACATTGCCACGTAGTGTCCGAAACCTCCAGTGATTGAGCTTACTACATTGTCAGCTATATAGTGAAACCCCATAATAAGGATAAGGCAAGCGCTAAAATAACTTTTGTAGATTTTGCTTTTTTCCGACTTGGTAACTGAAACGCTGGTAACTCGGGTGTGACATCATTTTCAGCTCTGAAATCTGACTTCTGAGGTAACCATCTAGCACCCACAAACCCACTCTTTATCAATAAACAGTTTCTCAAACTTGAAGCACACCAGACTTGATTCATTTCATCAGTTGATCTCAGTCTTCAGACAGCTGATTGGTCAGACTGCGTGCTCTTGATTGGTTGGAAGAAAAACCTGCAGCCACACCGGTCCTTTATGGAAAAGTTTGGACAGGCCTGCTCTAGGTTGAACCACCGGCTTTTGAAACACACTTGAGATGGCTGCAGTGTCCCAGTCCGTTTGTCTGAAAATTCGGGGCTCAAAACTGAAAAGAAAGAAAGCTGAGGAACACCGCTAAGTCCATTTCAAAAGAAAGGTGAGTAAACTCATACCTACAGTTAAAGAATAATTTACGCAAACTGTCTTTCCTAGACGTTCATAATCAGTACGGGACAGATGGGATCTCATGAACATATGTTCAAGCAAACAGAAGCATCCACATGGTCTCTGGTACTTCCCTACTTCATGGACCTGCCCATTCAGCAACACCTATCGTGGTGCACTCTAGGAACCTACACCATAGCAATTTCCATTGCGGTAAGTACCTGTAGTTTGCCATCATTTCTTATTGTCCAGTTTCATAAGAACCACATCTTCTGGGTTCAGTACCAGGGGGCTTATTTATCAACCGTGCATACGTACAGATGTGTGCGTGATGAGTGCATACGAACATACCTACGCAAAGTCTGGAATTTATCAACCTGTGCTTGTGCTTGGTAATGTGAAATTTGAGCATATTAAATTTAAGCACAACTCTGACCATGCATACACACAAAACCTAGTGGTAGAACAGTGAAACTACAAATAGAACCCATTAAAGGAGTCACAGCGTTCAGCAATCTCAAACTTCACATGTTACTGTTGCCTCTAATTAATAAAATTGATCAATTAGTTATTTAGCAGACATTTTGAATGATTGGTGTGACAAGCCATAAAAATCAGCTGTGACAGGACAACCTCAAAAGAAGTCTTACAAGTACAAATACAAGTATCATGGTTTGTTTTGCGCTACTGGTGGACTTGGAGAACCATATGCTCCGTCGGGAGCGCGTTTTCAAAGACCGTGCTGATTGGTTCAGTGAGAACACAGAGTGGATTCTCAGCAGGTAGCTACTGCTTCCCCAAAAACATTTGATTGGATTTATGCCGTGATTTACAGCCCGTGTTGGAGCGAGAGACAAAACGCACCAAAGCCATCCCACTGCACATCCTGGGATTTTTGCTCACCGGAACATTTCAGCCTGAGATTGGAGACATTTCCCAGCCAAAGCTAAGCAGAATCATGCCGGCAAAATTGGATGCAATCATTTCACTGGCCTCAATTTACATCCAGTTCCCAAACACACATCACCAACGAGGAGGAATTCAGTTTTGTCAACAGGAAAGGATTTCATTCAATCAATGCACAAATAATCTGTGATGCACATTTGTATCTGTTAAATGTTGTGACTGGAAGAACGCACAACTCCATTCTGCATTACAGCTCTGTGAGTGTGCACCTCCATGATTTCGACGCATTTTTAAAGGGATTGTTGATACCGAAAATGGTCAATTGGAGGTGTTTCTGAATGCAAATGACCTGAACTATGCACGAGCACGGTAGTAAAGAACAGGTGGGATTTATCATCACCAATTATATACGAGTGTGCGTACAACTGGTGTCCACATGTTTGATAAATACACATTTTTTTTGCACTTGGGCACATTCTAAATTTTAGTCCTACGCCAGAATTTAGAACCTTTTCTTTGCACGGTTGATAAATGAGGCCCCACAAGACTCCTCACACCATTCCAGCAGTTGTAGTGGAATGCTTGTCTCTGCTCGGCAGCTGCATCTTCTCCATACCAGAGGTCCGTTTCACGTAGCAGGTTTAATGGAAACTCAGAGTCTGTTAACCCTGAAATCAGGGAAACTCTGAGTTTTCCGTTTCACAAAGGAGGGTCAGTCAAACCAGAGAGAGAGGGGTAACTCTAACCTGTTTCACAAAGAGAGGTAACTCAACCTTGCGGTCAGTTACCATAGTAACAGACTCCGTGAACCTAACCTGGTCGGGACCTGAGGCCTGTACTACGAAGCTGGATTTGGTCTTAGCGAGATAAGCTCTGGATAACTTCTGGGTTTTCCGTACTACGGAGGTGGATCCCTTTTTATCCGGGTCCGTTGCCCCGGTAACTTACGCGGAACGCCAAACCTGCTCTCTTTCAGTCACACACTCCTTTTGATTTCCTCATTTAGGGAACGCGCACCGCCAGCCAACGAATTTTGAACTGCTGATTTAAGTCATCCTGGTCATCGGCACAGTAGCTACTCCATTCTACGACCATGGCGTGTCCTTTTCTTGGAGATCCCATTGATGAAGGAGCAGCGATCCTGCGCAGGGAATTAAATATTCATCGGGAGATCGTTTTTAGACTGCAAACATTTTAGCCCTCCTGGACAATTTTCTTTTTGAGCAGTATCATTTTTCATCTTAATCCAAAATTATATATTTACAACCTCATCCGTCCACACATTTCAAACATCACCGGTCGCAGTCATGTGCTCACATCACAGCAGATACTATGTGTTGCGCTGCGTTATTTCGCCAACGGGAGTTTTTTGCATAACGTCGGAGATGCCGAGCAGTCAGAGCCGCAATCTGCCATAATCACTTTTGAGTTTTAAGCACCCCCAGAAATAAAAAAAAAAAATGAAGCGCATTTCAGTTGGTTTTCTTTATTTCCTACAAATCCAAAAGCCAGTTAAGTTAATGTTCTAATAGTTCACATCATTGACATAAATGACATGTGACCATGCACCCACCTTTAACTTGTGCTCCAGTATTTCTATTTCTAGATCCGCTTTCTTTATCTGGCGGTCCAGGAATAGCATCTCTTTGTCAGTTTTCTGGATTTTCTTTATGAGATGCATTTTCTATATGTCTTTTACTGGTAGCTGGGAATACATAAGATGTATTTATATATTTCATTCTGTCTCATTTGTCCTCCATATGTAACAACCATTTACATTTTTGTTTTGTTTTGTAAATATTGTATTCCGCGATATGGGCAACTGTAATATGTCTACATTTCTTTTGTTGTCGTTTTTGTCCCATTTGTCTGCAATGTCACAAAATCTCTAGTTCATTTTGTGGAGTTTTTTCACTAATGTGGACTTGAAACACTACGATAACTGTTTGACCAGCACTTTCATAATATCTTGGTAATGATTGTGTAGATTCTCAACATTTATATGACTCAGAGCAAAGAAGAATGACATGATAGCAATATCTAAGCTGATATCTAATTTTCTTACAATTTTTTTCTTTATATTTGAGAATTACAACTGATACTACACTCTGTACATGCGCATCCACATAAGCTAGATGTTGGATTTTCAGATACTTATCTCTCAGACTGTGTTGGTATTGAATAGACAAATCTCAGAATAAACAGAGTGACAGAGTAAACTATGCGCCACTCCCAGATGTCTAACCGGTTTCACTGACATGACACCTGTGCCAGACTGACTGCAAGATGCTCTTTTAAAAATTAAGTTTGTAAAATCATCTACACTGTATGAAAGTTTTTATGTGTCACCTGTAAAACTTAAGAGTTTGACCTTCTACATACCCTCAATTACTCTCTTTTGTTTTACAGACCAAAATCAGGAAACATCACACAAAAGACAGTTGTAGTTCTTCAAATGTTGTATTCTGGTCATTGAAAAGTTTCCAGCAGGCATAGTGCAAACAACAAAAAGTCTCACAGAATACAACTCTGTGGATAACATTAATACAGTATGTATAAATAAGACATTGAAAGTGCATTGTTTCCTTGCATCTAAATCTCTTGAAAATACTAAACATATTAACTAAAGGATAGGTTTCTCAGCAAAAAAAGTCTTAGACAGGACTGGTGACTGTCAGTATCAAATGTTACAGTGCCATCAGGATGCAATAGTTAATAAATAGTGCAGTTAATTGCTGACATCCCAGAGAAAGCATTGCCATATAGCTATGCCAATAATTCTTAGATAGAGTAGATGGAATATTTAGAGACAGCAGTGTCATTATGACCATAAGTGTCATAAGATACAGGCCCCTCCCACACAGAGATACGTCTTTAAATGGAAACAAAAGATATTTTATCATAAAAATTCACATAGTAATCAACTGACGCTGTCGCTACTGCTGGTTTGACAGAAGCCATGACAACAGCACCATGGAGAATGCAGTGATGACACTGATCTTGGGACTTACTCCACTTGCAGATGCTGTAGTTGTAGCTGCAGGCGCATTGGTGGCAGATGCTGCAGTTGTAGCTGCAGGTGCATTGGTGGCAGATGCTGCAGTTGTAGCTGCAGGCCCATTGGTGGCAGATGCTGCAGTTGTAGCTGCAGGTATATTGGTGGCAGATGCTGTAGTTGTAGCTGCAGGTGTATTGGTGGCAGATGCTGTAGTTGTAGCTGCAGGCGCATTGGTGGCAGATGCTGTAGTTGTAGTTACACTTGGTTTTGGACCCTCTTTGAATATAATTTCGAAGAAATAAGTTAGTTATGATCTGTACACAAACCAAAAACATTTCTTCCATTCAGTTGATTAAAGTTGAAAGAGTGCTGAATTAAAGACTTACAAAGAATACTGTCATGTGAATTTTTGTTCTCTACACTCACCTATAGGTACAACTGTAAGGGGATTAAAATCCACAGAGAAGGAATTGCTAGGGTCGTTCACAGCGGCACTCAAGGTTTCAGCAACAACTTCATTTAGTGGGAGTTCATTAGATGGGGTGCTCGGAATGAAGAGAATCTCCATTTCCGTTCCAACTGAAGGAGCTCGTGTTTCCCTCGAACTGTATTTAGGAAAAAATGTGAGAGAAAAATGTGAGGTTACTTAATGTTAGGTAAGAAAAGAGTCAACAATGAAAATGGCTTTATAAAAGAACATCCAAATAAGCCAGATCTAATAACACAAGTTTGTTGACAAGACAGATGGTTTTACCGGAAACTCTTCACTCTGCACTTGAGAAATATTCTGCCATATCTTGCTCTATAGATGCTGTTACACTGTTGAAAAATAAAGGACAAAAGAAGACAGCATGGTAAATGATCTATGAAGTGGTTTTAAACACTATTCTGCAGATAAAATTCAAATGCATACAAACTTTTCAAGACAAACTGTAATGGAATTTAAGATAACCCTATTGAATTGTTGTATTTATTGGATTAAAATGAAACAAATGTATCTTAAGTTTTGAAATAACTCCGAAAGAACTTACTGATACAATGACTCGATTTTCAAGTTCTTTGTATTGAGAGCTCTGGGGGTTCAGAAGTTGAGCAGTGAAGATTTCATTGAACAACTGTACATTAAGTACATAAGTAATAGCAGCTGTTGTTGTTGTTGGGGCAGCTGTTGTTGTTGTTGTTGTTGTTGGGGCAGGTGTTGTTGTTGTTGTTGTTGTTGGGGCAGGTGTTGTTGTTGTTGTTGTTGTTGGGGAAGGTGTTGTTGTTGTTGTTGGGGCAGGTGTTGTTGTTGTTGTTGGGGCAGGTGTTGTTGTTGTTGGGGCAGGTGTTGTTGTTGTTGTTGGGGCAGGTGTTGTTGTTGTTGTTGTTGGGGCAGGTGTTGTTGTTGTTGTTGATGTTGGGGCAGGTGTTGTTGTTGTTGGGGCAGGTGTTGTTGTTGTTGTTGGGGCAGGTGTTGATGTTGTTGTTGGGGCAGGTGTTGTTGTTGTTGGGGAAGGTGTTGTTGTTGTTGTTGTTGTTGGGGCAGGTGTTGTTGTTGTTGTTGTGGCAGGTGTTGTTGTTGTTGTTGGGGCAGGTGTTGTTGTTGTTGTTGTTGTTGGGGCAGGTGTTGTTGTTGTTGGGGCAGGTGTTGTTGTTGTTATTGGGGCAGGTGTTGTTGATGTTGTTGTTGGGGCAGGTGTTGTTGTTGTTGTAGGTGTTGTTGTTGTTGTTGTTGGGGCAGGTGTTGTTGTTGTTGTTGTTGGGGCAGGTGTTGTTGTTGTTGGGGCAGGTGTTGTTGTTGTTGTTGTTGTTGTTGGGGAAGGTGTTGTTGTTGTTGTTGTTGTTGTTGTTGTTGGGGCAGGTGTTGTTGTTGTTGGGGCAGATGTTGTTGTTGGGGCAGGTGTTGTTGTTGTTGTTGGGGCAGGTGTTGTTGTTGTTGTTGTTGTTGTTGTTGGGGCAGGTGTTGTTGTTGTTGGGGCAGGTGTTGTTGTTGTTGGGGAAGGTGTTGTTGTTGTTGTTGTTGTTGTTGGGGCAGGTGTTGTTGTTGTTGGGGCAGGTGTTGTTGTTGTTGTTGTTGTTGTTGGGGAAGGTGTTGTTGTTGTTGGGGCAGGTGTTGTTGTTGTTGTTGGGGCAGGTGTTGTTGATGTTGTTGTTGTTGTTGGGGCAGGTGTTGTTGTTGTTGGGGCAGGTGTTGTTGTTGTTGTTGTTGTTGTTGGGGCAGGTGTTGTTGTTGTTGTTGGGGCAGGTGTTGTTGTTGTTGTTGTTGTTGTTGGGGCAGGTGTTGTTGTTGTTGTTGTTGTTGTTGGGGCAGGTGTTGTTGTTGTTGTTGTTGTTGGGGCAGCTGTTGTTGTTGTTGTTGGGGCAGGTGTTGTTGTTGTTGTTGGGGAAGGTGTTGTTTTTGTTGTTGTTGTTGGGGCAGGTGTTGTTGTTGTTGTTGTTGGGGAAGGTGTTGTTGTTGTTGTTGTTGTTGGGGCAGGTGTTGTTGTTGTTGTTGTTGTTGGGGCAGGTGTTGTTGTTGTTGGGGCAGGTGTTGTTGTTGTTGTTGGGGCAGGTGTTGTTGTTGTTGTTGTTGGGGCAGGTGTTGTTGTTGGGGCAGGTGTTGTTGTTGTTGTTGTTGTTGGGGCAGGTGTTGTTGATGTTGTTGTTGTTGTTGTTGTTGGGGCAGGTGTTGTTGTTGTTGGGGCAGGTGTTGTTGTTGTTGGGGCAGGTGTTGTTGTTGTTGTTGGGGCAGGTGTTGTTGTTGTTGTTGGGGCAGGTGTTGTTGTTGTTGTTGTTGTTGGGGCAGGTGTTGTTGTTGTTGTTGTTGGGGCAGCTGTTGTTGTTGTTGTTGGGGCAGGTGTTGTTGTTGTTGTTGTTGTTGGGGAAGGTGTTGTTGTTGTTGTTGTTGTTGGGGCAGGTGTTGTTGTTGTTGTTGTTGGGGAAGGTGTTGTTGTTGTTGTTGTTGTTGGGGCAGGTGTTGTTGTTGTTGTTGGGGCAGGTGTTTTTGTTGTTGTTGGGGCAGGTGTTGTTGTTGTTGTTGTTGTTGGGGCAGGTGTTGTTGTTGTTGTTGGGGAAGGTGTTGTTGTTGTTGTTGTTGGGGCAGGTGTTGTTGTTGTTGTTGTTGTTGTTGTTGTTGTTGGGGAAGGTGTTGTTGTTGTTGTTGTTGTTGTTGTTGGGGCAGGTGTTGTTGTTGTTGGGGCAGGTGTTGTTGTTGTTGTTGTTGGGGCAGGTGTTGTTGTTGTTGGGGCAGGTGTTGTTGTTGTTGTTGGGGCAGGTGTTGTTGTTGTTGGGGAAGGTGTTGTTGATGTTGTTGTTGTTGTTGTTGTTGGGGCAGGTGTTGTTGTTGTTGGGGCAGGTGTTGTTGTTGTTGTTGTTGGGGCAGGTGTTGTTGTTGTTGTTGGGGCAGGTGTTGTTGTTGTTGTTGGGGCAGGTGTTGTTGTTGTTGTTGTGGGGCAGCTGTTGTTGTTGGGGAAGGTGTTGTTGTTGTTGTTGTTGTTGGGGAAGGTGTTGTTGTTGTTGTTGTTGTTGGGGCAGGTGTTGTTGGGGAAGGTGTTGTTGTTGTTGTTGTTGTTGGGGCAGGTGTTGTTGTTGTTGGGGCAGGTGTTGTTGTTGTTGTTGTTGTTGTTGGGGCAGGTGTTGTTGTTGTTGGGGCAGGTGTTGTTGTTGTTGTTGGGGCAGGTGTTGTTGTTGTTGGGGCAGGTGTTGTTGTTGTTGGGGCAGGTGTTGTTGTTGTTGTTGTTGTTGGGGCAGGTGTTGTTGTTGGGGCAGGTGTTGTTGTTGTTGGGGCAGGTGTTTTTGTTGTTGTTGGGGCAGGTGTTGTTGTTGTTGTTGTTGTTGGGACAGGTGTTGTTGTTGTTGTTGTTGGGGAAGGTGTTGTTGTTGTTGTTGTTGGGGCAGGTGTTGTTGTTGTTGGGGCAGGTGTTGTTGTTGTTGTTGTCGGGGAAGGTGTTGTTGTTGTTGTTGTTGGGGCAGGTGTTGTTGTTTTTGGGGAAGGTGTTGTTGTTGTTGTTGGGGCAGGTGTTGTTGTTGTTGTTGTTGGGGCAGGTGTTGTTGTTGTTGTTGTTGGGGCAGGTGTTGTTGTCGGGGAAGGTGTTGTTGTTGTTGTTGGGACAGGTGTTGTTGTTGTTGTTGTTGTTGGGGAAGGTGTTGTTGTTGTTGTTGTTGGGGCAGGTGTTGTTGTTGTTGGGGCAGGTGTTGTTGTTGTTGTTGTCGGGGAAGGTGTTGTTGTTGTTGTTGTTGTTGGGGCAGGTGTTGTTGTTGTTGGGGCAGGTGTTGTTGTTGTTGTTGTTGGGGCAGGTGTTGTTGTTGTTGGGGCAGGTGTTGTTGTTGTTGTTGGGGCAGGTGTTGTTGTTGTTGTTGTTGGGGCAGGTGTTGTTATTGTTGTTGGGGCAGGTGTTGTTGGGGCAGGTGTTGTTGTTGGGGCAGGTGTTGTTGTTGTTGTTGGGGCAGGTGTTGTTGTTGTTGGGGCAGGTGTTGTTGTTGTTGTTGTTGTTGTTGTTGTTGTTGGGGCAGGTGTTGTTGTTGTTGTTGTTGTTGTTGTTGTTGGGGCAGGTGTTGTTGTTGGGGCAGGTGTTGTTGTTGTTGTTGGGGCAGGTGTTGTTGTTGTTGTTGGGGCAGGTGTTGTTGTTGTTGTTGTTGGGGATGTTGTTGTTGTTGTTGTTGTTGTTGGGGCAGGTGTTGTTGTTGTTGGGGCAGATGTTGTTGTTGGGGCAGGTGTTGTTGTTGTTGTTGGGGCAGGTGTTGTTGTTGTTGTTGTTGTTGGGGCAGGTGTTGTTGTTGTTGGGGAAGGTGTTGTTGTTGTTGTTGGGGAAGGTGTTGTTGTTGTTGTTGTTGGGGCAGGTGTTGTTGTTGTTGTTGTTGTTGGGGCAGGTGTTGTTGTGTTGGGGCAGTTGTTGTTGTTGTTGTTGTTGTTGTTGGGGAAGGTGTTGTTGTTGTTGGGGCAGGTGTTGTTGTTGTTGTTGGGGCAGGTGTTGTTGTTGTTGTTGTTGTTGGGGCAGGTGTTGTTGTTGTTGTTGGGGCAGGTGTTGTTGTTGTTGTTGTTGTTGTTGGGGCAGGTTGTTGTTGTTGTTGGGGCAGGTGTTGTTGTTGTTGTTGTTGTTGTTGGGGCAGGTGTTGTTGTTGTTGTTGTTGTTGTTGTTGGGGCAGGTGTTGTTGTTGTTGTTGTTGGGGCAGGTGTTGTTGTTGTTGTTGGGGCAGGTGTTGTTGTTGTTGTTGGGGCAGGTGTTGTTGTTGTTGTTGTTGGGGCAGGTGTTGTTGTTGTTGTTGTTGGGGAAGGTGTTGTTGTTGTTGTTGTTGTTGGGGCAGGTGTTGTTGTTGTTGTTGTTGTTGGGGCAGGTGTTGTTGTTGTTGGGGCAGGTGTTGTTGTTGTTGTTGGGGCAGGTGTTGTTGTTGTTGTTGTTGGGGCAGGTGTTGTTGTTGGGGCAGGTGTTGTTGTTGTTGTTGTTGGGGCAGGTGTTGTTGTTGTTGTTGTTGGGGCAGGTGTTGTTGATGTTGTTGTTGTTGTTGTTGTTGGGGCAGGTGTTGTTGTTGTTGGGGCAGGTGTTGTTGTTGTTGGGGCAGGTGTTGTTGTTGTTGTTGGGGCAGGTGTTGTTGTTGTTGTTGGGGCAGGTGTTGTTGTTGTTGTTGGGGCAGGTGTTGTTGTTGTTGTTGTTGGGGCAGGTGTTGTTGTTGTTGTTGGGGCAGGTGTTGTTGTTGTTGTTGTTGTTGGGGAAGGTGTTGTTGTTGTTGTTGTTGTTGGGGCAGGTGTTGTTGTTGTTGTTGTTGGGGAAGGTGTTGTTGTTGTTGTTGTTGTTGGGGCAGGTGTTGTTGTTGTTGTTGGGGCAGGTGTTTTTGTTGTTGTTGGGGCAGGTGTTGTTGTTGTTGTTGTTGTTGGGGCAGGTGTTGTTGTTGTTGTTGGGGCAGGTGTTGTTGTTGTTGTTGTTGGGGCAGGGTGTTGTTGTTGTTGTTGTTGTTGTTGTTGTTGTTGTTGGGGAAGGTGTTGTTGTTGTTGTTGTTGTTGTTGGGGCAGGTGTTGTTGTTGTTGGGGCAGGTGTTGTTGTTGTTGTTGTTGGGGCAGGTGTTGTTGTTGTTGGGGCAGGTGTTGTTGTTGTTGTTGTGGGGCAGGTGTTGTTGTTGTTGGGGAAGGTGTTGTTGATGTTGTTGTTGTTGTTGTTGGGGCAGGTGTTGTTGTTGTTGGGGCAGGTGTTGTTGTTGTTGTTGTTGTTGGGGCAGGTGTTGTTGTTGTTGTTGTTGTTGGGGCAGGTGTTGTTGTTGTTGTTGTTGGGGCAGGTGTTGTTGTTGGGGAAGGTGTTGTTGTTGTTGTTGTTGTTGGGGAAGGTGTTGTTGTTGTTGTTGTTGTTGGGGCAGGTGTTGTTGTCGGGGAAGGTGTTGTTGTTGTTGTTGGGACAGGTGTTGTTGTTGTTGTTGTTGGGGAAGGTGTTGTTGTTGTTGTTGTTGGGGCAGGTGTTGTTGTTGTTGGGGCAGGTGTTGTTGTTGTTGTTGTTGTTGGGGAAGGTGTTGTTGTTGTTGTTGTTGTTGGGGCAGGTGTTGTTGTTGTTGGGGCAGGTGTTGTTGTTGTTGTTGTTGTTGGGGCAGGTGTTGTTGTTGTTGTTGGGGCAGGTGTTGTTGTTGTTGTTGTTGGGGCAGGTGTTGTTGTTGTTGTTGGGGCAGTTGTTGTTGGGGCAGGGTGTTGTTGTTGTTGGGGCAGGTGTTGTTGTTGTTGTTGTTGTTGGGGCTGGTGTTGTTGTTGTTGTTGTTGTTGTTGTTGTTGGGGCAGGTGTTGTTGTTGGGGCAGGTGTTGTTGTTGTTGTTGGGGCAGGTGTTGTTGTTGTTGTTGTCAGGGCAGGTGTTGTTGTTGGGGCAGATGTTGTTGTTGTTGTTGTTGTTGTTGGGGCAGGTGTTGTTGTTGTTGTTGTTGGGGCAGGTGTTGTTGTTGTTGTTGTCGGGGCAGGTGTTGTTGTTGTTGTTGTTGTTGGGGCAGGTGTTGTTGTTGTTGTTGTTGGGGAAGGTGTTGTTGTTGTTGTTGGGGCTGGTGTTGTTGTTGTTGTTGTTGGGGCAGGTGTTGTTGTTGTTGTTGTTGTTGGGGCAGGTGTTGTTGTTGTTGGGAAGGTGTTGTTGTTGTTGTTGTTGTTGGGACAGGTGTTGTTGTTGTTGTTGTTGTTGTTGGGGAAGGTGTTGTTGTTGTTGTTGTTGGGGCAGGTGTTGTTGTTGTCGGGGCAGGTGTTGTTGTTGTTGTTGTTGGGGCAGGTGTTGTTGTTGTTGTTGGGGCAGGTGTTGTTGTTGTTGTTGTTGGGGAAGGTGTTGTTGTTGTTGTTGTTGGGGCTGGTGTTGTTGTTGTTGTTGGGGAAGGTGTTGTTGTTGTTGTTGTCGGGGCAGGTGTTGTTGTTGTTGTTGTCGGGGCAGGTGTTGTTGTTGTTGTTGTTGTCGGGGCAGGTTTTGTTGTTGTTGTTGGGGCAGGTGTTGTTGTTGTTGTTGTTGTTGGGGCAGGTGTTGTTGTTGTTGTTGTTGGGGAAGGTGTTGTTGTTGTTGTTGGGGCAGGTGTTGTTGTTGTTGTTGTTGGGGCAGGTGTTGTTGTTGTTGTTGTTGTTGGGGCAGCTGTTGTTGTTGTTGTTGTTTGGGCAGGTGTTGTTGTTGTTGTTGTTGGGGCAGATGTTGTTGTTGTTGTTGTTGTTGTTGTTGGGGCAGGTGTTGTTGTTGTTGTTGTTGTTGGGGCAGGTGTTGTTGTTGTTGTTGTTGTTGGGGATGGTGTTGTTGTTGTTGTTGTTGGGGCAGGTGTTGTTGTTGTTGTTGTTGGGGCAGGTGTTGTTGTTGTTGTTGGGGCAGGTGTTGTTGTTGTTGTTGGGGCAGGTGTTGTTGTTGTTGTTGTCGGGGCAGGTGTTGTTGTTGTTGTTGTTGTTGGGGCAGGTGTTGTTGTTGTTGGGGCAGTGTGTTGTTGTTGTTGTTGGGGCAGGTGTTGTTGTTGTTGTCAGGGCAGGTGTTGTTGTTGTTGTTGTTGGGGCAGATGTTGTTGTTGTTGTTGTTGTTGTTGGGGCAGGTGTTGTTGTTGTCGGGGCAGGTGTTGTTGTTGTTGTTGTTGTTGGGGCAGGTGTTGTTGTTGTTGTTGTTGGGGCAGGTGTTGTTGTTGTTGTTGGGGCAGGTGTTGTTGTTGTTGTTGTTGGGGCAGGTGTTGTTGTTGTTGTTGGGGCAGGTGTTGTTGTTGTTGGGGCAGGTGTTGTTGTTGTTGTTGGGGCAGGTGTTGTTGTTGTTGTTGTTGGGGCAGGTGTTGTTGTTGTTGTTGGGGCAGGTGTTGTTGTTGTTGTTGTCAGGGCAGGTGTTGTTGTTGTTGTTGTTGTTGTTGGGGCAGGTGTTGTTGTTGTTGTTGTCAGGGCAGGTGTTGTTGTTGTTGTTGGGGCAGATGTTGTTGTTGTTGGGGCAGGTGTTGTTGTTGTTGTTGTTGGGGCAGGTGTTGTTGTTGTTGTTGTCGGGGCAGGTGTTGTTGTTGTTGTTGGGGCAGGTGTTGTTGTTGTTGTTGTTGGGGCAGGTGTTGTTGTTGTTGTTGTTGTCAGGGCAGGTGTTGTTGTTGTTGTTGTTGTTGGGGCAGATGTTGTTGTTGTTGTTGTTGTTGTTGGGGCAGGTGTTGTTTTTGTTGTTGTCGGGGCAGGTGTTGTTGTTGTTGTTGTTGGGGCAGGTGTTGTTGTTGTTGTTGGGGAAGGTGTTGTTGTTGTTGTTGGGGCAGGTGTTGTTGTTGTTGTTGTTGTTGTTGTCGGGGCAGGTGTTGTTGTTGTTGTTGTTGGGGCAGGTGTTGTTGTTGTTGTTGTCAGGGCAGGTGTTGTTGTTGTTGTTGTTGTTGTTGGGGCAGGTGTTGTTGTTGTTGTTGTCAGGGCAGGTGTTGTTGTTGTTGTTGTTGTTGGGGCAGGTGTTGTTGTTGTTGGGGCAGGTGTTGTTGTTGTTGTTGTCGGGGAAGGTGTTGTTGTTGTTGTTGTTGGGGCAGGTGTTGTTGTTTTTGGGGAAGGTGTTGTTGTTGTTGTTGGGGCAGGTGTTGTTGTTGTTGTTGTTGGGGCAGGTGTTGTTGTTGTTGTTGTTGGGGCAGGTGTTGTTGTTGTTGTTGGGGAAGGTGTTGTTGTTGTTGTTGGGACAGGTGTTGTTGTTGTTGTTGTTGGGGAAGGTGTTGTTGTTGTTGTTGTTGGGGCAGGTGTTGTTGTTGTTGGGGCAGGTGTTGTTGTTGTTGTTGTCGGGGAAGGTGTTGTTGTTGTTGTTGTTGTTGGGGCAGGTGTTGTTGTTGTTGGGGCAGGTGTTGTTGTTGTTGTTGTTGGGGCAGGTGTTGTTGTTGTTGTTGGGGCAGGTGTTGTTGTTGTTGTTGTTGGGGCAGGTGTTGTTATTGTTGTTGGGGCAGTTGTTGTTGGGGCAGGTGTTGTTGTTGTTGGGGCAGGTGTTGTTGTTGTTGTTGTTGTTGGGGCAGGTGTTGTTGTTGTTGTTGTTGTTGTTGTTGTTGGGGCAGGTGTTGTTGTTGGGGCAGGTGTTGTTGTTGTTGTTGGGGCAGGTGTTGTTGTTGTTGTTGTCAGGGCAGGTGTTGTTGTTGGGGCAGATGTTGTTGTTGTTGTTGTTGTTGTTGGGGCAGGTGTTGTTGTTGTTGTTGTTGGGGCAGGTGTTGTTGTTGTTGTTGTCGGGGCAGGTGTTGTTGTTGTTGTTGTTGTTGGGGCAGGTGTTGTTGTTGTTGGGGAAGGTGTTGTTGTTGTTGTTGGGGCAGGTGTTGTTGTTGTTGTTGTTGGGGCAGGTGTTGTTGTTGTTGTTGTTGTTGGGGCAGGTGTTGTTGTCGGGGAAGGTGTTGTTGTTGTTGTTGTTGTTGGGACAGGTGTTGTTGTTGTTGTTGTTGTTGTTGGGGAAGGTGTTGTTGTTGTTGTTGTTGGGGCAGGTGTTGTTGTTGTCGGGGCAGGTGTTGTTGTTGTTGTTGTTGGGGCAGGTGTTGTTGTTGTTGTTGGGGCAGGTGTTGTTGTTGTTGTTGTTGGGGAAGGTGTTGTTGTTGTTGTTGTTGGGGCTGGTGTTGTTGTTGTTGTTGGGGCAGGTGTTGTTGTTGTTGTTGTCGGGGCAGGTGTTGTTGTTGTTGTTGTCGGGGCAGGTGTTGTTGTTGTTGTTGTTGTCGGGGCAGGTGTTGTTGTTGTTGTTGTTGTGGGGCAGGTGTTGTTGTTGTTGTTGTTGTTGGGGCAGGTGTTGTTGTTGTTGTTGTTGGGGAAGGTGTTGTTGTTGTTGTTGGGGCAGGTGTTGTTGTTGTTGTTGTTGGGGCAGGTGTTGTTGTTGTTGTTGTTGTTGGGGCAGCTGTTGTTGTTGTTGTTGTTTGGGCAGGTGTTGTTGTTGTTGTTGTTGGGGCAGATGTTGTTGTTGTTGTTGTTGTTGTTGTTGTTGGGGCAGGTGTTGTTGTTGTTGTTGTTGTTGGGGCAGGTGTTGTTGTTGTTGTTGTTGTTGGGGATGGTGTTGTTGTTGTTGTTGTTGGGGCAGGTGTTGTTGTTGTTGTTGTTGGGGCAGGTGTTGTTGTTGTTGTTGGGGCTGGTGTTGTTGTTGTTGTTGGGGAAGGTGTTGTTGTTGTTGTTGTCGGGGCAGGTGTTGTTGTTGTTGTTGTTGTTGGGGCAGGTGTTGTTGTTGTTGGGGCAGGTGTTGTTGTTGTTGTTGGGGCAGGTGTTGTTGTTGTTGTCAGGGCAGGTGTTGTTGTTGTTGTTGTTGGGGCAGATGTTGTTGTTGTTGTTGTTGTTGTTGGGGCAGGTGTTGTTGTTGTCGGGGCAGGTGTTGTTGTTGTTGTTGTTGTTGGGGCAGGTGTTGTTGTTGTTGTTGTTGGGGAAGGTGTTGTTGTTGTTGTTGGGGCAGGTGTTGTTGTTGTTGTTGTTGGGGCAGGTGTTGTTGTTGTTGTTGGGGCAGGTGTTGTTGTTGTTGGGGCAGGTGTTGTTGTTGTTGTTGGGGCAGGTGTTGTTGTTGTTGTTGTTGGGGCAGGTGTTGTTGTTGTTGTTGGGGCAGGTGTTGTTGTTGTTGTTGTCAGGGCAGGTGTTGTTGTTGTTGTTGTTGTTGTTGGGGCAGGTGTTGTTGTTGTTGTTGTCAGGGCAGGTGTTGTTGTTGTTGTTGGTGCAGATGTTGTTGTTGTTGGGGCAGGTGTTGTTGTTGTTGTTGTTGGGGCAGGTGTTGTTGTTGTTGTTGTCGGGGCAGGTGTTGTTGTTGTTGTTGGGGCAGGTGTTGTTGTTGTTGTTGTTGGGGCAGGTGTTGTTGTTGTTGTTGTTGTCAGGGCAGGTGTTGTTGTTGTTGTTGTTGTTGGGGCAGATGTTGTTGTTGTTGTTGTTGTTGTTGGGGCAGGTGTTGTTGTTGTTGTTGTCGGGGCAGGTGTTGTTGTTGTTGTTGTTGGGGCAGGTGTTGTTGTTGTTGTTGGGGAAGGTGTTGTTGTTGTTGTTGGGGCAGGTGTTGTTGTTGTTGTTGTTGTTGTTGTCGGGGCAGGTGTTGTTGTTGTTGTTGTTGGGGCAGGTGTTGTTGTTGTTGTTGTCAGGGCAGGTGTTGTTGTTGTTGTTGTTGTTGTTGGGGCAGGTGTTGTTGTTGTTGTTGTCAGGGCAGGTGTTGTTGTTGTTGTTGTTGTTGGGGCAGATGTTGTTGTTGTTGTTGTTGTTGTTGGGGCAGGTGTTGTTGTTGTTGTTGTTGGGGCAGGTGTTGTTGTTGTTGTTGTCGGGGCAGGTGTTGTTGTTGTTGTTGTTGTTGGGGCAGATGTTGTTGTTGTTGTTGTTGGGGCAGGTGTTGTTGTTGTTGTTGTCGGGGCAGGTGTTGTTGTTGTTGTTGTTGGGGCAGGTGTTGTTGTTGTTGTTGTTGGGGAAGGTGTTGTTGTTGTTGTTGGGGCAGGTGTTGTTGTTGTTGTTGTTGTTGTCGGGGCAGGTGTTGTTGTTGTTGTTGTTGGGGCAGGTGTTGTTGTTGTTGTTGGGGCAGGTGTTGTTGTTGTTGTTGTTGGGGCAGGTGTTGTTGTTGTTGTTGTTGGGGCAGGTGTTGTTGTTGTTGTTGTTGTTGGGGAAGGTGTTGTTGTTGTTGGGGCAGGTGTTGTTGTTGTTGTTGGGGCAGGTGTTGTTGTTGTTGTTGTTGTTGGGGCAGGTGTTGTTGTTGTTGTTGGGGCAGGTGTTGTTGTTGTTGTTGTCGGGTTAGGTGTTGTTGTTGTTGTTGTCGGGGCAGGTGTTGTTGTTGTTGTTGTTGTTGGGGCAGGTGTTGTTGTTGTTGGGGCAGGTGTTGTTGTTGTTGTTGGGGCAGGTGTTGTTGTTGTTGTTGTTGTTGGGCAGGTGTTGTTGTTGTTGTTGTTGGGGCAGGTGTTGTTGTTGTTGTTGTTGTTGTTGTTGTTGTTGTTGTTGGGGCAGGTGTTGTTGTTGTTGTTGTTGTTGGGGAAGGTGTTGTTGTTGTTGTTGTCAGGGCAGGTGTTGTTGTTGTTGTTGGGGCAGGTGTCGTTGTTGGGGCAGGTGTTGTTGTTGTTGTTGTTGTTGGGGCAGGTGTTGTTGTTGTTGTTGGGGCAGGTGTTGTTGTTGTTGTTGTTGTTGGGGCAGGTGTTGTTGTTGTTGTTGGGGCAGGTGTTGTTGTTGTCGGGGTAGGTGTTGTTGTTGTTGTTGTCGGGGCAGGTGTTGTTGTTGTTGTTGTTGTTGTTGGGGCAGGTGTTGTTGTTGTTGGGGCAGGTGTTGTTGTTGTTGTTGGGGCAGGTGTTGTTGTTGTTGTTGTTGGGGCAGGTGTTGTTGTTGTTGTTGTTGTTGTTGGGGCAGATGTTGTTGTTGTTGTTGTTGTTGTTGGGGCAGGTGTTGTTGTTGTTGTTGTTGGGGCAGGTGTTGTTGTTGTTGTTGTTGTCGGGGCAGGTGTTGTTGTTGTTGTTGGGGCAGGTGTTGTTGTTGTTGTTGTTGGGGCAGGTGTTGTTGTTGTTAGGGCAGGTGTTGTTGTTGTTGTTGTTGTTGGGGCAGATGTTGTTGTTGTTGTTGTTGGGGCAGGTGTTGTTGTTGTTGTTGTTGGGGCAGGTGTTGTTGTTGTTGTTGTCAGGGCAGGTGTTGTTGTTGTTGTTGTTGTTGGGGCAGATGTTGTTGTTGTTGTTGTTGGGGCAGGTGTTGTTGTTGTTGTTGTTCAGGGCAGGTGTTGTTGTTGTTGTTGTTGTTGGGGCAGATGTTGTTGTTGTTGTTGGGGCAGGTGTTGTTGTTGTTGTTGTTGGGGCAGGTGTTGTTGTTGTTGTTGTTGGGGCAGGTGTTGTTGTTGTTGTTGGGGCAGGTGTTGTTGTTGTTGTTGTTGTTGTCGGGGCAGGTGTTGTTGTTGTTGTTGTTGGGGCAGGTGTTGTTGTTGTTGTTGTTGGGGCAGGTGTTGTTGTTGTTGGGGCAGGTGTTGTTGTTGTTGTTGGGGCAGGTGTTGTTGTTGTTGTTGTTGGGGCAGGTGTTGTTGTTGTTGTTGTTGGGGCAGGTGTTGTTGTTGTTGTTGTTGGGGCAGGTGTTGTTGTTGTTGTTGTTGGGGCAGGTGTTGTTGTTGTTGGGGCAGGTGTTGTTGTTGTTGTTGTCGGGGCAGGTGTTGTTGTTGTTGTTGTTGGGGAAGGTGTTGTTGTTGTTGTTGGGGCAGGTGTTGTTGTTGTTGTTGTCGGGGCAGGTGTTGTTGTTGTTGTTGTCGGGGCAGGTGTTGTTGTTGTTGTTGTTGTTGGGGCAGGTGTTGTTGTTGTTGTTGTTGGGGCAGGTGTTGTTGTTGTTGTTGTTGGGGAAGGTGTTGTTGTTGTTGTCGGGGCAGGTGTTGTTGTTGTTGTTGTTGTTGGGGCAGGTGTTGTTGTTGTTGTTGGGGAAGGTGTTGTTGTTGTTGTTGGGGCAGGTGTTGTTGTTGTTGTTGTTGGGGCAGTTGTTGTTGTTGTTGTTGTTGTTGTTGGGGCAGGTGTTGTTGTTGTTGTTGTTGGGGAAGGTGTTGTTGTTGTTGTCGGGGCAGGTGTTGTTGTTGTTGTTGTTGTTGGGGCAGGTGTTGTTGTTGTTGTTGTTGGGGAAGGTGTTGTTGTTGTTGTTGGGGCAGGTGTTGTTGTTGTTGTTGTTGGGGCAGGTGTTGTTGTTGTTGTTGTTGTTGGGGCAGGTGTTGTTGTTGTTGTTGTTGGGGCAGGTGTTGTTGTTGTTGTTGTGGCAGGTGTTGTTGTTGTTGTTGTTGGGGCAGGTGTTGTTGTTGGGGCAGGTGTTGTTGTTGTTGTTGGGGCAGGTGTTGTTGTTGGGGCAGGTGTTGTTGTTGTTGTTGTTGGGGCAGGTGTTGTTGTTGTTGTTGGGGCAGGTGTTGTTGTTGTTGTTGTCAGGGCAGGTGTTGTTGTTGTTGTTGTTGGGGCAGATGTTGTTGTTGTTGTTGTTGTTGGGGCAGGTGTTGTTGTTGTTGTTGTTGTCGGGGCAGGTGTTGTTGTTGTTGTTGTCGGGGCAGGTGTTGTTGTTGTTGTTGTTGGGGCAGGTGTTGTTGTTGTTGTTGTTGTTGGGAAAAGGTGTTGTTGTTGTTGGGGCAGGTGTTGTTGTTGTTGTTGTTGTTGGGGCAGGTGTTGTTGTTGTTGGGGAAGGTGTTGTTGTTGTTGTTGGGGAAGGTGTTGTTGTTGTTGTCGGGGCAGGTGTTGTTGTTGTTGTTGTTGTTGTTGGGGCAGGTGTTGTTGTTGTTGTTGTTGTTGGGGCAGGTGTTGTTGTTGTTGTTGTTGTTGGGGAAGGTGTTGTTGTTGTTGGGGCAGGTGTTGTTGTTGTTGTTGTTGGGGCAGGTGTTGTTGTTGTTGTTGTTGGGGCAGGTGTTGTTGTTGTTGTTGTTGGGGCAGGTGTTGTTGTTGTTGTTGTTGTTGTTGTCAGGGCAGGTGTTGTTGTTGTTGTTGTTGGGGCAGATGTTGTTGTTGTTGTTGTTGTTGTTGGGGCAGGTGTTGTTGTTGTTGTCGGGGCAGGTGTTGTTGTTGTTGTTGGGGCAGGTGTTGTTGTTGTTGTTGTTGTTGGGGCAGGTGTTGTTGTTGTTGTTGGGGCAGGTGTTGTTGTTGTTGTTGTGGCAGGTGTTGTTGTTGTTGTTGTTGTTGGGGCAGGTGTTGTTGTTGGGGCAGGTGTTGTTGTTGTTGTTGGGGCAGGTGTTGTTGTTGGGGCAGGTGTTGTTGTTGTTGTTGTTGGGGCAGGTGTTGTTGTTGTTGTTGGGGCAGGTGTTGTTGTTGTTGTTGTTGGGGCAGGTGTTGTTGTTGTTGTTGTTGGGGCAGATGTTGTTGTTGTTGTTGTTGTTGGGGGTGTTGTTGTTGTTGTTGTTGTCGGGGCAGGTGTTGTTGTTGTTGTTGTCGGGGCAGGTGTTGTTGTTGTTGTTGTTGGGGCAGGTGTTGTTGTTGTTGTTGTTGTTGGGAAAGGTGTTGTTGTTGTTGGGGCAGGTGTTGTTGTTGTTGTTGTTGTTGGGGCAGGTGTTGTTGTTGTTGGGGAAGGTGTTGTTGTTGTTGTTGGGGAAGGTGTTGTTGTTGTTGTCGGGGCAGGTGTTGTTGTTGTTGTTGTTGTTGGGGCAGGTGTTGTTGTTGTTGTTGTTGGGGCAGGTGTTGTTGTTGTTGTTGGGGCAGGTGTTGTTGTTGTTGTTGTTGGGGCAGGTGTTGTTGTTGTTGTTGGGGCAGGTGTTGTTGTTGTTGTCGGGGCAGGTGTTGTTGTTGTTGTTGTTGGGGCAGGTGTTGTTGTTGTTGTTGTTGGGGCAGGTGTTGTTGTTGTTGTTGTTGGGGCAGGTGTTGTTGTTGTTGTTGTCGGGGCAGGTGTTGTTGTTGTTGTTGTCGGGGCAGGTGTTGTTGTTGTTGTTGTTGGGGCAGGTGTTGTTGTTGTTGTTGGGGCAGGTGTTGTTGTTGTTGTTGTTGTTGTCGGGGCAGGTGTTGTTGTTGTTGTTGTTGGGGCAGGTGTTGTTGTTGTTGTTGTTGGGGCAGGTGTTGTTGTTGTTTTTGGGGCAGGTGTTGTTGTTGTTGTTGGGGAAGGTGTTGTTGTTGTTGTTGGGGCAGGTGTTGTTGTTGTTGTTGTTGGGGCAGGTGTTGTTGTTGTTGTTGGGGCAGGTGTTGTTGTTGTTGTTGTCAGGGCAGGTGTTGTTGTTGTTGGGGCAGATGTTGTTGTTGTTGTTGTTGGGGCAGGTGTTGTTGTTGTTGTTGTTGTCAGGTGTTGTTGTTGTTGTTGTCGGGGCAGGTGTTGTTGTTGTTGTTGTTGGGGCAGGTGTTGTTGTTGGGGCAGGTGTTGTTGTTGTTGTTGTTGGGGCAGGTGTTGTTGTTGTTGTTGTTGTTGGGGCAGGTGTTTTTGTTGTTGTTGTTGGGGCAGGTGTTGTTGTTGTTGTTGGGGAAGGTGTTGTTGTTGTTGTTGGGGAAGGTGTTGTTGTTGTTGTTGTCAGGGCAGGTGTTGTTGTTGTTGTTGTTGGGGCAGATGTTGTTGTTGTTGTTGGGGCAGGTGTTGTTGTTGTTGTTGTCAGGGCAGGTGTTGTTGTTGTTGTTGTTGGGGCAGGTGTTGTTGTTGTTGTTGTCAGGGCAGGTGTTGTTGTTGTTGTTGTTGGGGCAGATGTTGTTGTTGTTGTTGTTGTTGTTGGGGCAGGTGTTGTTGTTGTCGGGGCAGGTGTTGTTGTTTTTGTTGTTGTTGGGGCAGGTGTTGTTGTTGTTGTTGTTGTTGTTGGGGAAGGTGTTGTTGTTGTTGTTGTTGTTCGGGCAGGTGTTGTTGTTGTTGTTGTTGGGGAAGGTGTTGTTGTTGTTGTTGGAGCAGGTGTTGTTGTTGTTGTTGTCAGGGCAGGTGTTGTTGTTGTTGTTGTTGTTGGGGCAGATGTTGTTGTTGTTGTTGTTGTTGTTGGGGCAGGTGTTGTTGTTGTTGTTGTCGGGGCAGGTGTTGTTGTTGTTGTTGTTGTTGGGGAAGGTGTTGTTGTTGTTGTTGGGGCAGGTGTTGTTGTTGTTGTTGTTGTTGTCGGGGCAGGTGTTGTTGTTGTTGTTGTTGGGGCAGTTTGTTGTTGTTGTTGTTGTTGTTGGGGCAGGTGTTGTTGTTGTTGTTGTTGGGGCAGGTGTTGTTGTTGTTGGGGCAGGTGTTGTTGTTGTTGTTGGGGCAGGTGTTGTTGTTGTTGTTGTCGGTGCAGGTGTTGTTGTTGTTGTTGTTGTTGTTGGGGCAGGTGTTGTTGTTGTTGTTGTTGGGGCAGGTGTTGTTGTTGTTGTTGTTGGGGCAGGTGTTGTTGTTGTTGTTGTTGGGGAAGGTGTTGTTGTTGTTGTTGGGGCAGGTGTTGTTGTTGTTGTTGTTGGGGCAGGTGTTGTTGTTGTTGTTGGGGCAGGTGTTGTTGTTGTTGTTGTCGGGGCAGGTGTTGTTGTTGTTGTTGTAGGGGCAGGTGTTGTTGTTGTTGTTGTTGGGGCAGGTGTTGTTGTTGTTGTTGTTGGGGAAGGTGTTGTTGTTGTTGTTGTCGGGGCAGGTGTTGTTGTTGTTGTTGTTGTTGGGGCAGGTGTTGTTGTTGTTGTTGTTGGGGAAGGTGTTGTTGTTGTTGTTGGGGCAGGTGTTGTTGTTGTTGTTGTTGGGGCAGGTGTTGTTGTTGTTGTTGTTGTTGTTGGGGCAGGTGTTGTTGTTGTTGTTGTTGGGGAAGGTGTTGTTGTTGTTGTCGGGGCAGGTGTTGTTGTTGTTGTTGTTGTTGGGGCAGGTGTTGTTGTTGTTGTTGTTGTTGGGGAAGGTGTTGTTGTTGTTGTTGGGGCAGGTGTTGTTGTTGTTGTTGTTGGGGCAGGTGTTGTTGTTGTTGGGGCAGGTGTTGTTGTTGTTGTTGTTGTGGCAGGTGTTGTTGTTGTTGTTGTGGCAGGTGTTGTTGTTGTTGTTGTTGTTGGGGAAGGTGTTGTTGTTGGGGCAGGTGTTGTTGTTGTTGTTGGGGCAGGTGTTGTTGTTGTTGTTGTTGGGGCAGGTGTTGTTGTTGTTGTTGTTGTTGGGGCAGGTGTTGTTGTTGTTGTTGTTGGGGCAGTTGTTGTTGTTGTTGTTGTTGGGGCAGGTGTTGTTGTTGTTGTTGTCAGGGCAGGTGTTGTTGTTGTTGTTGTTGGGGCAGATGTTGTTGTTGTTGTTGGGGCAGGTGTTGTTGTTGTTGTTGTTGTTGTCGGGGCAGGTGTTGTTGTTGTTGTTGTTGTCGGGGCAGGTGTTGTTGTTGTTGGGGCAGGTGTTGTTGTTGTTGTTGTTGTTGGGAAAGGTGTTGTTGTTGTTGGGGCAGGTGTTGTTGTTGTTGTTGTTGTTGGGGCAGGTGTTGTTGTTGTTGGGGAAGGTGTTGTTGTTGTTGTTGGGGAAGGTGTTGTTGTTGTTGTCGGGGCAGGTGTTGTTGTTGTTGTTGTTGTTGGGGCAGGTGTTGTTGTTGTTGTTGTTGGGGCAGGTGTTGTTGTTGTTGTTGGGGCAGGTGTTGTTGTTGTTGTTGTCAGGGCAGGTGTTGTTGTTGTTGTTGTTGGGGCAGGTGTTGTTGTTGTTGTTGTCAGGGCAGGTGTTGTTGTTGTTGTTGTTGGGGCAGATGTTGTTGTTGTTGTTGTTGGGGCAGGTGTTGTTGTTGTTGTCGGGGCAGGTGTTGTTGTTGTTGTTGGGGCAGGTGTTGTTGTTTTTGTTGTTGGGGAAGGTGTTGTTGTTGTTGTTGGGGCAGGTGTTGTTGTTGTTGTTGTTGTTGTCGGGGCAGGTGTTGTTGTTGTTGTTGTTGGGGCAGGTGTTGTTGTTGTTGTTGTTGGGGCAGGTGTTGTTGTTGTTTTTGGGGCAGGTGTTGTTGTTGTTGTTGGGGCAGGTGTTGTTGTTGTTGTTGGGGCAGGTGTTGTTGTTGTTGTTGTCGGGGCAGGTGTTGTTGTTGTTGTTGTCGGGGCAGGTGTTGTGGTTGTTGTTGTTGTTGAGGCAGGTGTTGTTGTTGTTGTTGTTGGGGAAGGTGTTGTTGTTGTTGGGGCAGGTGTTGTTGTTGTTGTTGTTAAGGCAGGTGTTGTTGTTGTTGTTGTTGGGGCAGGTGTTGTTGTTGTCAGGGCAGGTGTTGTTGTTGGGGCAGATGTTGTTGTTGTTGTTGTTGGGGAAGGTGTTGTTGTTGTTGTTGTCGGGGCAGGTGTTGTTGTTGTTGTTGTCGGGGCAGGTGTTGTTGTTGTTGTTGTTGTTGTTGGGGCAGGTGTTGTTGTTGTTGTTGGGGAAGGTGTTGTTGTTGTTGTTGGGGCAGGTGTTGTTGTTGTTGTTGTTGGGGCAGGTGTTGTTGTTGTTGTTGGGGCAGGTGTTGTTGTTGTTGTTGTCAGGGCAGGTGTTGTTGTTGTTGTTGTTGGGGCAGATGTTGTTGTTGTTGTTGGGGCAGGTGTTGTTGTTGTTGTTGCTGTCGGGGAAGGTGTTGTTGTTGTTGTTGTCGGGGCAGGTGTTGTTGTTGTTGTTGTTGGGGCAGGTGTTGTTGTTGGGGCAGGTGTTGTTGTTGTTGTTGTTGGGGCAGGTGTTGTTGTTGTTGTTGTTGTTGGTGTTGTTGTTGTTGTTGTTGTTGTTGGGGCAGGTGTTGTTGTTGTTGTTGGGGCAGGTGTTGTTGTTGTTGTTGGGGAAGGTGTTGTTGTTGTTGTTGGGGCAGGTGTTGTTGTTGTTGTTGTTGGGGCAGGTGTTGTTGTTGTTGTTGTTGTTGTTGGGGCAGGTGTTGTTGTTGTTGTTGTTGGGGCAGGTGTTGTTGTTGTTGTTGTTGGGGCAGGTGTTGTTGTTGTTGTTGGGGCAGGTGTTGTTGTTGTTGTTGTTGGGGCAGATGTTGTTGTTGTTGTTGTTGTTGTTGTTGTTGGGGCAGGTGTTGTTGTTGTCGGGGCAGGTGTTGTTGTTGTTGTTGTTGTTGGGGCAGGTGTTGTTGTTGTTGTTGTTGGGGAAGGTGTTGTTGTTGTTGTTGTTCGGGCAGGTGTTGTTGTTGTTGTTGTTGGGGAAGGTGTTGTTGTTGTTGTTGGGGCAGGTGTTGTTGTTGTTGTTGTTGGGGCAGGTGTTGTTGTTGTTGTTGTTGGGGCAGGTGTTGTTGTTGTTGTTGTCGGGGCAGGTGTTGTTGTTGTTGTTGTCGGGGAAGGTGTTGTTGTTGTTGTTGGGGCAGGTGTTGTTGTTGTTGGGGAAGGTGTTGTTGTTGGGGCAGGTGTTGTTGTTGGGGCAGGTGTTGTTGTTGTTGTTGGGGCAGGTGTTGTTGTTGTTGTTGGGGCAGGTGTTGTTGTTGTTGTTGGGGAAGGTGTTGTTGTTGTTGTTGTTGTTGTTGGGGCAGGTGTTGTTGTTGTTGTTGTCAGGGCAGGTGTTGTTGTTGTTTTTGGGGCAGATGTTGTTGGTGTTGTTGTTGTTGTTGTTGGGGCAGGTGTTGTTGTTGTCGGGGCAGGTGTTGTTGTTGTTGTTGTTGTTGGGGCAGGTGTTGTTGTTGTTGTTGTTGTTGTTGGGGAAGGTGTTGTTGTTGTTGTTGGGGCAGGTGTTGTTGTTGTTGTTGTTGGGGCAGGTGTTGTTGTTGTTGTTGTTGTTGGGGCAGGTGTTGTTGTTGTTGTTGTTGGGGCAGGTGTTGTTGTTGTTGTTGGGGCAGGTTTTGTTGTTGTTGTTGTTGGGGCAGGTGTTGTTGTTGTTTTTGGGGCAGGTGTTGTTGTTGTTGGGGCAGGTGTTGTTGTTGGGGCAGGTGTTGTTGTTGTTGTTGGGGCAGATGTTGTTGTTGTTGTTGTTGGGGCAGGTGTTGTTGTTGTTGTTGGGGCAGGTGTTGTTGTTGTTGGGGCAGGTGTTGTTGTTGTTGTTGGGGCAGGTGTTGTTGTTGTTGTTGTTGTTGGGTCAGGTGTTGTTGTTGTTGTTGTTGTTGTTGGGGAAGGTGTTGTTGTTGTTGTGGCAGGTGTTGTTGTTGTTGGGGCAGGTGTTGTTGTTGTTGTTGGGGAAGGTGATGTTGTTGTTGTTGTGGCAGGTGTTGTTTTTGTTGTTGTTGGGGCAGGTGTTGTTGTTGTTCTTGTTGGGGCAGGTGTTGTTGTTGTTGTTGGGGCAGGTGTTGTTGTTGTTGTTGGGGCAGGTGTTGTTGTTGTTGGGGCAGGTGTTGTTGTTGTTGTGGCAGGTGTTGTTGTTGTTTTTGGGGCAGATGTTGTTGTTGTTGTTGTTGTTGTTGTTGGGGCAGGTGTTGTTGTTGTTGTTGGGGCAGGTGTTGTTGTTGTTGTTGGGGCAGGTGTTGTTGTTGTTGTTGTTGTTGTTGGGGCAGGTGTTGTTGTTGTTGTTGGGGCAGGTGTTGTTGTTGTTGTTGTTGGGGCAGGTGTTGTTGTTGTTGTTGTTGTTGGGGCAGGTGTTGTTGTTGTTGTTGTTGGGGCAGGTGTTGTTGTTGTTGTTGGGGCAGGTGTTGTTGTTGTTGTTGGGGCAGGTGTTGTTGTTGTTGTTGGGGCAGGTGTTGTTGTTGTTGGGGCAGGTGTTGTTGTTGGGGCAGGTGTTGTTGTTGTTGTTGGGGCAGGTGTTGTTGTTGTTGTTGTTGGGGCAGGTGTTGTTGTTGTTGTTGGGGCAGGTGTTGTTGTTGTTGTTGTTGTTGTTGGGGCAGGTGTTGTTGTTGTTGTTGGGGAAGGTGTTGTTGTTGTTGTTGTTGTTGGGTCAGGTGTTGTTGTTGTTGTTGTTGGGGCAGGTGTTGTTGTTGTTGTTGTTGGGGCAGGTGTTGTTGTTGTTGTTGGGGCAGGTGTTGTTGTTGTTGTTGTTGGGGAAGGTGATGTTGTTGTTGTTGTGGCAGGTGTTGTTGTTGTTGTTGTTGGGGCAGGTGTTGTTGTTGTTGTTGTTGGGGCAGGTGTTGTTGTTGTTGGGGCAGGTGTTGTTGTTGTTGTTGGGGCAGGTGTTGTTGTTGTTGGGGCAGGTGTTGTTGTTGTTGTGGCAGGTGTTGTTGTTGTTTGGGCAGGTGTTGTTGTTGTTGTCGGGGCAGGTGTTGTTGTTGTTGTTGTTGTTGGGGCAGGTGTTGTTGTTGTTGTTGTTGGGGCAGGTGTTGTTGTTGTTGTTGTTGTTGTTGGGGCAGGTGTTGTTGTTGTTGTTGTTGGGGCAGGTGTTGTTGTTGTTGTTGGGGCAGGTGTTGTTGTTGTGGCAGGTGTTGTTGTTGTTAGGGCAGGTGTTGTTGTTGTTGTTTTTGGGGCAGGTGTTGTTGTTGTTGTTGGGGCAGGTGTTGTTGTTGTTGTTGGGGCAGGTGTTGTTGTTGTTGTTGTTGGGGCAGGTGTTGTTGTTGTTGTTGGGGCAGGTGTTGTTGTTGTTGTTGGGGCAGGTGTTGTTGTTGTTGTTGTTGTTGGGGCAGGTGTTGTTGTTGTTGTTGTTGTTGTTGTTGTTGGGGCAGGTGTTGTTGTTGTTGTTGTTGTTGTGGCAGGTGTTGTTGTTGGGGCAGGTGTTGTTGTTGTTGTTGTTGTTGTTGGGGCAGGTGTTGTTGTTGTTGTTGTTGGGGCAGGTGTTGTTGTTGTTGTTGTTGGGGCAGGTGTTGTTGTTGTTGTTGGGGCAGGTGTTGTTGTTGTCGGGGCAGGTGTTGTTGTTGGGGCAGGTGTTGTTGTTGTTGTTGTGGCAGGTGTTGTTGTTGGGGCAGGTGTTGTTGTTGTTGTTGTTGTTGGGGCAGGTGTTGTTGTTGTTGTTGTTGGGGCAGGTGTTGTTGTTGTTTTTGGGGCAGGTATTGTTGTTGTTGGGGCAGGTGTTGTTGTTGGGGCAGGTGTTGTTGTTGTTGTTGGGGAAGGTGTTGTTGTTGTTGTTGTTGGGGCAGGTGTTGTTGTTGTTGTTGGGGCAGGTGTTGTTGTTGTTGTTGTTGTTGTTGGGGCAGGTGTTGTTGTTGTTGGGGAAGGTGTTGTTGTTGTTGTTGTTGGGTCAGGTGTTGTTGTTGTTGTTGTTGGGGCAGGTGTTGTTGTTGTTGTTGTGGCACGTGTTGTTGTTGTTGGGGCAGGTGTTGTTGTTGTTGTTGGGGAAGGTGATGTTGTTGTTGTTGTGGCAGGTGTTGTTTTTGTTGTTGTTGGGGCAGGTGTTGTTGTTGTTCTTGTTGGGGCAGGTGTTGTTGTTGTTGTTGGGGCAGGTGTTGTTGTTGTTGTTGGGGCAGGTGTTGTTGTTGTTGGGGCAGGTGTTGTTGTTGTTGTTGGGGTGTTGTTGTTGTTGTTGTTGTTGTTGTTGTTGGGGCAGGTGTTGTTGTTGTTGTTGTTGTTGGGGCAGGTGTTGTTGTTGTTGTTGTTGGGGCAGGTGTTGTTGTTGTTGTTGTTGGGGCAGGTGTTGTTGTTGTTGTTGTTGGGGCAGGTGTTGTTGTTGTTGTTGGGGCAGGTGTTGTTGTTGTTGTGGCAGGTGTTGTTGTTGTTAGGGCAGGTGTTGTTGTTGTTGTTTTTGGGGCAGGTGTTGTTGTTGTTGTTGGGGCAGATGTTGTTGTTGTTGTTGGGGCAGGTGTTGTTGTTGTTGTTGTTGGGGCAGGTGTTGTTGTTGTTGTTGGGGCAGGTGTTGTTGTTGTTGTTGGGGCAGGTGTTGTTGTTGTTGTTGGGTCAGGTGTTGTTGTTGTTGTTGGGGCAGGTGTTGTTGTTGTTGTTGTGGCAGGTGTTGTTGTTGGGGCAGGTGTTGTTGTTGTTGTTGTTGTTGGGGAAGGTGTTGTTGTTGTTGTTGTTTGGGCAGGTGTTGTTGTTGTTGTTGTTGGGGCAGGTGTTGTTGTTGTCGGGGCAGGTGTTGTTGTTGGGGCAGGTGTTGTTGTTGTTGTTGTGGCAGGTGTTGTTGTTGGGGCAGGTGTTGTTGTTGTTGTTGTTGGGGAAGGTGTTGTTGTTGTTGTTGTAGCAGGTGTTGTTGTTGTTGTTGGGGCAGGTGTTGTTGTTGTTGTTGGGGCAGGGTTGTTGTTGTTGTTGTTGGGGCAGGTGTTTTTGTTGTTGTTGGGGCAGGTGTTGTTGTTGTTGTCGGGGCAGGTGTTGTTGTTGTTGTTGTTGGGGCAGGTGTTGTTGTTGTGGCAGGTGTTGTTGTTGTTGTTGTTGTTGTTGTTGGTGCAGGTGTTGTTGTTGTTGTTGGGGCAGGTGTTGTTGTTGTTGGGGAAGGTGTTGTTGTTGTTGTTGGGGCAGGTGTTGTTGTTGTTGTTTTTGGGGCAGGTGTTGTTGTTGTTGTTGTGGCAGGTGTTGTTGTTGTTGTTGGGGAAGGTGTTGCTGTTGTTGTTGGGGCTGGTTTTGTTGTTGTTGTTGTTGGGGAAGGTGTTGTTGTTGTTGTTGTTGTTGGGGCAGGTTTTGTTGTTGTTGTTGTGGCAGGTGTTGTTGTTGTTGTTGGGGAAGGTGTTGTTGTTGTTGTTGTTGGGGAAGGTGTTGCTGTTGTTGTTGGGGCTGGTTTTGTTGTTGTTGTTGTTGGGGAAGGTGTTGTTGTTGTTGTTGTTGGGGCAGGTTTTGTTGTTGTTGCGCTAGCTGTTGTTTTTGTTGTTGTTGTTGGGGCAGGTTTTGTTGTTGTTGTTGTTGGGGAAGGTGTTGTTGTTGTTGTTGTTGTTGGGGAAGGTGTTGTTGTTGTTGTTGTTGGGGAAGGTGTTGCTGTTGTTGTTGGGGCTGGTTTTGTTGTTGTTGTTGTTGGGGAAGGTGTTGTTGTTGTTGTTGTTGGGGCAGGTTTTGTTGTTGTTGCGCTAGCTGTTGTTTTTGTTGTTGTTGTTGGGGCAGGTTTTGTTGTTGTTGTTGTTGGGGAAGGTGTTGTTGTTGTTGTTGTTGTTGGGGAAGGTGTTGTTGTTGTTGGGGAAGCTGTTGTTGTTGTTTTTGTTGTTGGGGCAGGTGTTGTTGTTGTTGGGGCAGGTGTTGTTGTTGTAGTTGTTCCTGTTATAACTGCCAGAATTTTGGGCGACAAAAACATTTCAGTTTTTTTATCCATTGTCATTTTACATATAAAATTTTTTCGCATTGTTTTAATGGCCATAAAATTTTTAATATTTGTTTCCTTTATTATTTAAAGCATTTTGTTTACTTTGTAATCAGGGTGGTATTACAAACCAAACTGATGCCCTATATCATTTCTTTTGATTATTTAGTCATTGGTTTAAGAGTTTTACTTTTTCTGTATGTTGAACAGTTATTCATTGAAATAGCTGTTATTAATATCTTACTTTAAATGACTTTCCAACGTTTGCTTTTTTTGAATATTTAAAAAGGAGCTAGCTTACCAGTAAGAATTAGGAAAAGTGATGTGGCCACCCCTCCTATGGCCATTTTGTCTTCTTTTAGGTCCGTCAAAAAGAAAGTCTGCAAACAATCAAATGGTTGGTGTTGTGCTTTTCCACACTTACAACAAAAACTGCAAAGTTACAATGTTTGGTGTCCATACTAAATGTATGCAAAATTTCAAATCACAAGGTGAATGTTATCAAAAGGATGTAGACTGCTCAATATAGGAGCCTGAGCTGATGACGTGAGACTCACTAAAATGTCTACATAGATATTATAGGCTCTCCTTATTAGTTCATCTGTGTCTCTGGCAAAGCCCAATGGCTTGCCCCCAACAGCGTGTGAAGTGACACTCACAGCGGAGCAGGGGAAAGCTGCTCTTCTGTTCTATGCCAAAGTGACAAACACAGGGCTTTAAAAAAAAACTAAATATCAAGCTATTAAAGAGGTATCAGAAAGAAAATATAGAAAAAAAAAAAAGAATAATTCCCCATCGTAAAAAACTAAATCACAAAGGCACTGTGGAAAATTATTTGTTGGCTCCATAGACTGTATATACTATGGACAATCTGAGGCCTGTACTATGAAGCTGGATTAACACATCCAGGGTAACTCTGCGACAACTCGCTCAACTTCACCGGATCTCCGCGATCCCGATCAGCTGTATTACGAAGCCGGTGATCAACTCGATAACTGAATCCAGGTGTGGCCACTTCAGATCTGTGCGCGCACACGTAAAGGGGGTGGGGTTAGTTCCACTGGACCAATCTCCACAGTGGAGAAGGCTGCACGTCTTTTTTCACAGCCGAAGAACAGAGCATTATTTTACGAGGAGTACAGCAACATTATAACAGTGAGGAGCAGGACAGCTGCTAAAAGCTGGTGGGACTTCTGGCAAAAAAAAAAATCATCAATTGTGTAAATTACATTTGTGCATTCATATATTTATGGCCCCCTAATATGTTGTCATGCAGCGTGTGTGATCACCTCCATCAATGACCTCATTATTTCAGATACAACAGCAGTGGGGAAAAGAGTACGTGGGAGCAAATAAAAATAAATCTAAAAACATCCTTTAAAGTAGTTTAGTAGTAAGTTTATTGGAAGATTTTATTTGTACATATTTCAACGCGTAAACAGTGATTTCCTCACACTGCCTTCTTTTTTTTTTCTTAATCATCTGATGGTCACATGTCATCTGCAGACACATTTGGGGTTAAGAGGAGTTTTCCAATCTGCTTCAATAAATTCTGAATGATGACTGATATGCTGCATGAAATTGGAACCTGGAGCTTGGCAAATATTAGTGCATTGCTTAGACTTCATGCTACATTGAGGCCGTCCGAGGAAAACCTGTAACGTTCATAGAGAACGTCATCAGGTAAATCAAACGGATTTGAACAATCATGAATATAACGCAAAGCGCTCCTCTCATTATCCGTGCAACGATGTCCCCGGAATCCGGCAAAAGTGGGCAAGCCATTTTCCAAGAGATCTGATTGGTCAGTGGGCGGTCTTTTATACCTGCTGAGATCTTATCCTAAAACATAACCTGCTCTGGAGCAGGTTTGGCGTTCCGCGCAAGTTACCGGGGTGTATGGAAAACCCAGAAGTTATCCAAAAGTTATCTTGCTAAGACCAAATCCAGCTTTGTAGTACAGGCCTCTGGTTCCGCCTACCGCCTGTATACGGATCTGAAGCCAAAAAGCTCTCGGTATTTCCGGGATTTTTCTTCATTTCCTGAAACCAGTGCTGTGCAGTTGCGTTGTGCGCATTCAGCCGCGCAGTCGCAGAGAGTCACTGTGATGACACTCGGCTCAAACAGCGTATCCCCCGGGAGAGCTACTCAATCCCTGAACGCCCATAGGCTGTATTAGGTGTCAATCATAGAAAACAGGAACCCCCTAATAACTTTTAAAAACGGAGCTTCACAGAAAAATAGGACTTGAGAACAAACCAGTCTTACAATAACTACATGTCAACATCCTAAGCTCCATAAGCTTTGCTGGTGAAGGCGGGATTTATGACCTATATTGCAGCCCGTCAACAGAGGGTGTCCATTCTATATACAGTCTATGGTTGGCTCTAACTCAGTAAAGTCATTTTTTCACAATGTCTATAGAATACAAGTCAGAATGAATTAATTCAAAATTTGTTGATTTTATTTACCAATTGTTTTAATTATTTGGTTGGGAATCAATTGATGCTTGTTTCAGCCATGTGTTTTTCCAGGTACTGTTTCAATTAAAAAAATATATGATTGCAACAATGTTTTGCATACACACTTTTCGATTTTCGAATGACTGAATTTATCAAACCTATTAAGTATGATAAAGCATCAGGAAACATGTTTCCCTCCTGGGGCGTCTTCCTGGTTTTAACCCTTTCATACTTTTCAAGAAAGTGAAATATGAAAACATTCAGTATGGAAAGGCTTCATGAGAGAATCAACGTACGGGAATTTCAAACTTTTGATGAACTGAATAATTTGAACATGATCTGTCAAATATACTTTAAAATATATTTTTAAGACTGTCCTTACAGATTTAGAAGAGTAAGCTTTTGAGGAGAATGGCTGGTCTGTATATCTTAGAGAGGTATAAATCATTTATCCTCACAGGTCTTACTTTAGGTTCCAATAGCCAAAGCAACACAAACACAAGAAGATTCTTTGTCAGGCTGCAAGAATCTAAAGTTTTTCTTCACTTTCTTAGGACAACATTAACCTTTTGGACACCTGTTTTTGCAAATATTTTCATCCTCTATTCTGTCCTCACTTACAGCTTGAAAAAAGGAAGGCACAATCCAGGACACGTTCTGAAAGAAATTGTGGAATCATCTGCATTTGCAGTTGATCAATAAAATAACATTTTCAATATCAATGTAATTCATTGATAGATTGCTGGGAACTTTATGGGGCCCAGTCTTGACACATGGTCAACAATATCTACTTGTGTGGAGACAGTTTGAATGCAGGAAGACTAAAAAGTCCTGTCTCATTTCCCTTTTGGTCATGAGCCACATAGATTTTGACTGTCTTTGTGCAGCAGGTAGTGGAGATGCTGACAGCTGAGAGTAAGACAGAAGCACAAAATGCAGACAGAAGCACAAAAGGGCTGCGAAACTTTGTGTAAATAAATGTGTGTTTGGAATGAGAGCAGATTACCGGGGCAAGTGATGCACAGTTCAAAATACAAGCAGCGGGTTTGGTTTAGGAAGTTCACAAATACAACAATTAACCAGTATTTTGGGGCAAAGCACTTAATCCTATCAACATGGAACTACTACAAACTGCCCGGGATTAAATAGAGAAATGTTCCTTTTTAACAATTATTTATCTGTGATAAATAATGTGAAAGCACATTTCTCATAAATGTGTAACAGTTTTAAATAAAGACTTCAAAATTCACGTACCGTAAAAAGAAGATGAAAAAAAAAGGTTGAAAAGTTATCAACTCTCCCTCAGTGTCTGAGTTGTATGGTCTTGAATGCAAATTAAAAAGTTTTATCTTAATTCAGTCCAACTCCACTGTTTTGAAACCTTTCACCTTCTGTGACAGCCTTCACTTACAATGGCTTTATATATTGGTAAGAGATAAAGCCTGATTACGTGTTGCTTACGTGACCATTATTTCTGAATCATTGTGACACCTTTATTATTCTTTTAGTAAGGTATTGGGGTGTACTCCCTTCTTTTGTTCTGTGAAGCTGCTGGTACATTCCACTTATGTGAATGCTTAAACAAGTTCCACTGGTGTGACAGCAGGTTATGACGAACTAATTCAGAAAGAGCCTCAGTGAAGTGTTGATGGAGCTGGAAGACAGAAAATAAAAACAGTCAAGACTTTTTTTAGAGTGGGAGATTTAAACCTTTTTACTGTGAAGTTATTGTATAATTTCATAAATAGTGACATCCACCCATGCTTTTGGTGAGGATTTCAGCATATTATTGTATTGTAGAAAAAAGCCTTCCATACAGAATCATCCATGTAAAAGAATTACAGAGCAGTTCAACAAACAAAAAAAAATCAACATTTCTATCCAAAGTATGTTGCAAAGACCACTGCAAATAAAAGCAAAAAATATCATTAAACGACTTTTAAAAATACAAAGATTTTTTGGCTGCATTTTAGAGTTCATTATATAATGAAATGAACAAGCTATTAACTTAGTGAACATGTAAAAGGAAAAAAGTATAGAGTTCTAGGCAAAGTTTTGATTTGAGGCTCATTTAAGTTGTCAGTTAAATTAACAATTGCCTAATCCTAGTTATTGAGTATCTAAGCCATTGGTGCTAATAATAGCAACAGGGTTTAAGGCATGCCTGCTTGTGCCAAGTGAAACTCCATTAAGTAGCATCAGCCTCACAAAAGCATAGTCACTCTTGCATTAGCTCTCGGCCAGGGACAAAAACTTTTCCAGATTAAAAAACCTTGTTTGAGAATCTTGTAAGCAAAATAAAAGACATTTGTCTGCAAGCAAGGATGTGGGACAGAGTATGCTGATGCCACTCAGATCCATATAATTTCCAAATATTCATCATCCTTCAACACCATAAAAGAAGAATTTTTATAGTGCAAAATTATTCAACAGGAACTGAATCCATTCTGTTCCTGTGGTATGCTTTTTTAATGTCCAGTAGAGTCCAGCTTATTAAGATGAATAAAACTCTATCAACCATCGCAACTTATGTTGGGGCTCCTCAGGGTTGTGTGAGTTCAGCTGTGCTTTTTAGTCTTTATATGTGTGACTGTCATTTGCTGGCGGAGGCGGGATTTATGACCTATACTGCAGCCCATCAACAGAGGGTGCTGTTCTTAGAGTGGCTTCACCCAGAGAGGAGGCAGACTCTATCCATTCTTTATACAGTCTGTGGTTAAGATTTATTCTTTTTGCATCACGCCCACTGGGAGGGGCTTATTGTTTAAAAGACAGCCATTTTGACCATGTGAGTGTGGAGAATTGATACATGGCAGATGCTGGAGAGTTATTGTATCATTAATGGAGAGTGTGTGCGCAAACTGATCAACAATTTAAGAATAACGTGGCACTGAAAATATGTCTGTTTGCTTCTCTTCTGTTTCACCTAAATTGGATCCCAAAAAACAGACAGTGGAGGCAGAGATCCGGCTGGTTGAGTTATTAGGGGGGTTCATGTTTTCTATGATTGACACCTGATACAGCCTATGGGCGTTCAGGGATTGCATAGCTCTCCCAAGGGATACGCTGTTTGAGCTGAGTGTCATCACAGCGACTCTCGGCGACTGCGCGGCCGAATGCGTGCATCGCTACTGCGCAGCACTGGTTTCAGGAAATGAAGAAAATTACCGAGAGCTTTTTGGCTTCAAATCAGTATACAGGCAGAAGGCGGAACCAAGTTGTCCATAATATAGACAGTCTATGATCTGAACACTATCAGGGTTTCCTTTCTATAGATACACCTAACATTGCTTTAAAAACTGATCACAGATGGCAAAATACCTCTTTTACATTTTCCCCAATTTTAATGTGTCAATTCAGTCTCCTTCACTGAAAAAAAAAACATGAGGTCAGGTTCCCCTTTTTCCCGCCAAGTGCCCTTTAAAATCGGAAAGTAGATGCACCCCTGTTTGGCTGTAGTGATGGGGACGGCAGTTCTTTTAGATGTACTGAATCATTAGAATCAGTTCACTAAAAAGATTTGTTCAAAAGATTCGTTGACCAAATCACCAAACCATTTGAAGGAGAGGCCTGTGACTCCGACCTCCTGAACTGATACACAGCTGAATGTTTCAGGATTCAGTTCAGTTCATAGCTTCTGGGACCGGGAGATGAGAGTGTCTGGCTGTGTTGCTTTGGCAAATAGGTTTGTAAAAATGAACTTGTTCATAAGTCATGATGTTTTAAGTGTACTGTCCTATGGTATGCTACTTACCAGGTCTGCTCGGTAAATTGGGGTCAGTGAGTGATTCGTTCACTGAACGTTGAGAAGAATTCACACTGAACATGCACCGATCCCTCGCAAACGCTGCAATGATAGGATGCTGCGGGTTTAATGCACTACTTGTTACATGCTGTGTCCTAATGTATGAAAGTTTTTGTGTTGGCAATTTAGCAGTGGAAGAAAGGTAGTTTTGTTAGACAAAAATGATTCCAAAGAGTGTAGTTCAATGCCTGATTCATTCATCAAGTGATCCAGGTGTCGGTGCATGTGGTCCCTCTTTTGCCAGCTGCTCAACCGGCAATGCTATTTCTCACTTCTGCTCAACTGAAGTGAGAAACGAAAGAATCACTCAAAGAAGTGATTCAGATCAGTAATTTACTTAACCCTCACGTACTGTTCAAATCCTGTACCCTCACAGTATGTTCCGGGTCAAAATTGCCCCTTCAAAGAGACAGAGGTCAAAATGACCTACAGTATATCACAAAAGTGAGTACACCCTTTAGATTTTTGCAAATATTCTGTTATATCCTTTCAGGGGATAACACTATCTTAATGAAACTTTGAAATAATGCAAAGTAGTCAGTGTGCTGCTTGAATAACAGTATAGATTTATTGTCAATTGAAAATTACTCAGTACACAGCTGTTAACGTCTAAACAGCTGGCAACAAAAATGAGTACACCCCGTAGTGAACATGTCTAAATTGTGCCCAAAGTGTCAATATTTTGTGTGACCACCATTGTTATCTAGCACTGCTTTAACCCTCCTGGGCATGGAATTCACCAGAGCTGCACAGGTTGCTTCTGGAATCTTCTTCCACTCCTCCATGACGACATCACGGAGCTCATGGATGTTGGACACCTTGCACTCCTCCACCTGCCTCTTGAGGATGCCCCACATGTGCTCAATTGGGTTTAGGTCTGGAGACATACTCGGCCAGTCCATCACTTTAACCTTCAGCTTCTTCAGCAAGGCTGTTGTCATCTTGGAGGTGTGTTTAGGGTCATTATCATGTTGGAAAACCGCCCTACGGCCCAGTTTCCGGAGAGAAGGGATCATGCTCTTCTAGAGGATGTCACAGTATATAGTGGAATTCATGTGTCCCTCAATGAACTGCAGCTCCCCAGTGCCGGCTGCACTCATGCAGCCCCAGACCATGATGCTGCCACCACCATGCTTGACTGTAGGCAAAACACATTTGTCTTGGTACTCCTCACCAGGGTGCCGCCACACACGCTGGACACCATCTGATCCAAACAGGTTTATTTTGGTCTCATCAGACCACAGGACATGGTTCCAGTAACTCATGTTCTTCGATTCATTGTCTTTAGCAAACTGTTTGCGGGCTTTCTTATGCAGCGGTTTCAGAAGAGGCTTCTCTCTGGGGCGACGGCCATACAAACCAATTTGATGCAGTGTGCGGCGTATGGTCTAGGCACTGACAGGCTGACATCCCACTTCTGCAACCTCTGCAGCAATGCTGGAAGCACTCACACGTCTATTTTTGGAAACCAACCTCTGGATATGACGCTGAGCACGTGGACTCAACTTCTTAGGTCGACCCTGGCGAGGCCTGTTGCGAGTGGAACCTGTCCTGGAAAACCGCTGTATGATCTTAGCCACTGTGCTGCAACTCATTTTCAGGATGTTGGCAATCTTCTTATAGCCAAGGCCATCTTTGTGAAGCGCAATAATCCTTTTTTTCAGCTGCTCAGAGAGTTCCTTGCCATGAGGTGCCATGTTGTCCAGCGTTCAGAGAGAATTGTGCCCAAAACACCAAATTTAACAGCCTTGCTTATCACTTACACCTGAATCCTTTTAACACTAACGAGTCACATGACACCAGGGCGGGAAAACAACATCATTGGGCACAATTAGGACAAGTTCACTGCGGGGTGTACTCACTTTTGTTGCCAGCTGTTTAGACATTAACAGCTGTGTACTGAGTAATTTTCAAAGGACAATAAATCTATACTGTTATTCAAGCAGCACACTGACTACTTTAAGTTATATCAAAGTTTCAGTAGGATAATGTTATCCCCTGAAAGGATATAACAGAATATTTGCAAAAATCTAAAGGGTGTACTCACTTTTGTGATATACTGTAGGTCATTTTGACCTCTGTCTAGGTGTGTCTGTGTGACTGTATGTCTGTGTGTGTGTGTGAGTGTGTGTGTGTTTCTGTCAAGGTAATGATAGTTTCATAATGATTTGAATATTTCTTTTTGAACAACAAATCTTATTTTGAACACGGTTGTTACTGTTTGTCACTTGTCCCGCACTGCTAGATCTAAAATCCATCTAAATATAGATACGGGTCAAATTTGACCCATAACGCCATAAACAAAAATACACATGAATATTTTTAAATTAATTTAATGTATTTTGGGTTATTTCAGGAAAAGTCATCGTTTCAGGCTTAAAAAATTATGTTTAGGGTATTTTTACTGCTGTTAAAAGTCAAAACGGGTCAAATTTGACCCCGAATGATATGTGAGGGTTGAAAGATTCGTTTTTTTTTTTAACGAATTGTTCGCGAACGACACAACAATATTTGGCTGTCACTGTGGCTGACCAAGAGGAGGAGAGCTTGGTGTTTTGTGGTGAGTGTCTGTGTGTTATGTATGAACGTGTGTGTAGAACGACGAGTGTGCACCCTCATTCAAACTACGGGACTTGTGGGGATGTGAATAAGTTTGATACCTGTGACCGCTGTGGGGGACCAGAAGGGAAAGTTTGGCGTATAGTGTGTAGCGTGTAGCGTGTAGCATGTAGCGTGTGTGTGTGTGACCACCTAGCGTGTGTGCGCTTTCTGCACTCAGTGACGGGGCCGCACCGTCACATCCCAACAGTTTAACAATTTTTCAAGGTGTTTCACAGTTTAAAAAGAAGGTCTTAGACAGAACTGGTGACTGTCATTTATTCAAATGTGACAGTGCTTAGTACATCAAGATGCAATTGTAAATAAATAGTGCAGTTATTTGCTGACACCCCAGAATAAGCATTGTCATATAGCGATGTCAGGAATTCTTAAATGCAGTAGATGGAAAATTTGGATACAGCAGTACCAGAGATAAGTTTTCAAACAAGAATTGAAGATGTCTTGTCAAAATTTACAAAGTGATCGGCATTGTTGCTACTGCTGGTTGTACAGAATCCATGACAACAGTACCATGAAGAATGCAGTGATGAGGCTGATCTTGTGACTTACTACGCTTTTAGGTGCATTGGGTGCAGATGCTTCAGTTGTATAGGCTACTGTGATAGGTCTTACTAAATTCCTTTTATTGTAATTTTAGTTTTGTTTGTCCTTAATGTTAAAAATATCTCTAGATTATTTTTTGGTGTTGTTTCACCAATGTAGAGTTAAAACACCGTAGCAACTGTTTCACCAAAGCTTTAATAATGTCTTGATAATGATTGTGTAGATTTTCAACATTTATATGACTTACAACTCGGAGCAAAGATGAAAACAACACATGAGCCCACTGTTACCCATCTATATGAATTATCTTTCAAATTTGTTTTCTTTTTAAGAGTAATTACTGAACACTCTGTACATGCTTATGCACACGAGCTAGATGTTGGCTTTTCAGACATTTATCTCTCAGACTGTATTGGTATTGAATAGACAAAATCTCAGAGGAAAGAGAGTGACAGAATAAACTATGCGCCTCTCCCAGCTCTTCAACCAATTTCACTGACATAACACCTGTGCCAGACTGACTGCAAGATGCCCTTTAAAAATTAAGTATGTAAAAGCACCTCAGCACTGTATGAAAGTTTGTGTCACCTGTACTCAAATTTAAGATTCTGACCTTCTACATACCCTCAATTACTCTTTCTTGTTTTACAGACCAAAATCAGGAAACATCACACAAAAGACAGTTGTAGTTCTTCAAATGTTGTATTCTGGTCATTGAAAAGTTTCCAGCAGGCATAGTGCAAACAACAAAAAGTCTCACAGAATACAACTCTGTAGGATAACATTAATACAGTATGTATAAATAAGACATTGAAAGTGCATTGTTTCCTTGCATCTAAATCTCTTGAAAATACTAAACATATTAACTAAAGGATAGGTTTCTCAGCAAAAAAAGTCTTAGACAGGACTGGTGACTGTCACTATCAAATGTTACAGTGCCATCAGGATGCAATAGTTAATAAATAGTGCAGTTAATTGCTGACATCCCAGAGAAAGCATTGCCATATCGCTATGCCAATAATTCTTTGAGTAGATGGAATATTTAGAGACAGCAGTGTCATTATGACCATAAGTGTCATAAGATACAGGCCCCTCCCACACAGAGATATGTCTTTAAATGGAAACGAAAGATATTTTGTCATAAAAATTCACATAGTGATCAACTGACGCTGTCGCTACTGCTGGTTTGACAGAAGCCATGACAACAGCACCATGGAGAATGCAGTGATGACACTGATCTTGGGACTTACTCCACTTGCAGATGCTGTAGTTGTAGCTGCAGGCGCATTGGTGGCAGATGCTGCAGTTGTAGCTGCAGGTGCATTGGTGGCAGATGCTGCAGTTGTACCTGCAGGCCCATTGGTGGCAGATGCTGCAGTTGTAGCTGCAGGTATATTGGTGGCAGATACTGTAGTTGTAGCTGCAGGTGTATTGGTGGCAGATGCTGTAGTTGTAGCTGCAGGTGTATTGGTGGCAAATGCTGTAGTTGTAGCTGCAGGCGCATTGGTGGCAGATGCTGTAGTTGTAGTTACACTTGGTTTTGGACCCTCTTTGAATATAATTTCGAAGAAATAAGTTAGTTATGATCTGTACACAAACCAAAAACATTTCTTCCATTCAGTTGATTAAAGTTGAAAGAGTGCTGAATTAAAGACTTACAAAGAATACTGTCATGTGAATTTTTGTTCTCTACACTCACCTATAGGTACAACTGTAAGGGGATTAAAATCCACAGAGAAGGAATTGCTAGGGTCGTTCACAGCGGCACTCAAGGTTTCAGCAACAACTTCATTTAGTGGGAGTTCATTAGATGGGGTGCTCGGAATGAAGAGAATCTCCATTTCCGTTCCAACTGAAGGAGCTCGTGTTTCCCTCGAACTGTATTTAGGAAAAAATGTGAGCGAAAAATGTGAGGTTACTTAATGTTAGGTAAGAAAAGAGTCAACAATGAAAATGGCTTTATAAAAGAACATCCAAATAAGCCAGATCTAATAACACAAGTTTGTTGACAAGACAGATGGTTTTACCGGAAACTCTTCACTCTGCACTTGAGAAATATTCTGCCATATCTTGCTCTATAGATGCTGTTACACTGTTGAAAAATAAAGGACAAAAAAAGACAGCATGGTAAATGATCTATGAAGTGGTTTTAAACACTATTCTGCAGATAAAATTCAAATTCATACAAACTTTTCAAGACAAACTGTAATGGAATTTAAGATAACCCTATTGAATTGTTGTATTTATTGGATTAAAATGAAACAAATGTATCTTAAGTTTTGAAATAACTCCGAAAGAACTTACTGATACAATGACTCGATTTTCAAGTTCTTTGTATTGAGAGCTCTGGGGGTTCAGAAGTTGAGCAGTGAAGATTTCATTGAACAACTGTACATTAAGTACATAAGTAATAGCAGCTGTTGTTGGGGCAGCTGTTGTTGTTGTTGTTGTTGTTTTTGGGGCAGGTGTGTTGTTGTTGGGGCAGGTGTTGTTGTTGTTGTTGTTGGGGCAGGTGTTGTTGTTGTTGTTGTTGTTGGGGCAGGTGTTGTTGTTGTTGTTGGGGCAGGTGTTGTTGTTGTTGTTGGGGCAGGTGTTGTTGTTGTTGTTGTTGGGGAAGGTGTTGTTGTTGTTGGGGCAGGTGTTGTTGTTGTTGGGGCAGGTGTTGTTGTTGTTGTTGGGGCAGGTGTTGTTGTTGTTGGGGCAGGTGTTGTTGTTGTTGTTGTTGGGGCAGGAGTTGTTGTTGTTGTTGTTGTTGGGGCAGGTGTTGTTGTTGTTGTTGTTGGGGCAGGTGTTGTTGTTGTTGTTGGGGCAGGTGTTGTTGTTGTTGTTGTTGGGGCAGGTGTTGTTGTTGTTGTTGTTGGGGCAGGTGTTGTTGTTGTTGTTGGGGCAGGTGTTGTTGTTGTTGTTGTTGGGGCAGGTGTTGTTGTTGGGGCAGGTATTGTTGTTGTTGTTGGGGAAGGTGTTGTTGTTGTTGGGGCAGGTGTTGTTGTTGTTGTTGGGGCAGGTGTTGTTGTTGTTGTTGGGGCAGGTGTTGTTGTTGTTGTTGTTGTTGGGGAAGGTGTTGTTGTTGTTGTTGTTGTTGTTGTTGTTGTTGTTGGGGCAGGTGTTGTTGTTGTTGTTGGGGCAGGTGTTGTTGTTGTTGTTGGAGCAGGTGTTGTTGTTGTTGTTGTTGGGGCAGGTGTTGTTGTTGTTGTTGTTGGGGAAGGTGTTGTTGTTGTTGTTGGGGCAGGTGTTGTTGTTGTTGGGGCAGGTGTTGTTGTTGTTGTTGTTGTTGGGGCAGGTGTTGTTGTTGTTGTTGTTGGGGCAGGTGTTGTTGTTGTTGTTGTTGTTTGGGCAGGTGTTGTTGTTGTTGGGGAAGGTGTTGTTGTTGTTGTTGTTGTTGGAGCAGGTGTTGTTGTTGTTGGGGCAGGTGTTGTTGTTGTTGTTGTTGTTGTTGTTGTTGTTGGGGAAGGTGTTGTTGTTGTTGTTGTTGTTGGGGCAGGTGTTGTTGTTGTTGGGGCAGGTGTTGTTGTTGTTGTTGGGGCAGGTGTTGTTGTCGTTGTTGTTGGGGCAGGTGTTGTTGTTGTTGTTGTTGTTGTTGGGGCAGGTGTTGTTGTTGTTGGGGCAGGTGTTGTTGTTGTTGTTGTTGTTGTTGTTGGGGCAGGTGTTGTTGTTGTTGGGGCAGGTGTTGTTGTTGTTGTTGGGGCAGGTGTTGTTGTTGTTGTTGGGGCAGGTGTTGTTGTTGTTGTTGTTGTTGGGGCAGGTGTTGTTGTTGTTGTTGTTGTTGTTGTTGTTGTTGGGGCAGGTGTTGTTGTTGTTGTTGGGGCAGGTGTTGTTGTTGTTGGAGCAGGTGTTGTTGTTGTTGTTGTTGGGGCAGGTGTTGTTGTTGTTGTTGTTGGGGAAGGTGTTGTTGTTGTTGTTGGGGCAGGTGTTGTTGTTGTTGGGGCAGGTGTTGTTGTTGTTGTTGTTGTTGGGGCAGGTGTTGTTGTTGTTGGGGCAGGTGTTGTTGTTGTTGTTGTTGTTGTTGTTGTTGGGGAAGGTGTTGTTGTTGTTGTTGTTGTTGGGGCAGGTGTTGTTGTTGGGGCAGGTGTTGTTGTTGTTGTTGGAGCAGGTGTTGTTGTTGTTGTTGGGGCAGGTGTTGTTGTTGTTGGGGAAGGTGTTGTTGTTGTTGTTGGGGCAGGTGTTGTTGTTGTTGGGGCAGGTGTTGTTGTTGTTGTTGTTGTTGGGGCAGGTGTTGTTGTTGTTGTTGTTGGGGCAGGTGTTGTTGTTGTTGTTGTTGTTTGGGCAGGTGTTGTTGTTGTTGGGGAAGGTGTTGTTGTTGTTGTTGGAGCAGGTGTTGTTGTTGTTGGGGCAGGTGTTGTTGTTGTTGTTGTTGTTGTTGTTGGGGAAGGTGTTGTTGTTGTTGTTGTTGGGGCAGGTGTTGTTGTTGTTGGGGCAGGTGTTGTTGTTGTTGTTGGGGCAGGTGTTGTTGTCGTTGTTGTTGGGGCAGGTGTTGTTGTTGTTGTTGTTGTTGTTGGGGCAGGTGTTGTTGTTGTTGGGGCAGGTGTTGTTGTTGTTGTTGTTGTTGTTGTTGGGGCAGGTGTTGTTGTTGTTGTTGGGGAAGGTGTTGTTGTTGTTGTTGGGGAAGGTGTTGTTGTTGTTGTTGTTGGGGCAGGTGTTGTTGTTGTTGTTTGGGCAGGTGTTGTTGTTGTTGTTGTTGGGGAAGGTGTTGTTGTTGTTGTTGTTGTTGGGGAAGGTGTTGTTGTTGGGGCAGGTGTTGTTGTTGGGGCAGGTGTTGTTGTTGTTCTTGTTGGGGAAGGTGTTGTTGTTGTTGTTGTTGTTGTTGGGGAAGCTGTTGTTGTTGGGGCAGGTGTTGTTGTTGTTGTTGTTGGGGCAGGTGTTGTTGTTGTTGTTGTTGTTGGGGCAGGTGTTGTTGTTGTTGGGGCAGGTGGTGTTGTTGTTGTTGTTGTTGTTGGGGCAGGTGTTGTTGTTGTTGGGGCAGCTGTTGTTGTTTTTGTTGTTGTTGTTGGGGCAGGTGTTGTTGTTGTTGTTGTTGTTGGGGCAGGTGTTGTTGTTGTTGTTGGGGCAGGTGTTGTTGGGGCAGGTGTTGTTGTTGTTGGGGCAGGTGTTGTTGTTGTTGTTGTTGGGGCAGGTGTTGTTGTTGTTGTTGTTGGGGCAGCTGTTGTTGTTGATGTGGTTGTTGTTGGGGCGGATGGTTTTGGACCCGCTTTAAATATAATTTTGAAGAAATAAGTTAGTTATGATCTGTACACAAACCAAAAACATTTCTTCAATTCAGTTGATTAAAGTTGAAAGGGTGCTGAATTAAAGACTTACAAAGAATACTCTCATGTAAATTTTAGTTCTCTTCACTCACCTAAAGGTACAACTGTAAGGGCATTAAAATCCACAGAGAAGAAATTGCTAGGGTCGTTCACAGCGGCACGCAAGGTTTCAGCAACAACTTCATCTAGTGGGAGTTCATTAGATGGGGTGCTCGGATTGAATAGAATCTCCATTTCCGTTCCAACTGAAGGAGCTTGTGTTTCCCTCGAACTGTATTTAGGAAAAAATGTGAGAGAAATATGTGAGGTTACTTAATGTTAGGTAAGATAAGAGTCAACAATGAAAATGGCTTTATAAAAGAACATCCAAATAAGCCAGATCTAATAACACAAGTTTGTTGACAAGACAGATGGTTTTACCGGAAACGCTTCACTCTGCACTGGAGAAATATTCTGCCAAATCTTGCTCTATAGATGCTGTTACACTGTTGAAAAATAAAGGACAAAAGAAGACAGCATGGTAAATGATCTATGAAGTGGTTTTAAACACTATTCTGCAGATAAAATTTAAATTCATACAAACTTTTCAAGACAAACTGTAATGGAATTTAAGATAACCCTATTGAATTGTTGTATTTATTGGATTAAAATGAAACAAATGTATCTTAAGTTTTGAAATAACTCCGAAAGAACTTACTGATACAATGACTCGATTTTCAAGTTCTTTGTATTGAGAGCTCTGGGGGTTCAGAAGTTGAGAAGTGAAGATTTCATTGAACAACTGTACACTAAGTAAATAAGTAATAGCAGCTGTTGTTGTTGGGGCAGGTGTTGTTGTTGTTGTTGTTGTTGGGGCAGGTGTTGTTGTTGGGGCAGGTGTTGTTGTTGTTGTTGTTGGGGCAGGTGTTGTTGTTGTTGTTGGGGCAGGTGTTGTTGTTGTTGTTGTTGGGGCAGGTGTTGTTGTTGTTGTTGTTGGGGCAGGTGTTGTTGTTGTTGTTGTTGGGGCAGGTGTTGTTGTTGTTGGGGCAGGTGTTGTTGTTGTTGGGGCAGGTGTTGTTGTTGTTGTTGTTGGGGAAGGTGTTGTTGTTGGGGCAGGTGTTGTTGTTGTTGGGGCAGGTGTTGTTGTTGTTGTTGGGGCAGGTGTTGTTGTTGTTGTTGTTGGGGCAGGTGTTGTTGTTGTTGTTGTTGGGGCAGGTGTTGTTGTTGTTGTTGTTGTTGTTGTTGTTGGGGCAGCTGTTGTTGTTGTTGTTGGGGCAGGTGTTGTTGTTGTTGTTGTTGTTGGGGAAGGTGTTGTTGTTGTTGTTGTTGGGGCAGGTGTTGTTGTTGTTGTTGGGGCAGGTGTTGTTGTTGTTGGGGCTGGTGTTGTTGTTGTTGTTGTTGGGGAAGGTGTTGTTGTTGTTGTTGTTGTTGTTGGGGCAGGTGTTGTTGTTGTTGGGGCAGGTGTGTTGTTGTTGTTGTTGGGGCAGGTGTTGTTGTTGTTGTTGTTGGGGCGGAAGGTGTTGTTGTTGTTGGGGGTGGTGTTGTTGTTGTTGTTGGGGCAGGTGTTGTTGTTGTTGTTGTTGGGGCAGCTGTTGTTGTTGTTGTTGTTGTTGGGGCAGGTGTTGTTGTTGTTGTTGTTGGGGAAGGTGTTGTTGGGGCAGGTGTTGTTGTTGTTGGGGCAGGTGTTGTTGTTGTTGTTGGGGCAGGTGTTGTTGTTGTTGTTGTTGGGGCAGCTGTTGTTGTTGATGTGGTTGTTGTTGGGGCGGATGGTTTTGGACCCGCTTTAAATATAATTTTGAAGAAATAAGTTAGTTATGATCTGTACACAAACCAAAAACATTTCTTCAATTCAGTTGATTAAAGTTGAAAGGGTGCTGAATTAAAGACTTACAAAGAATACTCTCATGTAAATTTTTGTTCTCTTCACTCACCTAAAGGTACAACTGTAAGGGCATTAAAATCCACAGAGAAGAAATTGCTAGGGTCGTTCACAGCGGCACGCAAGGTTTCAGCAACAACTTCATCTAGTGGGAGTTCATTAGATGGGGTGCTCGGATTGAATAGAATCTCCATTTCCGTTCCAACTGAAGGAGCTTGTGTTTCCCTCGAACTGTATTTAGGAAAAAATGTGAGAGAAATATGTGAGGTTACTTAATGTTAGGTAAGATAAGAGTCAACAATGAAAATGGCTTTATAAAAGAACATCCAAATAAGCCAGATCTAATAACACAAGTTTGTTGACAAGACAGATGGTTTTACCGGAAACGCTTCACTCTGCACTGGAGAAATATTCTGCCAAATCTTGCTCTATAGATGCTGTTACACTGTTGAAAAATAAAGGACAAAAGAAGACAGCATGGTAAATGATCTATGAAGTGGTTTTAAACACTATTCTGCAGATAAAATTTAAATTCATACAAACTTTTCAAGACAAACTGTAATGGAATTTAAGATAACCCTATTGAATTGTTGTATTTATTGGATTAAAATGAAACAAATGTATCTTAAGTTTTGAAATAACTCCGAAAGAACTTACTGATACAATGACTCGATTTTCAAGTTCTTTGTATTGAGAGCTCTGGGGGTTCAGAAGTTGAGAAGTGAAGATTTCATTGAACAACTGTACACTAAGTAAATAAGTAATAGCAGCTGTTGTTGTTGGGGCAGGTGTTGTTGTTGTTGTTGTTGTTGGGGCAGGTGTTGTTGTTGTTGTTGTTGTTGTTGGGGCAGGTGTTGTTGTTGTTGTTGGGGCAGGTGTTGTTGTTGTTGTTGTTGGGGCAGGTGTTGTTGTTGTTGTTGTTGTTGGGGCAGGTGTTGTTGTTGTTGTTGTTGTTGGGGCAGGTGTTGTTGTTGTTGGGGCAGGTGTTGTTGTTGTTGGGGCAGGTGTTGTTGTTGTTGTTGTTGGGGAAGGTGTTGTTGTTGGGGCAGGTGTTGTTGTTGTTGGGGCAGGTGTTGTTGTTGTTGTTGGGGCAGGTGTTGTTGTTGTTGTTGTTGGGGCAGGTGTTGTTGTTGTTGTTGTTGTTGGGGCAGGTGTTGTTGTTGTTGTTGTTGTTGTTGTTGTTGTTGGGGCAGCTGTTGTTGTTGTTGTTGGGGCAGGTGTTGTTGTTGTTGTTGTTGTTGTTGTTGGGGCAGGTGTTGTTGTTGTTGTTGGGGCAGGTGTTGTTGTTGTTGTTGTTGTTGGGGCAGGTGTTGTTGTTGTTGTTGTTGTTGTTGGGGCAGGTGTTGTTGTTGTTGTTGTTGGGGCAGGTGTTGTTGTTGTTGTTGTTGGGGCAGGTGTTGTTGTTGTTGTTGTTTGGGCAGGTGTTGTTGTTGTTGGGGCAGGTGTTGTTGTTGTTGTTGTTGGGGAAGGTGTTGTTGTTGTTGTTGTTGTTGGGGAAGGTGTTGTTGTTGTTGTTGGGGAAGGTGTTGTTGTTGGAGCAGGTGTTGTTGTTGGGGCAGGTGTTGTTGTTGTTGTTGTTGGGGAAGGTGTTGTTGTTGTTGTTGGGGCAGGTGTTGTTGTTGTTGTTGTTGGGGCAGGTGTTGTTGTTGTTGGGGCAGGTGTTGTTGTTGTTGTTGTTGGGGCAGGTGTTGTTGTTGTTGTTGGGGCAGGTGTTGTTGTTGTTGTTGGGGCAGGTGTTGTTGTTGTTGTTGTTGGGGCAGGTGTTGTTGTTGTTGTTGGGGCAGGTGTTGTTGTTGTTGTTGTTGGGGCAGGTGTTGTTGTTGTTGTTGTTGTTGGGGCAGGTGTTGTTGTTGTTGTTGTTGGGGCAGGTGTTGTTGTTGTTGGGGCAGGTGTTGTTGTTGTTGGGGCAGGTGTTGTTGTTGTTGTTGTTGGGGAAGGTGTTGTTGTTGGGGCAGGTGTTGTTGTTGTTGGGGCAGGTGTTGTTGTTGTTGTTGGGGCAGGTGTTGTTGTTGTTGTTGTTGGGGCAGGTGTTGTTGTTGTTGTTGTTGGGGCAGGTGTTGTTGTTGTTGTTGTTGTTGTTGTTGTTGTTGTTGGGGCAGCTGTTGTTGTTGTTGTTGGGGCAGGTGTTGTTGTTGTTGTTGTTGTTGTTGTTGGGGCAGGTGTTGTTGTTGTTGTTGGGGCAGGTGTTGTTGTTGTTGTTGTTGTTGGGGCAGGTGTTGTTGTTGTTGTTGTTGTTGGGGCAGGTGTTGTTGTTGTTGTTGTTGGGGCAGGTGTTGTTGTTGTTGTTGTTGGGGCAGGTGTTGTTGTTGTTGTTGTTTGGGCAGGTGTTGTTGTTGTTGGGGCAGGTGTTGTTGTTGTTGTTGTTGGGGAAGGTGTTGTTGTTGTTGTTGTTGTTGGGGAAGGTGTTGTTGTTGTTGTTGGGGAAGGTGTTGTTGTTGGAGCAGGTGTTGTTGTTGGGGCAGGTGTTGTTGTTGTTGTTGTTGGGGAAGGTGTTGTTGTTGTTGTTGGGGCAGGTGTTGTTGTTGTTGTTGTTGGGGCAGGTGTTGTTGTTGTTGTTGTTGTTGTTGGGGCAGGTGTTGTTGTTGTTGTTGTTGGGGCAGGTGTTGTTGTTGTTGGGGCAGGTGTTGTTGTTGTTGTTGGGGCAGGTGTTGTTGTTGTTGGGGCAGGTGTTGTTGTTGTTGTTGTTGTTGTTGGGGCAGGTGTTGTTGTTGTTGTTGTTGTTGGGGAAGGTGTTGTTGTTGTTGGGGCAGGTGTTGTTTTTGTTGTTGTTGTTGTTGGGGAAGGTGTTGTTGTTGTTGTTGTTGGGGCAGCTGTTGTTGTTGTTGTTGTTGTTGTTGTTGTTGTTGTTGTTGGGGCAGGTGTTGTTGTTGTTGTTGGGGCAGGTGTTGTTGTTGTTGTTGGGGAAGGTGTTGTTGGGGCAGGTGTTGTTGTTGTTGGGGCAGGTGTTGTTGTTGTTGTTGTTGGGGCAGGTGTTGTTGTTGTTGTTGGGGCAGGTGTTGTTGTTGTTGTTGTTGAGGAAGGTGTTGTTGTTGTTGGGGCAGGTGTTGTTGTTGTTGTTGTTGTTGTTGTTGTTGTTGGGGCAGGTGTTGTTGTTGTTGTTGTTGGGGCAGGTGTTGTTGTTGTTGTTGGGGAAGGTGTTGTTGTTGTTGTTGTTGTTGGGGCAGGTGTTGTTGTTGTTGGGGCTGGTGTTGTTGTTGTTGTTGTTGGGGAAGGTGTTGTTGTTGTTGGGGCAGGTGTTGTTGGGGAAGGTGTTGTTGTTGTTGGGGCAGGTGTTGTTGTTGGCGTTGTTGTTGTTGGGGCAGGTGTTGTTGTTGGGGCAGGTGTTGTTGTTGTTGGGGCAGGTGTTGTTGTTGTTGGGGCAGGTGTTGTTGTTGTTGTTGTTGGGGCAGGTGTTGTTGTTGTTGTTGTTGGGGCAGGTGTTGTTGTTGTTGTTGTTGGGGCAGGTGTTGTTGTTGGTGTTGTTGTTGTTGGGGCAGGTGTTGTTGTTGTTGTTGTTGGGGCAGGTGTTGTTGTTGTTGTTGGGGCAGGTGTTGTTGTTGTTGTTGGGGCAGGTGTTGTTGTTGTTGATGGGAAAGGTGTTGTTGTTGCGGCAGGTGTTGTTGTTGTTGTTGTTGGGGCAGGTGTTGTCGTTGTTGTTGGGGCAGGTGTTGTCGTTGTTGTTGTTGGGGCAGGTGTTGTTGTTGTTGGGGCAGGTGTTGTTGTTGTTGTTGGGGCAGGTGTTGTTGTTGTTGTTGTTGATGGGGAAGGTGTTGTTGTTGGGGCAGGTGTTGTCGTTGTTGTTGTTGGGGCAGGTGTTGTTGTTGTTGGGGCAGGTGTTGTTGTTGTTGTTGGGGCAGGTGTTGTTGTTGTTGTTGTTGTTGATGGGGAAGGTGTTGTTGGGGCAGGTGTTGTTGTTGTTGTTGTTGTTGTTGGGGCAGGTGTTGTTGTTGTTGTTGTTGGGGCAGGTGTTGTTGTTGTTGTTGTTGGGGCAGGTGTTGTTGTTGTTGTTGGGGCAGGTGTTGTTGTTGTTGTTGGGGCAGGTGTTGTTGTTGTTGGGGCAGGTGTTGTTGTTGTTGTTGTTGTTGGGGCAGGTGTTGTTGTTGTTGTTGGGGCAGGTGTTGTTGTTGGTGTTGTTGTTGTTGGGGCAGGTGTTGTTGTTGTTGTTGTTGTTGGGGAAGGTGTTGTTGTTGTTGGGGCAGGTGTTGTTTTTGTTGTTGTTGTTGTTGGGGCAGGTGTTGTAGTTGTTGGGGCAGCTGTTGTTGTTGTAGTTGTTGGGGCAGCTGTTGTTGTGGAAGCTGTTGTTGTTGCTGTTGTTGGGGAAGCTGTTGTTGTTGTTGTTGTTGGGGCAGCTGTTGTTGTTGTTAGGGCAGGTGTAGTTATTGTTGGGGCAGGTGTTGTTGTTGTTGTTGTTGGGGAAGCTGTTGTTTTTGATGTGGTTGTTGTTGGGGCAGATGTAGTTACACTTGGTTTTGGACCCGCTTTAAATATAATTTTAAAGAAATAAGTTAGTTATGATCTGTACACAAACTAAAAAAATATTTCTTCTATTCAGTTGATTAAAGTTGAAAGAGGGCTGAATTAAAGACTTGTAAACTGTAGTGTGAATTTTTGTTCCCTTCACTCACCTAAAGGTACAACTGTAAGGGAGCTCAAATCCACAGGGAAGGAATTGTCAGGGTCGTTTGCAGCGGCACGCAAGGTTGCAGCAACAACTTCATTTAGTGGGAGTTCATTAAATGGGGTGCTTGGATTGAAGAGAATCTCCATATCCACATCTCCAACTGTTCCAAGTCTAGTTTCCGTCAAACTGTATTTATAAAAAAATGTGAGAGAAAAATGTGAGGTTACTTAATGTTAAGTAAGAAAACAGTAAATGAAAATGACCTTATGAAAGAACATCTAAATACGCCAGATCAAACAACACAAGTTTGTTGACAAGACAGATGGTTTTACCGGAAATGCTTCACTCTGCACTGGAGAAATATTCTGCCAAATTTTGCTTTATAGATGAGGTTACACTGTTGAAAGGACAAAAGAAGCGAGCATGGTAAATGATCTATGAAGTGGTTTGAAACACTATTCTGCAGATAAAATTCAAATTTAAACAAACTTTTCGAGACAAACTGTAATGGAATTTAAGATAACCCTATTGAACTGTTGTATTGATTGGAATGAAATAAAAAAATGTAGCTTAAGTTTTGAAATAACTCCAAAAGAACTTACTATTTCAATGACTTGATTTTCAATTGCGCTGTATTGAGAGCTCTGGGGGTTCAGAAGTTGAGTAGTGAAGACTTCATTGAACAACTGTAGATTAAGTAAATAAATAATAGTAGATGCTGTTGTTGGGGCAGCTGTTGTTGTTGTTGTTGTTGTTGTTGTTGTTGTTGTTGGGGCAGGTGTTGTTGTTGGGGAAGGTGTTGTTGTTGTTGTTGATGGGGAAGGTGTTGTTGTTGTTGGGGCAGGTGTTGTTGTTGTTGTTGTTGGGGCAGGTGTTGTTGTTGTTGTTGGGGAAGGTGTTGTTGTTGTTGTTGTTGTTGGGGCAGGTGTTGTTGTTGTTGTTGATGGGGAAGTTGTTGGGGGGTGTTGTTGGGGCAGGTGTTGTTGTTGTTGGGGCAAGTGTTGTTGTTGTTGTTGGGGCAGGTGTTGTTGTTGTTGTTGGGGCAGCTGTTGTTGGGACAGGTGTTGTTGTTGTTGGGGCAGGTGTTGTTGTTGTTGTTGTTGTTGTTGGGGCAGGTGTTGTTGTTGTTGTTGGGGCTGTTGTTGTTGTTGGGGAAGGTGTTGTTGTTGTTGGGGAAGGTGTTGTTGTTGTTGTTGTTGTTGTTGGGGCAGCTGTTGTTGTTTGGGCAGGTGTTGTTGTTGTTGTTGGGGCAGGTGTTGTTGTTGTTGTTGTTGGGGCAGGTGTTGTTGTTGTTGTTGTTGTTGTTGGGGAAGGTGTTGTTGTTGTTGTTGTTGTTGTTGATGGGGAAGGTGTTGTTGTTGTTGGGGCAGGTGTTGTGGTTGTTGTTGTTGGGGCAGGTGTTGTTGTTGTTGTTGTTGTTGGGGCAGGTGTTGTTGTTGTTGTTGTTGGGGCAGGTGTTGTTGTTGTTGGGGCAGGTGTTGTTGTTGTTGGGGCAGGTGGTTGTTGTTGTTGTTGTTGGGGAAGCTGTTGTTGTTGGGGCAGGTGTTGTTGTTGGGGCAGGTGTTGTTGTTGGGGCAGGTGTTGTTGTTGTTGTTGTTGTTGGGGCAGGTGTTGTTGTTGTTGGGGCAGGTGTTGTTGTTGTTGTTGGGGAAGGTGTTGTTGTTGTTGTTGTTGATGGGGAAGGTGTTGTTGTTGTTGGGGCAGGTGTTGTTGTTGTTGTTGTTGGGGCAGGTGTTGTTGTTGTTGGGGAAGGTGTTGTTGTTGTTGTTGGGGCAGGTGTTGTTGTTGTTGTTGTTGGGGCAGGTGTTGTTGTTTTTGTTGGGGCAGGTGTTGTTGTTGTTGTTGGGGCAAGTGTTGTTGTTGTTGTTGATGGGGAAGGTGTTGTTGTTGTTAGGGCAGGTGTTGTTGTTGTTGGGGCAGGTGTTGTTGTTGTTGTTGTTGTTGTTGGGGCAGGTGTTGTTGTTGTTGTTGTTGTTGTTGGGGCAGGTGTTGTTGTTGTTGGGGCAGGTGCTGTTGTTGGGGCAGGGTGTTGTTGTTGTTGTTGTTGTTGTTGGGGCAGGTGTTGTTGTTGGGGCAGGTGTTGTTGTTGTTGTTGGGGAAGGTGTTGTTGTTGTTGTTGTTGATGGGGAAGGTGTTGTTGTTGTTGGGGCAGGTGTTGTTGTTGTTGTTGTTGGGGCAGGTGTTGTTGTTGTTGGGGAAGGTGTTGTTGTTGTTGTTGGGGCAGGTGTTGTTGTTGTTGTTGTTGGGGCAGGTGTTGTTGTTTTTGTTGGGGCAGGTGTTGTTGTTGTTGTTGTTGTTGGGGCAAGTGTTGTTGTTGTTGTTGATGGGGAAGGTGTTGTTGTTGGGGCAGGTGTTGTTGTTGTTGGGGCAGGTGTTGTTGTTGTTGTTGTTGTTGGGGCAGGTGTTGTTGTTGTTGTTGTTGTTGTTGTTGGGGCAGGTGTTGTTGTTGTTGGGGCAGGTGCTGTTGTTGGGGCAGGTGTTGTTGTTGTTGTTGTTGTTGTTGTTGGGGCAGGTGTTGTTGTTGGGGCAGGTGTTGTTGTTGTTGTTGTTGGGGAAGGTGTTGTTGTTGTTGTTGTTGATGGGGAAGGTGTTGTTGTTTTCGGGGCAGGTGTTGTTGTTGTTGTTGTTGGGGCAGGTGTTGTTGTTGTTGGGGCAGGTGTTGTTGTTGTTGTTGCGGTAGGTGTTGTTGTTGGGGCAGGTGTTGTTGTTGTTGTTGATGGGGAAGGTGTTGTTGTTGTTGGGGCAGGTGTTGTTGTTGTTGTTGTTGTTGGGGCAGGTGTTGTTGTTGTTGTTGTTGGGGCAGGGTGTTGTTGTTGTTGTTGTTGTTGTTGTTGGGGCAGGTGTTGTTGTTGTTGGGGCAGGTGTTGTTGTTGTTGTTGGGGCAGGTGTTGTTGTTGTTGTTGTTGTTGTTGTTGATGGGGAAGGTGTTGTTGTTGTTGGGGCAGGTGTTGTTGTTGTTGTTGTTGGGGCAGGTGTTGTTGTTGGGGCAGCTGTTGTTGTTGGGGCAGGTGTTGTTGTTGTTGGGGCAGGTGTTGTTGTTGTTGTTGGGGAAGGTGTTGTTGTTGTTGTTGTTGGGGCAGCTGTTGTTGTTGGGGCAGGTGTTGTTGTTGTTGGGGAAGGTGTTGTTGTTGTTGTTGTTGATGGGGAAGGTGTTGTTGTTGTTGGGGCAGGTGTTGTTGTTGTTGTTGTTGGGGAAGGTGTTGTTGTTGTTGTTGGGGCAGGTGTTGTTGTTGTTGTTGGGGAAGGTGTTGTTGTTGTTGTTGTTGTTGGGGCAGGTGTTGTTGTTTTTGTTGTTGTTGTTGGGGCAGGTGTTGTTGTTGTTGGGGCAGGTGTTGTTTTTGTTGTCGATGGGGAAGGTGTTGTTGTTGTTGGGGCAGGTGTTGTTGTTGTTGTTGGGGCAGGTGTTGTTGTTGGGGCAGGTGTTGTTGTTGTTGTTGGGGCAGCTGTTGTTGTTGGGGCAGGTGTTGTTGTTGTTGGGGCAGGTGTTGTTGTTGTTGTTGGGGAAGGTGTTGTTGTTGTTGTTGTTGGGGCAGCTGTTGTTGTTGGGGCAGGTGTTGTTGTTGTTGGGGAAGGTGTTGTTGTTGTTGTTGTTGATGGGGAAGGTGTTGTTGTTGTTGGGGCAGGTGTTGTTGTTGTTGTTGTTGGGGAAGGTGTTGTTGTTGTTGTTGGGGCAGGTGTTGTTGTTGTTGTTGGGGCAGGTGTTGTTGTTGTTGTTGTTGTTGGGGCAGGTGTTGTTGTTTTTGTTGTTGTTGTTGGGGCAGGTGTTGTTGTTGTTGTTGGGGCAGGTGTTGTTTTTGTTGTCGATGGGGAAGGTGTTGTTGTTGTTGGGGCAGGTGTTGTTGTTGTTGTTGGGGCAGGTGTTGTTGTTGGGGCAGGTGTTGTTGTTGTTGTTGGGGCAGCTGTTGTTGTTGGGGCAGGTGTTGTTGTTGTTGGGGCAGGTGTTGTTGTTTTTGTTGTTGTTGGGGCAGGTGTTGTTGTTGTTGGGGCAGGGTGTTGTTTTTGTTGTTGTTGGGGCAGGTGTTGTGGTTGTTGTTGTTGGGGCAGGTGTTGTTGTTGTTGTTGGGGCAGGTGTTGTTGTTGTTGTTGGGGCAGGTGTTGTTGTTGTTGTTGGGGCAGATTTTGTTGTTGTTGGGGCAGGTGTTGTTGTTGTTTTTGTTGGGGCAGGTGTTGTTGTTGTCGGGGCAGGTGTTGTTGTTGTTGTTGTTGGGGCAGGTGTTGTTGTTGTCGGGGCAGGTGTTGTTGTTGTTGTTGGGGAAGGTGTTGTTGTTGTTGTTGGGGCAGGTGTTGTTGTTGTTGGGGAAGGTGTTGTTGTTGTTGTTGTTGTTGGGGCAGGTGTTGTTGTTGTTGTTGTTGTTGTTGTTAGGGCAGGTGTTGTTGTTGTTGTTGTTGGGGCAGGTGTTGTTGTTGTTGTTGTTGGGGCAGGTGTTGTTGTTGTTGTTGTTGGGGCAGGTGTTGTTGTTGTTGTCGGGACAGGTGTTGTTGTTGTTGTTGTTGTTGTTGGGGTAGGTGTTGTTGTTTTTGGGGCAGGTGTTGTTGTTGTTGTTGTTGGGGCAGGTGTTGTTGTTGTTGTCTTTGTTGGGGCAGGTGTTGTTGTTGTTGTTGTTGGGGAAGGTGTTGTTGTTGTTGTTGTTGGGGCAGGTGTTGTTATTGTTGTTGGGGAAGGTGTTGTTGTTGTTGTTGTTGTTGTTGTTGGGGTAGGTGTTGTTGTTGTTGTTGTTGGGGAAGGTGTTGTTGTTGTTGGGGAAGGTGTTGTTGTTGTTGTTGGGGAAGGTGTTGTTGTTGTTGTTGTTGTTATTGGGGCAGGTGTTGTTGTTGGGGCAGGTGTTGTTGTTGTTGGGGCAGGTGTTGTTGTTGTTGGGGCAGGTGTTGTTGTTGTTGTTGGGGCAGCTGTTGTTGTTGGGGCAGGTGTTGTTGTTGTTGTTGGGGCAGGTGTTGTTGTTGTTGTTGTTGGGGCAGGTGTTGTTGTTGTTGGGGCAGGTATTGTTGTTGTTGTTGTTGTTGGGGAAGGTGTTGTTGTTGTTGTTGGGGCAGGTGTTGTTGTTGTTGGGGCAGGTGTTGTTGTTGTTGTTGTTGGGGCAGGTGTTGTTGTTGTTGTTGTTGGGGCAGGTGTTGTTTTACTTGTTGGGGCAGGTGTTGTTGTTGTTGTTGTGCCAGGTGTTGTTGTTGGGGCAGGTGTTGTTGTTGTTGTTTTTGGGGCAGGTGTTGTTGTTGTTGTTGGGGCAGGTGTTGTTGTTGTTGTTGTTGTTGTTGTTGGGGCAGGTGTTGTTGTTGTTGTTGTTGTTGGGGCAGGTGTTTTTGTTGTTGTTGCGGTAGCTGTTGTTGTTGGGGCAGGTGTTGTTGTTGTTGTTATTGGGGCAGGTGTTGTTGTTGTTGGGGCAGGTGTTGGGGCAGGTGTTTTTGTTGGGGCAGGTGTTGTTGTTGCGGTAGCTGTTGTTGTTGGGGCAGGTGTTGTTGTTGTTGTTGTTGGGGCAGGTGTTGTTGTTGTTGTTGTTGGGGCAGGTGTTGTTGTTGTTGTTGTTGGGGCAGGTGTTGTTGTTGTTGTTGGGGCAGGTGTTGTTGTTGTTGTTGTTGGGGAAGGTGTTGTTGTTGTTGTTGGGGCAGCTGTTGTTGTTGTTGTTGTTGTTGGGGCAGGTGTTTTTGTTGTTGTTGGGGCAGCTGTTGTTGTTGGGGAAGGTGTTGCTGTTGTTGTTGGGGAAGGTGTTGCTGTTGTTGTTGGGGCAGGTGTTGTTGTTGTTGTTGTTGTTGGGGCAGGTGTTGTTGTTGTTGCGGTAGCTGTTGTTGTTGTTGTTGGGGCAGCTGTTGTTGTTGTTGTTGTTGGAGCAGGTGTTGTTGTTGTTGTTGTTGGGGCAGGTGTTGTTGTTGTTGGGGAAGCTGTTGTTGTTGTTGTTGTTGTTTGGGCAGGTGTTGTTGTTGTTGGGGCAGGTGTTGTTGTTGTAGTTGTTCCTGTTATCACTGCCAGAATTTTGGGCGACAAAAACATTTCAGTTTTTTTATCCATTGTCATTTTACATATAAAATTTCTTTCCATTGTTTTAATGGCCATACAATTTTTAATATTTGTTTCCTTTATTATTTAAAGCATTTTGTTTACTTTGTAATCAGGGTGGTATTACAAACCAAACTGATGCCCTATATCATTTCTTTTGATTATTTAGTCATTGGTTTAAGAGTTTTACTTTTTCCTGTAAGTTGAACAGTTATTCATTGAAATAGCTGTCATTAATATCTTACTTTAAATGACTTTCCAACGTTTGCTTTTTTTGAATATTTAAAAAGGAGCTAGCTTACCAGTAAGAATTAGGAAAAGTGATGTGGCCACCCCTCCTATGGCCATTTTGTCTTCTTTTAGGTCCGTCAAAAAGAAAGTCTGCAAACAATCAAAAGGTTGGTGTTGTGCTTTTCCACACTTACAACAAAAACTGCAAAGTTACAATGTTTGGTGTCCATACTAAATGTATGCAAAATTTCAAATCACAAGGTGAATGTTATCAAAAGGATGTAGACTGCTCAATATAGGAGCCTGAGCTGATGACGTGAGACTCACTAAAATGTCTACATAGATATTATAGGCTCTCCTTATTAGTTCATCTGTGTCTCTGGCAAAGCCCAATGGCTTGCCCCCAACAGCGTGTGAAGTGACGCTCACGGCGGGGCAGGGGAAAGCTGCTCTTCTGTTCTATGCCAAAGTGAGAAACACAAGGCTTTTTAAAAAATCTAAATATCAAGCTATTAAAGAGGTATCAGAAAGGAAATATAGAAAAAAAAAAGAATAATTCCCCATCTTAAGAAACTAAATCACAAAGGCACTGTGGAAAATTATTTGTTGGCTCCATAGACTGTATATACTATGGACAACCTGAGGCCTGGGGTCCGTTTCACGTAGGTGGTTCAACAAACTCTGAGTTAAATCCTTAACTCTGAGTTGATCTACTCTGAGTTAGGAAACTCTGAGTTTCCGGTTTCACAACACCTGATTTGAGACGGTTTTATCAACTCCGAGTAGTTTGACCTGGAGTTAAGCACGTGCACGCCAGACATAAACAGCCAGCATCTGTGGAGCACAGATTCAATGATCAACCAATAGAAACAGGGAGAAGGAGGGGGCAGCAGCGAGCCAACAGCGAATTACAGCACGTTTTTAAAAGAAAGTGCAATACAGCAGCAGCTGCAAAGGAGAGGGAGAGGGCTTGGGAGGAAATCGCTGCTCGCGTCAATGCATAACTTTAAATCTAGTCTCGTGCAATCACAATGACAGACTGTTGCAGGGAAACTGCTTGAATCATTTTGATCATGTTTTACATTGTCAAGTAAGTATTAAGTGGCAGTTTGATCACTTAGAAAATGCTCTTTTCACACTCAAAAATGAATTTTACTCTCTTATGATGTTCCGTTAAATGATTAGGAATATTAAACTAGCTCTCAGTATGTATATGTACATATATTAAACTAACACACACTACACTCAATATTAGACTTTCACTCAGCAAACAGAAAGAGGGCAGATGCCAGAAAAACGGGTGGTGTCCCAGCAGCCCCACCTTTAACGGAGGCAGAGGAGCTGCCCCCCCCCCACGACGATCGCAACCCCCACCCCGTAGCAGCGATCGTCGGACTGGGGTGTGGGTCGGGGGGGGTGGGGGGATTTGCGATCGGACCGGCCTCGAACGGAGGGGGGGGGGGGGGGGGGCAGCTCCTCTGCCTCCGTTAAAGGTGGGGCTGCTGGACCACCACCCGTTTTTGTGTTAGTTTAATATTCCTAATCATTTAACGGAACATCATAAGAGAGTAAAATTCAGTTTTGAGTGTGAAAAGAGCATTTTTGAAGGGATCAAACTGCCACTTAACATTTATTTGACAAAATAAACCTTGATCAAAATGAGAAAATGCCGATCTCTCACCTGAAACTCTGGATTTACTGAGTTAAACCTGCTCCCGAGCAGGTTAGGTTCACGGAGTCTGTTACTGTGGTAACTGACCGCGAGGTTGAGTTACCTCTCTTTGTGAAACAGGTTAGAGTTACCCCTCTCTCCCTGGTTTAACTAACCCTCCTTTGTGAAACGGAAAACTCAGAGTTTCCCTGATTTCAGGGTTAACAAACTCGGAGTTTCCACTAAACCTGCTACGTGAAACGGACCCCTGTACTACGAAGCTGGATTAACACATCCAGGGTAACTCTGCGACAACTTGCTTAACTTCACCGGATCTCCGCGATCCCGATCAGCTGTATTACGAAGCCGGTTATCAACTCGATAACTGAATCCAGGTGTGGCCACTTCAGATCTGTGCGCGCACACGTAAAGGGGGTGGGGTTAGTTCCACCGGACCAATCTCCACAATGGAGAAGGCTGCACGTCATTTTTCACAGCCGAAGAACAGAGCATTATTTTACGAGGAGTACCGCAACATTATAACAGTGAGGAGCAGGACAGCTGCTAAAAGCTGGAGGGACTGCTGGCAAAGAAAAAATCATCAATTGTGTAAATTACATTTGTGCGTTCATAAATTTATGGCCCCCTAATATGTTGTCATGCAGCGTGTGTGATCACCTCCATCAATGACCTCATTATTTCAGATACAACAGCAGTGGGGAAAAGAGTACGTGGGAGCAAATAAAAATAAATCTAAAAACATCCTTTAAAGTAGTTTAGTAGTAAGTTTATTGGAAGATTTTATTTGTACATATTTCAACGCGTAAACAGTGATTTCCTCACACTGCCTTCTTTTTTTTTTCTTAATCATCTGATGGTCACATGTCATCTGCAGACACATTTGGGGTTAAGAGGAGTTATCCAATCTGCTTCAATAAATTCTGAATGATGACTGATATGCTGCATGAAATTGGAACCTGGAGCTTGGCAAATATTAGTGCATTGCTTAGACTTCATGCTATATTGAGGCCGTCCGAGGAAAACCTGTAATGTTCATAGAGAACGTCATCAGGTAAATCAAACGGATTTGAACAATCATGAATATAACGCAAAGCGCTCCTCTCATTATCCGTGCAACGATGTCCCCGGAATCCGGCAAAAGTGGGCAAGCCATTTTCCAAGAGATCTGATTGGTCAGTGGGCGGTCTTTTATACTTGCTGAGATCTTATCCTAAAACATTACCTGCCCCGGAGCAGGTTTGGCGTTCCGCGTAAGTTACCGGGGCGTATGGAAAACCCAGAAGTTATCCAAAAGTTATCTTGCTAAGACCAAATCCAGCTTCGTAGTACAGGCCTCTGGTTCCGCCTACCGCTTGTATACGGATCTGAAGCCAAAAAGCTCTCGGTATCTCCGGGATTTTTCTTCATTTCCTGAAATCAGTGCTGTGCAGTTGCGTTGTGCGCATTCAGCCGCGCAGTCGCAGAGAGTCGCTGTGATGACACTCGGCTCAAACAGCGTATCCCCCGGGAGAGCTACTCAATCCCTGAACGCCCATAGGCTGTATTAGGTGTCAATCATAGAAAACAGGAACCCCCTAATAACTTTTAAAAACGGAGCTTCACAGAAAAATAGGACTTGAGCACAAAGCAGTCTTACAATAACTACATGTCAACATCCTAAGCTCCATAAGCTTTGCTGGTGAAGGCGGGATTTATGACCTATACTGCAGCCCATCAACAGAGGGTGCTGTTCTCGGAGTGAGGGGGCAGATGGTGTCCATTCTATATACAGTCTATGGTTGGCTCTAACTCAGTAAAGTCATTTTTTCACAATGTCTATAGAATACAAGTCAGAATGAATTAATTCCAAATTTGTTGATTTTATTTACCAATTGTTTTAATTATTTGGTTGGGAATCAATTGATGCTTGTTTCAGCCATGTGTTTTTCCAGGTACTGTTTCAATTAAAAAAATATATGATTGCAACAATGTTTTGCATACACACTTTTCGATTTTCGAATGACTGAATTTATCAAACCTATTAAGTATGATAAAGCATCAGGAAACATGTTTCCCTCCTGGGGCGTCTTCCTGGTTTTAACCCTTTCATACTTTTCAAGAAAGTGAAATATGAAAACATTCAGTATGGAAAGGCTTCATGAGAGAATAAACGTACGGGAATTTCAAACTTTTGATGAACTGAATAATTTGAACATGATCTGTCAAATATACTTTAAAATATATTTTTAAGACTGTCCTTACAGATTTAGAAGAGTAAGCTTTTGAGGAGAATGGCTGGTCTGTATATCTTAGAGAGGTATAAATCATTTATCCTCACAGGTCTTACTTTAGGTTCCAATAGCCAAAGCAACACAAACACAAGAAGATTCTTTGTCAGGCTGCAAGAATCTAAAGTTTTTCTTCACTTTCTTAGGACAACATTAACCTTTTGGACACCTGTTTTTGCAAATATTTTCATCCTCTATTCTGTCCTCACTTGCAGCTTGAAAAAAGGAAGGCACAATCCAGGACACGTTCTGAAAGAAATTGTGGAATCATCTGCATTTGCAGTTGATCAATAAAATAACATTTTCAATATCAATGTAATTCATTGATAGATTGCTGGGAACTTTATGGGGCCCAGTCTTGACACATGGCCAACAATCTCTACTTGTGTGGATACAGTTTGAATGCAGGAAGACTAAAAAGTCCTGTCTCATTTCCCTTTTGGTCATGAGCCACATAGATTTTGACTGTCTTTGTGCAGCAGGTAGTGGAGATGCTGACAGCTGAGAGTAAGACAGAAGCACAAAATGCAGACAGAAGCACAAAAGGGCTGCGAAACTTAATGTATGTATGTTTGGAATGAAAGCAGACCGGGGCAAGCGATGCACAGTTCAAAATGCAAGCAGCGGGTTTGGATTAGGAAGTTCACAAATACAACAATCAACCAGTATTTTGGGGCAAAGCACTTAATCCTATCAACATGGAAATACGACAAACTACCCGGGATTAAATAGAGAAATGGCAAAAAAAAAAAAAAAAAAAACAACAAAAAAAAAAACTTTTTTTTTTCCTTTTTAACAATTATTTATCTGTGATAAATAATAGGAAAACACATTTCTCATAAATGTATAATAGTTTAAAATAAAGACTTCAAAATGCACGTACCTTAAAAAGAAGATGAAAAAAAAAGGTTGAAAAGTTATCAACTCTCCCTCAGTGTCTGAGTTGTATGGTCTTGAATGCAGATTAAAAAGTTTTATCTTAATTCAGTCCAACTCCACTGTTGTTGAAACCTTTCTCTTTCTGTGACAGCCTTCACTTACAATGGCTTTATATATTGGTAAGAGATAAAGCCTGATTACGTGTTGCTTACGTGACAATTATTTCTGAATCATTGTGACACCTTTATTATTCTTTAATTAAGTTTTTGGGGTGTGCTCCCTTCTTTTGTTCTGTGAAGCTGCTGGTACATTCCACTTATGTGAATGCTTAAACAAGTTCCAGCGGTGTCATAGCAGGTAATGATGAACTAATTCAGAAAGAGCCTCAGTGAAGTGTTGATGGAGCTGGAAGACAGAAAATAAAAACAGTCAAGACTTTTTTTAGAGTGGGAGATTTAAACCTTTTTACTGTGAAGTTATTGTATAATTTCATAAATAGTGACATCCACCCATGCTTTTGGTGAGGATTTCAGCATATTATTGTATTGTAGAAAAAAGCCTTCCATACAGAATCATCCATGTAAAAGAATTACAGAGCAGTTCAACAAACAAAAAAATCAACATTTCTATCCAAAGTATGTTGCAAAGACCACTGCAAGTAAAAGCAAAAAATATCATTAAACGACTTTTAACAATACTAATATTTTTATGCTGCATTTTAGAGTTGATTATATAATGAAATGAACAAGCTATTAACTTAGTGAACATGTAAAAGGAAAAAAAGTATAGAGTTCTAGGCAAAGTTTTGATTTGGGGCTCATTTAAGTTGTCAGTTAAATTAACAATTGCCTAATCCTAGTTATTGAGTATCTGAGCCATTGGTGCTAATAATAGCAACAGGGTTTAAGGCATGCCTGCTTGTGCCAAGTGAAACTCCATTAAGTAGCATCAGCCTCACAAAAGCATAGTCACTCTTGCATTAGCTCTCGGCCAGGGACAAAAACTTTTCCAGATTAAAAAACCTTGTTTGAGAATCTTGTAAGCAAAATAAAAGACATTTGTCTGCAAGCAAGGATGTGGGACAGAGTATGCTGATGCCACTCAGATCCATATAATTTCCAAATATTCATCATCCTTCAACACCATAAAAGAAGAATTTTTATTGTGCAAAATGATTCAACAGGAACTGAATCCATTCTGTTCCTGTGGTATGTTTTTTTAATGTCCAGTAGAGTCCAGCTTATTAAGATGAATAAAACTCTATCAACCATCGCAACTTATGTTGGGGCTCCTCAGGGTTGTGTGAGTTCAGCTGTGCTTTTTAGTCTTTATATGTGTGACTGTCATTTGCTGGCGGAGGCGGGATTTATGACCTATACTGCAGCCCATCAACAGAGGGTGCTGTTCTTAGAGTGGCTTCACCCAGAGAGGAGGCAGACTCTATCCATTCTTTATACAGTCTGTGGTTAAGATTTATTCTTTTTGCATCACGCCCACTGGGAGGGGCTTATTGTTTAAAAGACAGCCATTTTGACCATGTGAGTGTGGAGAATTGATACATGGCAGATGCTGGAGAGTTATTGTATCATTAATGGAGAGTGTGTGAGCAAACTGATCAACAATTTAAGAATAACGTCGCACTGAAAATATGTCTGTTTGCTTCTCTTCTGTTTCACCTAAATTGGATCCCAAAAAACAGACAGTGGAGGCAGAGATCCGGCTGGTTGAGTTATTAGGGGGGTTCATGTTTTCTATGATTGACACCTGATACAGCCTATGGGCGTTCAGGGATTGCGTAGCTCTCCCAAGGGATACGCTGTTTGAGCTGAGTGTCATCACAGCGACTCTCGGCGACTGCGCGGCTGAATGCGTGCATCGCTACTGCGCAGCGCTGGTTTCAGGAAATGAAGAAAAATCCCGGAAATACCGAGAGCTTTTTGGCTTCAAATCCGTATACAGGCGGAAGGCGGAACCAAGTTGTCCATAATATAGACAGTCTATGATCTGAACACTATCAGGGTTTCCTTTCTATAGATACACCTAACATTGCTTTAAAAACTGATCACAGATGGCAAAATACCTCTTTTACATTTTCCCCAATTTCAATGTGTCAATTCAGTCTCCTTCACTGAAAAAAAAAACATGAGGTCAGGTTCCCCTTTTTCCCGCCAAGTGCCCTTTAAAATTGGAAAGTAGATGCACCCCTGTTTGGCTGTAGTGATGGGGACGGCAGTTCTTTTAGATGTACTGAATCATTAGAATCAGTTCACTAAAAAGATTTGTTCAAAAGATTTGTTGACCAAATCACCGAACCATTTGAAGGAGAAGCCTGTGACTCCAACCTCCTGAAGTGATACACAGCTGAATGTTTCAGGATTCAGTTCAGTTCATAGCTTCTGGGACCGGGAGATGAGAGTGTCTGGCTGTGTTGCTTTGGCAAATAGGTTTGTAAAAATGAACTTGTTCATAAGTCATGATGTTTCAAGTGTACTGTCCTATGGTATGCTACTTACCAGGTCTGCTCGGTAAATTGGGGTCAGTGAGTGATTCGTTCACTGAACGTTGAGAAGAATTCACACTGAACATGCACCGATCCCTCGCAAACGCTGCAATAATAGGATGCTGCGGGTTTAATGCACTACTTGTTACATGCTGTGTCCTAATGTATGAAAGTTTTTGTGTTGGCAATTTAGCAGTGGAAGAAAGGTAGTTTTGTCAGACAAAAATGATTCCAAAGAGTGTAGTTCAATGCCTGATTCATTCATCATGTGATCCAGGTGTCGGTGCATGTGGTCCCTCTTTTGCCAGCTGCTCAACCGGCAATGCTATTTCTCACTTCTGCTCAACTGAAGTGAGAAACGAAAGAATCACTCAAAGAAGTGATTCAGATCAGTAATTTACTTAACCCTCACGCACTGTTCAAATCCTGTACCCTCACAGTATGTTACGGGTCAAAATTGCCCCTTCAAAGAGTTCAAAGAGCAGCTTTCTGTCACAGAAAGTTCTCTTGACTAGTTAGGTCATTTTGACCTCTGTCTAGGTGTGTCTGTGTGACTGTATGTCTGTGTGTGTGTGTGTGAGTGTGTGTGTGTGTGTGTTTCTGTCAAGGTAATGATAGTTTCATAATGATTTGAATATTTCTTTTTGAACAACAAACCTTATATTGAACACGGTTGTTACTGTTTGTCACTTGTCCCGCACTGCTAGATCTAAAATCCATCTAAATATAGATACGGGTCAAATTTGACCCATAACGCCATAAACAAAAATACACATGAATATTTTTTAATTAATTTCATGTATTTTGGGTTATTTCAGGAAAAGTCATCGTTTCAGGCTAAAAAAATGATGTTTAGGGTATTTTTACTGCTGTTAAAAGTCAAAACGGGTCAAATTTGACCCCGAATGATATGTGAGGGTTAAAAGATTCGTTTTTTTTAACGAATTGTTCGCGAACGACACAACACTATTTGGCTGTCACTGTGGCTGACCAAGAGGAGGAGAGCTTGGTGTTTTGTGGTGAGTGTCTGTGTGTTATGTATGAACGTGTGTGTAGAACGACGAGTGTGCACCCTCATTCAAACTACGGGACTTGTGGGGATGTGAATAAGTTTGATACCTGTGACCGCTGTGGGGGACCAGAAGGGAAAGTTTGGCGTATAGTGTGTAGCGTGTGGCGTGTAGCATGTAGCGTGTGTGTGTGTGTGACCACCTAGCGTGTGTGCGCTTTCTGCACTCAGTGACGGGGCCGCACCGTCACATCCCAACAGTTTAACAATTTTACAAGGTGTTTCACAGTTTAAAAAGAAGGTCTTAGACAGAACTGGTGACTGTCATTTATTCAAATGTGACAGTGCTTAGTACATCAAGATGCAATTGTAAATAAATAGTGCAGTTATTTGCTGACACCCCAGAATAAGCATTGTCATATAGCGATGTCAGGAATTCTTAAATGCAGTAGATGGAAAATTTGGATACAGCAGTACCAGAGATAAGTTTTCAAACAAGAATTGAAGATGTCTTGTCAAAATTTACAAAGTGATCGGCATTGTTGCTACTGCTGGTTGTACAGAATCCATGACAACAGTACCATGAAGAATGCAGTGATGAGGCTGATCTTGTGACTTACTACGCTTTTAGGTGCATTTGGTGCAGATGCTTCAGTTGTATAGGCTACTGTGATAGGTCTTACTAAATTGCTTTTATTGTAATTTTTGTTCTGTTTGTCCTTAATGTTAAAAGTATCTCTAGATTATTTTTTGGTGTTGTTTCACCAATGTAGAGTTAAAACACCGTAGCAACTGTTTCACCAAAGCTTTAATAATGTCTTGATAATGATTGTGTAGATTTTCAACATTTATATAACTTACAACTCAGAGCAAAGATGAAAACAACACCTGAGCCCACTGTTACCCATCTATATGAATTATCTTTCAATTTATTTTTTCTTTTTAAGAGTAATTACTGAACACTCTGTACATGCTTATGCACACAAGCTAGATGTTGGCTTTTCAGACATTTATCTCTTAGACTGTACTGGTATTGAATAGACAAAATCTCAGAGGAAAGAGAGTGACAGAATAAACTATGCGCCTCTCCCAGCTCTTCAACCAATTTCACTGACGTAACACCTGTGCCAGACTGACTGCAAGATGCCCTTTAAAAATTAAGTATGTAAAAGCACCTCAGCACTGTATGAAAGTTTGTTTGTGTCACCTGTACTCAAATTTAAGATTCTGACCTTCTACATACCCTCAATTACTCTTTCTTGTTTTACAGACCAAAATCAGGAAACATCACACAAAAGACAGTTGTAGTTCTTCAAATGTTGTATTCTGGTCATTGAAAAGTTTCCAGCAGGCATAGTGCAAACAACAAAAAGTCTCACAGAATACAACTCTGTAGGATAACATTAATACAGTATGTATAAATAAGACATTGAAAGTGCATTGTTTCCTTGCATATAAATCTCTTGAAAATACTAAACATATTAACTTAAGGATAGGTTTCTCAGCAAAAAAAGTCTTAGACAGGACTGGTGACTGTCACTATCAAATGTTACAGTGCCATCAGGATGCAATAGTTAATAAATAGTGCAGTTAATTGCTGACATCCCAGAGAAAGCATTGCCATATAGCTATGCCAATAATTCTTTGAGTAGATGGAATATTTAGAGACAGCAGTGTCATTATGACCATAAGTGTCATAAGATACAGGCCCCTCCCACACAGAGATATGTCTTTAAATGGAAACTAAAGATATTTTGTCATAAAAATTCACATAGTGATCAACTGACGCTGTCGCTACTGCTGGTTTGACAGAAGCCATGACAACAGCACCATGGAGAATGCAGTGATGACACTGATCTTGGGACTTACTCCACTTGCAGATGCTGTAGTTGTAGCTGCAGGCGCATTGGTGGCAGATGCTGCAGTTGTAGCTGCAGGCGCATTGGTGGCAGATGCTGCAGTTGTAGCTGCAGGTGCATTGGTGGCAGATGCTGCAGTTGTAGCTGCAGGTGTATTGGTGGCAGATGCTGTAGTTGTAGCCGCAGGTGTATTGGTGGCAGATGCTGTAGTTGTAGTTACACTTGGTTTTGGACCCTCTTTGAATATAATTTCAAAGAAATAAGTTAGTTATGATCTGTACACAAACCAAAAACATTTCTTCCATTCAGTTGATTAAAGTTGAAAGAGTGCTGAATTAAAGACTTACAAAGAATACTGTCATGTGAATTTTTGTTCTCTACACTCACCTAAAGGTACAACTGTAAGGGGATTAAAATCCACAGAGAAGGAATTGCTAGGGTCGTTCACAGCGGCACTCAAGGTTTCAGCAACAACTTCATTTAGTGGGAGTTCATTAGATGGGGTGCTCGGATTGAATAGAATCTCCATTTCCGTTCCAACTGTAGAAGCTCGTGTTTCCCTTGAACTGTATTTAGGAAAAAATGTGAGAGAAAAATGTGAGGTTACTTAATGTTAGGTAAGAAAAGAGTCAACAATGAAAATGGCTTTATAAAAGAACATCCAAATAAGCCAGATCTAATAACACAAGTTTGTTGACAAGACAGATGGTTTTACCGGAAACTCCTCACTCTGCACTTGAGAAATATTCTGCCATATCTTGCTCTATAGATGCTGTTACACTGTTGAAAAATAAAGGACAAAAGAAGACAGCATGGTAAATGATCTATGAAGTGGTTTTAAACACTATTCTGCAGATAAAATTCAAATTCATACAAACTTTTCAAGACAAACTGTAATGGAATTTAAGATAACCCTATTGAATTGTTGTATTTATTGGATTAAAATGAAACAAATGTATCTTAAGTTTTGAAATAACTCTGAAAGAACTTACTGATACAATGACTCGATTTTCAAGTTCTTTGTATTGAGAGCTCTGGGGGTTCAGAAGTTGAGAAGTGAAGATTTCATTGAACAACTGTACATTAAGTACATAAGTAATAGCAGCTGTTGTTGTTGGGGCAGGTGTTGTTGTTGTTGTTGTTGGGGAAGGTGTTGTTGTTGTTGTTGTTGGGGAAGGTGTTGTTGTTGTTGTTGTTGGGGCAGGTGTTGTTGTTGTTGTTGCGGCAGGTGTTGTTGTTGTTGTTGTTGGGGCAGGTGTTGTTGTTGTTGTTGGGGCAGGTGTTGTTGTTGTTGTTGTTGGGGCAGGTGTTGTTGTTGTTGTTGGGGCAGGTGTTGTTGTTGTTGTTGTTGTTGGGGCAGGTGTTGTTGTTGGGGCAGGTGTTGTTGTTGGGGAAGGTGTTGTTGTTGTTGTTGTTGTTGTTGTTGTTGTTGGGGAAGGTGTTGTTGTTGTTGTTGTTGCGGCAGGTGTTGTTGTTGTTGTTGTTGGGGCAGGTGTTGTTGTTGTTGTTGTTGTTGTTGTTGTTGTTGGGGCAGGTGTAGTTGTTGTTGTTGTTGGGGCAGGTGTTGTTGTTGTTGTTGGGGCAGGTGTTGTTGTTGTTGGGGAAGGTGTTGTTGTTGTTGTTGTTGGGGCAGGTGTAGTTGTTGTTGGGGAAGGTGTTGTTGTTGTTGTTGGGGCAGGTGTTGTTGTTGTTGTTGTTGGGGTAGGTGTTGTTGTTCTTGATGGGGCAGGTGTTGTTGTTGTTGTTGTTGGGGAAGGTGTTGTTGTTGTTGGGGCAGGTGTAGTTGTTGTTGTTGTTGGGGCAGGTGTTGTTGTTGTTGTTGTTGGGGAAGGTGTTGTTGTTGTTGTTGTTGGGGCAGGTGTAGTTGTTGTTGTTGTTGGGGAAGGTGTTGTTGTTGTTGTTGGGGCAGGTGTTGTTGTTGTTGTTGTTGGGGTAGGTGTTGTTGTTCTTGATGGGGCAGGTGTTGTTGTTGTTGGGGAAGGTGTTGTTGTTGTGGTTGGGGCAGGTGTTGGGGTTGTTGTTGGGGCAGGTGTTGTTGTTGTTGTTGGGGCAGGTGTTGTTGTTGTTGGGGAAGGTGTTGTTGTTGTTGTTGGGGCAGGTGTTGTTGTTGTTGTTGGGGCAGGTGTTGTTGTTGTTGTTGGGGCAGGTGTTGTTGTTGTTGGGGCAGGTGTTGTTGTTGTTGTTGTTGGGGCAGGTGTTGTTGTTGGGGCAGGTGTTGTTGTTGTTGTTGTTGTTGTTGTTGGGGCAGGTGTTGTTGTTGTTGTTGTTTTTGGGGCAGGTGTTGTTGTTGTTGTTGGGGTAGGTGTTGTTGATTTTGATGGGGCAGGTGTTGTTGTTGTTGGGGTAGGTGTTGTTGATGTTGTTGTTGTGGTTGGGGCAGGTGTTGTTGTTGGGGCAGGTGTTGTTGTTGTTGTTGTTGGGACAGGTGTTGTTGTTGTTGTTGGGGCAGGTGTTGTTGTTGGGGCAGGTGTTGTTGTTGTTGTTGGGGAAGGTGTTGTTGGGGCAGGTTTTGTTGTTGGGGCAGGTGTTGTTGTTGTTGTTGTTGTGGCAGGTGTTGTTGTTGTTGTTGTTGTTGGGGCAGGTGTTGTTGTTGTTGTTGTTGGGGAAGGTGTTGTTGTTGTTGGGGAAGGTGTTGTTGTTGTTGTTCGGGCAGGTGTTGTTGTTGTTGTTGGGGCAGGTGTTGTCGGGGCAGGTGTTGTTGTTGTTGTTGGGGAAGCTGTTGTTGTTGTTGTTGTTGTTGTTGTTGTTGTTGGGGCAGCTGTTGTTGTTGTTGTTGGGGCAGCTGTTGTTGTTGTTGTTGGGGCAGCTGTTGTTGTTGTTGGGGCAGGTGTTGTTGTTGTTGGGGAAGGTGTTGTTGTTGTTGTTGGGGCAGGTGTTGTTGTTGTTGTTGGGGCAGGTGTTGTTGTTGTTGTTGGGCAGGTGTTGTTGTTGTTGTTGTTGGGGAAGCTGTTGTTGTTGTTGTTGGGGCAGGTGTTGTTGTTGTTGTTGTTGGGGCAGGTGTTGTTGTTGTTGTTGTTGGGGCAGGTGTTGTTGTTGTTGTTGTTGTTGGGGCAGCTGTTGTTGTTGTTGTAGTTGTTGTTGGGGAAGCTGTTGTTGTTGGGGCAGCTGTTGTTGTTGTTGTTGTTGTTGTTGGGGAAGCTGTTGTTGTTGTTAGTGCAGCTGTTGTTGTTGTTGGGGAAGCTGTTGTTGTTGTTGGGAAAGCTGTTGTTGTTGTTGTTGGGAAAGCTGTTGTTGTTGTTGTTGCGGCAGCTGTTGTTGTTGTTGTTGGGGAAGCTGTAGTTGTTGTTGTTGGGGCAGCTGTTGTTGTTGTTGTTGGGGCAGCTGTTGTTGTTGTTGGGGCAGCTGTTGTTGTTGTTGTTTTTGGGGAAGCTGTTGTTGTTGTTGTTGGGGCAGCTGTTGTTGTTGTTGGGGCAGCTGTTGTTGTTGTTGTTGTTGGGGAAGCTGTAGTTGTTGTTGTTGGGGCAGCTGTTGTTGTTGTTGGGGCAGCTGTTGTTTTTGTTGGGGCAACTGTTGTTGTTGTTGTTGTTGTTGTTGGGAAAGCTGTTGTTGTTGTTGGGGCAGCTGTTGTTGTTGTTGTTGTTGTTGGGGAAGCTGTTGTTGTTGTTGTTGTTGGGGCAGTTGTTGTTGTTGTTGGGGAAGCTGTTGTTGTTGGGGAAGCTGTTGTTGTTGTTGTTGTTGGGGAAGCTGTAGTTGTTGTTGTTGGGGCAGCTGTTGTTGTTGTTGTTCGGGCAGGTGTTGTTGTTGTTGTTGGGGCAGCTGTTGTTGTTGTTGTTGTTGGGGAAGCTGTTGTTGTTGTTGTTGGGGCAGCTGTTGTTGTTGTTGGGGCAGCTGTTGTTGTTGTTGTTGGGGCAGGTGTTGTTGTTGTTGTTGGGGCAGGTGTTGTTGTTGTTTTTGGGGCAGGTGTTGTTGTTGTTGTTGTTGTTGTTGGGGAAGCTGTTGTTGTTGTTCGGGCAGGTGTTGTTCTTGTTGTTGGGGCAGCTGTTGTTGTTGTTGTTGTTGGGGCAGCTGTTGTTGTTGTTGGGGCAGCTGTTGTTGTTGTTGTTGGGGCAGCTGTTGTTGTTGTTGGGGCAGCTGTTGTTGTTGTTGGGGCAGGTGTTGTTGTTATTGTTGTTGGGGCAGGTGTTGTTGTTGTTGTTGTTGGGGCACGTGTTGTTGTTGTTGGGGCAGGTGTTGTTGTTGTTGTTGGGGAAGGTGTTGTTGTTGTTGTTGTTGGGGAAGGTGTTGTTGTTGGGGCAGGTGTTGTTGTTGTTGTTGTTGGGGAAGCTGTTGTTGTTGTTGTTGGGGCAGGTGTTGTTGTTGTTGTTGTTGGGGCAGGTGTTGTTGTTGTTGTTGTTGGGGCAGGTGTTGTTGTTGTTGTTGTTGTTGGGGCAGCTGTTGTTGTTGTAGTTGTTGTTGGGGAAGCTGTTGTTGTTGGGGCAGCTGTTGTTGTTGTTGTTGTTGTTGTTGGGGAAGCTGTTGTTGTTGTTAGTGCAGCTGTTGTTGTTGTTGGGGAAGCTGTTGTTGTTGTTGGGAAAGCTGTTGTTGTTGTTGTTGGGCAAGCTGTTGTTGTTGTTGTTGCGGCAGCTGTTGTTGTTGTTGTTGGGGAAGCTGTAGTTGTTGTTGTTGGGGCAGCTGTTGTTGTTGTTGTTGGTGCAGCTGTTGTTGTTGTTGGGGCAGCTGTTGTTGTTGTTGTTTTTGGGGAAGCTGTTGTTGTTGTTGTTGGGGCAGCTGTTGTTGTTGTTGGGGCAGCTGTTGTTGTTGTTGTTGTTGGGGAAGCTGTAGTTGTTGTTGTTGGGGCAGCTGTTGTTGTTGTTGGGGCAGCTGTTGTTTTTGTTGGGGCAACTGTTGTTGTTGTTGTTGTTGTTGTTGGGAAAGCTGTTGTTGTTGTTGGGGCAGCTGTTGTTGTTGTTGTTGTTGTTGGGGAAGCTGTTGTTGTTGTTGTTGTTGGGGCAGTTGTTGTTGTTGTTGGGGAAGCTGTTGTTGTTGGGGAAGCTGTTGTTGTTGTTGTTGTTGGGGAAGCTGTAGTTGTTGTTGTTGGGGCAGCTGTTGTTGTTGTTGTTCGGGCAGGTGTTGTTGTTGTTGTTGGGGCAGCTGTTGTTGTTGTTGTTGTTGGGGAAGCTGTTGTTGTTGTTGTTGGGGCAGCTGTTGTTGTTGTTGGGGCAGCTGTTGTTGTTGTTGTTGGGGCAGGTGTTGTTGTTGTTGTTGGGGCAGGTGTTGTTGTTGTTTTTGGGGCAGGTGTTGTTGTTGTTGTTGTTGTTGTTGGGGAAGCTGTTGTTGTTGTTCGGGCAGGTGTTGTTCTTGTTGTTGGGGCAGCTGTTGTTGTTGTTGTTGTTGGGGCAGCTGTTGTTGTTGTTGGGGCAGCTGTTGTTGTTGTTGTTGGGGCAGCTGTTGTTGTTGTTGGGGCAGCTGTTGTTGTTGTTGGGGCAGGTGTTGTTGTTATTGTTGTTGGGGCAGGTGTTGTTGTTGTTGTTGTTGGGGCACGTGTTGTTGTTGTTGGGGCAGGTGTTGTTGTTGTTGTTGGGGAAGGTGTTGTTGTTGTTGTTGTTGGGGAAGGTGTTGTTGTTGTGGCAGGTGTTGTTGTTGTTGTTGGGGCAGCTGTTGTTGTTGTTGTTGGGGCAGCTGTTGTTGTTGTTGGGGCAGCTGTTGTTGTTGTTGTTGGGGCAGCTGTTGTTGTTGTTGGGGCAGCTGTTGTTGTTGTTGTTGGGGCAGGTGTTGTTGTTGTTGTTGGGGCAGGTGTTGTTGTTGTTGTTGTTGTTGTTGGGGAAGCTGTTGTTGTTGTTGTTCGGGCAGGTGTTGTTCTTGTTGTTGGGGCAGCTGTTGTTGTTGTTGTTTTTGGGGCAGCTGTTGTTGTTGTTGGGGCAGCTGTTGTTGTTGTTGTTGGGGCAGCTGTTGTTGTTGTTGTTGGGGAAGCTGTTGTTGTTGTTGTTGTTGGGGCAGCTGTTGTTGTTGTTGTTGGGGCAGGTGTTGTTGTTGTTGTTGGGGCAGGTGTTGTTGTTATTGTTGTTGGGGCAGGTGTTGTTGTTGTTGTTGGGGCACGTGTTGTTGTTGTTGGGGCAGGTGTTGTTGTTGTTGTTGTTGTTGTTGGGGAAAGTGTTGTTGTTGTTGGGGAAGGTGTTGTTGTTGTTGTTGTTGTTGTTGGGGCAGGTGTTGTTGTTGTTGTTGTTAGGGCAGGTGTTGTTGTTGTTGGGGCAGGTGTTGTTGTTGTTGTTGGGGCAGCTGTTGTTGTTGTTGTTGGGGTAGCTGTTGTTGTTGGGGCAGGTGTTGTTGTTGTTGTTGGGGCAGCTGTCGTTGTTGTTCGGGCAGGTGTTGTTGTTGTTGGGGCAGCTGTTGTTGTTGTTGTTGGGGCAGGTGTTGTTGTTGTTGGGGCAGCTGTTGTTGCTGTTGTTGGGGCAGATGTTGTTGTTGTAGGGGCAGGTGTTGTTGTCGGGGCAGGTGTTGTTGTTGTTGTTGGGGAAGCTGTTGTTGGGGAAGCTGTTGTTATTGTTGTTGGGGCAGGTGTTGTTGTTGTTGTCGGGGCAGGTGTTGTTGTTGTTGTTGTTGGGGCAGGTGTTGTTGTTGTTGTTGGGGCAGTTGTTGTTGTTGTTGGGGCAGGTGTTGTTGTTGTTGTTGTTGTTGTTGGGGCAGGTGTTGTTGTTGTTGTTGTTGGGGCAGGTGTTGTTGTTGTTGTTGTTGGGGCAGGTGTTGTTGTTGTTGTTGGGGCAGGTGTTGTTGTTGTTGTTGGGGCAGGTGTTGTTGTTGTTGTTGTTGTTGGGGCAGGTGTTGTTGTTGTTGTTGTTGGGGCAGGTGTTGTTGTTGTTTGTTGTTGTTGGGGAAGGTGTTGTTGTTGTTGTTGGGGAAGGTGTTGTTGTTGGGGCAGGTGTTGTTGTTGTTGTTGTTGTTGTTGGGGAAGTTGTTGTTGTTGTTGGGGAAGGTGTTGTTGTTGTTGGGGCAGGTGTTGTTGTTGTTGGGGCAGGTGTTGTTGTTGTTTTTGTTGGGGCAGGTGTTGTTGTTGTTGTTGGGGAAGGTGTTGTTGTTGTTGGGGCAGGTGTTGTTGTTGTTTTTGGGGCAGGTGTTGTTGTTGTTGTTGTTGGGGAAGGTGTTGTTATTGTTGTTGTTGTTGTTGTTGTTGGGGCAGCTGTTGTTGTTGTTGTTGGGGCAGGTGTTGTTGTTGTTGTGGGGCAGCTGTTGTTGTTGTTGTAGTTGTTGGGGAAGCTGTTGTTGTTGTTGGGGCAGCTGTTGTTGTTGTGGTTGGGGAAGCTGTAGTTGTTGTTGTTGGGGCAGTCGTTGTTGTTGTTGTTGTTGTTGTTGTTGTTGGGGAAGCTGTAGTTGTTGTTGTTGGGGCAGCTGTTGTTGTTGTTTTTGGGGAAGCTGTTGTTGTTGTTGTTGGGGAAGCTGTTGTTGTTGTTGTTGGGGAAGCTGTAGTTGTTGTTGTTGGGGCAGCTGTAGTTGTTGTTGTTGGGGCAGCTGTTGTTGTTGTTGTTGTTGTTGTTGGGGAAGCTGTAGTTGTTGTTGTTGGGGCACCTGTTGTTGTTGTTGGGGAAGCTGTTGTTGTTGTTGTTGGGGCAGCTGTTGTTGTTGTTGGGGAAGCTGTAGTTGTTGTTGGGGCAGCTGTAGTTGTTGTTGTTGGGGCAGCTGTAGTTGTTGTTGTTGTTGTTGGGGCAGCTGTTGTTGTTGTTGTTGGGGCAGCTGTTGTTGTTGTTGTTGTTGGGGAAGCTGTAGTTGTTGTTGTTGGGGCAGCTGTTGTTGTTGTTGTTGGGGCAGCTGTTGTTGTTGTTGTTGGGGAAGCTGTTGTTGTTGTTGGGGCAGCTGTTGTTGTTGTTGGGGAAGCTGTAGTTGTTGTTGTTGGGGCAGCTGTAGTTGTTGTTGTTGGGGCAGCTGTTGTTGTTGTTGTTGGGGCAGGTGTTGTTGTTGTTGTTGGGGCAGCTGTTGTTGTTGTTATTGTTGGGGAAGCTGTAGTTGTTGTTGTTGGGGCAGCTGTTGTTGTTGGGGAAGCTGTTGTTGTTGTTGGGGAAGCTGTTGTTGTTGTTGGGGAAGCTGTAGTTGTTGTTGGGGCAGCTGTAGTTGTTGTTGGGGCAGCTGTAGTTGTTGTTGTTGGGGCAGCTGTTGTTGTTGTTGTTGTTGTTGTTGGGGAAGCTGTTGTTGTTGTTGGGGCAGCTGTTGTTGTTGTTGTTGTTGGGGAAGCTGTTGTTGTTGTGGTTGGGGAAGCTGTAGTTGTTGTTGTTGGGGCAGCTGTTGTTGTTGTTGGGGCAGCTGTTGTTGTTGTTGTTGTTGTTGTTGTTGTTGGGGCAGCTGTTGTTGTTGTTGTTGGGGAAGCTGTTGTTGTTGTTGTTGGGGAAGCTGTTGTTGTTGTTGTTGGGGAAGCTGTAGTTGTTGTTGTTGGGGCAGCTGTAGTTGTTGTTGTTGGGGCAGCTGTTGTTGTTGTTGTTGTTGGGGAAGCTGTAGTTGTTGTTGTTGGGGCACCTGTTGTTGTTGTTGGGGAAGCTGTTGTTGTTGTTGTTGGGGCAGCTGTTGTTGTTGTTGGGGAAGCTGTAGTTGTTGTTGGGGCAGCTGTAGTTGTTGTTGTTGGGGCAGCTGTAGTTGTTGTTGTTGTTGTTGGGGCAGCTGTTGTTGTTGTTGTTGGGGCAGCTGTTGTTGTTGTTGTTGTTGGGGAAGCTGTAGTTGTTGTTGTTGGGGCAGCTGTTGTTGTTGTTGTTTGGGCAGCTGTTGTTGTTGTTGTTGGGGAAGCTGTAGTTGTTGTTGGGGCAGCTGTTGTTGTTGTTGTTGTTGTTGGGGCAGCTGTTGTTGTTGTTGTTGTTGTTGGGGAAGCTGTAGTTGTTGTTGTTGGGGAAGCTGTTGTTGTTGTTGTTGTTGTTGTTGGGGCAGCTGTTGTTGTTGTTGTTGGGGAAGCTGTAGTTGTTGTTGTTGGGGCAGCTGTTGTTGTTGTAGTTGTTGTTGTTGGGGCAGCTGTTGTTGTTGTTGTTGTTGTTGGGGAAGCTGTAGTTGTTGTTGTTGGGGCAGCTGTTGTTGTTGTTGTTGGGGAAACTGTTGTTGTTGTTGTTGTTGGGGCAGCTGTTTTTGTTGTTGTTGGGGCAGCTGTTGTTGTTGTTGTTGGGGCAGGTGTTGTTGTTGGGGCAGCTGTAGTTGTTGTTGTTGTTGCGGCAGCTGTTGTTGTTGATGTTGTTGGGGAAGCTGTTGTTGTTGTTGTTGGGGAAGCTGTAGTTGTTGTTGTTGGGGCAGCTGTTGTTGTTGTTGTTGTTGGGGCAGCTGTTGTTTTTGTTGTTGTTGTTGGGGAAGCTGTTGTTGTTGTTGGGGTAGCTGTTGTTGTTGTTGGGGAAGCTGTTGTTGTTGTTGTTGGGGAAGCTGTTGTTGTTGGGGTTGTTGTTGTTGGGGAAGCTGTAGTTGTTGTTGGGGCAGCTGTTGTAGTTGTTGTTGTTGCGGCAGCTGTTGTTGTTGTTGTTGGGAAAGCTGTTGTTGTTGTTGTTTGGGCAGCTGTAGTTGTTGTTGTTGCGGCAGCTGTTGTTGTTGTTGTTGGGGAAGCTGTAGTTGTTGTTGTTGGGGCAGCTGTTGTTGTTGTTGTTGGGGCAGCTGTTGTTGTTGTTGGGGAAGCTGTAGTTGTTGTTGTTGGGGCAGCTGTTGTTGTTGTTGTTGTTGGGGCAGCTGTTGTTGTTGTTGTTGGGGAAGCTGTTGTTGTTGTTGTTGGGGCAGCTGTTGTTGTTGTTGTTGTTGGGGCAGCTGTTGTTGTTGTTGTTGTTGGGGAAGCTGTAGTTGTTGTTGGGGCAGCTGTTGTTGTTGTTGTTGTTGGGGCAGCTGTTGTTGTTGTTGTTGTTGGGGAAGCAGTTGTTGTTGTTGTTGTTGTTGTTGTTGTTGTTGTTGTTGTTGGGGAAGCTGTTGTTGTTGTTGGGGCAGCTGTTGTTGTTGTTGGGGAAGCTGTAGTTGTTGTTGTTGGGGCAGCTGTTGTTGTTGTTGTTGTTGTTGTTGGGGCAGCTGTTGTTGTTGTTGTTGTTGTTGTTGTTGGGGAAGCTGTTGTTGTTGTTGTTGGGGAAGCTGTAGTTGTTGTTGTTGCGGCAGCTGTTGTTGTTGTTGTTGGGGCAGCTTTTGTTGTTGTTGTTGTTAGGGCAGCTGTTGTAGTTGTTGTTGTTGTTGGGGAAGCTGTAGTTGTTGTTGTTGGGGCAGCTGTTGTTGTTGTTGGGGCAGCTGTTGTTGATGTTGTTGTTGTTGGGGAAGCTGTAGTTGTTGTTGTTGGGGAAGCTGTTGTTGTTTTTGTTGTTGGGGCAGCTGTTGTTGTTGTTGGGGCAGCTGTTGTTGTTGTTGGGGCAGCTGTTGTTGTTGTTGTTGGGGAAGCTGTAGTTGTTGTTGTTGGGGCAGCTGTTGTTGTTGTTGTTGGGGCAGCTGTTGTTGTTGTTGTTGTTGTTGGGGCAGCTGTTGTTGTTGTTGTTGTTGTTGGGGAAGCTGTAGTTGTTGTTGTTGGGGAAGCTGTTGTTGTTGTTGTTGTTGTTGTTGTTGGGGAAGCTGTAGTTGTTGTTGTTGGGGCAGCTGTTGTTGTTGTTGTTGGGGAAGCTGTTGTTGTTGGGGAAGCTGTTGTTGTTATTGTTGTTGGGGCAGCTGTTGTTGTTGTTGTTGCGGCAGCTGTTGTTGTTGTTGTTGTTGGGGCAGCTGTTGTTGTTGTTGTTGCGGCAGGTGTTGTTGGGGAAGCTGTAGTTGTTGTTGTTGTTGGGGCAGCTGTTGTTGTTGTTGTTGTTGTTGGGGAAGCTGTTGTTGTTGTTGTTGTTGGGGAAGCTGTAGTTGTTGTTGTTGGGGCAGGTGTTGTTGTTGTAGTTGTTTGGGAAGCTGTTGTTGTTAGAATTGTAAGAATCAGGAAAAGTGATGTGGCCACCCCTCCTTTGGCCATTTTGTCTTCTTTTAGGTCCGTCAAAAAGAATGTCTGCAAACAATCAAAAGGTTGGTGTTTTGCTCTTCCACATTTACAACAAAAACTGCAAAGTTACAATGTTTGGTGTCCATACTAAATGTATGCAAAATTTCAAATCACTCACTAAAATGTCTACATTGATATTATAGGCTCTCCTTATTAGTTCATCTGTGTCTCTGGCAAAGCCAAACGACCTGCCCCCAACAGCGTGTGAAGTGACACTCACAGCGGGGCAGGGGAAAGCTGCTCTTCTGTTCTATGCCAAAGTGAGAAACACAAGGCTTTTTAAAAAATCTAAATATTAAGCTATTAAAGAGACTGTATATACTATGGACAACCTGAGGCCTGTACTACGAAGATGGATCAACACATCCAGGGTACCTCTGTGACAACTCGCTCAACTTCACCGGATCTCCATGATTCCGATCAGCTGTACTAGGAAGCCGGTTATCAACTCGATAACTGAATCCAGGTGTTGCCACTTCAGATCTGTGCGCGCACACGTAAAGGGGGTGGGGTTAGTTCCACCGGACCAATCTCCACAATGGAGAAGGCTGCACGTCATTTTTCACAGCCGAAGAACAGAGCATTATTTTACGAGGAGTACCGCAACATTATAACAGTGAGGAGCAGGACAGCTGCTAAAAGCTGGAGGGACTGCTGGCAAAAAAAAAAAATCATCAATTGTGTAAATTACATTTGTGCGTTCATAAATTTATGGCCCCCTAATATGTTGTCATGCAGCGTGTGTGATCACCTCCATCAATGACCTCATTATTTCAGATACAACAGCAGTGGGGAAAAGAGTACGTGGGAGCAAATAAAAATAAATTCAAAAACATCCTTTAAAGTAATTTAGTGGTAAGTTTATTGGAAGATTTTATTTGTACATATTTCAACGCGTAAACAGTGATTTCCTCACACTGCCTTTTTTTTTTTCCTTAATCATCTGATGGTCACATGTCATCTGCAGACACATTTGGGGTTAAGAGGAGTTATCCAATCTGCTTCAATAAGTTCTGAATGATGACTGATATGCTGCATGAAATTGGAACCTGGAGCTTGGCAAATATTACTGCATTGCTTAGACTTCATGCTATATTGAGGCCGTCCGAGGAAAACCTGTAATGTTCATAGAGAACGTCATCAGGTAAATCAAACGGATTTGAACAATCATGAATATAACGCAAAGCGCTCCTCTCATTATCTGTGCAACGATGTCCCCAGGATCCGGCAAAAGTGGGCAAGCCATTTTCCAAGAGATCTGATTGGTCAGTGGGCGGTCTTTTATACCTGCTGAGATCTTATCCTAAAACATAACCTGCTCCGGAGCAGGTTTGGCGTTCCGCTTAAGTTACCGGGGCGTACGGAAAACCCAGAAGTTATCTTGCTAAGACCAAATCCAGCTTCGTAGTACAGAGGTCCGTTTCACGTAGCAGGTTTAATGGAAACTCCGAGTTTGTTAACCCTGAAATCAGGGAAACTCTGAGTTTTCCGTTTCACAAAGGAGGGTTAGTTAAACCAGGGAGAGAGGGGTAACTCTAACCTGTTTCACAAAGAGAGGTAACTCAACCTCGCGGTCAGTTACCACAGTAACAGACTCCGTGAACCTAACCTGCTCGGGAGCAGGTTTAACTCAGTAAACCCAGAGTTTCAGGTGAGACATCGGCATTTTCTCATTTTGATCATGTTTTACATTGTCAAGTAAGTATTAAGTGGCAGTTTGATCCCTTAAAAAATGCTCTTTTCACACTCAAAAATGAATTTTACTCTCTTATGATGTTCCGTTAAATGATTAGGAATATTAAACTAACACAAAAACGGGTGGTGGTCCAGCAGCCCCACCTTTAACGGAGGCAGAGGAGCTGCCCCCCACCCCCACCCCCCCGTTCGACGATCGCGGCCGGTCCGATCGCAAATCCCCCCCCCCCCCCCCACAGACACGCACACACACACACACACGCACACCAGTCCGACGATCGCTGCTACGGGGGGGGGGGGGGGGGATTTGCGATCGGACCGGCAGCGATCGTCGAAGGGGGGGGGCAGCTCCTCTGCCTCCGTTAAAGGTGGGGCTGCTGGGACACCACCCGTTTTTCTGGCATCTGCCCTCTTTCTGTTTGCTGAGTGAAAGTCTAATATTGAGTGTAGTGTGTGTTAGTTTAATATATGTACATATACATACTGAGAGTTAGTTTAATATTCCTAATCATTTAACGGAACATCATAAGCGAGTAAAATTCATTTTTGAGTGTGAAAAGAGCATTTTCTAAGGGATCAAACTGCCACTTAATACTTACTTGACAATGTAAAACATGATCAAAATGATTCAAGCAGTTTCCCTGCAACAGTCTGTCATTGTGATTGCACGAGACTAGATTTAAAGTTACGCATTGACGCGAGCAGCGATTTCCTCCCAAGCCCTCTCCCTCTCCTTTGCAGCTGCTGCTGTATTGCACTTTCCTTTAAAAACGTGCTGTAATTCGCTGTTGGCTTGCTGCTGCCCCCTCCTTCTCCCTGTTTCCATTGGTTGATCATTGAATCTGCGCTCCACAGATGCTGGCTGTTTATGTCTGGCATGCACGTGCTTAACTCCAGGTCAAACTACTCGGAGTTGTTAAAACCGTCTCAAATCAGGTGTTGTGAAACCGGAAACTCAGAGTTTCCTAACTCAGAGTAGATCAACTCAGAGTTAAGGATTTAACTCAGAGTTTGTTGAACCACCTACGTGAAACGGACCCCAGGCATCTGGTTCCGCCTACCACCTGTATACGGATTTGAAGCCAAAAAGCTCTCGGTATTTCCGGGATTTTTCTTCATTTCCTGAAACCAGTGCTGTGCAGTTGCGTTGTGCGCATTCAGCCGCGCAGTCGCAGAGAGTCACTGTGATGACGCTCGGCTCAAACAGCGTATCCCCCGGGAGAGCTACTCAATCCCTGAACGCCCATAGGCTGTATTAGGTGTCAATCATAGCAAACATGAACCCCCTAATAAATTTAAAAAAACAGAGCTTCACAGAAAAAAGAGGACTTGAGCACAAACCAGTCTTACAATAACTACATGTCAACATCGCAAGCTCCATAAGCTTTGCTGGTGAAGGCGGGATTTATGACCTATACTGCAGCCCATCAACAGAGGGTGCTGTTCTCGGAGTGGCTTCACCCAGCGAGGAGGCAGACGGCGTCCATTCTATATACAGTCTATGGTTGGCTCTAACTCAGTAAAGTCATTTTTTCACAATGTCTATAGAATACAAGTCAGAATGAATTAATTCCAAATTTGTTGATTTTATTTACCAATTGTTTTAATTATTTGGTTGGGAATCAATTGATGCTTGTTTCAGCCATGTGTTTTTCCAGGTACTGTTTCAATTAAAAAAATATATGATTGCAACAATGTTTTGCATACACACTTTTCGATTTTCGAATGACTGAATTTATCAAACCTATTAAGTATGATAAAGCATCAGGAAACATGTTTCCCTCCTGGGGCGTCTTCCTGGTTTTAACCCTTTCATACTTTTCAAGAAAGTGAAATATGAAAACATTCAGTATGGAAAGGCTTCATGAGAGAATCAACGTACGGGAATTTCAAACTTTTGATGAACTGAATAATTTGAACATGATCTGTCAAATATACTTTAAAATATATTTTTAAGACTGTCCTTACAGATTTAGAAGAGTAAGCTTTTGAGGAGAATGGCTGGTCTGTATATCTTAGAGAGGTATAAATCATTTATCCTCACAGGTCTTACTTTAGGTTCCAATAGCCAAAGCAACACAAACACAAGAAGATTCTTTGTCAGGCTGCAAGAATCTAAAGTTTTTCTTCACTTTCTTAGGACAACATTAACCTTTTGGACACCTGTTTTTGCAAATATTTTCATCCTCTATTCTGTCCTCACTTACAGCTTGAAAAAAGGAAGGCACAATCCAGGACACGGTCTGAAAGAAATTGTGGAATCATCTGCATTTGCAGTTGATCAATAAAATAACATTTTCAATATCAATGTAATTCATTGATAGATTGCTGGGAACTTTATGGGGCCCAGTCTTAACACATGGCCAACAATATCTACTTGTGTGGAGACAGTTTGAATGCAGGAAGACTAAAAAGTCCTGTCCCATTTCCCTTTTGGTTATGAGCCACATAGATTTTGACTGTCTTTGTGCAGCAGGTAGTGGAGATGCTGACAGCTGAGAGTAAGACAGAAGCACAAAATGCAGACAGAAGCACAAAAGCACAAAAGGGCTGCGAAACTTTGTGTAAATAAATGTGTGCTTGGAATGAGAGCAGATTACCGGGGCAAGTGATGCACAGTTCAAAATACAAGCAGCGGGTTTGGTTTAGGAAGTTCACAAATACAACAATTAACCAGTATTTTGGGGCAAAGCACTTAATCCTATCAACATGGAACTACTACAAACTGCCCGGGATTAAATAGAGAAATGTTCCTTTTTAACAATTATTTCTCTGTGATAAATAATGGGAAAGCACATTTCTCATATAATAGTTTAAAATAAAGACTTAAAAATGCACATACCGTAAAAAGAAGATGAAAAAAAAAAAGGTTGAAAAGTTATCACCTCTCCCTCAGTGTCTGAGCTGTATGGTCTTGAATGCAGATTAAAAAGTTTTATCTTAATTCAGTCCAACTCCACTGTTTTGAAACCTTTCACCTTCTGTGACAGCCTTCACTTACAATGGCTTTATATACTGGTAAGAGATAAAGCCTGATTACGTGTTGCTTACGTGACAATTATTTGTGACACCTTTATTATTCTTTTAGTAAGTTATTGGGGTGTACTCCCTTCTTTTGTTCTGTGAAGCTGCTGGTACATTCCACTTATGTGAATGCTTAAACAAGTTCCACCGGTGTGACAGCAGGTTATGACGAACTAATTCAGAAAGAGCCTCAGTGAAGTGTTGATGGAGCTGGAAGATAGAAAATAAAAACAGTCATAACTTTTTTTTAGAGTGGGAGATTTAAACCTCTTTGCTGTGAAGTTATTGTATAATTTCATAAATAGTGACATCCACCCATGCTTTTGGTGAGGATTTCAGCATATTATTGTATTGTAGAAAAAAGCCTTACAGTCCTTGAAGAACCTTCCATGTAGAATCATGAATGTAAAATAATTTCAAAGCAGTATGAAAGTAAGTAAGTTTCAAAGACCACTGCAAATACAAGCCAAAAATGTAATTATATGACATTTAATAATAAATTGATTTCTTGGCTGTATTTTAGAGTTTTGATTTGGACCGTATTTGAGTTGTTGTTGTATCTGAGTCACTGTTGCTAATAATAGCAACAGTGTTTGACGCATGTCTTCTTGCGCCAAGTGAAACTCTATTAAGTAACATCAGCTTCCCAAAGGCAAAGTCACTCCTGCTTTGGTTTACAAGCTTTATTTAATCTGTAAAAACCTTTTCAGATTCAAGAATCCTGTTATGAAATCTTGTCAGCAAAATAATAGATGATATTATTAAATCCGTATCAATTTGTCTGCAAGCAAGTAAGTATGCTGTCGCCACTCAGGTCCATATAATTCCCAAACATTCATCAGCATTCAACCACATATTTTTTCTCTGGAAAAAAAATGGAAAAGGGGGGGGAGTGATGTCATCATTATGAGATAAGATAGTATCTCATAATCATGACTTAACAAAGTTTTTTTTTTTTTTTTTTTACTTTTCCAATTTTTGTTTAAACTGTCAGAAAAGAGCTTCCACATAATCCATACTGTTTCTGTGGTATTCCTCTTTTTTGTCCAGCAGAGTCCAGCTCATTTGGATAAAAAAACTCTCCTATCTACCATCGCAACTGATGTTGGGGCTTCCCAGGGTTGAGTGAGTTCGGCTTTGCTTTTCCTTCTTGATATGGATGACTTTCGTTTAGCTATGCCAAATCAGTATATTCTAAAATATTTGGATGATACAGCTCTGATATCTTTGCTGAATAACACAGATGACCCATGGCTGCATCAGCATGCTGTAAACAAAGTGGTTGAGTGGAGTGATGATAATGCTCCGGTGATAAATCCAAAGAAAGGAGAAGGAATTATATTTGGTGTACCATCTCCCCCTCATATAGCTCCTATAGTAATCATAGACTGTATTAAGAATGGACGCCGTCTGCCTCCTCACTGGGTGAAGCCACTGTGAGACAGCACCCTCTGGTGATGGGCTGCAGTATAGGTCATAAATCCCGCCTCCTCCAGCAATCCCTATGGAGCTGTGGACAAACTTCAGAAATTTATTACACAGAATATAATTTTTCTCCCCCCGGTTGCAATATTGACATGTTTTTATTGTAAGACTGGTTTGTGCTCAAGTCCTCTTTTTTCTGTACAGCTCCATTTTTAAAAGTTAGTTGGGATTCATGTTTTCTATAATTGACACTTGATACAGCCTATGGCCATACGAAGATTGCGTTGCTCACCTGGGCAATATACTGTTTGAGCCGGGTGTCATCACAACGACTCTTGGCGACTCTCCCGCCGAAAGCTTACAATGCTACTGTGCAAGTGGTGGAGTGCATACAACGCTACTGCACAAAGTTGGTTTCAGGAAGTGGAGAAAAAAAAATGGAAATACCAAGTGTTAGGGTGAGTTTCTTTAGCCTGTCATGTCAGCCTTGAAAGTGGTGGAGCTGTGTCACTCAAGTACCTCAGATACTTAGGTGTTAGATTGGTGGAGCCGGGGGCCTCCGACAACCATCCTCAACCAAAGAACCTTGTACACACTTTTTACATCACGCAGGTCCCCAAAATATGTTCTGCCAAGGTATTTCCTTCTATGGACCCTCCATATGTTCACCTAAGGCTTCTTAAAATATGTTGTCCTTTGTTCTTACCGTACATGGATTTTTCTTAGGGTCAACTAAATATCAGCAGTATGT